CCCCCCCCCCCCCGCCCCCCCCCTCAGAAGGCTCAAAACGACGTTGCGAAGGAAGGAGGGTATCCTGGATCCATCTCATTCTCTATCTATACATCTACACTTTTGTCAGATCTGTTGCCATGTCCCCATGCCGGAAGACCTGATTCAGGGCCGGTAGTTGGGAGTTGGCGAGGTTGGGGCAAGGCACAAAGCGGGACCTCTCCAGACTTGACTTGTCTACTTACTTACCTACCTACCTACCTTTGTATGAGGTTGTCTCCACGCGCGCCCCGTTGTAGTGTAGTGTGCCGGTGTTTGATGGGGCCGGGTTTCGGTCTCGTTCAACGTCGATCGACGAGCGTCGAGGAGCAAAGGCAGACCCTCCTTCTACCGCAGCCTGCATCTCCCACTTATAGGAAGCGAACCTGATGGCGTGAACTCCCCCCTATGCGTGCATTCCATACTCTCTATCCCCCGGTGTGCTCCAACCCTGATGCTACGATAACACACATCGATCGCCTATTCCCGAATTCACAGTCTCCGATATGGCCGACAGCGGCCCAGGGGACTACCCGCCCTCGAGGGACTCTCGTCTCCCTACCCCTCCGTCCCAAAATCCCCGTCGAAAGCACCAGAGAAAATCGAGACGCAACAGCATGTCCGATCCTCCTGACGAGAACACCTCGCTCCTTCGCTCTTCGCGCTCTCGCATACGCATACCGGGCTCTACCGACACCCCTAACCGCCCAGCCCACCTTTCGCGAAACCATAGCTACCACAGTCCGTTCTCTACAAGTCCTCCCCTTTCACCCTCACTTATACCTCGACCTAAACTTCTGACGTCTCTTATAGACACTTCATACTACGGCTCTACCAGACACCATGGCCGGAATGAATCCTGGAGCCAGCGGCTAGTACAGGCTCTCACAGACCGCCAGGATCCCATGACCGAGTCCAAATTCTCCATCGCCCCAGATGAACGTATCTGGTACGACCAGTTCACCTGTACCGACTGGGTTCACGATGGCATCGCCGACGCCCACCGCATGAAACAACTGCGAAACCGCAAAGATTGGTGGGGTCGGCTCATTGTCTTGTTCGACGGCGCTCAAGGCTGGATACTCAGTGCTGTTGTCGGCGTCTTAGTGGCCTTGCTAGCCTATTGTGTTAACGTGGCTGAGGGAACAATATTCGATTTTAAGGACGGTTATTGTGCAAGGGCGTGGTACCTCCGAGAAAAGGTAAGCTTGTCTCTTCAAGTATCATCTCTTTTTTTTGTGACTATGGTACTAAGTACGTGTCATCTTAGCGATGCTGCCCCCATGGACTTTGTACGGACTGGGTGTCTTGGTCGGAAGTACTGGACGGCAACCCTGTTGGGGATAAGTGGACTCAATTCATTGTTTACGTCGTTGCTGTTGTGGTTTTCTCCGGCGTGGCCTGTCTCTTGACTTTAACCACCAAGACGATTGTACCGTCCGCTTACAGGATGTCAACTCTTGACGAGAATCTAGCTGCAGAGCATTCGCAAATGCCCATGGATCTTGATAACGAGGGTGAAAGTGGCTCTGTGAGCCCGACACAGACGCCTCCGCAAGATGAGTCGCTACATCCCCCGATGGTCTACTACTCAGCAGCAGGCAGCGGGGTTGCCGAAGTTCGTGTTATTCTCAGCGGTTTCGTACTTCACGGATTCCTTGGGCTTAAGACGCTCATTATCAAATCGGTCGGCCTCATCATAAGCGTTGCCTCGGGCCTCAGTCTTGGAAAGGAAGGCCCTTACGTGCACATTGCCACATGTATCGGCAATATCAGTTGTCGTTTGTTCAATAAATACGATCAAAACGATGCGAAGAGGCGAGAGGTTCTCTCAGCAGCAGCGGCAGCAGGTGTGGTCGTCGCGTTTGGCGCTCCTATCGGTGGCGTCCTTTTCGGGTTGGAGGAAGTCGCCTATTTCTTCCCTGCCAAGACTTTATTTCGAACCTTCTTTTGCTGTATTGTCGCAGCCTTGTCTCTAAAGTTTCTCAATCCCTATGGTACCGATAAAATTGTCTTGTTCGAGGTTCGGTATAAGATTGATTGGGAGTGGTTCGAACTAGCCGGCTTCATTCTCGTGGGAATACTGGGCGGTGCGGCTGGAGCCTTCTTCATCAAGGCGTCCCGTCGCTGGGCGTTGAGCTTTCGAAAGATCAACGTAATCAAAAGATATCCGCTCGTCGAGGTCATTCTTGTGGCTTTGGTCACCGGACTGATTAGTTATTGGAATGTCCTCACTAAGTTGCCCGTTGCGAAGCTTCTACTCAATCTAGCCGCTCCTTGCGAGAACGATGAGCTGGATGACGAGCTGGGGCTCTGCGTGTCGAGCATTGATGACATACCCGGTGTAATTCTGATGCTCCTCGCGGCGTTCGTCATTAAGGGATTTCTGACCATCATCACTTTTGGTATCAAAGTCCCTGCCGGAATATACGTTCCTTCCATGGTGGTGGGCGGCCTGATGGGCCGCATCATTGGCCATCTTGTCCAATGGGTTGTCCTTCGATTTCCACATTGGGCGATATGGGGAACATGCCCACTGATACAACAGTCTACTTGTGTTCAGCCTGGAGTTTACGCTCTTATTGCCGCCGGCTCGACGATGTGCGGTGTAACACGGCTCTCAGTTACTCTCGCAGTCATTTTGTTCGAACTCACTGGCAGCCTTGACTATGTACTACCTTTCTCCTTGGCAATCTTGGTCGCAAAATGGACGGCTGATGCCTTAGAGCCATTAAGCATTTACGATCTCTTGACTATGATGAACTCATACCCTTACCTAGACAACAAGCACAAACCTATCTTCACGGGCGAACTCGCGGATATTGTGCCTCGAGTTCGTCGTGAGCGAGTCATCGATATTACCAACTCACCCCTTGTACCGGCCACGAGCCTAAGGGCCAAGTTAGAAGTACTCCACAAGGCGGGAGAGCTCGATGGGGGGCTTCCGATTATTAGAGATGATGTGCTGGTTGGACTAATTCCAGCCCCAGACCTGGAATATGCTCTGGATAACCTGAATGACGAGAGCTCGAGTCTCTGTTTGATGGTACACATTCCGAACATAGACGAGGACGACGACGACAGTCCAGACCCCACCGATTTTACACAATACATTGATCCAGCCCCAGTAGCATTAGACATCAAATCCCCACTAGAGTTGGTTCATGAGTGTTTTGCCAAGCTCGGTCTTCGATATATTTGCGTACTGAAAAACGGGCGGTACGCTGGCATGGTGAGCTTAACCCTTTGACCATTGTATGACTCCTATCTAACAGCTATTCAGACACACAAGAAGCGGTTTGTGAAATACGTGCGCGAACTTGAAGAGGAAGAGCATAGATCAAGATAGTAGCTGGGTCACATGGAGCGTAACTTGCAAGGCGACTTTTTGATTTAGTATTATACCCCCTCAGTCTACACATATTGCCTTCACAGAACATATACTGCCTTTCGTGTCTACGTAGTGGCGCCGATATATTGTATAGTTCAGATTAGTGAGCATGAGTAGCGTTTTTTCAGAGCACTAGCTTTTGTTACTAAAGGAATAGCGATATATATCGTCTCAAAACTACTGCGTATGTATTGTTCTTTAGATAGAGAGTTAGACTAGATACTTAGGCGTGAGTACCTAGTGAGATCTGAGATATTGATCTTTAGCGATATATTGTGTTTGAATGTAAGATTTCCTAAAGAGCATCCTGTGACTACGTTTATTCTCAAGAAAGAGTACGTCCTTGGGGTATTACCCCGAGATCCTCTTCGAACTGTTTAGAGCTTGAGATAGATGGTAGAGCTCGACAAATATCGAGAATTCCGTCATTACACAATATGAGCTATAAATTTGCTCCATGCCATGATGCGAGTAGTAAAACATACCTTTTCCCGAAATAGCAAGCGAGTTCTCCAGGTATCATCGAACCAAGGCTGACGGGGGTGCGGAATAAGCCTGAAAAGGTTTGAAAAGTGCTCGATAGAGGAACGCTATATCTCGGCCATGAGGCCGCCTATGAACTCTTGGTCGCGAAGTCGAGTATTCTAACTGACTGGACTGAGTTCAAAACGATGAGGTGAAAATATATAAATTGGATTGATGATCTGATGCAGTTCACTCCATTCATGAAAACAATGTACAAAGGCGCGGACATGAGTCTGAGGGGCTGATCGCTAAAGTTTCCTTGAGGAATCCAAATCTACGAACCTTAGGATGCAGTAATTGATGCGTGGAATGGGTACATTGAAGCCTACCACCATCTGATCAATGAGTATGAGTCACCCCTCCACATCTGTTTCTGTTCATCGACGCGCAGATCACATGGGCGGATGCATGAATAATCTCATAAAGTCAAGTATCGCTCACCCAAACACTTGACGGCATGCAGATCGCCTCCTGCCCAGCATATCTGCTGTAGATTATACGCGGCTTCCTTCGAGAGGTCGCTGATTCCGAGCACACTAGGCTCCGAGTCGTCCGGTATGTCGCGCAGCACGCGCTGGTAGAACTGGGCGGCCAGGTGAGGGATGCCGATGGCATGGTAGCTACGGGCCATGTTGTAGTGCGCCTCCTGGCGCTGGGCAGCGTCGGCGGAGGAGACCTTGAGGTCGTAGTAGCGGTGGAGGAACACGAATCCCTGGACCAGAAGGTATTGGCGGTTCTCGGACTGCCGCTTGAGTGCATAGTGGATGTAGCACTGGCCGACACTGAGAAGGACCATCTGGTTCGTGGGATCTATGCTATACGCCCGAAGGAAGTAATCTAAAGCTGGATTAGGATGTATGTGCAGGGGCAATGGTAATAAAAGAAGGCTGAATCTCCAATGGGCATGGCTGGGAAGACTCACTCAAAGCGTATGTAAAGCTATTCGATACAAACAAGATATGCCCGTAAAGCACGAGCAGAGTAATATCTAATTCTTTAGAAGGATAGACTCTGCCGCCATTGGCTTTGGTATCTTCTTCGTCGCTATCCTCACCTCCTCCAGATACAAGTGCTCGGTCCATGAGCTTGATTTGTCGGAGCATATATTTCTGCACTGGACCAGAGGCATACCACGAAGCTGGGGATGGGCAGAGTCTACACAACGCAGCGAACATACGAAAAGGATCCGAGTCGAACTGTCTGTCTCTCATGAGAAACCGAGCAGCGGCCACGCACGTCTCCTCGTCTCGCGCACGTAATGCGCAAGCTTGATAACATGTCAGTTATAATGCATCAATAATATCGTCAAAGGAAGCGAGCGCCTTACCAGCCCAAGTAACATGGATAAGAAACATATCATCTCTATTTTTGGCGAAAACTTCAGCATCGCGAGCAGATTCGCACACCTGATAAGACTCTTGGAATTTCTCATTGTGAGCGAGGCCAACGGCGTATTCCAGGAACAGTTCCAGCCAGTCGCTGAAAGATACACCTCTATAACTGACAGCAGTCCGCTCTCCAAGCTGACGCTCAGTATGTGGCTCAAACGGGTTCAAATCTGTACGTAATTAGTCTAATCCCAGAATAGTGAATTGTAGATGTGTCCTACTGTGTGATAATCTCTCCTTCATCTCAATAAGATTACGATTACGAGAGACGTATACTTGCTTGTCCTCATTGATTCCAAGGTGGACAAGATATTTCTCCCACGAGTAGAACCCCTTACATGACCTGAAGTCGTCAACAAGTTCTTTAGCTGCTCGCATGAAAGCATCTGGAGGACCAATCCTCTTATCGTTGTCAGTGGTTTCCCGGACACCATGAACAGTTCTCCATGCAGTGGCTAATTCCTCGGCCCTACGTTTTTCTTCTAGGCTGACTTCTTCACTTCGTCCAAAAAGCTTACGTCGTGGGCGTGGCCGGCGAATCTCGTTTCCATCCTTATCAAAGGTCACTGATTTAGGTGCTCTTGGCTTCACCCGACGGGAAGCATTTTTATTTCTCGGTCGCACTTTTCTAGCCGCACCAGACCTGTTTCGAGCATCGTCATCACTGCCTTGGTACTCATCCATGTCTTCTTCGTCGTCCTCGACCTCAGCCTCGTCATGTGCTTGTTGCAATCGAATGGCTTCGTTTACAAGGATATAAGCTTCTTGCTCCTCTCTTGCAGCCTCATACATCTTTGCCAGTTCATAACGTGCATCGATTGCGGCTTCGTCATTCGATTCGTCTACGTCAATAGCTGCACCAAAGCACTCTTCTGCCTGTCGCTTGTCACCAGCGTCGAGGTAACAGCGTCCTGCAGCAAGAAGAGCAGCGGAATCTAGGACATCAGGGATACTCAAGAGCGGCTCAAAGAAGCGGAGTGTCATGGCCCGGAGGTCCGAATCATATAGAGCGGTGCCGATTTCTGCAAGCAGATGTGGCTCATTTGATAGTACGTGACGCCCATGAGTGCCTTCGGGGTCAACATGATCGATGTGACGCTAACGCTGATTAGACAACGAAGATATCTATATTATAAAATGTCAAACTTACTTGAGCTTCGTCTAGATCCCCCAGCTTCAGACGATAGACCCCTAATTTTGTTCGTAAGTCCAATGGAAGACCGCTACCGTATGAGGATTCTGGGTATTTTCTAGGCTCAAAATTTTGGAACTCTGTTCGACGCACATTATCAACGTCCCACTCTCGATCATCGTCCTGCCAGTCATCCCAAAAGTTTTCGTTGGAGCGGCCTAGCAGCCATCTCGCTAGCGATTTAAGTTGAAATAAGGCTTCTTTGGTATGCTCAATGTAGGCGAGCAATCCAACGAAGATGTTGATGTCCTGCCATTCAAGGGGCTGAAGCTGTTCATCGATGACATTGGCCTGGAAATGGTCAAAAGCGCGACGGTACCAGTTTATAGCACTCTCTGGCTTATAGAAACTGCGCTTCCTCGTGCTTGCTAGGATGATAGTCATCTCAGCATATGACCGGAGAGCATGCACATCATACTCGCCACCATGCTCAAGAAGGTATAGATAATCTTTGGCTGCGGTACGAATCTGACCTCTCTCAAAAGAAATAGCAGCCCTGCTATGTCGGGCTCGTTGATTGCTGATATCCGCTCTCAGCGCAGCTGAGTAGCAAATTGATGCCTGTTCGAGAAAATGAGCTGCATCATCCGGAAGCTCATCCCGAAGCGCAATACCAAGATCGGCACAGTGAAGCCAGCCTTCTACATTTTTAGGCTGAAGGTGACAAGAAAAGACCCTGGCCGTAAAACTGCCCTTTGGGTCGCCTTTCTCCTCAAGGCATGTGGCTAGGAGCGTCCATGCTCGATAGGTCTCAGCATTGATACGTATAGCTTCTTCCACGAACTTAATGGCCTCGTCAAGCTGGCCACTAACGTACGCCTCCGACGCCTTATTGATGCGATACTTCACATCACCAGTGGGCTCGGCAGCTTTTCTGGGGCCCCTTTTGGCGCCACGGGTGCGGCCGCCCCGACCACCTCTACGGCCGCGGCGGCCGCGTTGTGTTCTCCGTCTATAGTCTGATTCGCTCTCTTCTTCCGAGCCATCCCTCAGGTCCATTTGCCGCTCTAGAAGTGCATCAGTGGCGGAGTCTATCAGGCTGTGATCGACGTCTATGTGTGATGTGACGTTGTAATCTTGCACCAACGTTGAGTTGGAAGGAGCTGGATATATATACGTTGGGTCACCTGATGTTACATTGGGCACAGGTTGGCGCTGTTGTTCTGCGGGCACCTCTACGCTAGGGAAGCTATTATATCCATGTTTTGGCGCTTTGGATAGTCTGGGGTCAATCAGATCATCTTCGGGAGACCTTTTCTGCAAAATATCGGGTTGAGAATTCCGGGCTCTGGCTGGGAAGCTGCCCTGCAATCCGCCGGTAGAAGTTGGTTTTGGCAAGATTGAAGTGAGGCTATCTCGCGGTACTGTTGCTCTTCCATGATAGGCATCATCAGCAAGGATGCGTGGATCAACAAGGTAACTTGGCGGCGGTGATGCTCGTGATGATCGAGAAATAGGCTGTGGGTGGTCACCATCTTGATAAGGTGAGAACTGTGTCTGTGCGAAGGATGATTGACCTGATACGTCTGTGCCACTCAGACCTGCGTGTTGTGGGCTCCGGTCAAGGTCAAGCTGGGTGGGTTGATCGGTGTTGTCGTCGGCCTTGTCTGACTGGGCTTGGGGCGCGTGGAGCGACGGCTGTTCTATAAGGCCTCCCTTGTAAAGTGCCTGCAAGGCTTCAGACGTTAATGATGTCGGACGACTCATTTTGACAGCTGAAGTGTTCTCCGGCTAATACAGCTTAAGTTTCGATACTGTCAGGTCGCCAGCACCATGCATCTTGGACAAATAGCATATGGCTTCAGAGGAGCCTTATTAGAGCGAACTGCCAAGCCCCGACCCGATGCGTTGCGCCTACATACATTCAAGGTTGAATGAAGTCAGTCTGGCGAATGCTAGAACTCGCCCGTAGTCGTATCACAGTTGTAAATTCGAAATAGAGCACGTGTAACTTTCCAGGTTCTGTTTTGCAGATACACAAAAGCAGATCAAGTACTCCGTATTCCGATATCAAGATTTGGACTAAGGTGTCTCAGTACCTTGGTACCTAGGTACTTAGAGTGGGGGTTTATCCATTAGGTAATACCTATGTGAATAAGAGCAAATGCCATTAGAGAATAGATTGGTCCAAATCAGGTTGACTTTTTAAGTTTACTACCGGTATCATGTTAATGACTCTGTTTGGAGTAGTGCTACGTATTTCAACACTACTTTCTCTCCATTATGTAGGTAGTATAGAGTAGAGCTTTGCTACTTATCATAGACGTCATGGATACAAGCCTTGTAATAACAAACACCATTTTCCCTTCTACCTATCATTTGGTATATATGATATGATATAAAAACACCAGTCCCATTTCCAAAACCTCTCTTCGTGTATCATGCTGAGCACGATGCAGCATATGATACACAGGATAACTGACTCTACATATTGAACTACAACGTAGTGAATTGGTCTAGCCAACTTGGACGATGTGTGATATCAGTCTGCGAGAAAACAACCAGTGCCGCCTGCGGGGGTGGCACAATATAGGTAGGGCTTAAGCCATGAGCTTACCCTCTGCCTTTGCTTCTATATCAGAGTCAGCGCTAGATGCAGACATGGTAGAAGAATCAGGTATCCTGCCTACCTTTTACTTGTTCAAACACCTTCAGCATCTTTCTACGCGCTCCCAAGGCGTTGACACCTCGTTTCTCCAAGGCCGCGTCATCAAGCTCGACCAGGTCTGTCCATTTCATGTCTTTCAAATTATCAGTGTACTTATGAAGACGGAGACTTCGCAGCCATGCAGGGATATCTTGAAGCAGAGTTGGATCGGTAGGGTCCTCAGGCGGCTTCGAGGTGCCTCTGCGACCTCGAGGCGACCGCCCACGATTCATATCAGAGTGATCTGACAGATATCCCTCGGGGACACCTACGCCAAGTTGCGGCATGCTCAACCCAGGAAATCCACCGCCCAAGAGTGGATTCTGGTTGTCGAAGGCACTTAGAAATCCATTATTCTGAGGTGAGGCAAACGGCATCTGCTGAGCAAAACTGGCTGGCTGGAGGGCAATACCGGGCGAGTTGGGGCGAGATCGGTGAGCGCCAAAGCCACCCATAACCTGTTGATTCTGCAGGGCCAAAACCTGATCCCTGCTTAGCACCTGTCCACGCTCGTCAACCATTATGAAATTCGTTCCGGGTAAATTGGGTACCTGAGGACCAGCAGATACGCCACCCGGATTTTGTCCATTTCCATCATTAGATCGCGCCCGGCGATATTTACGTACGTCGTCAAGAGCAAAGCGATTGTTAACAGTAGACAAAGCTGCTAGCTTCATCGCTGTGGCATTTGCAACCATGTCGGCTTGATGGGGCGCGTTACCCGGGCTAAAAGTCGGGTTCATAGGTGTGCTCACCATCGATGCCCAATTCCCGCCGGCAGTGTACGGAGAAAGCATGGGCAAGTCCGAAGCTGACTTGTCAGGTGCATTGAGCGTTGTGCTTTGAATGTTGGAATTGGCACCAAGTTGAGGACGGGGCGACCTCAAACCCGCAGATGGGGGCGGTTGCACGAACTGCCCCATAGGTGGTTGTCCAGAGGACGAGGATTTGGGACGTGAAGCTCCTTGATCATGGGTGTTACCCCATGGGGAGTTAGGATTTTGCGCATTTGGATCAATCCCTTCAGAAGGGGCAGAAATGGTGGGTGCAGCGAGAGAGCTGCGAGGATCGATGGCAGCGCTGTTCCGATTCGATGGGGGCTGGTTTCCAGTCTGCTGCGTAAAACGAGCCTTTTCAGTCGCAATGGCAGCAGCGGCATCAGGAAACATAGAATTTATTGCAGACTGATCGAGAGCCGAATGTCTCTTGTTAGAGGGCTGTGGTTGAGAGAGAGAATTGCGTGCAGAGCTGACGCTCAACTTATTCATAGCATCACTCAACCGATTCGACATAGGATCTATTGGTAACCTGTTAGCTCAATGAAGTGACATTCTTCCGGGCGTGATTTTGAGCCTTACCTTTATCGAAATTAGCAGGCGATAGGACTCCCGACATGGGATGATTCTTGCCCATCTGTTGAAGCACTTGAATGAAAAAGCGGACCTGTACCTGCGTGGTTTGTTGTAACAGCGCATAGAGGGCAGCAGTCCTCTCTGCTTCCGAGAGAACTCGAAACCACTGTTCTATGGCACTGAGCTCATCTTTGAAGTCTTGATCCAGCGTGGCTGCAGCCATCTCCTCTAACGTTGTTTCATATTGATCGATATCGGCAATCCATTGCTGGGTCATCATGTCTTGCGGCGAGTCACCATCCACATTTCCCTGGTTCTGACCCTGCTGACCATAGAAGTCGGAAGACGGACGTATGCGGCTTGCGGCTGAAGATCCAGTGATTGCGGCCATGTCGGCAGAGGCACGCAGGTTGGATCCAGCCCCGACAGCCCGAGATGCGGGTGGGCGAAGTGAAGACGCCGTGGTGGCTTCCGGGGTGCTGTTACGATTCATGTTGAAAGAAGGCAGTCTTGGATCAAAACCTTCTATGGCGAGTAGTGAGCGGGATATTCTCGAGTGAGAAGGCGTGCCTTGTTTCTATCCCTGCAGATGGAGACTGAGAGACAAACACTACGATACTGAGGTGTATGGCCCAGAGCAATGTATACAGCAGTACGTGTTTACTACTGAAGACGACTTTGAATACCTCGGTGTCGAAATGCGCTCAATGAGATGACCCTGATACTGGCAAATTGCGCTAGCAAGTCCGTTGCTGAGATATGTAAGTTGAAGATTGTAGCGCCTATGTGCGACTACGTCAAGGGAGAACAGTATAATCTAGTCAGTAGAGGCGCTGCCCCAATAAGGAGACAGGATTGGTTGGCGATTGCTAGACAAAAAGCACTTCGAGTAGAACGCGAAAAACGGCGGAAGAGATTATCTCGAGAACTCCTGCAGTGACCTGCTGACCTCAAAGGAGTTGTCGAGAAGAGGAAGCAGGCTGAAATGGAGATATTATCGTTATTGACGAGAGATTAGATAAGTGGTAGCTGATACCCAAGAAATGTTAGCAAAAGACTCGAAACAGTTTCCTCTCGAGGCCTGACCCATGTCATTCCAAGTGGGGTGGCACATCGATAATTTCTTTGAACATGGAGTGAGACATGATGAGGAAATAGGAGTTGGTCAAAGTTCGAGTGTGATATGCCAGGGCCGTGGAGGTGAAGAAGCGAGGGGAGGGGCCAGTGTCAGACAGATTTGTAGCAAGCTATTCTCTTCAGCAACAAAGCAAGGACAAAATGCTGCCTTAGATGTTACACACGGGGCCACGGGAGCCCCGGGTCTTCGCCAAACAACAAGACGCAGGCTCAATACACGTATCTTGTCTTGTTGCTACCGAGCTGAGCTGGAGACAACAAGGAAATGCACGGAGAGATGTTTGCTAGTATAGATGATTCGCGATGACTGTACTTACCCAAAAATAAGGCTCGACAGACCAGTCCGTTCCGATTCGGTGCCAAACCGCGGCGGCAGGTAAGTTGCCAAACGACGAGTGGAGCAGCGGAGAGAGCACGTCGTCGAAGAAGGAGGAGGGAAGTGGAAAGTGAATGTGGACAGACCGGTGGCCTGGGCGGGTGGGAAGAAGAGGAAGGTTGAGGTAGGGCGGCAGCGCAGGCTAGCTGGTGGATGGAGGATTAGATAAAGGATGCGTTGGGAAATCCTCGAGTGAGCATAAAGGGCCAACAACCACTAACCGCAGCCTAGTACTTGGCTAAGCAAGTTTACAGGTAACCTTAGGCGAACCTTAGGGGGGCTCGGGGGAAGAGACGGCCTAACCTGCTCGCCTGGTAAGCAGGTGCTAAGGTACCCGATGCACTTACCAGTAGGTACCGTAGGTGCCGGCTTAGTGTATGTAGGTAGCGAGGGTACCAGGTCCCTTACTATCACTTTTCGGCAAGGGATCTGTCTCCCGACCTGAACAAAGACCCTACCCTAGGTACGCAGTACATCCACCAGTCTAGGTACCCAGCAATCCTGGCCAAGCGACGGTACTTACTTACTACGTAGTATAAGTAGTGTAGATACCCACCGATAACTAACTTGGTATCCGTAAAAGAATCCGCAAGTTTACCCAAGGTGGAAATTCAAGTGTGATGCCTAAAGCCAAAAGTATAAGTAGGTATGAATTCTCAACTGACAGTGAGGGTTTCTAGGTACTTGGGCGTCGATCCAGCCGACCGAGCGCACCCCTATACATATACTTACATGTAATGTGGTATCTAAATTAGTGCACCCAGAACCTTGGCGAGTTCCATCAGCTAGAGTCAACCATCCAATAGATTCTCATATCTGCAGACTCTCCGTATGGAAACTTGAAAGCAATTGTCGCCTTCCAAGTAGCCTGGTGAGCCTGGTAGTAAAGTTCATAGTACCATTCGCCAACAATCCCCCCTCAGCGGTCAGTGATAATTATAGCTGAGGGGGCTGAAAGGTTGCGTGTACAAATTGTACTACTGTACATACAGTAGTAGGTGTAGGTGCAACCTGGCCACCGCGCACAGATCGATCCTAGGTACATGCGTATCGATCGAATCTGGGGGGGAGGCGCCTAGCAGCACCGCGTCTAGGCACGTGCTGATACATGTCCTTACATGTGCAAGTACATTCGCTCGAGGTATGCCCAAGGCAGAGCACTGCCCGGCGCAGGAATACGTGGTAGGTAGTAGGTAAGCAACGTCCAAATTTATCCCATGTTGCGAGTGGGGGTGGATTGATTTTGAAACTGCACTTGAGCAGTGCCCGCTAGCGGACTTTTCAAACAACGGCTCTGGTGGTGACGTTCAGCCAGGCTCGGAGATGGCAAGCTCCAGTTCACGTTCCTACAATAGGGCCTACAGGCAGAATGTAGGTAATGCCTTAAGACGCAAACCTGAGTCGGAGGCCCTGGACTAGGTATGTGTACAATTAGTATTGATATGTCAATATCAATCATCTGCTCACAATACTAGATGTGATAGATATTTGGTCAGATACCATGCTACATGTCGCGGGAAAACAATGACCTTCTATAAATTGGAGATATTGACATTTTGCGGCATATTCCTGCCCCCCCAGACCGACCGTGAGTTTGATTGAAGGCAATCTTTACATCAATACCTGATACACAATGGTATCCGATAATCCTCTTAGGCTTGAAACACGCCTTAAGTGAAACATAGACAGCACAATAAATCATTTGATCTTTCTGACTAATCATTCGGCTTATCCGTTCCCGTTCGCCGGTATATTCCCTAGGAACATCCCCATTACTATGAATTATGGTGACCTACCAATTAGGTATTGAATAGTCCTACCAATGTAGCGTGACTCTCTCTCGCCTTTTGCGCTGACGACATAAGCTGACATAACAGTAGGCCACCTGCACAGTACGTGGAAGATGGACTTCAAGGTGACATGAATTCAAGTGGCTATGACAGAAACGTAGGTTCAATACACAATCCCTATGAAACTGGCAATATCAAGGTTGGATGTAGCCCAGTCTCCATGCACCCTCGCCTTGGAGGAAAAGGAAGCACAGGTGTTTGGTAATAGACGGGCTCATTTTACTCTTGGCACGAGAAGAAATCCTTCAGCAAATGGACATGGAATAAGTCCAAAGCTGTACACACTAATGCCGTTTTGTGAAAGTGTTACACATGCAAAATAGGGGATGGTAGAAACCCGATCAAGGGGCAACAACCCAGTGGAGAGGGCGAGGAGCGTCGATCACAAATCACCCGCAAGACTGGTGCGCGCGACGGTAGCTTCATTCTTTGGCTACTCATTCGTTCGTATTCTCCATAGACAAATGCAAGACCGTTGACGCCATGATCATGTCCGCACGTTTTCCGTAAGTGCCCTGTTTTCCACCCACAGCATCGTAACCCCAAATACTGTCTAGTAGGAATCCGTTTAAACCGTTTCACGCTTGCCTTCCGCCTTCTCTTTCTGTACCATCGTTAGCCAACCATTACACGCTTCGATTACAAAGGAGGAATGAGAATGGTTGATGTACCAGGGCGCGCATTGTTCCGTGTAGGGCATATCTGTGGTTGCGTCGGAACTTGGGGTCGGTACCCTTCAATGATGGGTATCGGTTGGTCTTAGGCTTCTTGATACTACGAGTCGAGCGTGTTAGTTGAATCTATTCAAAGCCGCCATAATTCCGTGGGATAATCGAAAACTTAGGTGCCGTTTTCGCGTCTTCTCGTCTCGGAATTAGGTGATGACATACCCGTTACGGTGAGCCTTCTTCGACTGGTTGTGCTGGGACGAGTTCTTGGATTCTGTAGGGCACAATTAGCATGAAAACAGCATTCGAATCTTCGTTAATACATACTCGCCATTGCAACGGTTTATGGACTGATGTACTTTGGGAAAAGGAGAATGCCACGGGAATCAGTGTAGTTGATGGAGAAGAGCCGCCAAATGGTCGTCCACGCAAGGAGTATTCTCAATTGTGGGTGCAAAAATAAGCGAACTGGAAGATCCAACCAGATTGCTCTCAGGTGTCAGGTGGGGATATTTAGTGGAAAATGAGCTAGGGTGACTGATGACAGCTGCGTGCCAGCTGTGGGTACTCTAAGTACTTATTACGTATTTACTAGTCTGTGGGTTGATAACTGACCCGAATCGTGTTATTTGTTGATTCACTTCTCGTCCTTGATGTGCAATGTCATAGAGAATGCTTTATCCTTGTCTTTGTCCAGTAAATTGTATCCGGGATAAATCATGGACCAATATAGACAACTCATACAACAGCAAGTCTATACAAACAATCCTCCACCTAGTAATCCGGATATACATTACACAGAACTCTACTAGGCCAAAAATCCGATGTATGCCTGTTCATATGAGATACAATTCTACATCTTAGACGCCTTCTATCTGCTTCTAATTCGTGGTAACTGGCAATGCAGCTTTGGCTTTAGTAGCAAGTTTAGTTGCTTTGGCGAGTTGCTCTGCCCGAAGCTTGCGAATATACCGGAACAATAGGATAAAACCGAGTTCCATTCTGTCAGCGATTTTGTCAGTGGAAGGAGCTTACTACCAGAGGATAATAGTCGTACCGTTCTTTAGTCATCATCAGAATACCTTGCACTAGGAGTCCCTTTAGCAACTGCGGACCGATACCCTTGAAGAGTCCCAGAAGTCCTTCGTGTTTGACGATGAACTGCATCACCTCAATGAACCCCTTGAAGGGCTTCCCCTGACGCTGTGGTGGAGGCTTGGACTGCAAGCCAACCTTAGCCACAATAAGGGGCTGAGTCGCGATGGTAGCTAGGGCTTTGGACATGGCGCCAAGCACTGAAGTTGCAAAGTCAGCGTGGAGACTTCTAATGAGAGCCTGTGAACTCACAGAATGCTTCTCCCGGTGTTAACCGACTCTTTCCTGGGAATATGATGGTCTTTAATCGCTCATATGCGCCGTATGTTATGGCAGGGTTAACTACCAAAACTAAGCTAGCCTTCAAGCCTCTCCATAGACCAGAAGGGCCATCCTCGCCTTCGATGATTTCGCGAGCCGTTTCTCTCAACCCCTTCCTGTCTGCCTTACTCTGGGTTTGTTGCCGTGTCGTCACAACAGCAACAGGGATTGTAAAAACTTGGGCGACGGCGCCGGCAACAGCACCTAAGACCAACTCGGTAGCAGTCGATGGCGGAGTTGGAACCTTCTTGGACTTCAAGTATATCCCGCGCACGATAGAATACCAGTAAAAGTAAGCAAAATTCGTCGAGGCGACTCCAATGAGCGCGCCATTAATCCCGGTGTAGAGTCCCTTGACGCCATCCTCAGCTACCATCTTGGTGATCGCGTCCCATGTTGAGGTGTAATGTGGCTCGGAATCGTGATGTACATCCCCTGGCTTTCGTTTTATTTGGACTTGGAGGCGAGTTTTAACTCTGATGAGGTATTGCAGATGGTTAGCAGGCTTCTACAGGAGAACAAATACTCGATGAAGTGGCTTGAGTATCAGACTACTCACATATCTAAGGGATATACCAGCGTGTTCGCTAAGACGGCACCAGTGGCGCCAGCTACAGCAGCACCCCATGGTGGAAGCGTCGCGGGCTTGGATTGAGCGCTCATGTTTGTTGGTTAGTTCTATTGCCAGAAAGATATGTAGAACAGGTATGCCGAGAAGCTGAAGGTAGACAGGTAGCTGCACAAGTCAGCGCGAAGATCCGCAATGACAGCAGTCGGTATTGAGATGGCGGCGAGGCGTATGCCAGAAATTTAACCGTTATATTGACAAAGTTCGAGCTAGAGACCACTACCGTGGCATGAACAAATGCGACTCGCACGGCAATAAGTAGAACAAGTCAACAAAGCAGTTCGTGATGCACAATTGGGGGAAGCCAATACAAAGTAAAGGCAAAACACCCCTAAGTATTCTTCTACACCGGCCAACGAAAGCGCGATGACATTATTCATGCCATGACGAGAGCTCGAAAGCAAGAGAGACAGCCGACTCGGAGGTTAAAGTGAGATGCAGACGCACTTGGCCGAGTGAGCCTGTGAAACCGCTAGCTTCCTGGTTTGGACCTCGGCCAACTCTGGGACCACCCCGGCATTGTTATCCAAATCGGCGCGGCAGCCATTCTCCTATTGGAATACCTAGGCGGCTAGCTGGTACCTAGGTACATATCCATGACGCCCATTCTGCCTCGGGTGTCTTAGGTACCAGATACCTAGATACCTACTTAGGTATTTGTAGGTACGATAATATTGTTGATTACGTAGGGTCATAGATAGCCGAGTAACTACCTACCTAACCCATGAGTTAGTTACAAGTTACCCCCGACTAGTACTATCAAGGCATCCGCTAATCTATAAACTGCAAGCCACATACACACTTATTTAGTAGTATCGTCGAGGCAAGTGGACTAGTAGCTAATAGTATCTACCTAAATATCTGCCTTGCGTCAATATCATGGTGGTACTTAGATACTGCAGCTCCCTGGGTTCTTCTATCCCCAACTAGATGTTTTATGTTTGTTGCTCTTGCCTTCCCTTTATACTTTTATATATCAAGTTGCAGTCGGGGGGCTTCTTCGTGTGCTCCGTGGTTATCCAACCTACCGGTAGGTCATAACAGTATCACGCACCATCGCTTCAACTTGATAGTCTAACGATACTGCTGCCGTGGCCACTGTCCCGCTCACCTTGGGGGACAGGTTGTCTCTTCAGATGAGTCGGCACAACGATCTGCTACTGTTTGTTTCAGTAGTACTCCGAGGTTTCAGCATTAATAGCTAGCACTGGCCCTCCTTTCTCAGACCGGCCGATCCTTATGATCCGCGTGTGCATCGAAGTGATTGACTGATCTCAGTACGCGCGTCATCGTCATGGAGGCGGAAGCTCAGGTAACTGAAATCGCTCGAATAATTCACTAGGTCCCTTGTGCCATCTAATTGTGTATGGAACTTCAGGAGCATGAAAGGCTGGCCTCGTCCTCCTCCGGTAAGGAAGCTCTTGACCATGCAATAGCGGCAGCGGAGCTCTACATGAAAGCCGCCCAGCAATCAAACAGTCCGCTTGACAAGAAGCGCTTAAATAGGAAGTGCGAGGAGATGGTTCTAAAGGCCGAGAGTCTTAAAAAGCCCAGTCGCACGGCTGACAGCGTCAGCAGTGTGAAAACGAGGCTCAAAGTACCTCGACAAGTCCGCCAGATACCAGCAAGTGAAGAAATCATCCTATACCGCAACTCTCGCCTCCATGGTCATACTTTTCCTCCGTGGGATGCTGATCCAGATCCAACATATTTCCATGGAGACGTTTATAGGTAGCGTACACTTGCCATTTCTCTCCGAGGTTTACTGACTGATTTGAAGTGACCCGGCCCCATTTACTTTGTCGCCCAGACAGAAAGCCATCTTAGCAGGATGGAAGCGGCCGGCCGAGCTCTTCAAGCAGACGCCCGGACTTGGCACGGGCTCAGATGACACTGTCGCACAAGTGACAGATGATTATGATCTCGTACAAGATATAACGACAGATTGCTCAGTAGTAGCCAGTTTGTGTGCCAGCATGAAACACCTTCAGCCGGGCCCTACTTCTATGCTCCCTGCGCTCATGTTCCCGGTTAATTCAACTGATGGGCGTCCAGGGATCTCTGCCAATGGTCGATATGTTTTTCGAATGTTCTTCAATGGCTGCTTTCGGAAAGTAGTCATTGACGATCGTCTCCCTGCTTCTTGCAACGAGCGTACTCTCTATGTCGTCGATCGCCAAAACCCCAACGTACTATGGCCCGCACTGATCGAGAAGGCGTACCTGAAAATCCGCGGGGGTTATGATTTTCCAGGTAGTAACTCTGGTACCGATCTTAGCATTTTAATGGGATGGATACCTCAACAGCTGTTCCTGCAAAGTGATGAGGTGGACTGGAATGCTACCTGGCGTCGAATTAAGAAAGCCTACGACTTTGGTGACGTTATTATCACTCTTGGCACAGGACGTCTGTCGCCTGACGAAGAGGAAACTATAGGCTTGGCTGGTGAGCATGATTATGCAGTTCTAAACATGTCGGAAACTCCTGAAAACAGGAAGCTTTTGGTCAAAAACCCCTGGTGTGATGGACTTGTCTGGAAGGGGGTAGGGTCAGCCTCGTCGAAGGCACAAGACGCAACCGATTCCCACGCCACCAAGCTCAACCCCGGGTCTTTCTGGATCAGCTTTGACGATGTGACCCAAAACTTTGAGTCGCTTTATTTAAACTGGAATCCTAGCCTATTCACCAGTCGCCAGGATCACCACTTCAACTGGCAGGTCCCCGAAGCTAACATGGTTGGCTCGTTTGCGCACAACCCCCAATTCTCACTGACAGCCGAGGGCGATGGACAGACTTGGATATTGCTAAGCCGCCACTTTCAGGATGAAGAGCTAGAAATTTCTCGAAAACCAAATGCCACTATGGCAGCTGTGTCTAATATGCTCGGCTTCATGAGCATATACATTTTTGAGAACAACGGCCGCAGAGTGCAACTAAGTGACAAGTCAATTTATCGAGGTCCTTTCGTGGATTCGCCCCAGACTCTAGCACCCTTCGAGGCTCAAAAAGGTGTCAAATACACGGTTGTTGTCGCAGCTCAGGATTTGCCTCTACCAAAATATTCCTTCACCCTATCCTTCTTCTCACGTACGGCTTTAGACATCGCTCCCGCTCAACACGACCTCAAGCACTACGTTGAGTTACACAGCAGATGGACGCACCGCACCAGCGGCGGCAATTCCGCCTCACCCCTTTATCTGACAAACCCGCAATTTAGCATCACCCTGCCGGTTGCCGGGCCCCTTTCGATCCTCATTTCGACCGCGAAGGAGGATATTCCGGTGCATATAGATCTCGTTTGGGCCAACGGTCGGCGTGTTACGTCTGTGACGGTCCGTGATCTTGTTACCACCTCGGGCGACTACCGCCGTGGCTGTGCTCTTGCATCAATCTCTTCCGTTGATGCAGGTACGTACACCATCGTATGCTCGACCTTTGAGCCCAGCCAGATAGCTGAATTTACGCTGCGTGTCGGATCCGATGTGCCGTGTACCATCATCCCTGTGCCTGCTGATGCTGCGGGCCGGTTGCGCACTCAGCTTGCCCCCCTCGCATTCTACAACGGCGAGTCTAAGATGCGAGCTTCTATCACCGTCGCCCGGCTCACACGCGTCAGCATTGTTGTGACAAGGAGAAGTAGCTCAGGCGTGGTTGGTTCCACCGGTGTGGGCACGTCACGTTCGCACCCAACTATACGGGCGACCCTTGAAAGCGGCCGCGGGCCTAACAAAGATGTTCTCGTTTCGACAGGTCAGGGCGATTTTCAAGAGGTCGGACTCGGACTCCGCACCGCTGAGTGCGATATTGACCCCCTAGTGGCCCAGTCACGGGGTCTGTGGCTAGTCATCGAGCAAGTCGGCAGTACATCTCTAGACGAAGGAGGAATGCGAGTCGAGATATTCAGTGATAGACAGGTGCTCGTGGGGTCCTGGGAATCCATAAATTAGTGAAGTGGCAGGGAACGAGAACCCCCCATTATGTATATTCCACAATATATGGATATCTGATAATCTAGTGTGGACCAATCTAAGCGTTCTCGCTTTTGGATCTCTGGACGAGATTTTTTGAGTACTTAAGAGGAAGAAAGAAGCTATTTGCTCAAGAAGAAATAGAGAGGAAAAAACACAGTGGGAAGAAATACCATGCTATTGCACACGCTTGTCTACTATATCTATTCGATAATAGATATCGTGCTCTTGCTGATCTCAATGGTTATCTATGGACAAATAGCTACAGCACAACGCTGCGAGGGAAATGAGAATGAAGTGAATAAGAGAGAATGATGCAAACAACATGTGCAACCTGAGTATACAGCTACACTTAAGGTCACCTAAGGTTGAGTCTGTTTAGGTCTTGACATGCTAAATGAGTTGGAACTGACAGGCACTCATACACCAATACCACTAGCTAGGAGATGTCAGGTACTTGACAATTTATCCTGGTCGGTAAGTCCAAGTAAATGGACATTTAGCTATTCCATTACCTTGGCGGCTCAAACTCTTGACTACACCACTGTCCAATCTTAGGTACATATACATACATCATTGTAGTTGGTCGTTTAGATGCTTATTTCCGGCGTCTCGGCATCTTCCACTTTACATTTGTTTGAAATGTGTTCAAGTATGATAGACAAGTGTTCTCTGCCGGGCATCACAAATGTCGAGGGAAGTGGTTGTCGGTCTAGTCCACTACAGAGTAGAGATCGACTATAAATTTCCAATAATCGGACAATTACGCAGTATCTGAGAATCAACAGTATGTATATGTATCTACCTGGTATGGTATGATATTCAGATAATTGTATTGTACGGTTAGGCTTTAGAGCGATTCGTTTTCAAGTAGGTGACAGAAATCAGCAAAGGGGGTATATTGTACGCAAAAGAAAATCATCCTCCTCTTCCCCACGGGTAGTAATGACGTCGTGTGTGCTTTCGCTATAAATTAGCACGACACGTCCTCATTTCTCATATCTCGTCTTTCGTCTCTCGTTAAGCAGATGTGTGGGCTGCTCTGCGTCTTGTTCTCTCATCTTGAGTTGCTCCGTGACTACTAACTTTCATGAGTAATCATTAGAGCTATGCCAGCGATCTCACTCTTGACAGCGAAGGCCGCCCCTATTGCTTATAGATCAGGAACAGGGAAGGCAGAGCGCCGATAGAATCGCAGGCGCAAAAAGACACGCTCTCTGACTATGTGATATAACCGCTCAGCGTCCTAACATATGCGCCGTTCGATATGCAACGCAACCCTTAATGCCAACACCGTATACATCTTACAAGCATATATAAAAAACCACTCGCTACTAAGTGATATCTTCCGTTCCCATATGTACAACACTGGAAGCTAGGCCTTAGCGATCCTCGGCTGTACCGAAGTTGATACATCCAATCCTCCCACTTCCCGCAACAAGGTGGGAAGCCGATAGGGTCAAGGCCCACCACGACGTCTTCGGCCTCGATTAGGGCCGTCAGGGCGTTGTGCAAGCACTTCACGCAAGGCTGGGTCATCCTTATCCTTGTCGACGTGATGAACGCGAACATGTCTTGATTGTTGTTAGAATATAGGAAAAACACTCGTACTCGAGGAAAGAAATACCTTTGTAGATTATCCGGCCTGGGATATTTGTGTTCTCGATCTGGGCAGAACGGACACACGTAACCAGGCGAATCGTGTACGAGACCATGTCGAATCATTTCATTTTTGCGCTTGAATCCTTTGCCGCCTTCGCTCCGGGGACACCCCTTTACTGGACAATAATGCGGCCGAGCTGAGGAGTGTACGTTGGCATGTGAATTCAAAAGGTATTGTGTTTGAAAAGGTTGTGCATTACAGCCTTGAAAATTACATATGAACTGCCCGACTTGGGGATTGGTCATGCTGTCAATGCTCATTCTATCTGCAATTCGGTCTGTGGGGGGTGTTAGAATCTGGCTAATCGAGGAGCGGTCCAATTTGGAACTGCTATAATCCGGCCCTGGTGGAGAGTGGTGGCTGTTACCGGCGGTGCTCGAATATGGGTAGGGACTCAAAGCAGGTAGTGTGTTAGCTGGAGATGGGATGCTGTTTCGGAATCCTTCGTTTGGCGAAATGGGCGGAGAGGCATGGTTCCCTGAGATGGCTCCCAACCGAGATGGTCCCGTTGGAGGGGAGTGAGGAAAATGCGGACTAGAACGCAGAGCGAGATCTTTCGGCGGGCTGTGAAGTTGTTCGAAGAACTGCGATCGAATCGACGGCAGTGTTTCATGGTTTGATGAATCCGACCTAGGAGAAGCCATTTGAAGAGGGGCTAGTTCACCATGACTTCCTGAAGGCAGGCTCGTCGGTGACCTTACGTTATTTGGATGCATTAGGACCTGGCTGGGTGTATGTTGTCGCGGAGAGTATGCCTCCGGTGAACCCTGACCAAGAGGATATGGAGGTATCGGCGGCGCGAGTACTGGCCGTTTTGCACTCGATATGGACATGCCTTCCGCCCTGATAATTGCCGAACCTTCGATTAAGCTAAGTCTTCGAGAGACCTGAGTTTCATGATTTGGATTCTGTAACTCATCTAGATCAGTGGTCTTTGAAACTGCTTGAGCAGCTGCAAGCGCATCTGTTGCTAAAGACCTCAAATCAACAGATGCTGGTGCCGATGGGGGTTCTAATGCTAACGGTTCGACTACATTTTTTGTGAAACGCGAGGTTGGTGCTGGCGACATGTCGTTGCTTCGAATGCCATCCTCGAATTCCGAATCATCGCCTATCGACCCTTCCGATTCACTTCCAGTGTCAAATTGGTCGAGTGGGCGTTTCCCTGCCTCCTGAGAAATCTCAGGGCGCCTTCCACCATCGAGGTGCAGTATTAGCACAGCATCGCCCTGAGTAGGTTGAATCTTATGCCGACGATTAGAAGACTTCCCGCCAAGACTGGGTGAGTGACTGACTAGAGGAAGAGGAACCGCCGGCGGAGAAGGCGAAGGCTTGAGTTTGAAAACGCAAGGCTTCATCAAGGGACTGTTTCGTGGAAATACCTCATCCGGGTCATATATGTCGCTAGCTGAAGGGTCGTGAGCAGGTGTCGGACCAGTAGATGAAGTCATGCTTTCGGTGACTGGCATGAACAAGCCGTTACTCACGCATTGGTCGACTCAGCACATTGTCAGGGCAGAGGATGTTTCTCGCGTAGCCAGATATCAAGCCAGCTACAGGAAGCACGAAGGGCCAGTTCGACCAGTTTCCAGTTACTGCTGTACGACCGTCACTGACACGATAGTCCTTCCTTTCCTTTTCCGTCTCCCTTATTCGCGAGTCTGAAGTTATTGCAAGAGGCCAACTACTTTCACCGAGAACCCAGACGGTAGTTAAAAGAGCAAGACGATAAGCAAGCACACTTTAAAGGACCATGCGCGGTGACAGGGCCGCGAAATCGAGATCTTGCAAGGTGTGGGCGTAGCAAAGAGCCGCGTTGCCTCCGTTATATGGGGAAGCCCACCCAGAAAAAAGAAAGCCAGACAATCCAGAAGATCCGGGGAGGAAGGATGACAGTCCACGAAGATATTTATTTACAGTAAGGGAGGTGCCGTGTCCAGGGATTTGGGTGCTTGGAAATTAAACGTAAAGGATGGTGCCGAAACCGAATAAACGGAATTGCAAACTGTCCCGGAGAGGGGATGGAAGGAATCAGCTGCAGTGGCAGTGATGGAAGGCGGGAGGAAACACCAGCAGACACACGAACAGACAGACAGATAAGTGGCAGTAAGTACCTGGAGAAGGGAGATACGAACGGAGACTAGGAACGTGGGGATAGATCAGGGGACCGTGATGAGATAGGTAGGTACGGGGCCAGGTAATAGAGTAGTAGTGTAGTGTAGAGGTAGCAGCTAGGTATTTGTCGAAACCTATCAGGCAAGGCCAGCAGGCAGAGAGGCAGGAAATCGGCTGCAACGTCCAGGCTGTCTGTCAATAGAGACCCATCTCCCCGTCGCTGGATCACGAGCTGGGTCCTTACTATGTAGTAGAATAATAATAATGGGCCGAGGGTATCACAATAGTGTAGCAGTCGGCGACGAGAGCGAGCGGGTGAGCGAGCAAGCGTTATGCTTTGAGTTCTGGGCGAGAGCACCGCTACCCCGATTCTGCTCGTCCAGCTGCTACCCCGTACCTGGCAAGCCCAAGCCCAAGCCCACGCCCCGGTGGAATACGTATACGTACACTACTGTAACAAAGGCAATGAGATGCTGGAGCCGCTGCAGACCAGCCGCCGCAAGGAGCAAGGTTTAGCGGGCGATAATCAATCAGAGCGGGGGAAGAGACGTGGTTTCGCGGAGGCTCTTCTCGCGTGTGCGCTATTTTGGTGGGACTGGCGGCCGGACGTCGCAACGAGACGCCCTTGAGCGACTGGGCAGGTGGAGAGGCCGACAGGGGTCTTGGGTGGAGGAATGGAGAGGCCAAGAAGGAAACGAGATGCTGGGGCACCGAGCTGGCACAGGCCACGGGCTGGATCAGACAGATTTGTGCGATGCAGACCTGTGCAATCAATCAATTAATGAATCGATCAAGCAGGCAAGCAATCAAGTAAGAGGCAAGCAAGCAGGCGAGCAGGCGAGCGAGCAAGTAACCCAGAGGTACTGGTACTCGATACAACACAGCGCAGCGCAGCGCAGCGCAACGCAACGCAACGCAACGCAACGCAGGCAGGTCTGTAGGTAGGTTATGTAGGTAAGAATGTCCCTTGGTTCAATTTGGTCTGTGATAGCATGCGGTGTACAGCAGTACTATGCAGTTGGTACAGGTTGCAGGCATGTACCTGTACGGAGGATGTACTTTATGTATGGTCGCAAGGTTGTCTGGATGCTTGATGCTGGGTAGTGGACGATGGGATGCAGTGGAATGAATGCGTGTGCAAAGGTAGGTCAGAGTAGGTAGGTACCTAGTCGTGTACCGAATGCACCTGGCTGTGCAGGGGTTCCTGTTCGACGCTGCTTGGTACCTCCCAGGTACCAATCACCCATATGCGGGAAGACACTGTAGTTTAGTCTACGCTAGTGGTCAACTGACCTATCGAGCCGCCAGATCGACGGATGGACAACTGGGCTCAGTGGTGTCACTGATGTTTCTGGTGTTACGGTGTGTTAGGTGCCCTCAGAAATGAGGTTCCCAAACAGGATGGAAGGTAATGTTACAAGACCCTCTGTTTTGCCGTGCCGTTTTGTTTCGCTTCGCCAAACCCAGGACCTGGGGCGTACAAATAATTATAGACTTCTCACGACCCGGACCCACGGCGCATTGTCCGCAGTAGAGATTACGTACGGCGTAGTGTAGGACTCTGGTGATGGACGGAGCAGCAGATAGGGCCCCCGGCCAGACGAGGTCTACCTGGTCGCTCGGAACGCTCAAAGAGGCGTTTGCCTGCCTTCGTGTTTCGTCGCCGAATAGTGGAATGACGATGAGCGATTATCCGCTCCGAGGGAGCGGGTTCATTAGTCAACGGGGAAGCAATGCCGAGTGCCCAGTTTGTTCAAAGCAAAGTCAGCAAGCGACGTGCGGCTGCAACCGAACCCTGTGACAGGCTGCGGATGTATGTAACCAGAAGGGAACCAGCATTACACATGCGTCACTTAATGATCCTGAGTGTGGCTACCCAGGCATACGCCGCAGATAAATGACTAGGTGGTGCATCCGTTTTCAGGGCTTCTTAGCACTTGTGAGGCAGAGTGTCTGCTGTTCTTGTTAAGATCCAGGCACGACTAAAACGACATTGTGAAGTAATTCAAGACTTACGTTGGAGTAGGTGAGATAAAAATATGCAAAAGACGGTGAAACTAGCTGGTAAGTGAGCCAGCTTTTAGGTATCCAAGCGGGTAGGTGAGAAGCTCCTACGAGATATGACCGGCGAGATGAGGCAAGATGCTGTGCAGACTAGTTGACCAACCCCTCTTTCGAAGCTCCAAGAGAACAGCACCAACGACAAACCAAAGCACCTCGCTAAAGCAAGCAAGAGCAGGTAAGAGGTATGCCGTCGACGACGGTAGCCAGATATGGTTACGCGTTGCTAGTAATCGACTGACTATCTGCCCAATGATTAAAGCAGTCCCACTGACCTAAATCAGCCCTGCCATGTGGCAGCGATATGAAGCGGGAGCTCTCTGGAACGCCTTGACGGGAGACAGTCGAGATTGGTATGAGATTCGATATGTGGGTAACAAGACCCTCTGAGCTTGATGGATGGGCCGACCAGAAGTTACGCTTATGCAGCTTGGTATGTAGATCGGCTCTCAATATCAAGAAGTAGCCGACGAGGAACGTTTTCAAAAAGCAAGTCGTGGAAGAAAGAGTCTGGATGAAGTCCGTACCACCACCGGGCCACTTTAGTTAGGGCAATAGCCCTCCCAGGGAGAGATATAAAGAAGGATGTAGGTGTAGAGGATAATTCTAGCGTTTGCTTTATAGATTATGAGGTATTGGCAAAGATAGCTACGCAACAGCCACGGATACGTTGGGTGAAATGGGCCGGTTGACAAAGCTCATGGAGTGATTTTACGATGGATAGTATTACATTCGAAGAAGCAATGGCATGGACCGTTTACAAAGCAGTCAGGGAAGGCAGCGACATCTCTGACAAGGCAAAGAAGAAAAGGCCAGATGCGAGGACTGTGTGATCCGCGCCGGGTGGCTGTTACGTCGTCTTATGCCGCAGATTCCTCAGCTGAGCCGACAGCTCTTCTACAGCCAGTCATCTTGCCTCGTTCACTGATTCAGTTGGCCACTTGTGCAAGATTGGGAGCTTGTTCTCTAGTTAGGTGGGAATCTTGAAGGGGGCGATGGCATTAGACATGGTAATAGCTAGCACCAGCAAGAACCCTTGGCGATAGAGTAGCGGCGTGGTGCTCGTCAGCGCCTTGCAAGTAAAAGGCTGTGTGAGACTCCCGGGGAGTTCATCGTGTCCAAATGAATCGTGAAGTTAGTACATATGGACCACATGGGTAGAAGTGTGCAAAAGTCCTCGCATCTCTCTCGCTCTCTCTCTCTCTCCCCCTCCCAGTCTCTTCATCCCTTATGCGCTATTACTAGGAAATCGAAGTTTCGCCGCCTATTAGTCGTTCCCCTTTCCATTCGGACACGGGTGATTCTCCTCCTCGGTCAGGGGGGTTGGGCGGGCGTGCCGAGGTGGTGATGAAGCCGCGATTTGCCTGGTCCAGCTGGCGTTGAGGTCGAATATGCAGTGCCTACCGACCGACCTTGACCTGTACATGCCGTTGCGTAGGCTTGAGCAAGACATTCGGCTGGGACAGCGCTATTGGATGCGAAGTGACACTGCAGCTGTTGGAAATGTACACGGGTAGTACTGTATCGTAGCGCCTGGAAGAAAGATAGGACAAAGATACCGATCAGCTACCAATATCAATTGCCTGGGTACTTTGATGATGGACCATCTCCGAAACCTGGCCGTCATCTCTGCGGTTGATGTGGGATAGCACGTCTGACCTGCATAGGACGTGCAGGTACTCGTCGGGTACCTCTCCAATACAGCCGCATCTAGCAAACCAGCCACGGCATCCGCGAACCGCGCCCACACGATGTCGCTTTTTGACCTAGCATCGGACACTTACACCACTTCACCACCACTTCACCCTACGGCACTGCTGAGAGGAGTTCTCGTAGTCTATCGATGCTTTACCCAGACAGTTAGGTAGATATAATATGTTCTCTTCTCGTCAATACGCCAAGCTATCTGTGTACAGCTGGATTTCCCCATACTTCGCTCAAGATTACTTAGCTGGATGCGGCATACCATAGCATCCAGCTTGGGATAGGTAATAAGAGAATCAATGCCCGCCTCTACGATTCAGTACCACGCTACACCAGCATAGTGGAGAAACGGAGGCCTCTAAGCTGCAATAATGCGGCCAAATGGGGATGGAGCAAGAAAGGACTCTCCCATAAGACGGCTCTTTTACACTCTACACATGCTGTTTTGTCAGCAGACCTTGCTTGGAGGTGCGCTTCCATTTTGACCTTACTAGATGAGTAAGGGCCCAAACGACTGTCTACATGGATTACCGACGGCCACCAATCCTCAAGCTAGTGTATCCTATCTACTTAGAACATCATATTCCACCCGGGTCATCAAATCATGGGCATCGTTTACGGTGCTACACTTCTACTTCAGGACGCAGGCCACGCATGTGTAATGTGTATATTGGATTATGATGATACCAACCCTTGAGTGGTATGGGGTAGGAGACCTGAACGTGATATCAGCGTATAATGGCCATCCCTAATAAAACAAACTGCACAAGACTACAATCATAATAGGCGCCTAATAGCGGAAGATAGAAGGATCGGGGGGTGAGGTGAGGGATATGCAGTGCTGTTGCGCGTGCCTGTCAGCACTGGTACCAATTACTGTCGTGGCTCGAGGTTGAGATGGCTGGTGAAGTCCAAATGGGAAATACCAAGGACGGAAGATGCGGCGACGGCAGTACCTCAGAGGTATCTGCAGCGAGGTCGAGCGGATCTCCAGCGCCAATCACGCCAGTTTCGATGGAGAGAGAAAGGTGGACCAGCGAAACAAGACCCCATCGATGATTGGGCTCTCAATGCAATCAACTGCTGTTTGCTCCGCCTCACTGAGAGTCGCTGAGCATCGCATCATGGGGCAGGGTTGGCACGTACCATGCTCCGTTGCATCTTCAGCGAAAAAGGGCTTGGAAGTGCATGCGCAGGGACCAGTGTGAGGCCCGGGCCTCAAGAAGAAAGGCCTGGGTACCAGACGCCCATATTCTGCCCATATGCTTACCTGCAGCAACTGCAACTTCAACTGCATGTCGAAGCTCTTCAGCCGCCTCCAATAATTGAACGTCATAGGGCCTACGTAGTAGGTAGCATCCTCCTCAACCCAACTCGGTCCTCCTCCTCCCCCTGCCAAACCTGCCTCCCTCCCCTCTGCCCCCCCAAAAGCCTGCCCAATCTGACAGGCGATAATCTCGCTCACGCTCATGCTCATGCTCAATGTCACCCAATCCTCCACCCATCCGTCCACCACTCGTCATCCAACCGTCCGCTGCAGCTAGACTGAGGTAAATACGTAGGTAAGTACTACCTGCTACTAGGTACTGACTGCTAATTGTAGCAGGAAAAGGTACCTACCCAGGGGAGCGTAGATAGATATCAGCTCATCTCTACCTACCTACCATATATACACTACCTATTGTATATCTTATGCATGGTAAAGACCTCCCTATATCCGGCCTATGCATCATCGTCATCAAGCGCCAGTCCCCCGCGGTAGCTACCCGGTCTGATCTCTTTCCCCCTTCACGTTAGTATCTAGCACCACCTGCCAGTCAACTGAACCAGGAGAGTCACAATACTATCCATGCAGTCCGCCTCCTCGAGCATTCTGTTTCTTCTAAGCGGCATTCGCATCGTCTAATAGCCCGTGTCCGAGTAACTTGCAGGGAACTCGGAGGCATCAACGTGATAGGATCTGGGAAACATTATTCTGTCTGGATTGTTCCGAGCATCCGTGGTAGGTATGTCGCTGGGGCGGCTGAGGTACATCACGGTACTGTATGTAGGTACCTAGCTTCAATACCCCAATAGCCCTTGTCCCGATCGACCGAGTCAGATCATAGTGTACATCATAACGGCTTTGCAAGCAGCTATTTTGTTTCCATGCCCCGAGAAAGACAGGCCTCAAGTGTGAGGCGAAACGAAGACGAGCAAGACGCTGAATTAGTCTCATCGCAACCCGCTAGCAGCATGCGCTCATAGTCTCATTTCAGCCGCTCCCGCTTGATGAGGCACGTACCTAGTCGGCTGGGGGCCGCTTGAGCCGCACCTTGTTAGCACTTGACAGCTTCCCAAGCCAAGAGGCCGGTAGTGTACTTTTTGCCTGTACCAAGGATCCGCCAACTGGACAGACAGCCAATCATACGCCGCAGGATCATGGGCTGGTGCTACTGGGAAGATGAGCTTTTACCCTAGCTCGCTTAGGTAGACTTACTATGTACAGTGCTTAGGGATGGATGCATATATGTAGGCTTCTCTGTTGTTCACACTCGATCATGAGAGGAGAAAAGAGGAGAGGGTCGGAAAAGGCACCGAGGTAAATGTATGTAAGTGAGCATACATTGAGTAGCCCCAAACCCCTGCTCGATCGCTTTGGCACACCCGTACTTATAGCAGATCATCTCCCACCTCTCAAGACAAACCCCGGATCTTCAAGACTCCGCTCTTGGTTATGGGGTGATACGTGGATACGAGCAGGCCTGACTGGTATGAGGTAGAGCGCACACAAGCAAATCGTCAGAGCCAAGATGTGCACACTACGTACGTAGATGCTGGAGTCGACGACGCCTCTCGCTTCCGAGTCAATGGGGTTGCATACTTAGTAGGTAGGTAATGGTTGCTTTCTCACCGCACCTTGCATATAATGGTTCTATCTACACCGTCTTTTCCTCTGTGGGGCTCATACACTTCGCGCATGTAGCTGTAAACTTACAAGCAATCCTTGAGTTGCTCACACTTCAAGTTGTAAAAGACGCTTTATGACAGACCCGAGAAGGTAGGCGGCTTCTCATACTTCTAACAGACTAACAGGATGGAGATAGATCGGCCTCTGGTTGTGCTGTGCCGTACTGTACTGTACTGGAAGTGGTGCGCTACTCCACGCTTCCTAGACATGCTGAAGCCGCATTGAGAAACAATGCTCGGATAACGAGTCCCGCTCTTCCCCTCTCTCTTGCCTTACTCGAATTCTGGTAGGGTTGGCGGTTTCTAACAGCCCGCCTACTGGGCATGAACGGGACATCCCGGTATTTAACTGAGGATGATGGACGATTAAATAAAAGACATGCTACCAAAGGAGCAACAACCGTCTCATTCTTCAGCTCGTTTGCTGCTCGCGTAGTCTGGGACGACGACGACAAGTTTTTGCCCCCACCGAGATTGAGTCCGGGCCTCCCCGCATCTCAACTAAATTCTTGTGTGCGGAATGAACACCTACTTTTGTTCTCTAGTGTTGTATTGTCGCAACGCTATTCATGTACTTACTGACTAAGGCTCCGTTAGCTGCACCGGTTGGCGGAGTAAGAATACTCCTGCAGTAAATCATTGAATGAGAAAGGGGAAAAAAGAAAAGAAAAAAAAAGTGTAAAAGTGCCGACATCGCTAGAAAGTGACCCATCCAGAGCTCACCTGATCTCCAATTACCGTACGTATCCGTGTAGAACATATATGCATGTCAGGTCACAGCTACAACGCTCTGCATTCTGAGGCGATATCTGCTAGGCTAAATAGCCAATAAAGCAAGACACCAAAAATTAAAAACCACAAGAGGCATTTCTGATAATATCGACGCATTCGACTAAGTAAGAGTCTGACGCTATAGTCGGGTTACACCCTGCTATAATACTAGATAGAAGAAGCGACTTCGACAAATTTGGGTTGAGAACAGGAATACTGAACTGCAAGTTCTGCCTACGAGCCAATGGATTTGCCAGATACGATGAATGCCGTCGTCTTTGACGGGCCATACAAGGTCTCACTGCAGCAAAGGCCAATGCCCAAGAGTAAGCGAGCCTATTCCCGCCTGCCTTGCTCAATATCCTCTCGCGTCCCCTGTCTTTTTGACTTGTCACCTAGTCCCGTGTGCCCTACCCTGCAAAAAGGGGGGGGGAAGGAGAAAAAAAAAAGACGTCATGACTAAGCCCTTGCTGATGTAAATGTAGTTCAGGACGATGGTGACATTGTTGTCAAAGTCCTTGCTGCCGGACTATGTGGATCGTACGTCTCCAATTCTTTGTATCCTTCGATCTCCATTAGGCTGACGATGCCGTTATGGAGATATCGATTAACAGTTAGTTGTGTAGAGACCTACATATGTTCAGGGGCCTTGAGCCTGCAGGAACTGGCATCGTTATGGGCCACGAGTTTACCGGCACTGTCATTGCAATTGGGAAAAATGTACAGACAGTCAAAGTCGGTGATAAAGTTGTTGCACCATTCACAGTGTCCTGGTATGATATTGTCGGCTCAACTCGCACGCGTGCGACGCGAGGTTGGGGCATTGGGCTAATGTGTGCAGTATGAAATGCTTTTATTGCAAGAATGGGTACTCGTCACGCTGCGTTGAAAATTTGCTTTTTGGCTCATCACGTCTAGACGGAGCACAAGCAGGCTATATCCGAGTTCCGTTTGCCGACGGGACCGTAGTCAAGGCTCCGCCTGAAATTCACGACAAGGCTCTGATTCTAATGGCCGATATCTTTCCTACAGGCTTCTTCGGGGCTCGTAATGCGTTTAAAGGCATTGGGATGCAAGATCCTACTGAAGCAACCGCCGTTGTAATTGGTTGTGGCCCAGTCGGATTATGCGCGCTGGTTTCAGCACTTGAATATAAGCCGAAGCACTTGTTCGCCATTGACAGCGTAGACAGCCGGCTCAGAATCGCTCAAACTTTAGGGGCTGAGCCTCTAAATTTCAGAACTGACCCCGAAGGTATGATCAAGCGGATCAAGGAGGTAACTGAAGGTCGCGGTGCCGATATCGTAATTGAGGTAGTAGGCTTAAAAGCAGCCCTGAGAACTGCCTATGACGTGATAAGACCGTTTGGATTCATCAGCAGCATTGGGGTTCATAATTCAGATGTAAATGACCCAAAACCACTGACAACCAACCCTTCCTCAGGGCATTTGCTGATTCATATGTATAGATGCCATTTACCGCTACTGACGGCTACGAGTATGTCCCACTCGTATCGAGCCACGTATAGACCATTGGCCAGCACTAATCATAGACTAGCAAAAATGTCCGTGTTCAGATGGGCAGATGCCCAGTTCGATCGGTCTTTGACGATGCTCTGAAAGTACTTGCTAAGAAGCAACACGTGTTCAGGTAAACACCCTTTAACAATTACGTGTCCATAGGAAGCTAGCTGCTAACATGTCGAAAGTTTCATGTTCGAGCATATCATGCCACTCTCCGATGCGGTTTTGGGATATGAGATGTTTGATAAGATGCAGGTACAGAAGGTGATATTTGAGCCTTAAAGTGGCATTCTGCTTCCGAAACAATTCATGAGAAGAAGGCATCCCAACAAGAGCTCAGTTTTGACGTGGCTTGACGAGTCCATCATGTAGTAGATAGTAGACAATAGTAGAATCGCCGTGTATGGTAGCTAAGACGATTCTCTTTGGGCGATCGGGGTGGGCAGAGAACTGCGCGGGTAGTGAATCAAAGACAGCCGCAAACTTCTTGAGCGTCCACTTTTCGCTGATGTGAGTTGGCAGAACCCATTCTACTTCAGGAGTGTCGAGAATCCTCCCATCTGGAATTGCGCTGGACTTCAACATAGCAATCTGATCATCTGGATGCACGTAGAGCCTACGTGGTGGCAGACCAGAGACCATCGGTCGAATGAAAGATTTCGAATCGGTTGGCGAATGAGTCAAGATCTGGAGCCCAGTCCAGTCGTGCTGATATTTGAGATTATCAAGGACTGTATCGGCTAAATGCCGTTCATGGTCTCTTTCTGCCATGGTAGGTTTGGCTGCTTCTTCGCTTCTTCGCACTGGGCTCTTACATATAAATTGATGTTTATCATATGAAATTGATGTAAATATGCTCCGTGGTGAAGAAAGACAAGCCCAAAGACAATTCTGCCTATGTTGGGTAGGCGGTGTGGGTCGGCAAACCACAAAGTTACGGCTACTCTTACCTTAATACATGCTTATGAGCAGAGAGCCAGAAAGTGGATAATATGTCAATTAAACAACAAAACTATAGAGAAAATTTAGAGCATCTGTCGTTTGAAAGATCTCAATTTTGCTGTAGAACACCGTGGTCCATAGTGTTCCCACGCCATGGAGGATGGTAACTTCGAGCCCCACCAAATGTCTAAAGTGCTTCAATACAGCGTGACCAGCCCATTAATCACATGGCCAGATGACCAAGTTAGTTATAGTGTAAGATCATGTAGATCTAGAAGATATGTCTCAATCCAGTTTGCAATGCAATTCAAAGAAGTTCCATTGTATGAAGCTCAGGTTATGTTATCTTGACCGTTTATATGGAAGGCGCAATTTAGGTAAAAAATCTAAGCTGGTCGCTTCAACAAATACCTGCCCCAAGATGGACTTTCAGGTTTACAATGGCAAGATGGCCGAGTTGGTTATGGCGTGAGGTTAAGGAGCACCTTAGCACGATTTCCTTATGGAGCAATCCGCGTGGGTTCAAGTCCCACTCTTGTCAAGCAATCAGGTACTCTTGAGGCTTTATTTTTATTCTTTAAATTTCATCTTTTAAAGATATACCTCTTTTTTCAAAAGGTTTAACTTTATATATATTATGGTTGTATGAGCTTAAGAAACTCCAGATTTAACTGGGTTTAGACCATGTAGAGAACACAATGCTTAACAATTAAGTGCAGCTGAACTCTGCCTCATTGACGTGGGAGGGCTTGAACAGAAAACTCAAGCAAATGATATTCAGGTATAGCTCAGTGTAGGACTGGTACGCAAAAAGGATCAATTGCTTCTGCCTAACCTAGGTACCTGTCTAGATGTCAGTGGACTGCTTTCAATTCAACACAGCCCACGAAAGCCACACAGAAGTACGTCATGCGGGCAATGTTCGGATAATAAAACACCGCAGCCATGGTACGGTAGTGTAAGTATGTAAGTAATGTGAGTAGATACACTACATACTTATAGGTAGGCTCGGTAGGCAACCATTTGGGTAAGGTGAGGTATTGCGTTTTCTGCCCAGTTACCTGGACCGAGGGTGTACAATCCAGCCGGATACCGTAAGTACACGCAAATCCGGTACGCTCCCGAAGTTTTCCCTTGATTTCCCCTTAGTTTAAGGTGAATAAGCGTGACACTTGGCTATGTTTAGATAATTGGTTGATCGCACTAGACCCGACCAGCCCATTCTCCGGCGCGGGAGGACGAAGCGAGATGTGCCTCCCGTATATGTCGGCTTGGACGCGTTTATGGACGGCAATGACTGGCTGATGCTGGGGACAGTTCCCACATCGAGACATGGCTGATAACAACGTTGAGGAGAGATTGAATCTATTGCCATCCAGCCCTTACCCAGCCCCTGCCAGGCTCTGGTCTAGTCATGGCCTAATGTCACAAGCTACGGCCGAAAAGTGCATTGCGAAGGCCCCGTACAGACCCCGTACTATCCGTCTTTCGCAAATACATAGTACACGTATTGATCTCGGCGCCAGGCAGCACGAATGACCTGCACGGATAAGGTGTTGATTATGTATGTATACGTAGGTAGTAGTGTAATGTAGCGTCCCAGCAGAGATCTATATACCTAAGCCTGCCAGTCACCTAATCTGTACAATTGAGCGAAGGAATTTTTGAGAGCACGTCAACACCTGCATGGCCAGCATGGCTTTTTCGACTTAGTATACCATCTGCAATTCAAGTTCTCCGTCTTACTATTCCTCTCGTTTACTTACCGCCATTCTTCACCTATTATAGCCCCTCTTTAACATTTGTAGATCTCAGGTCTATCTGTACATACATTGACCTTCAGCGCGACAACCAGACCTACGACTTTCCAGCCGGCTGTTGCAGCCAACTGCAGGCCTATCCTGCATGATGGATCCGACCACCGGTGACGGCTCCAACGCGCTCGCTAAAAAGATACCACATGAGACCATCGAGCGAACGGCATCTTCCTCGTCGTCCATCCATCAGCACGAGGCCGTGCTCAGCCAAAGAACACCAGGCTCGCCCGACGTGCCCAATGAGCCGACAACCGCCGTGCTTGGAACCGGCGAATATGCCAATGGGTATCACTTCCCCCCAAAGTACCCAATCAAGGAGCAAATTCAGTGGGGCCTAAATGCGTACTGGGACTTCTACAACACGGGCTTCGGCCTTTTCTTTACTGTCTACGCACTTAACGTCATCGGCTGGGGTTTCATGATAGTGCTTTTGCTTGCTGGAGCAGCGCCTGAAATGTGCTGGGTGGACGGAAAATACAACTGCGATGACATTAATTCTCCGCGTCGGATATGGATCGAGATTGATTCCCAGGTCTTGACGGCGCTTTTCAGTGCGACGGGGTTTGGAATGGCCCCTTGGCGAATCCGAGATCTCTATCTCCTACTCCGATACCGTATAAATAAAGACCAGAAGGCCTTGCGGAGACTTGTCGGAGTCCATCGGGCCTGGATGCGTCTTGAAGGCTCCGAGAAGTTGCCACCAACGCTCGGCCCCAAGAATATCGAAGAAACCACAACGTCTTACGACGAGAACACTGTTCCATATCCTATCGAGACCATTCCCGATGCTCCCCCGACTGGTATTCGTGCGCAACCCTCAAAGCTCTGGAAAATGGATATTATCACTTGGCTCAACATCTGGTACATTGTGTTCCAGGCTGCTTTATCTGGGGTCATGTGGTTTCTTAGCCGCTACAATAGACCGCCATGGACGACGGGGGTTCTGTTTGCGCTGACCTTTATCACATCATCCACTGCAGGTATCATAGAAGTAATGCAGGTGCTTAACGTGAGAGCAATAGAAGGTGTGCCGTTGACCAAGAGAGATATACAGAGGCTTGCCCGCGATAAAGAGCTTGGGATCCCACACTACAACAATATCAGAGACAGGGACCCCCAAGAGGAGGAGCGGAAAAGAGCCAAGAAGATGGCGAGAAAGAAGAAGGGCTTCTTTCACGGCAGTGAAAAGCCGGCGTTGGAGAGCGTTTGATTAAGTAACCACCTCTAGGCTACTAATGCATGCATGCTGATCTTTTTTTTTTTTTGAGGCAACTGGATAGAGTACTGCTAAGGTTAGAGTAAAGCGAGGCGCTGGTGGGGGATAAGTTGACCTAGTGACTCTTTTATCTGTACATACAGTACTAGTAAATAACAATGATTCAAGTTTTACATAATACTACTATGTAGTTGGGATTAACGACTTGAAGTCCTACAAAGAAGTAGGCTGGAGCCATCAGGTAATATCTAGACTCTGAAGCGTATAGGCAGAGACATCTCTTGTACCTAACTTACTCGTAATACTAGGTTTCTTATATGCTTAAACCTTATTGCATTATGCCTCACTGTCATCTGATTCTGTACTCTTATTTTAATCGTTGAACTGACTCGAAGAATTCACAGATAGTGTACCCATTAGATACGGTAGGTATTGATATTGATGGATACGTCGTGTGTCCCACTTGTCAACTGTACCTCTCCAGGCAGCTTGGTAATGGTGCATATCCGCACTTTTTACATTATGGATGCTGTTTGAATTACCTACCCTCTCACAATACTTCGGATTCATATAAAGCACATGATGTCTACTACTATCCAGCGCGGTAACAAGAGAGGCACCCATCGCAAGGTATCTATCTATCTACCTAGGTATCTATACCTATCTCTGGTGGGTCTAGTGTTAGCGGACTCAGTGCCAGCCTAAGTACCTGCGACACGCCAGAATGGAGCTGACAGGTCGGCTGACATGCTACTAGCGTATCAAGTAGTCTTTTGATATGGTCATTATCGCCAGCCTGCATTACGTACCTACTGTCATCTACATGTGAGACAGGGACCAGGTAAGTGATAGCCTCGAGGTCGCGACCGCCCGCCTCAGTTCCACCAACATCATTCAGTATATTCCAATCCGATCGACGTCTTTTCGGACGTTTCTTAACCGAATACTTTCACATTCCCTTCGTTCTCCTTATTTGTTACGATTCAGGCTTATCTGGACTGGAGTCGTATACGCCCACTACGCTTGAAGCCGCTCAGCCGCAGTCTCGTTGTTCGGCCACTCGTCGAGCGACTCTTCAAGATGGCGTCGAAAACAGTCATCCCGTTCCTAGTCGGGATGATGCTTCTCACAGGGGTCGCAAACACGCTCCTGACCAAGCTTCAGGTGCGTTGTCCTACCCTCCTCAACCTATCTTTGTCTTATCAGCCCCTCTGAGTCTTGTGCGAAGACGGGTTGGTGAGAGGGAGGAGTTGTAGACTAGACACGGATGTTGACCCCGGACTTCTTCTGTCCTGATAGGATAACCAATGTGTTCGAAATTGCGATGACCCCGACCCCAAGAAACGCCTCCACTTTGAGCAGCCAGTGCTGCAGACAGCGCAGATGTTTGTGGGCGAAGCTGGCTGCTGGCTCGTCGTCGGCTTGATGGCCGCCTACACTCGCATCAAGAACCGCAAGAACCCTAGCAACAATGGCTACCAGCCCGTCGAGTCCAACGATGACGATCAGAATGCTGACGCAGCGAGCATCAACTCGGAATCCACGCTTCTACCGCCTAAGAGGACTGGCGACGTCCTCAACGGCTTCGGTATCTTGTTGCTCAGTCTCCCCGCCATCTGTGATATCCTCGGAACAACCTTGATGAACGCGGGTCTGCTTATGGTCGCAGCCTCTATTTACCAGATGACCCGGGGCGCCCTTGTCTTGTTCGTTGGTCTTTTCAGTCTCATATTCCTACGCCGAAAGTTGCACCTCTTCCAATGGCTGTCACTCTTCGGTGTTGTACTGGGTGTTGCCCTCGTAGGTCTCGCCGGTGCTATCCAACCGGACTCAAAGGAGAAGGCAACTTCACTCTCCACTCTGGTGGTCGAGGATCCTGCAGCTGCTGAAGCTGTACGTGTCGTCTTTGGTGTGTTGTTGATTGCTGGTGCACAAATCTTCACAGCCACCCAATTCGTGCTTGAGGAATCTCTGTTAGAACGGTCTAAGATTGAGCCTATTGAAGTTGTCGGCTGGGAAGGATTATTTGGACTTTCTGTCACACTAATTGGCATGCTTGTGTTGCACTTCGCTGTTGGTCGAACCGACGCTGGTCGTCTCGGGCCGTTCGATGCAGTTGAGGGTTACCGACAAATGGTAGAGAACAAGGTAGTCTTGATCTCAAGTTTCCTTATAATGATCAGTATCGGGTAAGTTCTCTTGCGACGTGCCCATGAATTAAAGAATATAGTTCCCATCGACTAATCTGGATGCGTAGTGGCTTCAACTTCTTTGGACTCTCTGTTACCCGTACAGTTAGTGCCACTTCACGCTCCACAATTGACACCTGCCGGACGTTATTCATATGGATTGTGTCACTCGGTCTTGGTTGGGAGACATTCAAGTGGTTGCAAGTTGTCGGGTTTGCGCTTCTCGTTTACTTCACCTTCCTCTTCAACGGCATCGTGCAACCGCCCTTTGAGTTCCTACGTCCTAGCAGCGAGCCTGAGGAGTTACTTCCGGAGCAGCCTGTTGAGCATAATTAAAAGGACCATGGCTTCGAGAATAGAGATGCGTTCACAGTTCTTCTTTTTCCCGACACAAGCAATGTCTTGTCGAGGGTTTGCTTTGTTAGTCGATTCTTCGTTTCGGAAGGGGAGGGCTGCACTTAACCTCCACGTTATCGGCTTCGGCTTCGGCTTCGGCGGGTCACCGATGAACTTGCGGAAACGCGGTTCTTAGTTACCATAGTAAGTGGCATAAACTCGGCAACCTCTGGGTCTATCTACGCTGCACTTGGGCTTTCCTCGCCGCAAGGGCGATTCTACTTTTTGCATTAGGTCGGCGTTCGTGAGAATTTCTGATGCTTAGGGGTTTTTCTATGTTAGCAGCAGCCAGTTAGCACTTGCTATTGGCATACTCGTTCTTTTTAGTTACTCTGCCTTTGCCAATAATTTTAGATTAGCGAGTGTACCAATATGATCTTGCATTCGTCTTCTGAAGACACCTGTCTGCTGTGTCTTTTCGGATTGGTTTGATGGCATGCCGGATCCATGCTCCCAGATGTCTTGATGCGCTCGTTACAGGACTGTCAGCTAGAGCTGAGCTTAGCAGGGAGTAACTAATCCTCGTTTTGGATATAATTCACGTAAGATAGACATATACCTATCCAGTATCGTTTATTTGTAAAGATCTGTCCATTCGTAAATCTACGAAATTCGTCTATATCGCAATTGCCATAGATAGACGCACCCTAGAAATTTTATGAAGGGAACGTCCGTCTAATGTTTGCTTGATATCCAATAGTATCCAAAGGAAGGACCGAGCGAGGAATGAAAATAACGAAGTAGAAAACAAACTAATATTTCTACCATGGAAATGTTTTCTCATCGTTCTGTAGACGATGGGGATAGTGCGCCATGTACAAATCTCCGATGACTCCTAAGAAATGACACCGACCAATGTAACCAAATAGAAACGCCGTAATAACCAACCAGTCGCCCCACAAAAACACAAATTCGGGCTGGGCATGATCATTAGACCCAATCATGAATGCTCTTTAGAGTAGATGCTTCGAGGGACGAGGAGCAGCATGATAGTCTCTCTACTCAGAGAGGGGTTCTGCCTTCGACGTTATCAACCAACACGATACGCAAGTGCGGGGCAGGTTACAGCAACATGTCGTCAGTCTGTCGACTACTTCATCCGGATAACCAGCTATATATGCCATAGTGTGATACTGAAATCAACGTTGTTGTTTTGCATTACGATACAACGCAAAGTAGCTCGAACTCGAGTATGAATTTCCCTTCCTTGTACTTTTCGTTGTTTTCGAAGGCTTTGTCATACTTCCAGCCAACAGTCTCCTTGCATTGGCGACAAGTGATATCACGGACTATATGGCGCCCCGTAGTCATGCTACGCTCAGAGGGCTCGCCGGCTTCGATATTGACGACCGTATTGAACAGATAAGCTTTACCATGCTGGCCACGGAAGTTCTGTATCACGTCGGGTCAGTCCGAAGCTTGGCCGAATGAGACCTATCATGGGCAGTAATAAGTACGCCACAAGGCATGGAGAGGGAAGAGAAGGGACGTAAGGAGTTGAGTCGGTTGAAGCACTCTTCAATGCTGTGGGCCTGACCTAATCCATCACATTGGGCCCGTTGTTGCAACAGTGCGATGATCATACGCAAGAAGCTAGACTGTAACAAGACGATCGGTACTCCCAACTTACCCTGCTTATAATCTCCTCATGATTTGCTAAATGAGTCTTGCAATTTTTGCATCCGTAGATCTTGTTGCTACTCAAATACGTATTGTAGAGAAGACCCATTGTGCGTACAGACAAAGAATGAGTCCTAGGTGTAATTTAGCAGGAGCCGGTTCGTATAGAGATACCGCCAAAGCCAAGTGATGTCGGCCGAGAGCTTGTTCACGATGGACTCTAGCCTCCGTCCGCTAAGCGCGGGAGACGACTGTGGACTGTGCCCGGTCGTTCGTCCGTCCGTGCTCGCAATGATCGGTGGTTGGGTCGAACTATCGTCGGCTTTCTTTTTCCTAACTATTTCTGGCGAATGATCTGATATTTGTTTTGTTACTATGAAGGCTTGGTTGGACTTTAAAGTCTAGGCACTATTGGTCTCGAGATGCCCTATTCAAGGTATTTATGGTTCTCCGATCGGGATAGCCGCAGGCGGAAACGTGTTCGTTTTTGACATAAGCTCAAGTACCCAAGGAGAGTCGGGAATTAACAGAATGCAAGATGAAAAAGCAGAGCTACTTGATAGAGACAAACAAGAGCCGGTCTATGTAACTTCGAACGACAGCGGAAATACTAGCTTGAAGAAATAGGCCTGGTGATGGTGGTGAAGGAGTAGAATTGAGAGGAGGAGCATGGGATAGACGTCAGTGAAGTTCATGTCAGCTGCAGCATGGGACCGAAATTAGAAGGGAAGGAATTACTGAGGTACCTGTTAGGCTGTTACTGGTTAGAGCGTTGGAGACAGAGGGGAGCCCATCGGTCTACTGACAATGAGGGGCAGTGAGCATGTGTTCTAAGTAAGTACCCAAGGTATTTATGTACCTAAAGTACCTAAAGTACCCACAGTACATATAATCCTGAATTAGGTGCATACAATGTGCCATGCATACACTCCCTAGGTACCTATGTACTTACTTAACTTGAGGCTGTACATACCTCCTAGGTAGGTAAACTAATATGATAATAAAGAACTAAGAGTACCTACTGTAATTAACACGGAAATCATGACAAGTAGGTAGCGTTAAGTAGAACATTCTATCCACGAGGAAGGATCTCGGAGCGGTATTCTGCGTACGCAAAGTACTGTACTTACTCTAACGCATCTCCCACTTGACCTGGCCACCCAATTGACCTGGCCACCCCACCAGCCCATACAAAAAACGTCGGTGCGCTAATCACGTGATAATTTAATAACTCTACGAATATTAATCGTATAAAATAATAAAATATACCATTAGATTCGTAATAAAAAGAGCTATTTAACGGTACCCTTCATTAATTTATACGACTTATATTTGTGGAGTTATAAAGCAATACGCTAAAGTAAGCGCTAAAATAATCCTTGCCTAGCGCCCTTTTAGCGTATTGCTTAATAAATTTTATAAAAAATAATAAAAAATACTACTGGATTCCTTATTAAATAACGGATCTAATGGTATAAATCATTAAATCGTAGGATTAATATTGGTTAAGTTATTCTAAATTGAAACATTAGACTTTTATATAGGTTAAGGGGGTGGCCAGCTTAATTGGGTGGCCAGGTCAAGTGGGAGATGCGTTACCCTAGAATTGAATTGGGCCTCGCATGCTATGGAGACAGTGACAAAGGTTGGTGAATGTAAGTTGCACGACTACTGTATATAAGCTCCTTAAAAGATAGTCCATTTCTCAAGTCTCCAGGGTTTGGTGTTCATAAACACATGATAGTCGCGAGCGGTGATAGGGATGAGCGAATGATCTGATCCATTTACTCTATTCGAACATTTCTCTTTAGATATCGTCACGCGGACACCTGTCCACAGCCAAGCCACGAGAGCCGTTATTTGCCCACCGTAATAGCAAAATGAATGAAATAATTGTATATACAATAAAACATCGCGGTCCAGCAACGTGAGCCAAATATGCACATTTCAAAAACACCCCTCTTCTATCGACACGAATCCTCGCAAACACACTAATACTGTCTTATAAGTGGTGAACAGGCGCTCTTATACTCCCATTAGCTTCACGTCCTCGTTTTCGTTTACCAAGAGAAGGCTTCCTCGATGAAGTCAATGGCGCCATCATGTTGCTTGTGGCGGACTGCTAGTCGCACCTCGTCGCTGAGAGCACCAGGGCCACAGACGGTTACACCCATCATGCCCACCTGCTGTTCCATCTCCATGCCCATCAGCGTGTCGATATTAGGCCGGCCAGGGAACATTTGCACTGTTGACGAGGGAGAGTGGATCTCTTTCGTCGAGCGCGGCCGGCTAACAAACAGCATGATGCGCAAAATATCGCGCCGTCTATCCATTGCCAAAATCTGTGTCATCCATGGGCGAATCCATTCGAGATGCTCAGGGCTTTGAATGATCCACACAAGCACAACTTTCCGGGTGGCAACAGTACCATTAGCAAAGCCAGCGACTAGATGACGCACGTGGGGGACAGCGTGGGTGATACCAACGCCGCCTGCAAAGAGCATTACAGTGCCGTACGAGTCTAGCATATGCTCACCACCATAGGGTCCCTCTACTAGACAGCGAGTGACTAGGCGGCCCTCAGGATGAGCGGCAGCTCGCTGGTAGAGGGTGGCCGTCATTCCCGTGCGGGCACGGATGACGAAAGACATGGTAGTTTTGTGCATTCCAAGGATGTCCTGACGACTCACCGCCAGCTTGTCGGTGCTCAAGTCTTCAGCTTCCTCGCTCCACGCTAATGAAAATGGGTGAGATTGCCAGAAGCTAATTGTGGGCATGTATAGGTACGCATGTTGACCGGGGCGGAAGGTCCAAGGACGAGCCATAGTCACCGTTACACGCACGGCATTGCCAGGCAGAGCTTCGACGAGAGTCTTGGTACCACCCTTGCCGAAATTGTGATAGATGAGCCGTACAAAGCGTGCGACTCGGTCACCGAGCCAGATGGGCACCACGGCGATAAGCCACTTAAGCTGGTTGACTTGGATAATGTTCAAATGATACCAGAGCCCGACAACAGCAGCAACAGCGAGGAGTATGTGCATGATCTTGAAGGTCTCATAATAAGCATGTCGGGAAATGCTTGCGGCTTGAAATAATATCACCACAAACGCAACAGTTCCCTATTCCTATCAGTATGGACACGTAAATGTGGCATGAGAGTTAGGTATACTTACAACAAAACCCCAGTACAGGAACGGGGATGAAAATGTACCTAGAAATGCAGGACCCCATCCTTCTTTGAGCGCAGAGCTGGCATAGAAAGCAAGAGTGTGCACGATCGCCTCGACGGCCACAATACGACCGAACCAACGATGGAGTAAGTTCATTGTGTCGAACGAGATGCCCAACAAAGGAATCAATGGATTGTTCCTCCCCGCCAAGATGAAGAGGGGAATCATGTTCACTGTGGCCAGCGTGCCACTTCGGTTTCGCAGCTGTTTGAGACCATCTGCAGCCGACTCAGCAAAAGGGATGTGAACCACGGTAAATCCTACATTAGTTGCGAAGTAGCCGAGTAGCAGGAGGAATTGAAACCGAGAAGGTAGAGTGCCAATGTTGATAGCATTGCTGAGCTGAATTTCGCGATTGTGTCTTTTGCGGAAAATGGGTGCATATAATATGTGTTTCTTAGCCCAAGAGAAATTGTATGACGGTCGGGCAAAGAAGCGTTGTGTATCACTGTTCAAGCTGGACACAGTCCGGACATATGTCGTGATCGCGATTGTTACTCTCCATATGATGAGCAGAGCGGATCCAATGGCGGTGATGTAAAGCAAGTAATTGGCTAATGAGTGATTTTCCATTTCCGGAGTCCATCCTGCGGCCTGGCCCTCACCAGGAATCTCTCCTCCCTTGGACGCCATTTTACTATGTCGTGATATGTGTTGTTGATGAGAAGGCGTGAATCGATTTGGTTTCTCCGTTGGGTCAAGTTATTGGGTGGCCCGCCTCCGAAAGATGGTTTGTACAAATATACAGTTGCTGTATAGCTCAACCAGAGCGTAGTGAATGGTAATATTCGTGACAGACGATCGAGGTCAACTCGACCAGGAGAAGGAATGTCGTCAAACAACAAAACACAACTTAACAGCCAGCTGTTAGTCAACCGAAGGTCGATCGTCGTCGTCGTCGAAAGTATTGTGTGCTCGATGCACTAGGTGATGGACTAATCAGGGACACATCAAGATGCCCGCTCGTCGAATTCGAGAGGTTATGAGTCCAGGACGTAATGTCTGCTAAAAAGAGTGCCAACAGAGCGTCTAAATGGGTGAAGGAGAGACAACAGATTTTGTATCGAGGGGTGTGGGCAGGGATTGCCAGCGAATGGTGTAACGAGTGGCGTCTACCTAAGTATGTGCAAATATGACGGACAAGGGAGGTAAGTATTTACAACGGCGACGAGAGAAGACGGGGGCTATGGAGCCGACTGAGGTAGGGAACGAGTGAAAGACGGCACCAATGGCCCTGACACGACGTCTACAAGTAGTGTATGACTGACTAGTGTAGGCGTGGTGAGAAAGTGATGGAGGTGAAGTGAAGAGGGCCGACTAGAGGATATGCCCATACTGGCAGAGAGGAGTCGGCCATGCAAGGTACAACCTCATTTTCCCGAATCGGGATGGCGTGGGCAGGAAGAGGAGCAATTAAATTAGTCCCAAGGTTCGGCCGGAGGCGTGAGGGATGAGGGCTCGCATAAAGGTACTGAGTACTCAAGAGGATCGGCTGAAAATGCACTACCACTAGGTACCTAGAACCTACATGGGCCACCAAGACGCTGAACTGGGTACCTTAAAGCGCCTCTTTTGGCAACCCTCCATTTTAAGCTTACATACATACCTATGTACCTACAGTATGTATGCGTACACAACATTCACGTACCTACTTCTATGCCATATCGCTTGGAGGCAGGTTGTATATAGATAGGTACTCATATGTATTACCTTGACACGACTCGCCGGTTGAGGTAGAGCCGGAAAAAGGACATTTCTCCTCTTTCATTTTTTTTGCCCCTCAACTCGATATCTTTTCATTCATGACTACTATGTACATGTAGGTATGTGGATTAGATACTATTCAGAAAGTACCCGAGAGTGGATACAAGATGATGCGAGCAGATCTTTGCGGGGCTTTCTTGTACCTACCTAGTCATAGTGGCTGGGCACCAATTTAGCTTTCATATGCTACGGCAATCCTCATAAGTAAGCATGAAGCTGCCTGCCCCTATATCACAACGCCACAGGTAAAGAGATAAACAAACACCAGAAGACCTTGGATATCTAGACATCTGGTCATCTTCTATTTTCGCGCTTCCAAGCTGCTGCTATGCGAGGTAGAACACCGCCTTGCCTACTTACATCCAATAGCAAGGGAGGGAATGGTGGCGGCAGCCAGGGAGACATATCAAGCCACAGTCAGTACACAAAATCGAGAATTATTGAGATATGAAACGAGAGCCCAAGGCTTGCGCAGACTCGCGACCACACTACCGGGCACAAAGTTTTCTAGTCTGGACATCATGGCGGATCCGAGCCAGGATGTGATTCGTAGCTTTGGCTGACTCAAGTTCGGACGATGGGGGAATTGGCCAATGAAACTGCCAAAGCGGTCATGACAAAGCTGTACGAAAGCGCCAAGAATCATGCCTATCCACCAATGGAAGGGTGGAAGCTACAGCATTTCAAAACCTGCTCGCTTTAGACACTCGAGGCGATCTGACCAAAAAACTGTCACCCCCATAATAATTATACCACCTATGAAGTGTGACAGTTTTTTATCAGACCGCCTCGACACTCTTTAGTGTAGAGTTTGGAGTGGGCTCGAGTGGTCCACCTCACGACATTACTTGACACGAACACTGACACAAGCAACTGGGACGATTCACAACGAGACGCGACCTACGTCCACCACACATTGTCACTCTCAACCAATCAATCTGCTTTGTCATTTTGGCGGCGAACGCTGTCCTTCAAACAACCCAACCATCTGCCTATCTGTTCCCCACTGCTGTCACACAACTCCAAAACAGCCACGACAGCAAGTCATGGCAACCAGCCATGGTAGCTGGTCACTTTTTCAAAACACTGCACACGTCATTCGTGTCAGTCCAGAAAACCCCAGACTGCCCTTTTCTGCCTTTCCCCCCGATCGATGACCGAGATGATCAAGGTGATCTTAATTAATCCAGGCAACCTCAAGCCTACAGTATTATTTCTTTACCGCGCGACTACAGTAACCTTGTAGCTCGATTCGTCTCGAACTAGGATGCGGAATACGTAGGCAGATCAACATCTTGATCCGCCGCACCCTCGAAGTCCACAAGGTGAAGGGCACTCACTAGTTGCACAAGAATACTCTATCTGAACCATCAATATTCCCAGCTGTTACGCCCAGTCCCTAGTCTCGTTTCTACCCCGAGAAGGGTGTGAAACCAACTACTGGTAAGAACATGTCCTAACCCTTTTTTAGAAAGTATGTAATCAATGACATCAAAACCAATGGGCCAGCAATGTAGCTTAGCTCCGAGGTTTTGGCATAACTTCCTGATGTCGTTCTCTATCTCGTCTCTTCACTTTAAATTGTCCGCATGGTTGGCAATTACTAAAACCATTTTGGCCGCCGCTGGTTTGTCAGGTGATACTTCGGATATTTCCCCCTAAGTCGATTTGTTTATCCTATTTACTAGTAGGAAGAACATCAAAAGGTCCCATCCTTGCTAACTCTCAGTCTTAAAGCGTTGTACTTATATTACTGTGTCTATCGTGATTCATACCGCGTTTTGATTCCTATCTCGGCACCTGTCCGTTTGCTGTTTGTGCCCCTAGCCGTGTTGTCGCAAAATTAATACTTATTATCTTACTATATCTATTTTATATCGTTACAACTCTCATTCAACGCTTCATTCACTGTATCAGAGCTCTGTCTTTTGCGAGTACGCATGCAATAAACCCCACTTCAGTGTCTGAGCCTAGAACAACATGGGATGACAGTCGTTTTGTCCCCAAGCTGTACCGCGGTACACGAGTGCATGGTGTATGTGGTAGGTATAATGTGTAAGGATGGGGCTCTACCAATGTTACGGCGTCAACGTTATTATCATGCACATGATCTGGCATGATAGTATACATATCTACTTACTATAGATCAAACCAACTTCCATGCCTTATGAGCACCGCCGCGAGAAACGGCCACGGCAATAGAATCGTTTAGGAATATCCGGTTCAACGCCATTCATTTTCCCTTTTGTTATTTATAGAGTGCTCGGGACCGGACTCTCCTGTAGGAAGTGTAGCGGAGTGAGATCATACGAAATCTTCGCGTGATACCGGCGCACAAAGCAGCGGCACAGTCATTCAGTCAATCTCGCTTCGTTGAGGCCTTGTCTTTGCTTTTCTCTTTCGACGGCAGGAACAGACGAAGTGTGTATGCTCAGTAGCCCTCAGCCATGCAAGTCGAGACGAGCATGTTCGCGTACTTGTTTCATGCTGTCGTTTTGATACCTTGGTGATGCGCACAGGGATGGTTTCCGCCGTCGGTAGTCAAGTTTTTGTGTCCGTGAGTGGGACATATCTCTTGTCACGTACGTCGCAGACCCGGCGCAGTGGGCTCATGTTGCATTTATCCGCCATGCTGGCACGGCCGCCGTTACGTCAGTAGATAAGGCCAATCCATTCTTGAGTTTTTCCGTTTTGGATTTCTTTCTACTTGCATTATTATGAGCACTCCGAGGGGTTTTTCTTGAAAAAAATGCCATCCTATGTCAATTCGCATTACGTGTACACAGGGTATCCTTAACATATCTATCTATACAGTAGTGCCATCCGATACACAATATCAGGCGACACAATGCTCAATTGTTCCTCTGGTGCCACCCGCAGACCCCATTTAAGTCCTACCCGATGGTGATACCGCATTGGTGCATTGATGGCTGTTAACGGGCGGGCATTTCGCGTTGACACGCCTAGGCGGTTTTACAACCCGGTTCGCCTATCCAATCTTACGCGAGCGCATTCGTAAGCTCCAGCCGCAATTCAGGTACAAAGCTCGTCATCGCTGTAGGCATCCCGCCGCCCAATTGAATGGCGGGATGCTGAACGGGCGCCCAATACCATTCTTCCCGAACTACGGCGTGGCTTCTTGGCTAGCAACCGGACCCGATTCTCCTTTTCGGAATCGATCTCGCTTCCTAGGGTCTTTGGCGAAGCTGAGAATGCATGACTTTGTTGTGGTAGCAGCACCTCGGATACCCGCCTTGTTGGTAGAGTTTCAGCACTTCGAATGTGACGTGGGCGTTTCCTCGTCATGATTATGCTTTGTTCGTCACATATAGGCCGAGTGCGCTCGCTTGTATCACATTTGCTGCCATATGTCCCTTGCTTTGGGCTTGTTTCCGTGTCTGGTAGTTTATCTGTGGCGTGACTAGTGGGATTGCTGGAGCGAATAGAAGATCTCTCCATGCCCGTGGCCGGATTTGATGATCGTGAACATGATTTCATGATAGTAGGTCGCCGTTTATTCATGACCGGGCTGACCGTCACCCATTCACCGATGGTCTCTTCCCAGCGGTATCCCGTGAAAAGTGCACTGCCGCTCTGATGCTGGCCCCTGCCACTGGGACTTGGCTGAGTATATGGGTAGAGACTTTCAGCATAGATGAGATCCTTGACATTGTTTGTCTGCTGGGCTACCAAGAATGCTGTAGCTGCCTTCAGCTTATCCAACAGGTTCGGGGCAAGTTTCAAAGATTCAAGTCGTCCAAAGAGCCCATGGAGACACTGATGAGATGCCACCGACGTCGCTCGACCGCAAGCCCTTGCAATTGATGCTATGAGCTGAGCAATGTTGTCGTAACGATTATGCATATAGATGTCTTTAGTAGTTACAGAGGTCGCACTAGACAGCGAGAGCTTATTCATATTTCCTCTCACATGACTATCGATTTTCTCGTCCCGATTGTGTGAAGACGAAAGGAATAGTGCCAAGTATAAGGTTTCCAATCGTTGGGTGTTTCGGTCGCGCATATGACTTTCGAGCCCGTTAATACACAGTCTTAAAGCATATTTGAACCTGTTGTCGATGCCTCTAATCCGCCGAGTGTCTGAATCTGAAAGCCCAGGCGGGACGATCCCGGTTTCTGCAAGTAGGCTCATGGAGGCTAGAATACTAGTGACACTCATTAGCGTCCGATGATTCGCCTTCGCCGTATCATGCTCAAGCTGGATTCTATCAAAGTTCCTAGGCATTTTGCGTTTCTTGTAGCCCAATAGTAGAATAGACTCTGTCACAAAGCTTATCGCATCGCAACTGGATTGACCATCAGCTAGTGTTTGCATAGCTAAGCTCCATACACTATCGAATTCTAACGTGGCCAACCATTCCACTGGTAATTTATCGCTTGATAGCAGGGTTGAATATTGCTGAAAGAGAAACGAAGTTCGCTGCGTCTGACTAGCAAAAGCATTGAGCATTACTAGTGGTTGCAAGGCCGAGATTTGGGTAAAGCGACTTTCTGTGGATATCGGCTGGGGATATTGGCGATCGACCAGTGCGGCCATGAGATCTTCAGCTTCTGAAGCTGCCCCCATCTGGACACATAGATCAATGAGGAGCTGTGAGAATTCATCATTGAAAATGCCCTCTTCGATTGCACATTTGACTGCGCTCAACCCATCGGCTTTAACAACTACTCTCAAATGCTTCCACCCCACATTCGTCCCTAGAGATTCAAGCTCGTTATAAATATCTGCTGAAGTATTGATATCATCCAATGTAGAAATCTTCCCAGTCTGTTCGGCGTCTAGTCTCTCCCATACGTCTAGTTCTCTAATGTACTCGGGCACTTTTCGGAGGCACATATCCAAGAGGGAACGGGGACCATTCCTGACGCTGGTATCACCCAAAGCGCTTGTCATCGTCGCTTTCAAGAGTGCTTCTAGGCTTCGATATATCGCCTCTAAATCCGCATATTGAGAGCAGAAGCGGGTGCGTAAGTTGGCTAATCGTTCGTCCATGCGCTTTTGAGCGCTGGAACTGATTCTCGTGCGACGTTCACGGCCATGCTCGCCCTGATTCGCGCCCAGCTCATGTTCATGCAATGGAGCAACAGGTGAGCGTGCGATCTTTCCTCTAGCACGACGCAATATTGGGGTGGACGGCACTACCTCGCCAGGAGCCGCTGTTTTCTGCTGCCTCTCTGGCTGTACGCACTTGAAGGCCTTTCTTACTCCTGGTTTTGTCCCGATTGCTAGACTTGAAGTCTCATCCTGATTGCCTTGTCTCAAGTGACTTTGGTCAAACCCCAGAGGCTGCGATGGGTGAGGTTGTGAACTGCGACGTTGGGAGTATGTTAGACGAGGGCGTTTCTTTCTAGGCATGAGCCACCCTGATTCTGAATCGACCTCCTCACGCTGCCGATTTCTCCGGGGAAGCGAAACCGCGGCTGAATCCGAGGCTGATCTTGCTGTTGATGCCACCGGCTGCCCGGCTATTGGTGAATCTCGCTTTAGAGAAGTGATTCTCGAGACCAAAGGCCGTAGCAGCCTCTGGCATCTTGCTGTGGTCCATGGTTGCAAGGGCTCCTCGATCTTGTGGGCTAGCCCTCGCGGTCGATGCCGCGCTTCGCCAAGGAATAGCGACATTTTCTTTCTTGGAGCAGGATTAAAGCCGATAGTTGAATTTTGAAATAATACAGCAAGGATGAAAGTTCTGTTGAAGCATAGGCTGCCCAATTTGTGGCCGTTGCTAGAGATTCATATAGCGAATGTTGATGGTCATCTGGTCTTGTCGCTTGACCAAAAAGGAGGGTTGTAAAACTAATGCAAAATAGCAGGCATAGTTCCTAGAAGCAATCCAAGAGGATCTTCAGAATCAGCTTGCGTTAAGCTTAAAGATGTAATGAGGCCCTTGGCTGAATTGACGCTCAAGAGACTTGTTGGCTACCACCAGGTAGTATCAACAGTTAACTGTTTACTCATTACCGCTTTGGGACTAGACGTTGTAAGCAACAGACACAAGTATAGTACCTAGGTAGGTACGTGATAAGAAGAAGATAAGGCGATAGAGCGATAAGAGAGCTTATCGATCCGCATGCAAAGCTTACCCCACCTGCACAGCTAGGAAGAGGCTTACATGGAAGGTAACCTAGGTAAGTACAGTAGGTAGCAGTGTCCCGCTTCTGCCCGCCTAAGGTATGGCAAGTAGGTATTATCTACCCTCCGTACCTACTACACTTAAGCATACGCGCAAGGTAGGTACCTATATGTACCTACCTAAACTTTCTGGTAGATAGATGCCAATCCCATATATAAAAAAAAGTTGCTTGTGCTATCTAGGTAGTAAAGATAATCAAGTCTAAATTTCTAGCCCCTGCGAGGTGGTGATTGAGAGCATTTCATCCAATTCCCCAGGTTCCTCCCCTGAGCTCCTCCATACATGCCCACCAGCTTGGCATAATAAATTTACTAGTACTTTATATGCCGCACATTTTGGCGCACGAGGATACATACTACCTACACGTTAAATGCCTGTCTACATACCTTAATTAGTTGTACACGTACCAGTATTACAAACTTTTATTGTCCGGAACCCAAGTACCTACCTGCCTACATAGTACTCTAAGAGGCAATACTATGTAGACAAATGTAAATGTACCTTGGCTGAGAGGGGAGGTCCGTAGCACCGGGCTGTCTTACCGGGAACAGCCGGACCATCCACCTAAGTAAGTACCTAGGTTTAGTATGCATCGCTCAAGCAGAAAAAAAAAAAAATATTTTGCTTGGACTTGAGAGCCCAAAAAAAAATACCATCGTCACCATTCTTTCCACAATTACCACCCTTTTTAGACACGATCCGACAGGCGTGCTGTCCTTCACGCCTTCTCTGTATTATACCTCTCAACTTTGTCTAATCAATCTTTCCAAAGTTCTACGGTACATTCGCTTGTCACCGATCAACGTCCGTCTGGGGTAAAACTGCATCGTGTGTGTTGCTCCAGTTGTACGATACAGAGATCTTCACTCACAGCTTGGCGTCAAGACAATTATAGACCTGGGTTGATTAACGGGCTTCCATCTTCCTTCTCGACCTAGTACTTGTAATTGCCTTGTTGATTTTCCTTCATCATGGCCGACAACCAAGAGCCCCAGAACACTTCTGCTGGTATGGTGCCGTTGCTGGTGAACGCCTGTTGCAAAGACCGATGCTGACTTTCTGCTAACATAGCCGAACCTGCTGCTGTAGAATCACGATCTGTAAATGACCAGCCTACAGCCGAAAACAATGACGAAGGCGTTGAAGAAGATGTAGCTGAAGGTAGACAGCACAATTACCACCCTCCTTCGGAAGCACCACTAACACGGGCTGGATAGCTTTGTTCACATTGGCAATCAGCCTACCTCATGAGCCGAGCAAGATCCATGTCATGGTCCGTTGCATTCTTCCTCGGCTAAATTCTTATTTTATCTTACTAAGGATGTGGATAGGTCTCCCCGTCAGAACAAGTGCATGAGCTGCGTCAATCCGTCATTGAGCTCCCTGCTGCATTCCAGTATTCTTGCTTCCACTTCGAGCACGACGGCGAACGCATCAACGACTTTGTCCAGATTTCAGACGTCAAAGGCTTGGGACCAGAAGCAGAAATTCGACTGGTAGAAGACCCATACACAGAGAAGGAAGCAAGAATACATGTTATTCGAATTCGTGACCTCGTTGGTGCCGCTGGGGATAGAACCGATACGCTGCAAGGCGTTCTTGCTGGTGCTTCTCTCTTCGACTCTGTTACCACCGAGTCGAAGAATGTTGACAATGCACAAGCCAGTGCCTATGAGTTCGAAGCACTTGCAAAGACGTCGACTTTGTTACCCAAGGTAGAGGAATCCGCTCCAAAGACTGTTAAATCTATCTCCTTGTCACCGTGGAATCCTCCTCCCTACCACCTCCGACAAAAGGGGCACCTTCTTTACCTTCTCGTCGCAACAAATGAGGGTGAACAATACCAGATTACCTCCCATGTGGGTGGCTTCTTTGTTAACAAGTCCTCGAATGGCAAATTTGATCCGTCACCTCGAGCAGCCCCCAAGGCTTACTCTGCACACTCGCTACTAACGTTATTGAGTCAAATATCACCATCCTTCTTAGAGTCCTTTGAGCAATTGCTACAGTTCAACAACCGCAAGGACCCTCTAGCGACGTTTCAGATGACGAATGCAATTCCTGCAGCGCCTTGGTTAGTGCCTTCACAGTCCTCACCATTGTGCGCGCACAGCTCGGACATTACGCGGACACAGGAGGGTTACCTACTGGCTGGTGTGGACAACACGGATACGTTGCGTGATTGGAATGAAGAATTCCAGGCCGCCCGAGAACTGCCCAAGGAAACCGTTCAAGATCGGGTCTTTCGAGAACGCTTCATTTCCAAACTATTTGCAGACTACACTGATGCAGCCGCCCGTGGCGCTATACTAGTGGCAAGGGGTGAAGTTACTCCTTTAAACCCAACGGAAGGTCGTGACGCCCAAATATTTGTGTATAACAATGTGTTCTTTTCTTTTGGTGCCGATGGCGTAGGTACATTCACCTCGGAGGGTGGTGATGATGCTGCGCGTGTCGCTACTGGCAAGGATGTGAATGGCGTGCGTCTCGTCAATCAACTTGACATTGATGGTTTATACAGTCCCGCCACCGTTGTTGTGGATTATCTTGGCAAGCGTATTGTTGGCCAAACGGTTGTCCCCGGCATCTTCAAGCAGAGAGAACCCGGTGAGAATTCGATCGACTATGGTGCTGTCGAGGGTAAAGATGTGGTCGCCGCTGATGAAAGGTTTGCTGCTCCATTTGAAAAGCTTTCGCAAGCCCTCCGCGTGAAGAAGCACCCGGTGTGGGATAAAGATGGCAAACGGTTCGATCTAGAAGCCAGCGTGGAAACGAAGGGTCTAATGGGTACCGATGGCCGAAAATATGTCCTTGACCTATATCGCATCACCCCGTTGGATGTATTATGGCTGGAAGAAAACGATGGTGACGAGGAAAATAAAGAAACGGGATATCCGCACCGCATGACAGTTCTCAGACCTGAGTTGGTTGAATCTATCCGAAACATGAAATGGTCACTTTGGGTCAACGAAGAAGTAACTCGCATAAAAGAGACGACAGCGAAGAAACTGGTTGAACAGGAAGCCTCAGCTGATTCTACAGAGGAACAGGAGCAACAGGAGTCACAAGATGCAGACCTCGAGGCTAAGATTGACGGGTCGAATTTCTCCTACAGCCTCAACCCCGATGCTTTTAGCGGCCAAGTTCCCCAGACTGAGCTGGAGAAGAAAGAGATGGCTGCTGATGAAGAGGAAGTTCGTAACGCATGTAAGCACTTGCGTGATACGATTATTCCAACTTTTGTCGGCGACATTAAGTCATCAGAACTGCCGTTCCCTATGGATGGTTTATCCTTGGCCAAAATGATGCATAAACGCGGTATTAACATGAGATATTTGGGCACGGTTGTATCTTTTTGTGAAGGTTTCAAGTTGTCACGTCTCCGAGACCTTTGCCTTCAGGAAGTGATCTCACGTGCCTTCAAACATGTGGCAAGCAAGTATCTACGATATCTGCCAGTGCCTTTAACATCCGCGTGCATTGCGCATTTGCTCAATTGCTTGCTGGGTTCGGCTTTCAATAGCAAACCTATTGCTGACATCGATGAATCATTGAAGTCACTATATCCTGAGGCTGATTTAACATTCGCAAATCTAACAGCGGAGGCCCTGCGTAAGGAGATTGAGGTTGAATCTGCCCGGCGTTTCAAGGTTACTTTGAACCCAGACTGGCATGCCGGAATCAAGCATCTACAACTACTACGTGATATCTCACTGAAGCTTGGCCTTCAACTACAGGCCAAGGACTTCCAGTTTACAGGCGAACCACCCAAGATACCCGAAAATGTGAATGAGAAATCAAACGGGGATGGTGAGAAGAGCAACAAGAAAAAGAAGAAGAAGACCAGGGATGGCTCACCCGCCTCGATTGCGTCCTCCATAGCTGCGCTCTGCACCTTCGTAGCCGATGATATTGTTAATATCGTTCCAATTGTCAAGGATTCAGCACCTAAGAGCTCTATTTCCGAGGAAGCTTTGGAAGGAGGTCGTCACTCTATCATCCAGGGGAACCGTAAGATCGGCCAGGAGCTGTTGCTCGAATCGCTGACCTTGCACGAACAGATCTACGGTATTCTCCATTCTGAAGTTGCACGGGCTTATTCTACTTTGGCACAAATATACTATCAATTAGAGGAAAAGGAGGCTGCTGTAGATCTCGCACGCAAAGCCGTCATCGTGTCAGAACGCACCATTGGTGTTGACTCTGCTGAGACGTTACTTTACTACCTGAACCTAGGCTTGTACCTCCATGGCTCAGGTGATAGCAAGGCGGCTTTAGCGTATGTCAAGCACGCGCTTGATCTATGGAAGGTTATCTACGGTCCTGACCATCCGGATTCCATCACAACACTGAACAATGCCGCTGTCATGCTTCAACATATGCAGGCATACCACGAGTCCCGCACTTGGTTCGAACAAGCGCTTACTGTATGTGAGCGTGTTATTGGGCCTCAGTCGCTTCAGGCTGCTAGCTTGCTTTTTCAGTTAGCACAGGCTCTCGCTCTAGATAATGAACCAAAGGCAGCATTAAGTAAAATGCGTGCCTGTTACAACATTTTCAGGGAAGAGCTTGGTCCTGAAAATAGTAACACCAAGGAAGCTGAGACATGGCTCGATCAGCTCACGCAAAATGCAGTCGCCATTGCCAAGCGAGACAAAATCCGTGCTGGAATGTTCCCCACGCGGACGTTAGGTAGCTCGGCCTCGGCATCCACTACATCTAAAGGGCTTGGTCACGGACGAGCTTCAGTAAAGCAAGATGATCGAAGCCTTGACGAACTCATTGGGTGGATTGAGGGATCATCTGCACAAAAGAAGTCTACCAAGAAGCGACCCGGTCGAGTAGCCCCAAAAACACGCGTCGGCGCTGGCGCTTCGAAATAAATAGCATTTAATTAAGCTCGCCACAGATGATTGAACTCATTTTATTTGCCGAAAGACTGTAACCTGGCCGAGCCAAGGTTATTTCGGAAGAGCATAGTCCTTACATATTGTATATATTAGCATGCTGGCTACATTGTCGACATCTCAAATATGATAGCATATCGCAACTCACACGCACCATCACATTTTTAGACCGGCTTGGGGGTTAGGAATGGAAAAGAAAAAGCATCGGGATAAAAGTCTGGATCCCATCATGGGTTCGGTTAAGGCTGGTCTGGTGTTCTCCAGGGGATAACTAGTGGTAACTAAATCTCTTCAGGTATCTTCTTAACGCATTATGGCTTGTATGAATGAACCGTGTGTGTTGTTTGTGAAATCATCACCACTTATATAATAAAGAACTACTTCCCTCCTGCTTCTTCCAAATATAGCTATTCCCAAAGAAATCATATGTGCTAGAGATATATCATGATCACAACCTTCTCACGCAGTCACGTATTGTGGATGGTTACCTCCGGCTGGTTATGTGATATCATACCCTAAGAAGGTAAGGCACCTGAAGTAATAAACCAAGAACACAGACCTTGTGTATATATACTAAACTCACTCGGCAGCTGCGAGTATTATCTACACATATCTATCTCAGTTTACTTGAGGGATTTATATCCACATGACGTCAATAACTAGCAGCAGCATTAACCAATGGTAATGTGAAACACGGAATCGGATAAGATAGGTCCTCGGATGTTAAACCAAGTCTTCGCAGCGGGCAAGCATCAAATACAACTGAGTACACGGAGAGGGACGGCGAGAGGAAGATAGAGATACGCACGTAACACACGTCGGCAGAACGCCTGTGCTACTTCCTTTTGATTGACCATCTATTCATTTGTTTGCCTGTTTGTGTCTCTGTCTTGTGCTCTGAAGATAGCAGGTTTAGCATCGCTATCAACAGACCCACGGACGGTTCCGGCCTCTCGAATCGACCATTGACCGCCGGCGAACTACAAACACATTGACACTCGGACAATGCGTGGCCATGTCCAGCCCAGTTCGGTCCAGGCTTTGCTAGATAGGTACATTGCAACTATGAGATGTATCCATCCATCCAGCTACCCATAACCACTGAACAAATATAGATATAGGTAATATATAAGTACCTCTCTATCTTTCCGACGCAGGATGCCACTGCATCGTTTTGAAGTGGAGAGTGTTGAAGCTTTCAAGTCAGCTTAAAGCTTGCAAACAACAGAGCACATAAACGCGTTACAACAAACGCCATTGTGTTTCATGTAAAAATAAGAATCAAAAGCAGCGCTTGCCACCATAGCCCAATTCCTCAGGACAGTTCATGCTCCACAACACCTGGCCTTGAATGCAGACATTAGACCAGGTAGATAGAATCATTTGATGAATTTAACACCAATATGCAAACCTTTACCCACACGGGAAATCAGTGAACCAATCCTGCGGTGTGATAGGGAACGAGCAGAAACCTCAAGAAGCGCTGCATAGTTGAGCAGCCACTATGGGTAGATCAAGATCTACTTAGCAGCTCCAGCAGTATGGATTGCACTTGACCCAAAGCTCGGAGCTGCGTGAAATGACCCAATACTCTGGAAACCCCTATTGATAGTCGTTAGCATCCTCAAAGGGGGGTGTCTAATGTGAGATGTATAAATGGTACATACTTTGTGAGATCGTACTCGCCTTCCTCCTCATTATCCTCCTCGATATTGTCCACGGCCGTTACTCGGTCTAGAGTATTGCCTCGAGTAGTCCGAGTTGGGCTAGCGATAGGTGAACGATCAACGCCGACCGGTGGTGGTGGACTGCTACTATTGGGTAACCCAGGCTTGGTGGGGCTGACATCATATGGAGGTTTGAGGGGTGTACTATGAATATCAATGTACTTCCAGAAAGGAGCAGGCGAACTTGTCGGCATATGCTGGCTCGGACGCTGTGCAGTGCTGGGAGGGGCAAGCCTGGGATGGAGCCGCTGCGGCGCGGGTGTCACAAAAGAGGCTCCTTCGTCTGGAAGATACGAGGAGGATAATGCTGGCGGCGATTGGGGAATATCCGCAAAAGAGCTTGCTTGTTGCAGCCGCTTATTACTGCGGGGAAGCGGGCTGTCATCGTGAAGATTCGCAGTGAGAAACCTGCGGTCAGGGGTAACTACAGATTGAATCAACGATGTCCGCGGTGGCGGCGAAGTAGCAGGCGAAATTGCCTTGCGCTTGCGAGTAGAAGCAGGTTCCTTGTTGGCCATGTCTTTGGGGCCCGACGTGATATATGTCATCTGGTTAGGCTGGCTTGGAGACGAGGGAACACTAGAGCCTCGGTGACCACCTCGACCACCCTTCCAACATGTGCGGATCATCTCAGAACGATGATCAGGAACTATTTCCCACTTCATACCCTTTCCTGGCTCGTCAGTGGAACGGGGCGCTTTGTTGAACGCCTTGTTTAAGGACAGGTTGTGTCTAATTGAATTCTAGCGAGTTATTAGAATCAATAACAATAATGCCAGCAATAGTTCAAAGCCTCACCTGCCAACCAGACGGCTGCTGGTGCCTATAGTATGCATAGTTCTCCATGATATGCGAGTAGATGCCGGCGAGATTGAGCTTCTCGCCAGGGGCAGTGATGATAGCTTGAGTTATAAGTTGAGCATAGCTGTAATGCGGTTTTATATGTTTATTTTCGTCTTTTGCCAGATCTATGTCGTCTTGGCTACTGATAGGGTTTTGAGCTGGCGTCTTTGCTTGGGATGCTGGGATACGGCTTTTCGTTGATGGCGGTGTACCCGGGCGCCTGTAATCAGGCGGTGCCGGTGCGATGGGTTGTTGGTTAATCTGACCGCGAGACAACGCACTTGCTCGCGCGGGTTGGGAGGATGAAGCATCAGAGGAAGGGAGGGGCGGAAGGGCGGTTCGAGAGTCATTGGAGGGAGGAATTATCCCCGCCTGTTCCAGATATCTCGAAGCGACGCGTACGCGACCAAAGTTGGCAGGCAAGACAAACATCATTTCCAGGCTACCAATCTCAATCACCTCGCCGCTGCTGAGGCAGTGAGGAGGGTCGGATTTGCGCAAGACTTCATCGTCAACCCTGAGACCATTACGACCTTTAGCTTGAAGAAACCAGTTTTCCGATTCAGCGTTATAGTAGATGACAGCTGTTTGACGTGAAAAGGTTTTGTTGGGACCTAGATCGATATGAACATAAGAAGGGTCATCTGGGTCCTGTGTATCTGTGTTTCTTCCTATATTCACTGATGTTGATTTAATGTAGTAAGTCCAGTCCTGCGCTGCTATCTTGGCATACGCAGCAATGCCATTGTTTGATTCGTGAATCACATTAGCATGGTCCTTGCTTGCATGTGTATGAAGGGTGCGAAGAGACTGGGCGACTTGAGTGACCAAGTTGTCGTCATCCTCGGCGTCTGCTTCGGCGCCAGGTTCGGCGGTTTCAAGACCGGATGCATCGATAGTCAGACTCGAGCTTTCTTCCTCGATAGGCTCAGACAGCTGCTCCTGGGCCTAATACGCGGGGAGACGGTCAGCACACTTGGGTAGAGAGAAGGGGGATGAAAGCAGCAGTGAGCAGCCGCAGGATGGAGCCAGACCTTTCTTCTCCGCTTGGCCGGGCGCGAGGGTGATGACTGCTCGACAAGCGAAGGGCTGGGACTTTTATCCCGGACTCGGCGAGTCCTCTGGGATCGCTTGGAGGAGGGCGGCATAATGTATAGGACGACAGTGCTTAGGTCAGGCAAAACCCATGACACTTGTTCGGTCGAGGTAGCAGTTAGGTAGGATTTGTAAGCGGCGGATGGTCGTCGTTGGCGGGTTGTGACGCGCGAGAGCACAGATTGAGAGGCTAGACCAGGTCGCAAGGCTTCAGTCCCTAGATATGGAATACTTGTATCTGTAGCTAGACGGCTTAGTTGCTGGTGTCGTTTTGCTTTGCTTGTCGCAGCCTCGAGGTGGCAAATGAATACAAGGAGCACATACACACGCACGCACGCGCACACACACAGGCTTTGATTGTCGCAAATGCGCGAGGTGTCGGGCAGTAAGAAAACAATATGAACGAAACGGTTTGATGCGGATATATGAGTGGTGGGAAAGGCGAAATCAGATCGCGGAGGGACGTTAGGGACGACGTTACGTACCCGGTCACGTATTGCGAAGGCTGGATGGTGGTTTAGCGGGGGTTGGTTCCAGGTCTCCGTCAGGTGAAGGCGCGGGCTGGGTGCAATGGACAATCAAGCAATCGATTGAGAGATTGAGAGCGCAGCGGGCTCAGATAAGCCACGCGACGCGAAAGAGAGAAGAAAAAAAAGGGAGGGAAAAAGAATTGGAGGCGCGCCTTTAGTGCGTACATGAGTACCTACGCATATAGTTTGCGAGGTAGTTCTTCAGGTGCTGAAGTACCCACCCTACCTTTGGCCTAGTGTGGTACTTTTAGATTCTACTGAGTCTCCGACCAGACGCAAGTACTGCCTGCCACAGAGCACAATAGTATACCCGACATAAAGTGGTGAGTACTCCCAAGCCTACATGAGTAAGTACCTATTAAATAGTGCAGACTTCCACTTGTTCTTGCACAGAAGTACATTATTTACTTGCAGGTCAATGATGAATCTTGATTTTATCTCGAGTGTTTGTCCTGCACAGTAAGCGTGTCAACATTATATAGAAAAGCAAGAAGTCGCTCTTCAATGGCTAATCAAGTATCATACCGCCATAATTACCTTCTCGTTCCTTGTTGAGGCAATGTACAAAAGGATGCTCTACCATATAGGCAAAGTCGTTGTTAAGTCAATATTGACTGTGGTGACGACGATGATGTCGTCGGCCACAGGTAACAACTTGAAGTACAAGAGATAGGTACATCCATCCATCCATCTATGGTAGGTATTACATAGCATGCAGACCATTTTTTAGTGGACAAACTCAACGTGCCCACGGCGCATAAGCTAACCTAAATCTACCTAGATAAACTACTTAGATAGGCTTGGTGACCCAGAGAATGGGTATCTCAAGTGGCTGGTTTGCTTAAGGAAAAACTTGCAGACCTACTTGTAGGTACTTAGTAAAAGGTTTGTCTCCTGCGCAAGTTTATGAGTAGGTACCTGAAAGCTTATGTAATATATACCCGGGACTGGGTTGAAGACTGAGATATAACACTTAGAAAACAGAAGAAGAAAACCCCTACTTTGCCAATATAAATAACAACTGCAGTATTTTATATACACTCATAAACCTAAGTGAAAGAAAAGTCCAAGCTAATGAAGGAACTGGCCTGGGTGACGCCAACAATCTGCGCAACAATATGCATCACCAATCGCTGTAGGTTTATACAAAGTATTCATTTCATTTCTTACCTGTTAAACAACATAATACTCATGAATTCAATAAGATTTCGGAAGGTAACGAGTGGTCATAAAGTAGTCAGGTTGCAATACTTCTTTTCTGAGTTAAGAATCATGTATGATGACGCGTGGTTGGCGTGGTTGACTTGTCAGGTGAGTGTCCAATGTCCAAATTCGATCAATGCAAATGTACCGACACAATAGATGCTCTGGGCAAGCAATGAAGAGGATCCGGTACCTATATACTATGTAGGTCACCAGAGGAATGAAAAGAAGGCTAACTAAAGTGAGGCTCTAACACCAAAACAAAATACTGTAGTCAGTTTCTAAACAGTCGTCAACACACACACCATCGTGAACACGGACAGGACAGGAATGTGCCTACCGCCCGACTGTTCTCTTACAACCCAAATTGTCTTTAGGATCAATCTACAAACCTCTAAGACTCCTCTTTATTGGAAAATATCGGCACACAGCTTCACATACTATGGATACACTGCAAAGAGTAGATGGGGCTCGAACTCAAGGACCTTACGATGATCATTCCCCACCGAAGGATCCTCCTCAACAAGAATGCAATAAAAGTATCGGAACAGTAGCGCAGAGAGTAGCAGCATCGGCCATACCAATGACGGCCAGGCTCAGATCTGATAAGATGATCTGGTGCCTGGCCTGGCCAAGTCATATCCATTTCGTGCACGTAATGGCTACGGTGCAACCGTATTCGTGTGCTCTATTAACACCAACGCTTGTAGGCCTCCCAATCAAAAAACATGAGCCGGTTTAGGGATTAATACAAAAACACAGTGTAGCAAACTGTAGCTTCTTTAGAATCATACTGTCTAATTCTGCTAGTAAAACGTCCATGTCCAGGGAAATGGCCAAAGTGCTTGCTTCATAGGCCAGTCCAGTGCTGCCTCACTCGTCCCTCTGTCCGAGTTGATAGGGCTTTATAAAGTGGGCGCGAGCGCTCTTAAGCTCGTTGACTCTTCACGCACCGATACCTTCGCACCCACTGTTCAGCCAAGGAAGCTGGCCATCTCTCTCTTCTACCTTACCGAGGATATCGAAGACTGCAGCCTGGCCTTGCAATTTCAACCTCTGACAGCGTCCTAGATTGACGAGGTGTATGAAAACACCGATGCCTCTGCGGAGCGTTCAACAGTCCGCTCTTGCACCCACCGCCACCTCTTCTAATCTTCGGCCCTGGCCTCGGCAATGCTAGGACCTTCTACTCTGCCGAGCTGGAAGAGATATCGAGCCATGGATGGAACATTGTGTCTATTGATCACCCCCATGATGCTAGAACAGTCGAATTGCCTGACGGCCATGCCGTTTTCGCGAACGAACCCATTATTTCGAACGACACGGTAGAGTTTTATCTCAAGAAGGCATAAGCTTCGTATTAAATGCTCTCTCTAACCCATCAATCGTGTCTCAAGACCCCGGGCTCTCTTCAATGCGTCTCTCTACCTACCACCAAGGTCGGGGCTTTTGGACACTCTTTTGGTGGCGCAACTGCACTCCAGCTGTTATTGAATGACACACGATTTGCCGTCGGCGCAAACTTTTACGGGATCTTGTTCGGCTCCGCCATTGAAGAGGGCACGGGCTTCCCATTTGTCTTTGTTCGGTACGAGCCCTCGGACGAAGGACGAGACTTGGCCCACGGCTTCGGCAAATCTCCGTGGCTTCAATAGACAGTATGCTATGAACGACACAGAACACGGCGTGTTCACCGACTTCCCGACCTCTCCTTAACAACTATTTCTGATGAAGGGATCGTCGACATTGAGACAGCGTACATCAACACAAGTTTTCGGGTGATGCCTCAAGTACGAAGAGGGAAGCTTACTTTACTATACGGCGAGGGTTTGAATGATTGACCCGTGGTGTCTTTGGTTGAGCAGACTTGATTGAAAATAATTAAAGAAAGTCAACATAAATACTTACAGCAACCTAAACACTTGGTAATTATTACTGCCAATTAGCCCAACCTTGAAGGCAATTCTAGTAGCTATTCCACTTGCTACCCCCGGGAGAATTCAGCCCCCTTTTATGAGACAAAGTCCATACGCAACCTCGGCTCCGAGAAATTATGGTCAACTCAGCCTTAATAGATTGTCTCATATCACATGATGACAACAACAACTACTTTAGACTAAATTGCTTGTATTATGTAGAACAGACTTGCCAGGCGTGATGATATGCGCACCTCTGCTCTAAGTCAGCCACAACAGAGGTCTTCAATTCATTTGACCCGTGCCATAATCTTAGGAGAGGTTATATATTCCACACTGCTAATATGTGACTGTGTTCGCAATTCTGCGGCATCAAAACGGATCATATATTCGTCAGACGACTAGGTATTTCGGTTGTTTTCATTAAAACCCGAAGAACCGTTCTGTATAGTAGGTTGATGCATCTCATATCACCACGGGCGCTTCGCTCTGGGTAGTACTCAATTCCTACATACTTTTTGCCAATTACATGCGGTAGGTATCTTTCCCTCTCAGGTCTCCGCTTTCGAAATCCGCTATATCAAATCATGAACTCGAACGCCAGCACCAACTGATACCCTAACCTAGGCATTTCAATCACGACAGACATGCAATGATAGCAGCAATAGCGGCGAGCGTTCCATTAGGGTCTTTGACACAGACAGTGCGCAGGCCGATCTCCTTAGCAGGATAGTCGTTCCCCCCTGGGAATATGGCGTCGCCAATGAACATCATCTGCTCAAGCGGAATACCGCTGGCATCGCGCAGCTTCTTCAGGCCATACCCCTTGTCGACGCCCTTCTGCGTGATATCAATCGATGTGGCACCGCCCATATTTATAGACAGGTCTGGCAAACGTTTGCGCAGGTCCGCTTGAATGACCTTGCGCTTAGCGAAGTCCGGGTCCCATACCTCTTTTGCGTGAATGGGTGCCTCCTGGCCGAGGGCTGAGAAAGTGATTTGGCTGCCGCGATCCTCGATGCGATTCCCCCACGTCTGTTCCGGCTTAAATCCCGTCACTTCCAACGCTGTGTCAAAGGCCGTGAGTATTTGCTTCTTGACGTCGTCGTCGAATAGCTCTGCGTAGACAGGTTGCCAGGCCCCATCCCGGTGCGTGTATAGCTTTGTGCCTGTTGTCGGCATCAACCAGAGTTTCGCTATGTCAGCCCCTGGCGGTAGTTGGCTTGCTACTTGTTTCTGGAATTGCGGCCAATCGCCGCCTGAAATAACTGCTACGTGGGCTACCGCGAGCAAGCTTGCTAACGCCTCGCCCATGGATTCTTTTAGGGGCTGCTTGCTCTCAGCTAGCGTGCCATCGAGGTCGAAAGCAACAAGAGAAATCATCTTGATACACTACCGTGTGATGATACAGGATCGAGAGTAGGGTGAAAGGTGTTGGTGTACTGGTTTGGTTACAGTGTCACGAGCGGTGTAGGAGTTGTGTAGTCTTTGTGGGTTATAAGCATATTAGTTAGGTATATGAGTTTCGGTCTATATCGGGTATGCGTATGAACGGCCCGAAGTAGAAGGGCTCCCTAGCATGCTTGAATGGCTTATGAAATTTTATCAATGACCGAAAAGAGCATCGAGAAATACATGCAATGCTTTTAATTACTCAATAGAGTTTTCGGGTGCCAAGTATTATTTTTTGGAATGGGAAAGGTGTCTCACAATGATCTGCTGACGCTACAACCTCTAGTTATACAACGTTCTACCGAACTACGTCAATGGCTAAAGGACATGTAGTAACCATGCATCATAAAACTCCAACTCTGATTTCTCTTAAACCATCTGGGCGTTGCAGGAATAAGGAATAACAAGTCTCCTACCGTGTACAGACTGGCAGCTTAACGAAGAAAACCCCTCATCTGATACATACCTAGGTATTTTGTAACGAGCTGCTAATCTACAGGGTGAGCTTCGACTTCCATATATCGAAGGAACCAGACAACCCGAGCTCACTACATAGTTGTCAGAAGTGCTGTACAAGGTATACAATAAGACTCATTGTGACACAAGGTCTAAAAGGTCAGAAGTCTGAAGGCATTCTGACCTCTCTGACTATACAGTGTATCTCTTTGTTCCTCCGCCCTGAGACCCATGACAGTATGGCTGTATCCTGGTTTTACTTGGGTTCTCACATCGCCGGTGGTTTCCTCACAGATGGCTCCTTTCAATCTATAGCAACTGGCTCTTTCGCTCTTCACTGGAGTCTTTACTTGAGTTTACACTAGGAAAGTTCCACCATACCTAGTTTCTATCCTGACATACCAATGTGTCACTGACCGTCATTATTCCAATTTAAATACAGCCGTATATGTCCAGCATTACCCAGCTGCGAAAGAAGCAGCGAAGATATGATGCAGTTTCATATTAGCAGATGTTCCAGTGCGTGACAATTTGAACGTCGGTGTAAGGTTTGTTGTGGTACAATTCAATATACCATACAATTCCGTCAACAATGGCTATAAACAAGAACTCTAAAGGAGACTGCTGGGGAGTTATAACAAGGGCAGAGAACTGGGCTTGGAATTGAAATTATTCGGAATATAATGATCAACTAGGGCTTCATGAGTCCTTGGCCGACCAATTCCCTCTTGGCCTTGTTGTCATGACTCGATTCCATATACAACTAGTCTACCAGCTCTGGCCACCTAGATCTTATTGGCTTGCTTCATGAAGCGAGGTCTGTATAATCTCACTTTCCAATATTGCCTGCATGTCTTTGAAGATCGTGAACAGCCTGCAGTTGCGGTTCGTACGGCCGAAGTGCAAGGCGAACTGCACGCTCAGCTTGTACGCGTGTAATAGGAGTTGATATATATTTGTAGCAGCCTCATTCCCGGTTCTCGTGTTACGGCACCGAATGTAGCAGACGGCAGCGGCCGAGCTCCCGAACCGAGCAAACTACTCACTTTTGTTCTGTAAAATCATGAATCGACGAGTAGCGAGGAAATCTGTCATAGCCTAGAAATAGTCTGCTGGCATGCAACCCAGTCCTGTTGAGATGCTACCTCTCTATGATCGTATGCGTGCTAATCGACAATGAGTAGTATCTGCTCCAATAAATAGCTCAAGGATATCATATGGATTCTTAATCATCGGGTTACCATTCCTGGTAGCCACCTATGGCAAATGTGACAGCAGTATATTGTCAAAGCAACGCTGACTGACACTTTCCACGCGTAGAGAAGCATATATCGAGGCGCTCTACAAAAGTCGAGGCAGTGTTATAACAATTATCCTACAGACGAATCGTCCACCAGCGGGCTCAAATCACCAAGCCGCACGCCTCGAAATCTACCCTTAGTATATACAGTGAACAAGCATGGTCTTTCCCTCTTTATACTTCAATTTATAGCGCATTTGATAGAAAAATATATGTTCTTTTTGTGGTTGCTTAGGGCTTGGAACTGTAGGGGAAAAGTTTGGTAGGCTCTATTCCCTGAGCAGTAGAGTTAGTTGAAAGTTTATCCATTCAACTTGGAGTTTTAAATGCAGCCCGTGCCCAAAAACCTGTAGTTCTTACCTAACCCCTTCGAAAAGATCGTCTTTACGTCTTAACATCTAGCCCTTGCGTACTTGGGTTAGATGTATACTCCCACCAGATTGTGGTTATTGAAACTAAAGGATTGTCTTATTGTTAGCAGGAATAGTAGGAATCATATGCGTACCACACAGTAATAACCTTTCACCCCGCTCGCTTCACCCCCGAAATCCCTCGCAAGTTTTTTTTTTTTTTTTTTTTTTTTTTTTCAAGAAATAGATAGAGACACAGAGTTTTCGTCATCAGGGTTATACGCCGATTAGACCGATACTTTTCTTGCTCTCAAGACTTGATCTTAGAAGACAAATATAAGGTTTCGGAACATAGACTCACAACAGACATACCGTGACAGAAAGGAACATCTTAGTTTGTTCTTTGGCAGGTAATAATAAGTTAGAAGACGACATCATCTAGGAATTTGTATTGAAATTTTTGTAGTGCTTTCACTCATTGAGGAGAGTTGTTATTGCGTATACTTTCTTTCAGCGGCCATGGACTTGACATAGTCATGAATCACCGTAGTCGTCCCAATGAACACAGCTAGTAATTTAGAACATCGCTTGATAACTTCTAATAGGTCTAGTCCATCTAGAGCTCCAGCTCACATGCCGCCCAAGCTTAGATGGTCACAGTTGGAATGATTACCTAGTTTTAAATAACCAGTCCATCGTTTCTACCCCCCTCAAAACTTGTATCTCGTTCTGCAGCTATGGACACGTAACATAAACCATACGAATTTCATAATAATGCAGAAAAGCTTCTACATTTATCATTATCAAGGTAACATGGACTGTGGCCACACGTAAATGTTGATCTATTGTGTGTTCCTTCTCTTTTTCTATTTGAGGCTACATGTGTAATGCTTACCTTCCCCTATCGTCCCGATGCTAGCGGAGTAAAAGTTCATCACCTGATACAGACCATAGTAGGTGAAAAGCTAATGCAATCCCATTATCTAGCGTCAACGGTGTATCATGCCGTCTCCAGTTCTTGATCAAGGTTGGTTACATGCATGTCTAAGGCAAAAGGGGCTTCTCCCATCACACATACTCTGGGGTTGTAGTGGCACATATTTTCTAGATTGCTCTAAAGGTAGTTAAGACATTCAAGTATAATCACGAACCAGCCTTCCTTTCTCAGCCCTAGGATATTCCGCGGCCCTTCGGACAGTTTACCTAGTAGATCATGCATAAACTTACATATAGGTGTCAAGGTGAGTATATCCCTGTCCGCAGCGTAAAGTGTATGGCTACTACAACAATCTAGACTCAAAAATACGATGGCACCTAATAACAGAAGAGATCGAAAGTGACGTGGGCCACAATCAAGGATCGTGATCTTCTGTAGTACTCATACTACAATAGGCTATCTTGCCTCGCCACCTCGCCGCATCGTGGCGACAATGTAATATGGAAGAGCCGTGTAGCGTACTACCTCCACATCCACTAACAGCACGCCGTCAAGGCAAGCAATCAAGGAGTCTAGACCAAGTGTAGAGTACTTTGATGTCGGAGTACTAGTATACGGCAATACCAACGAGGAGCTGGGGATATCCCAGAGGAACCGTGATGCTAAGAGCTACGTTCTTAGGTTAGTGTACTTTGCAAGACCCAACCAAGGAGAAAAGAGGCCGAGAAAATCCCCATAGCAAAGGCTCTCCTCTCGCCAAACGGCACGGGTACATCACGCCACACGCGATGGTAATCCGGCAAGACTTGTGAATGCCTCTAGTACAAGGTGGACTTACGATCGATGATATGCTGGGCACGGACGACAGGAGAGCGTGGTACCGGTACCCTGGACATAGATAGTGTACCCAGTGCAGTGTAGTATAGTCTATTCGGTGTGTTTACACTACTATGTTTAGGTATGTAGTGTGGACATACAACATCACTGAGGCTAGGTGAGAGAAGGAATAGCACCGCGTACCTACCGTATCGTCAGCTTCTGGAATCTCGAATGTTTATGCCGCAGGGAATGAATGTAGTCTAACACTTGCCGCCAAGTGCGGAGCATTTCCAGGGAACAACCCGTCAAGTCGTCACTTTTTCTTGTCAAATACCTAGACTCTACACCACCACTGCACTACCTGAACCAGCCGAATACAGCCCCGGGCAGGTTAGTCTTAGAGGCCGATCTCTTCCATAACGGGGGACCGGACTATTTTCCCGACACCGGTGGGCAAAGCGATTTTGCCGGATCGGATGGATCTCGCGATGCAGGCTCAAGGAAAGCGTGCACTACGCATAATAATCCTGCGCTACTATGACGCCTCGTTGTTTCTGTCAGTAGTTGTTGTGCTGGGAGGGGGAGCGAGTGGTCTTGCATCAAGGAGGAAAACGCCAAGTACAGTAATCTGGGGGATTGTTGTACAAGATCCCCCCTCTCCCCATCCTGAGAGACGAAACAACTTGGGCAAATACCGACACGTAGGTAACTATGTGTGCACAGCTGCACTAACCAAGCTGGCTGCCTCAACCATATGGGCGGATCATGTGCAACGCACATACTACTTAGAGCAGTGCCGAGAAGTAGGGTTCGTGCCATGTAGTCGGCGGCCGAGAGTCCCAAAGACAGCGACATCGTCAACGAGGCACCAAAAACTGAAACGGCACTGACTTGGGTGTCAATGTTTCAGATGCCCACCCCCCAACCCCCCAGGGAAAAAGAGGCAAGTCAAAGCACGATGGTGCGCACAGCCGTCCGCACATCCAGCTGGTATGGTTCCTTAGCACCGTTACATTGCGGTGGAGTTTGTCATGCTCAAGTCGCCTCTGGAGCTGCGAAACTGTAAACATCTTCCCAATGACGAACGTAGAGGTTGTAGCGTCGTATTTCGCAGTCGACGATATCGAACGGGGTGGGCCTGGCCTAGACTGGACTGGATTATACCACTTGCAGGGCTCCGGGCAAAGTGAGTAGGGTATTACGGGAAAGATGAAACCAAGTCAGAAAGGTGCCTACGGTGCCTACGTGGTAGTGGATAGGTAGACAGATCTTGGACATGGATGCATTGTCGTGTAAGTAAGTACACTAGGTAGAGCGCGCGCGCTACAGTAGTGGACGTTACGCACATTGATCGATGCCATCTAAAGCTAGGAGCACCATGTATGTCATCATGCTAGTCTCTCTAGCTAGTCTGTTCTTGTTGATTTTCCGCCGCAAGCCTTCACGTTTTAGGCAAAATGTGTGAACGGCGGGCGTGTGGCTGGCAAGAAATGGTTTGCACAGGTTGCTGTCTGTGGAAGGCTGCCTACGGTAGAGCGACCAGGAGAACGACACTTGTCTCGCGAGTCTGCTTGGTCACATCGTCGTTGGTAGATACATACATAGGTATGTTCATACATAATAACCGTGGAATCTTAGGCTTACCATGGCCGATGCTACCCACGAAGATGTGCTCTGCTATGTGATATGGCCTGCCGAGAAAGTCGTATCTGCCACTTCTGATACACCTGGGAAAGCGACTTATCTGGCCGGCGAACTGACCGAAACGCCCCGAAGTAAGTAGGTAATCAATTCTAAACGATGGAGCTTTTGTCATTGGGTCGGGCCGGCAACCGGGCCACGATGCTACTCCAGTGTAGTAATTATCCACCGTCCAATCACGTGTGTCTGTCTTGAAAATGGATGGATCTGTGATGGACTCTTATAGTACTTGGCTACTTACATACCTACCTATGCTTATAGATAGTACCTAGCTAAAGTAAGTACAGACATACATAGAGTACCTATGTAGGTATGTAGGTACTCACCTCAGCTCCACTAGTTCTTGGGTGTTTCTAGATTCTGATCCTCAATATCTGCTCAACATATTTACTTAAGTACGCATGCGAGCTTAGAGACCGTAGGTACATGGTTAGTGTAGTGCTAGTAGGTACATATGCAGTACATGTAATGCGCTGTAGCGTGCAATGGATGAGGGGTTTTCTGATGGTGTACCGACCAACTACCTACAAACCTATGTACCTACCTAGCTACCTTAGGTACCTATTATAATTCCAGCAAGTTACAATGAGTGCAGTACCTAGTGCAGTGTAAGTAAGGACAGGCTTGAACGATTTAAGCCGGCTCACCGCAGTATCTACCCCGGAGATGACTAGACTAGACTACGGACAGTACATATCTAGTGTGAAGCAAGTAGGATATGATGTAGGTATGCAGAGTAGTATGTTTTACCTACATACTTAGATATAGGTAGGCATAGAACTACAAACTAGGGACATAGTTTTAAGTAGTGTAAGTTGACTAAGTGCTGTAAGTAGGCAAATATGTTTCTGTGATGCCATCACATCACATTTGGCAAAGCCGTGAGTGAGCTATGTACGCGCCAAGGTCCGTCTGGATTGACCTATCTCGTTCTCGAAGAACTTGAGACGGAGATGGGCCTGTTTCATGTTCCTGACTAGCCATCTGTACCTGGGCTAAGTCGGCGTTGCGATAGTGTAATCGATCCTCCACATCTCCTTCGGCACATACCGCTGCGCAAATGTAGGTACCAACCCGAACGATGTGGGCATCTTGTTTCAAAAGTTCCGTGCGACGGCCGCTTTGGGGTTGTTGGCCCGAGACCAAACTTCCCTCTATCCCCCAGTCTCTGCAGCATTGCAGCCGCTGCGCCTCAAGCCAATTGATCCGCCGTCTCTAACCATACCACCTCGCCATACTTACGTACTTACGAAGACAGTAAGTACCCCTATGGCTCTTTGCGTCGCTTTAGCTGTGATAAGTCGTACGTATCGATACTATCATCTGTCTGACGAAATGCGCCATTCGGGCTTCTACACGCAGTCCCCGTTTTTCGTCTCGAATAGATCGAAGCCGCGAGAAATGAGAAACCAAATAATCGAATAAACGAGTAGACGAGTGTCCTTGGGAAATACGTGACCATCAACTTTCCAACCCTCGTATCGCATCTCATCTTAGCCGCAACCCACGCTACGCCGAAGTCGATGCCATGATGCTAAGCATGCATGATTCAGGCACGCACCAATCACACGCGTGCCCGTTTATAACCCTGACGTGGTCGAGAGACGCAGGCAAGCATCCTAGCGTGATGTGCGATGTACTATGTACCTAAGTATGCTGCAGGTATTCCCTGCCGGGTCACACTTGGTCCCTGGTGGTCACCGTAGATCACGACCGAAATCAAGCAGGTCGGGTAGGTAGTTTACGGTACCTAGTCGAGTCCATGGGCCCTTGGTGAACGTTTCAATCGATTTTTCTCTCCGATGTTTCAGAGTACGTGCATGGGAATCTTGTAGGAACAGAGAGCTCTTTGCATTCGTGATCCCCAAACTGGGGCATATGGCGGGATGGAAATACCAACTGGACAGGGGCCTATTCTCCATCTATCTATAATTGATAGATTGATATGTACCTAGATAGATAAATGGGCGATGTAAGAAAATTTTTGGTAACGACATGTAACTAGGTATTATGATGAGCTAAGATTGATGGAGTGGAAGGAAGAGGGGATGAAGATTTAAGAAAGAAGGCGTCGTAGCCTCTCCTTGTACAACTGCATCGATGATTTACACTGTTGCAAGTTCGATAATCTGGAATAACCTCGGCATCTGAACTAGTTATAAACCTGGAATTCCTTGATTGTAGTTTATGGTCAAGCAAGCAGTTAGAAGAAAAATGCCTACCTGGGTCTACTAATGAACTACGGAAGATACCTAGTACCACTGATCACCCTAACTTGTTGATCGTCGACATGAAGCACCTAAGAGTAGATCCATTCCAGAGCTCTGACCAGAAGCCCTAGTGACGTCTCTAAAGTTAGGAACAAAATCAATATCTTTCTCAATTAGACTCCGGCGGGAGTCTTACGGCTCTGGTCTATCTAGGATGATTGGAACTGTCTTACACTAGGTGCTAACTGGCTCATCTCCGTGAAAACTCCAAGTGTCCCAAAAATAGCAAAATGGCAATATGAAGCAGAGCAAGTATATCTAAAGTAAAGAGGCAAAAAGACAAAAACGTTAGGTAGCATGCAGCCAAGGTCTCAACCGCCAGCCAAGTCGCGAATATGTGGCCCATTCAGTGCGAAAGTAGGTCATCTGGATGGTGATAGCGGACCCTGTGGCTGCTCCGATGTGAACAATATGCTATTTCCGTCAGCGGTCGCGGCCTGCGATATGCTTATTGGTCGAGTGAAGCTTGAGAGAACCAATCAGTTTCTCAAATGCTTCAGCCTCCAGAGATGGATACAAAGAGCGATACGCACTGCTATCTCGCAGCTCTTCGCATCTGCTATTGGTCCATGTGGCACAGCATCTAGGTGGTAGCTCTTGATGTGTGGAAGCTCGTTTAAGCTTATGTGGCTTGCCCTGTTCTGGTCCCTGTGTGGTTACATAGGTATGCACCGCATGCTATTATCTGGAAATGGTCGTCTCCAAAAAGGATTGGCATACCAAGACGGACGGCGATGTCAGCGTGGTATTGGAGCAGAAGCTCACGGTTCGTGCCGCTCCTCCTCCACCCAAGAATCGCTCATACTAACTTACAAGAGAAGAGGAGGATGAAACGCGGTAGCAAGTAGCTCTTCTAGGGCTTGCATGAATGTTTTGTTCTTGTTGATCTCCACTCCTTGAGGAATCGTTGTCAAGTTTCAAAGTCGTGGTTTGTTTACACCGCTCTCGTTTCTTGTTTCAACCACTTGTGATCAGAATGCTGGCAAGCCAAGACCCTACAGGTTGTTACTGTGATGTTGCGTTGTAGTTAGTGGTAGCAACATCTCATATGGATTTTGCTGCCTGTAGTGAATGCCACTGTAGCACAGGAGAGAGAATGTTGAAAATACTCACGTGGTGGTCCCCTCCTCTCGTATCTCGCTGCCTTCCTTTTAACGTGGTACTCCTACCTTTCGCACGTGCGGGAGGGGAGAACATGACTTGCAATCAAGGTGAGGTCTATGTATATGTAAGTTCGAGCTGTTGTTATTCATATATCCATCTGCTTGTAGATACTCTCAGCCATTGTAATGCAATACTTGCGAAGATGCAAGTTGATGCTCACATTACACGTACTCGATGTAGCTTTGCATTTTCTCTTCTTTTGCATCGAATTTGCCTCTTGACTCGGAAAGTTGTAGACCAGGGCACCATTTGACTTTATGCACCTAATGATGATCAAACATTGGTGGCCTGCCCCTTTGGGTGGTGAGTTGAGAGCCCCAGTGGCCCAAAAGCTGTAACAAGTCAAAGGATCATGGTAGGGTCTCATTAAGAGCGCCTAGCTCTCTCAACGCTGAGCGAACTTGCATTTTTCGAGCTTGAAGTGGGCACGAGCTTACAGGCCATCGTATTTGCACATGGATCAAAAGAGACATTGATAGCCTGCGCTGTGCGCCCATATCAACGCACATTTCTTGGCAAAGCGTCAGCGCCGGTGGTCACTGGTCATGTTAGTAGATACACTGTTCTATTTGGTAAAGGCATGCCCGGCGAATGTCCCACACGATTGCAACGGAGAGGCCAGGAAGACGGCCGCTAAAGCACGAGCATAGAAGTATATAGAATCGTGATTGACGTGAAGCCGTCCATTGATAGAGGCAGCATCGCTTTAGGCCTGTTCTGGTGCTGGCGCAGTCACTGGAGTAGTCACTGGCGTAGTTGTCGATGACCGTCAACCTATGCATTCGGCTAGAGAGAGTGGTATCCCTTTCTCGATTTTAACACTCTACACCACTGCACGGATGCTGGGCGACAACATTCACCAATGCCTTCGAATGGCGTTATGCAGTCGAGTCGGAGCGGGTGGAATGGTTGGCTGGCGATAAGTCGACGGTAAGCGGAGCCGAGTCTGCGTAAGCCGCGATTCTGATTCGCCATTCAAAGGGCCGAAGGCCCGTGTCAACTGGAGGAGGATGCTAAGGTCGCGCCAGGTCGTGCGCTGCATGGCCACCTAGAGCAGGTACGTACAGATAGGCCGACCGCTGTTTTCTCATGCTACACTGCACACAATACTATGGTGGAGGACCGGCCTCACGATTGAGGATTATTTACTTACTTTCCTTGACCTTCGTACTGAAGACGCAGAAGAACGAAGGGCGAGGGGGGAGAATGGAGGGCGATGAGGGAGGGAGGGGTTGAAGCTCGGAGTTACGGCAGGTACTACTACTGTAAGTATGTAAGTACGTACCTAGGTACTTACTTACTTATAGTATACCTAAGTACCTACTGCAGAAAGTGGTGGCTAGGGGCGCGATCTGAACAAGGGGACGACAGGGTCAGAGGTCTAGCGCCCGATATCTGGCGTCAACTATTTCTGAAGCACTGCACCAGCCGTGTTTCAAGATTCTGAGTCCAAGCAGGGGGCTCCCTGTGCGGCACGCGCGTGCTGATTGGCCACCAGAGGCGCTGCTGGGCTCACGTCTGAATGGGGACACGATGATTTGGATTCCTACTGGGCCAGGCTGCAGTGCCTCTGTCCACAATGTTGCAGACGAGGCGCCTGTACTGTAAGTATGTCTATCCAGTCAATTCTTGCAGTAGCGTCACGAAGAGTGTGATGGTCAGTCAACCGCCGTCTTTCTGCCCTTCTGGTCTTTTGAAGGGACTGTGACTGGTCAAGTCGATAGGCCGCCATGAGGTCATTTGCTGGTTTGCTAGTTGGCTGCTGGGAGAAGCAAGCTTTAATCGCGTACTGAATGGCGGCATGCGACTGTTCGACAAGTTTTGTACCGGTAAATTTGGAGTTTGGAAGAAAAAAAAAGAAAACAGAGAGCTCGATTAGGCAATGAACGCGCTTTGTAAACATCACATTAGGGAAGTCAGCATGTCGGATTTACGCTAGCACAGTACCTAGTCTGCTGGCCTCTTGTGCACTGCTCGACTACGGTTACGATATCCAAATATAGAAAGTCGCAGAACATCTCAGGCTTGTCTCCTAATGTGTCTCCTAATGTTCACTCTGTTGTGGAATATCGCTTAAGTGGGTAGGATGAGGAGCAACATGAGGGCTTTGACCGAGAAACATTTGCTTTCATAAGTATGGCCATATGTCTCAGCCAGTCTAAGTAGGAGAGCTGCGAACCATTCCATAGACATGCCGACAAGACTGTCTTGCAATATTGCGGCCGTGTGTGACTTCTCCTTTGCTGATGTCTTAAGATGCGCCCCAACCAGGCAAGGCCACCAATCCAGGCAAACTCAATGGCTTAACTGTTGTTCTCTCAAATTCCTCTCAGTTACAACTTACTGTTGTAGGTTACTATGCACAATTCCTCGGTATCGCACTCCTCCGTAATAGTACTATAACCATCTGGGACTTTGCATCTTCTTTCGTCTTATACTTCCTATAATCTAATGGTATTAATGAGGGCTAGGTAGTATGATAGCGCGATGTACTTGTAGGGAGCGTTGTACAGCACAATGTCGACAAGGGCTGTAGGTACCTACACTAAGTACAGCACTGCACAATAGACCCTTGCGATTTGATTTCCGAGCGTTGCACTCAACCATTTCTTCATAGCTGAGATCCCTGTCTTCGCTTAAGGCCTTTAAAGGGGTACAGTACAAGGACACAGGACGTATATGCATACGGCAGATAGTAATGTCTTGCCCGGGTGGCCTGAATACCTAGATTTTGTAGTCTCGGAATCCGGTGATAATACCCAGGACGTGACAGCTAATTAGGCAGTCTCAGCATATCCAATATGAGTAGGGCAATCGGTAGTGCAGTCAGTGGAAGGCGGGGAATAGAGCCGGTGTTAACGATCAATATCTGTGTATGTACATGGAGGTGTCAAGATACTGCCGGTACGGAGATCTTCGCTTTACATACTTATTACTTCTACATAATGGGTGCTGCCATGCACGGTGTGTTTATTATGCGATCCCATTCCATGAAGGCAGTTCGAGGCAACCAAGTATGTGGACAAAGTCCTGCAGGAGAGGATGGGATGACGGGATGCGTGCCCCGAATGCGCATACCCGGTACCTACACCATCTCTATTGTGATTTGTGAACTGCTACTGTATATATATGTAAGACGCTCGATTGACCAAGTGCAGTAGCCGTCGTCCAAACGCCTATTGATGTTTATGGAGCGCCAGGTCTATCGTACTTATCAATCACTTAGGTAGTATACAGATCAATAACTCTCCGGATCCCTGTGCATTTCCCACTTTGCCATCGTTGTAGCCTCATTTAGGTTAGACGTCTGCAGGCACGTTTGACCCTTACTTGTTATAGGATTAATGACAAGATTAAAGATGGAAGTAGATGTATGGATGTATGTAGGTATCATACGATGCTTCAATCTAGGCCTAAAGCTGACAATGCACATGGGCTCCATTCCTGAAAGCTGCTTAAATTGCTGTACCATTTAGCTCGAAGGTGTGTACTGTATGTACACTAAGTATATCTACAGACCTCTTCACAGCATGGCCATTGATGTTTACAACTCCTCAGTTATGGTAGATCTGATGTCTGGTGCTTCTTTCGTGAAGAATTGTTTCGGAGGGTTGACTGGCTGTATTGGTTCTGATGTCCTACTGAAAATGCTTGTAAGTAGGCTCTCTCCGTCACATTCCAAAGATCCCGGTACCAGTAAATACCTCTTACTACCTACAGTAGGTGCGGAAGCTTAAGTACACACAGTCAACTCAATGTACTATAGCAACAACGACATTGTTTCCTGCGGCTTGAACGTTCACTGCAGCCCACGGCAGTGCAGCGCATGCATACATAAGTAGGTAGTATACTGTACTAGTAGAAACGGTAGTTAGGCCAGATCTATTTAGTATCAGCACTGGTTTGCATCTTGTACTATGCAATTTCCCAATTGCGTTGCGATTTGCCGGCTCGTCAGTCGGTTGAAAAAGGCCTCAGGGGTCAGCAAGTGGATTGGAGGGAACGTGGGTAGCTACGCACGTGTACAGTAGGGAAAATCCAGAAAATCCCCAAAATTCCACATCGCCCGCAGCGCTATACTGTGCCTCCTTGACGGTATGTACTGTGCTGTAAGTAGGCATCGTATGGTAGGTAGCAATGGATTTCGATCGAATATGCTTCCTAGAGAGGATAAGCGCATTATTTATCTACGCTTGTACATGGAGGGATGACCCTAACCCCCCTACCCAAATGAATTTTCTTACTGGTGTGTCCCCTAGAATGTGTGCTACTCGATACCGTTAGGCCAGGTAGTAGTATGTACTTAGGTAGATTAAGTAGGTATCGACCGAAAGTACTAACAGTAAGTAGGGTACGGTAACGTACTTAAGTACCTAATGAGATCGTACCCACCTTAGACCCGACCGCTGCGTGCAAATTTAGCCCACCTAAACCCACCCACGCCGGCCCCTGTCGTCCGCTAGCGTGCCCTTTTCCGCGCTGGCCTTTCCATGTTCTGCACCAGCAGCCCGTCAGGCCCAATGCCCAAGCTAGGTACCTACATGTCCACTGTCCACCGTACCCTGGGCCTGGAGTGGGTAGCTGTTAGTGCACAATTCAATGGAGCATGGCGCTGGCGCAATGTACCTACCTGCTCGCACCTGCTGTCACCCTGGCCGGCGATAGAGAGGCGAGCGGGCGGGAGCAAGACAGCCAGATGAATCCTCCATCCTCTTCTTCAGTCTTTAGTCCCATCACACTCTCTTCCCACCCCATGTCGCCCAGCCTGCTCTGCTTTGGTACCCAGCCCGTGGAAAATCATTAAGACCCCCGAGCACCGCTGCCCTCCCCGTCCGCCCGTTCCTTTTGTTGAACTTGCTCCCCTGATTCTTCTGAGCAAGATCAGTTCTGTTCAGAAACCCCTCTCTTTTTTCTTTCTTTCACCCTCTCCCTCTCCCTCTCCCTCTCCCACCCTCAACCCTCCCTGGTGTGTCGCGGGCCGCCAACCTCACTCACTCACTCACGCTCACTCACTATCTCTCTCGCTCTACTTTTATTTCTTCTTCTCTAATTTATAGCTGACGGAATTACCGGCGCACTGGAGACCTATTCCCCTCAACGACACCAACGCCCGACTGTCCGGCACAACCGTGGTTTATAAGGCAAACTTTGTCGTAGTCTGCATACTTCGACAACCTCTGCGAGTCGCCTCATCCGATTTCCCGGGATATTCCATCGGCTTACGCTTTTTTCACCTGTTATGACAACAGCACCATTTCGTTAAACTCGCTCACACCGGTCAAGAAGCTTAGTCTCAGCTTTCGACCCACCGGTCTTTTTCGGTCAACGCGACAGCGCATCACTGAAATTGGCGAGCGAGCGGGTCTGTGGATGAACCAAGACTTGCTAAGATTGCTTGCGCTCTGTTAGGCTGGGCGACATTTCGACACCCCCATTCCCGCCAATAGCAGACGTGTACGAAGCTGTCTAGAATTCAACAATTAGCAACTTTTCGCTTGTGTTTCTACCTTGAAGGTCAACACTGCCTTGGACGCCATCGTATCTGCTTGAAGCAAATCGAGGCGTATTTGGTCAAAATCATTAAAAAAAAATCAACGGGCTGGACTCGAATTCACCTGGACAATCTTCTCTTGAACATTGTCTACCTACACAAATCGCTTTCCTCCTGTGCCCGGATAAATTCACACCTCGGCAGTGCCTTGGATTCACCAGGATTCTAGAGCGTTGCGGGACTGGGACACCTTTCGACAGCTGCTATAGCTCTTGTCCCCTTACATTACTTGGTACACCTAGTGACTCAGGCTCATTGCCAAGAACGCTTGGGATAAGGCGCAGAGGCACCTTCGAAACGCCTTTTGGACGCGGCTGTGAAGTACACCATGTACTCGCAATCCGCAGCCATGGCAGCAACAGCTCCCCAAAAACCAGAGACATTCATGCTCAGCACAGAGGCCCAGCAAGCTTTACCTCATGATGCGCAAGTAGCTCTACAGCAAGTTGATAATCGTAGGTTATTTTCAAAATACTTCCCAGGGGTTTGCGTAGTTTCTGTTGCTAATTACGCGGCCAGTCAAATATTTTCTCATATCTGCTCCGGTTGACTGGCAACCCGATCAATATATCCGGAGGTTTCTTTTGCCGACCGGTGAATACGTCTCTTGTGTCCTATGGAATAATCTGTTCCATATCTCCGGTACTGACATCGTGAGATGTCTTTCTTTTAGATTCCAGGCCTTTGGCCGTCCTGTTAGGAACTCGAAGAAATTTGAGGAAGGTATTTTCTCTGACCTGCGAAATCTGAAATCTGGAACCGATGCTTCCCTCGAGGAACCAAAGAGTCCCTTCCTTGACTTTCTCTACAAAAACAACTGTATTCGGACACAGAAGAAGCAGAAAGTCTTCTACTGGTACAGTGTGCCTCATGACCGCCTCTTCCTCGACGCCTTGGAACGAGATTTGAAGAGAGAGAAGATGGGCCAGGAAGCCACCACAATGGCACAAAGCGAACCAGCCTTGTCATTCCAATATGATTCATCACAGTCACTTTACGAACAGCTAACCAAGGCACAACAAGCCAACTCTTCATCCTTCAATGCGCAGCAGGTTTCTTTCTCATCCCAGTCTCAGGCGGCTTCCCCAGTGATGAGGGCCATGGAATCGATGCCCCCTCCGCAGATGCTTCCCCAGTCGTTAGCCCCTTTAACAGAGGGTATGGATGCTATGGTCTCGTATAACACGATGGCGACGATGGCGCCGGCGATGGTTCAAGCAATGCCCCAGCAAGTTCAGCAAGTGATTAAGAGAGAGCCCGACTACCCACGTGTTCAGTACAATCAGAATGGGGTGCCCGTCAGCCAAAGCCATCAGCGTCACGCCTCCATGCCTGCGTACGGTCTCGAATATTCTCCTGCGCCTTCTTTCGTCTCCTCCCATTTCGAAGACTACAGCAATCGTGGCATTTCTTATGAGCCTATCACCCCCCCTCAGCAGGCCCTAGGCATGGTTGGTGAGCCGGCTTATATCGCAAATGAAGAGACTGGGTTGTACAGCGTCATTCCAGAAACTACCCTCGGAAATGGTTTGAATGGAATGATGCAGCTGCCACCACCCAACCTGGCAGGTGCACAATTTTCTCGTGGCTACGGGGCTACCAGCGCCTACTCCATGATCGAAGGGTCACCAACATACAAGCAGAGAAGGCGGCGTTCATCAATCCCCCCCACTATGGCAACTATCGCTGCCGTAACTACGCAGGCTCAAGCTGCAGCCCACCGTCCATCTGATCTGAGGAGGTCTGTATCGGCTTCCGTTGGACCTTTAGCCGAGGGTGATGAGATGCCAACCAACTCTCCTCCAAGTCTTTCTTATAGCAACCACGCGTTGTCGATTGCCAGCCACCAGAACAGAGAAATGCTTGAAATGTCAAGACACGGTACTCCTCTTTCTGCTGTCGATGGTAGTCCGGCTCTCAATCCTCTGTCTCTTCAACGGCAAGATTTTGTTGGCCTAGCTAACGACGACTTCGGCGCTGATGGTTGCATGAGTGAGCAAAGAACAATGCAGGCCGGACCCAATGTTGTTCGTAGAGCTAGATCGGCAACAGTTTCGGAGCTCGGTAACCCCTATCCTCAAAAATCCCACTCGTGCCCTATCCCGACCTGCGGCCGCCTATTCAAGCGTCTCGAGCACCTTAAGCGGTAAGATTGGGTTGTTTTTCTCTTTGTTGCGCCCGCTATTGTGTATCTGACTAAATTTCTAGACATGTGAGGACACACACCCAAGAAAGACCCTATATCTGCCCCCATTGTAATAAGGCATTCTCTAGATCCGACAACCTAGCACAGTATGACCTCTGCCTTACCCTGTATATTTCCTTTGTCGGCTTGAAGATCCTGTGATGAGCAATGATGTTAAGTGCTACGTGCACATTTATCGAAATTAAACCTTGTGCGAACCCGAGTCACAACACAGCGACACCTACATCATCTCATCATGGGATCGGAAAGTCTTGAAAAGTAGTCTTAATGCTAACACTTTATTGTTATAGGCATAGGCGTACACATGATCGCGGCGACGGTGCCGAGACCGGTCTTCAGCTGTCTGGCGAGGAAGAAGACGAGTTCTCAAGTGAGGACCACCTTGGATCGCTTGAAGACGCCTCGCCCCAATCTGAAGGCGGGTATATACCTTCTTCTCTCAACTCTCTGAGCCCCAACCACCATGGGATATCGAACGGAGGGATGACACACACGGCTCCTTTCAATCCTCTTCAGACGTTAAGCATGCCAATGACTATGAGTACGCCGAGCGGTGCGATATGAGATTGATTTTGCCATTTTTATTATCTATAATGGGGAGATGCGCTATCGCGGATCCCTTATTGATTCTTTTCCCGTCAGTTTGCTGAACTTGGCATTTCGATTTTGGCACGCATGTCGCGGAGCCCGAAGCTATTCACGCAATCTAGCGTATATTGGCTGGAACGCCACTTTTATCATGTGGAATTATGTTCTTTATGGGATATCACAACACCAGACACTTCATAGACTAGCAAATTTCGCCATAATAGCGGGGGCCGGGTATCTCCATCGGATAGGAGAATGAGGTGATGGAGCATACGCAGAAGAGGGATATGATCCAATGAACCTGAGCATACTTGTATATAATTGTTTCATCTTATGTGCCGCACAAATATCTATAGTGGTGGAGAGTTGATTGGGGGCTTACGATGACGCATCTTCGAAGCCTGCTGCAGAAAAGGTTTAAGACTCGAATAAATAATATGTTCTAAATAACTTTGCTACCATCTTAAACCTAACGGATTGTTTTGTGTCTTCCTTAACTAAGAATTGAAGTTAAAGTGAAAGCGCTGACATGTCCCACATTTGATAAGCCACGCGTTACCATTTGCATGTAGATCCAAAATGGTGAAATATACTATAGTGTAATCATCGAGATAGAAACCTCGCGTGCTATCTATCGCTATTATGCTTCGTTAATTATGTGTGATGTAATACCGGCCACATCACTGGCAAAGACCGGTTGGTGTTAGCCGATAGAGTCCGGCTATTGCATAGCTATAGATGAAAGATATACAATTGAAATTTGATACAAACCGCAATTCCTAGCAAACGCCGCATAGCCTAGGCTTCACATGGTTTTGCGTGCTTGGGTGCTGCTCTGTCTTCCTGGCAGTTAGTGTACAGTCAATGCCCAGCACGATAAATTTGTCGTTCTGCTGGAAAAAGCCAACATTCTTCCCCATCTTGTTCTCCATATTTTCCGTTGCCTCACAAGAAACCATGCGTTTGGACAGGTGGTGGTGGTTTGGGCTTGGGGGTGACGCCAACGCTTTGAATAGCGGCGTCCCATTTGGGCATGTCGTCGGACCGTGCGGCGATGGATTTCCACCTGACGTAGCCTCTCTCATCGATGGCGAAGGCACCGGACATCTGCCAGCGCGAACCGCTCTCGGTGGGACGATTCCAGATATTCTCTTTTTTGCCGAGCTGAAGCGTGTTGTAGAGGGAGATGGGGTTCATCAGATGCCAAGTTGTCGATAGGCCGAGCCCGAACAGCGAGTAGAGGTCGCGCTCCTCGTCAATAACGACGCTCACGTCCCAGTTGCCGCCAACCTTGACGACCCAGCGCTCCGTGGCCTCGGACGAGGAATGCGAGACAGCGACGAAGTTTATGTCTTTGTAGTCGTTGGAGAGCTTGGCGAGAGACTTGAAAGTTTTTTCGGCGACTGCGGTAGAGAACAGAAGGATTGTGTTAGTTGGGGTTGTACGGGTATAAGTGGCCAAGGCCATGTAATATTGCCGTGGAGAGAAAGACTACTTGCGTATTGAGAGGGAGCAACGTACAAGGGCAGCCGCAATGCCGCAGAAAAGCAATGATTGTGGGCTTGTCGATCGGTAGTGTGAGATTCGGATGCGTGGGAGCCTTGGCCCCTATTTCTGGCGATGGCTTGACGTCTTTCTTGGGGAGTGTTTTAAGCGACTCCCATTCCTGAGCCAGAGACATTGTTTGGAACAGAAATGCTGTATTGTAATGGGTATACGCGGGAAATGCAAGTGACGGGCTGAAGAAGAAAGAATGCAGTTGATTATTCGCTGGATATGTTGGTACAAGATGGGATATGGTGATTGTCTTGCATGTGAAACAGGGGTTCAATGGCCTTGGCTTGATGATTATCACAGCCGCAGAACCCGACTAGGAAGATGAGGGGTCTTTTCTAGGATTGGCACTTAGAGCTACTTACTCAGTAGAGCTCAACTGGTCCCAGCTGTCAGCGGCTCGCCCTCCATGTCCAGGCGCCTACCACACATACACACACATCATGAAGCGCCGATAGCAAAGAGAGAGGTTGTGCAAGTAGGTAAGTATACCATTTACAACGCTGGCCCAGAGGTTGAAGAATAAAACGAACAGATAGCAGCTTCTTCATAATTGCTTTATCTGACCATGCGCGAAATAATCACACTACAGCTTGGGCAGCAAAGCAATTATATAGCAACACACTTCTGGAACGCTCAAGTGAGGTCATCGAAACATGTCTCGGTCCATTTTTTTGACTAATTCTGGCAATACAGGAATCTTATTTTACCTATGGTGCAGACGAAGAATCACCAGTCGATCATGACGTGCATTTCCGGCCAGGTCTCGGCGCAAATGGCACTGAGACTTTTATGCCAAGAACAGTTGTCTATGACCTCAAGGGCGGATTTGGCACCTTAAAGAGGCTCAACGCTCTCTACGATATTAGCGAAGATGCAGAGGCAAGTAGCCTGTGGTGAGTGTCATCGCTCTGACCGCTGATCTGATAAATTTGTTCTTATCCCTTCCCAGGTCTGGGAACGCAGTTGTACACAAACAGCAACCCATAGATGCCAGCGCGTACCAGGAAAGTCTAGACTCGGGACAGGCGCCCCCTGAGCTCACCACAAGCACAGTGAGGTACTGGTCTGATTTCAACAGGGTCTTCTACCACCCAAAGTCCATTATTCAGCTTAATGAGTATGAGTTAAACTCGACGCTCATGCCATTCGAGAAGTGGCATATGGGAGAGGAGTTGTTTGCCAACCTGGATAGGGAGGACGATCTACTAGATCGCGACTTACGCCCCTTCGTTGAAGAAGCAGATCATATGCAGGGTATACAGATAATGACTGGGCTCGATGATGCGTGGGGTGGCTTCGCCACTAAATATGTTGAACGGATACGAGATGAATATGGCAAGACTCCCGTCTGGGTTTTTGGAGCACAAGAGCCTACGAAGGGTCTGTCTAGGGTAGGTTGTGCTTGACACCACCGTATTCTGCTTGGGGCGACTAATGGCAATTAGGAGAAACGGCTTTTGAAATTGGTTAACAAGGCGCGCGCGTTGGCTGAGTTAAGCTCGCAAGCCTCCCTAGTCGTACCTCTGGCTCTACCTGAGGAGCCTCTTCCGTCTAATATCCACTTAGATCCATCATCGCCATGGCATGTGTCAGCGCTGTTCGCAGCTACGATCGAAAGCACAACTCTTTACACTCGACTCAGAACTGTTGATCGTATCTATTCAAGTAACTTTAGTCACATGACGGATCTCCTCAATGTTTTCGGAAGACAGACTATCGCAAACATAGAAATGAGCCCCATTGACCTCGCCAGCTCAACACGAAATGGGCCCACAAACTCGCGTGGCGATCCCATATCTAGCCTTTACGAACGTGTTGATGACGACGAATCTGAGTCCGGTTCGCAAAAGGGCGCAGCGCCATTAGACGTGGACCTGTCAGCCCCCCAAGATCTAAAGTTAGATCCAGGGGCGAGGAAGCCGAAGAAGCGATATGTTTTCAGCCAAGTACGGACATATCGGGGACCCGAAACCGAGAATCCAGCAGACGAGGAAGGTGGTATTGACACCGGCCGCTTTGGTATGAGACGCAGGCCGAAAGTCCACAAGTAAGTTCGGAGCTGAGAGGTATTTATAGCAGTGCTGATTATTAAACTCTCTTAGTTACCGCTCTAGCCTTTCTTTTCCAATCCTCGATAGCTACCCGGCGATATTCAGGGATAGCAACAGGAGTACAATTAAAGAACACATGGCCATGCGCACGTCATTGACCACCGATACTTCCGTGATGGACAAAATCAGAAGACTTCGGACAACAGTTATCCGATCTATTGGTGTCGAGGATAGGGAAGTTATTGGGAACGAACTTGCAGAAATTGCCGACGGGTATAAAGAGGGGTGGTCGAGTGGGAGTGATGATGACGACGATGATTGAAATACCACCCAAATTAGATTTTTGATAGGAAGGAAATCCAGTTGAGCATATCTTAATATCTTGCTTATTTGCCATGCGTTCTCCGGTATATATCAACTTTAGTAGTATTGTTGGCATCCTAAATCCACCATAGGACATACGAATTACCAGCGGCGCTTTATAGGCTAAGTTAACAATAATATTATGATTAACGAGCACGTGCCGGTTCATTTGTGAAGACTTGTAAAGGTAAAGCCAGGTCTCATTCTGACTGTCTCTCTGTCAACATGATGTCTACGCTATGCATAACAACAAATAGCCAGAGCCAAAGAGACATACACTCGGTGTGGTCTATTTGTGTCTCGTGCAAGGGGTCATTCTCAAGAGATGGTATGCAGAGATGTTGATTTTCGTTACAGGGGTGCTCGAAACCTAATACCATCGGGAGGATGCATGTGAGAACCCCCGACCTGAGGGCGAGACGCCAAGTACATGGAGGACAGCTCATGACATCGCGTAATTACCGATCTCAATGCCGTTTACCTTCTTGTTTACGGAACGAAAGGAACGTTATGTTATCACCACACAAGAATAAGCCACTTGTGGAACGACAAAGTCGGTGATAGTTTTCAAACATCATATAGCGTTCCTCGCTCTCTCTTGTTTACCCCATCTCGCCGTTTCTATAAGAGGCTCGCGTTGTTGTTTTGGATATGCCAGGTACGTTGTGTTAACTTGTTCTGGGCGAGTTTTATTCAAGGTTCGCACTCTAAACGCGCTCGAGATAGAACAAGTAGATGGCAGATATCAGGGAAAGTGAACATACTGACAGACAGGGCTTGATGTAAATTCATGAGGTACTCTTCAGGAGCTGAACTATTGAGTCTTATCTTGAAATTTTGTCTTTCTAACAGTTGATCTACACGGATGGCTGCCTAGGTTATTAGTATACTAGATTCTGTATGAAGATTAGGTTTGGCGAGAAGCGGGATGATGATTCATATTACCTTAACTATATTTTCCCCTCAGGATCTAGTCGGAAGCATTCGTTTACTCCCGGCTTTTTGAACGGAACTTGCGTTTTCGTGTTCGTGTCACGAATGTAGAGAGCTGACAAACAGACTGTCTCTATGCAATGGGTATTTCTTGGCAACGCAGTAAGCCCCTCACTGGATCGTGGATGGGACTTCAGCGCAAGGTCTTGGTCGATCGTCCGATGCCGACGTGTACTATCCGAGGAAACATATTGCGAGCTGATACATATAATATATCAATGGACCTGATTCTTGACGGCAAAAAAAAAAAAAATTAACAGCAGAAAAGGCAGTGGAGGTTACATATAACTTCTCAGGTCGGCGTGTGAATTAATCATGGAGCATCTCGACATTGTCATTGTTGGTGCAGGTAAAAGCCAATAAACACGAGTTCTTTGAAGAAATCTCTTACATGGTATATTAGGTCTGCATGGTCTTGCTGTCGCCCGGACACTGGTAGCTGCAAATTTAGGCTCAAATGAGCCCAAGAAAATCGTCATACTGGAGGAAGGCCGCTCCATTGGTGGTACTTGGGCTGCGGAACGGCTCTATTCTGGCCTGAAGACGAACAACGTCGTCGGCTCATACGAGTTCAGTGACTTTCCCATGGATCTTGAGCGCTACGGACTCACGCCCGGCCAACATATCCCTGGCTCTGTAGTCCACCGGTATTTCACAGATTTCGCAAGACATTTCGGGCTAGACCGGCTTATCCGTTACCAGACTAAAGTAGAAAGAGCCTTGCTTCGAGACGATGGAACATGGGAGCTTGACTGTACACGTGTATGCGACAACAGACCACAAAGTGGAAAGCTAACTTGCGACAAGCTCGTCATTGCTACGGGTCTTACCTCTGACGCAAACATGCCGACTTTCCCAGGCAGTTCTGACTTCTTGGGCCCGTTATTCCATGCCAAAGACCTTCATACACGCTCTCAAGACCTTACAGGTTGTGAAGAAGTCGTAGTTATTGGCGGTAATAAGTCTGCCTGGGACGTATGTTACTCCGTTGCTACTTCTGGCTCTCGCGCGCACATGGTTATAAGGCGATCGGGAGGAGGTCCAAGTTGGGTTTGGCGACCTATGCACCTGTTCACACTGAAGCTGACGCTCGCACGGATATCGTCCACTCGCCTGTTCAGCTGGTTCGATCCTAGCCCCTTCGGCTCAAGCTTCTCTTCCGTTCGGCGATTTCTCCAGGAAACTATTCTTGGTGTCTGGCTAACATGGGCGTTCTGGACCGTACTAGACTTGCTCGCCATGGCAACCACTGGATATAATGATACTAGGCTAGAGTTATTGCGTCCGTGGGTATCAACATTCTGGATGGGGAACTCTCTCAGTATACATAATTATGAAAGCGACTGGTTTGAATTTGCCAGGAAGGGCCAGATCGTAATCCATCATGCTGACGTTGTATCACTAGGGGGCGGGACGGCACAGCTTTCAGATGGCAGCAACTTGAGGGTTGATGCCCTAGTCTGCTGTACTGGCTGGAACTGTACGCCGCCCATCAAATTTGAACCGGAGGGAATATCAGAGGAGATAGGCCTCCCACGGAAAGTCAAAAGTTACCAGAAAGACCTCGATGGCCAAAGAGACCAGGACCTCAGGTCTTGGGTCCACGCTCAAATCAGAGCGCGATGCGCACAGCTTGGGTTCGTACCGAGGAGGACTTTACCAGAAGACGGCGAAAGCCAGGCAAGACACAGCTTATACCCCAAATTCCACTCTAATAAAACCATTGCCCTTGACGATAGCGAAGCCCCATACCGATTATATCGTTTCATCGTTCCCGCATCTCCTCGCTTTCTTAAACTGCGAAACATAGGATTCATCGGCATGCATCGCTCCGTGCACGCCGTAATAGTCGCCCAGGCACAAGCCCTGTGGCTGGCGGCATTTTTCGAAGACGGTCTCCGTGAGAAGCTGGATTCTCAGGTCGTTTATCGTGAGGCTGTACTACACACAGAATACGAGCGACTGCGACGGCCGAGAGAGAGCGGCGGTTCTGGTGCTTCGTTCCCAGACCTCGTGTTCGACAGCATCCCGTATACCGATCTCCTCCTAGAGGACCTGGGGCTAGAGATTCTGAGAAAACGTACGCTGTGGGAGAATATCGTTCAGCCTCACCTACCGGTAGACTACCGAGGACTTGTAGAAGAATGGCGGGCAGAAAAAGGGAAGAAAAAAGTGTGAGTGGGCTATGTGACACTCGAGTGCCTGGTGCTACCTGCAAAGCATAACAGTTTTACTATGACGTCCAGTATTGCCCATATTCGTGGTAGATAGATAGTATCTAAACTTGGGATATTCTTGGCTCTCAAAATGCGATCCTGCTGTGAATCGTAGCCTGAGAGCTATCTAACCGCATTGTAATATATGGAGAACGAATTCATGTGCAAATAAGCAGAATATTGGGCGTGGGCGCTCCAGACAATCGGAGCCCATCTACGTTTCTTTCAATACAAACTCCAACGCTTGCTTACAGATGAGCATTGCGTGCCCAAAAAGCCATTTCGCCATGATGCTCGCAGGTAAGTATACATCTAGAAATACTCAAACAGAGAAAATACGCTATATCCAATCCCCTGCAACAGCTTTATTCACTCATCTGCGGTCTCAGGTGCTGGCCCTGTCGTAAAAGCTCTCCTTCTTTCGTGACTCAGCATTCATTTCCTGGGCTCACTTCGCAAGTGCAAGTCGAGCTTCGACTCTCTCCCTGTGGTTCCTATTCTTCAAGTGCACCTCAAAATTCGACGCTGATGTGTCTGGACCCGGGGTGTACAGTTTTCCAGGGCAGTCCAGACACCGTATCCTGGGGAAGAAGTAGAATTGAACGTGAGGAGGTACAGGCTGACCGTTCTGAGAAATAGGATAGGGCGCACCGGTATTGGTGTCCACAGCGGTGTAGCGCATGATGCCCTCGAACTGATCGTTTTTGTACGCGTCTTCCTGCTTAAACTGTTCTAGAGCACTAACAAGCCATGCTGGAGGAGGAGGCTATGAGTAGTTGTGAGTATAGTGATTAAGACTAGGTCATCACGAATGTAGGTTGAAGACTGACATCTAGCCATGCCGTGACCAGGTGACAATGATTAAGTCATAGATCATAATGGCTGCTAGAATATCGGAAGATAGAGGAATCAGGGTGCGGAGGAATAGGTGAAAATGGTCTTACAGGAGTCGGCTGAGGCTCACCCGGTTTTTGAGGGGGCGCATCTACTCGACCAATCTGAACAGGGGGCATCCCATTGGAGGGTGTTCGCATAGGGGCTGCTGGCGTTGCTGCGCTTGGAGTAGATGGCGGAGGCATACTGTTGGAGACGGAAGCGCTAAGGGCGCGACTATGAGGTTGTGAAGGCGTAACAGAACCAGCTGGCGTGTTTTGTTTTAATTTGGAATCCCTGAGTAGTTTGCGTAGCTTCTCTTTCGAGACTCTCAGTGTCACGAAGAAGTGCTGCGGTTCTTCTGTCGCCTCACGTGTCACTTCACGGCCAAACCTCCTAGATGTTCGGGTTTCGTGATGGTGGATCGTGGCCTCTGGTGTTTCGGACCGGCCAATATTGGCCATACGTTGCTGAGCTGCTGAAGCAGCGCCTCGCATGCCCCTCGTCCTTGCTGTACCGGCCAATGCTGAAGCTGCTGGAGAGTCGGGTGATGAGTCGTCACTCTCGTCGGAATCTGACATATCTCCATCACGACCACCTTGTCCTCTCCTGCGGCCTGTTCCCGGAGCGCCTGCTACACGCTTATAAAGCCTGCTGTCTTCGACATCGGTTACTGCACCAGGCAGAGTTGACGATACAACGAGAGTACGTATTGTCCTCTGGCGTTCTTTCAGGTCTGGGAGTGTGGGTCCGCCACGTCTGTTGATAGACCTCTTTTGCCGCCTCTGCTCTCGTGAAAATACGAGTTCATTCCTCTCTAAGTCGGCTTCGCTTAGCTCATATAGATAAGGTGAATAGTCTTTGGCCTGTTGTTGCGGGCGGAAAACATTAGGTAGAGGCGATGGGAGAAAAGCTGCCACAAGGTCTGGATCTTCGATTGGACGGCCGTCAAAGGGATGTCCAACGCTATACAGACTTCTCGTAAATAAGTGTGTCTGCTCTCGGATACAGTGAGCTATGGCAGTTGTAAACTCTCCGGATAGAGCCAGATCCTTTGACATGCTTGCAGCGAACTCCTCGGGCGAATTGAGCGGGTTGTTAATTTCCCACTCAAACTGGTCGACCAGAGTGTGCTGTCCAATGGTAATGTTGAGCTTGACTAAGATCCGCATTTCATCGTTCTTCCAGGCGGAATATGGTAACTCTGGGTCTAAAGCATCTTCGTCTGAGAAGACAAATGGATAGAAGTCGTTGAGCTGTTCATGGAGCTGCTTTAAAACCTCCTCATAGACAGGTTGCGCCATGGGAGGTTTTAGCCCCATATCCTCGATCAGATGCACAGCAAACAGGTCAGGGCGAACCAATCTCTCATGAAGATTCCACGTAAAGGTGTCGCGTAGTTTGATCTTATCATAATCGACATCTAGTCGCACGGGTACGAGTTCCTCGTGCTGCTCGGCCTGTTGTTTCATGTCTTTCCTTTTCCATTTGAGAGGCGGTGTTTGTCGTTTGCCGGGCTTGGGCCTATTCATAGGATACACCAGCCGTGAAGACGGGCCATTCTCGGTCCGCCCGTTCCCATAGCCGCTGTAGCCCTCGCCGTACAGCCTCGAGGGTGGGAACCAGGGTCGGTACTCGGTGCGTAACATCTTGTAGTCTCCTATCTTATGATAGGTGGTGCTATTGAGCTTGGTTGTCTTTTTACCAGACTCGATTACGGCGGCAGCATTGATGTTATCGCGAGTTATCGCCTTCTGTATCAAAATCTTCTCGTACGCAGCTTTGTCGCGGAAGGGAAGGCCGCCTTCGTTTGCATCCGAGGGCGCATCGGCTTTTTCGTCTGGGGTCGATGACGACGAGGAGCGATCTAGCTTGGGTGTTGAGGCACCTGTGGTTGTGGCGACAGGCACGGCGCCGCCGCCACCGCCGCCGGGGGCACGACTTGAAGGGGCGTCAGCATCCTGTTGGGTAGCCATGATGAAGGAGCGAGTCTGATGCGGATCGAGTCGATATCGATGGGCCAGGTAGTCGGGTGCTGGGATGCTGGGACGCTGGGATGCTCATCTGATGCTCAGGGGCTGGTCGGCGCCTGATGAGCCGCTGGTGCTCTGTCAGATTGGTGCTGTTGTCGCACGCAGGTGGCCAGCGCAAGAAGAGCCAACACGAAAGCGATGCAGGGAGATTGATGATGGGCGGAACAATGAGTCTTTGCGCTTTTGGGTGGGCTGAGAAGCTATCGCTATTGCCAATGACTATGTTACGCGCTCGTGGGCGTGGGCGTGGTCGTGAACGAGCTGTTTCATTACAGTGCCCATGTAGTTCAGCGCTCGTTTTTACGCGATGCAGCCTTTGGCGCGACCAGATACAGAGCACCCATGGGGCGACAGGCGATACCAGACAGTGTGCATATTATATACAGACTATAAAACGCACTGTGAATCCATTGTATCTGTCGTATCACCTACTTATGTAAGCAGACTGGACAGACAGACAGCCAACGAGTCGATATTGGTCTGTGCACGTGCCTCCTCCATCCTTGAGTCTTACCACGCCGAGAACACTGTACATACCGTAATTCGGCAAGTGTACACGTACTAAGTAGGTACATATCTGCTTAGGTACCTAGGTATTAGGAGAGATAGAAGGTACCTGTAAGTACTTCCCCAGGTGGTTAGGTTGGCATCAATGACCAGCAGCTACCACTTAATCCACGCAACATTGGCAATTCTCTTTCTGAATCATTGCTATTAGTATACAGGTAGGCGTTCGTATGCCAGGACAGGATCTGTAATAGCTAATACTACTCCCTCCATGTAAGAATTAATATCGTGTATCCAGTACTACGTAACTACGTGAAGTTCTTCCGCTGACCATTGCAAATAATCATCTCGTCTCCTACCATCCCCAAGTAGGCATAATCCAGGTACCTGCTAACAGGAGCCATGTTATAATAACATGCTCAGCTAGCTGCCAATAATTAGCAAGAATTACACGCACGCACATACCTATGGAGTACTACGTAGTAGTACCTACAATAATACTAATGTAGTCTCGGGGGGCAGACCGGGGGGGGGGAGGTTGGTGAACCAAGCTGCTCTCGCCTCCAAATCTGGAATAGACGAGCGTGGGTGCGGATGGACATGTACCTGCGTTACCTGTTTATGAGCCATAGTGACCTCACCTACCCCTCCAGCACCCACACAAAGCCCCTCCGTCAGAGCAAAACCTCAAAATACCCGTTGCTGCGACACCTCTTCCGTCTGCCATCCGCTATCCGCCATCTGCCATCTCTGCCACCACAGGTAATTCGATCCACCTCGACCTCTTTTTCCCTCTTCCTTTCTAATCTTGAGTCCAGAGCCATCATCCTAGCAGTCCATAGCCGCTGGCTTAAATCCAACAACATGTCTGAAGAAAAAGATGTTGGTTCGTGCAGCGCCCTGTAGCTCTCCTTTTCACGCGTTTCCAACCTCTGTGCTTCCATTCCATGCCTTGAGGGCCTAGATACCTCAGGGGTCTCTTCCTGTGGCGCCCATGGTCTTATAGTCAGACGGGACAAGGCTAACTTCAACCTGTGCATTATCTAGACTACTCACTCAAGAACCCCGACGTTCTTACCAAGTACAAGACCGCAGCCGCCATTGGCGAAAAGGTGCTTGCTGCTGTGTCGCAGCTATGCGTTGCCGGGGAGAAGATTGTAACCATTTGCCAGAAGGGTGACAAGCTTATTGAGGAGGAGGTTTCCAAGGTCTACCGCACCACCAAGCTCAAGGGTATGTCTTGTCTTGTCTTGTCTTGTGGAACCGCGTCTGTTGACTCGGACTCGCGCTTGGGATTGGACTGACGTCGCGTGCTTCGCTTCCCACAGGCTTCTCTCACCCCACCACTGTTTCCCCATCATCCTACGTCACGCCCTACACACCCCTAGCGACCGATACTGCTGAGGCCAATATCGTGCTTCAGCCTGGAGAGCTGGTGAAGATCCAACTCGGCGCACAAATCGATGGGTTTGGGTCCATCGTCTGCGACACGATCATCGTCCCCTCTAAAGATGGCGCCGAAGATGTCGTCACTGGACGCACTGCTGACTTGATGTTGGCTAATTACTACGCAAATGAACTGCTCTTGCGGCTTATGTTACCTCCTGGACTGTTGGCAAGCGGTACTGATGAAGAGAAAGCCAAGGCCGCCGCTGTGAAGCCACCTACACAGTCCAAGATTACCTCTTTACTGGATAAAGTAGTGAAAAGCTACGAATGTAACCTCGTTGAGAGTACAACCTCATGGCTTTTCGATCGCAATGAGATTGAAGGCACCAAGAAGATCGTCTTGGCGCCCGCTGAGGGTACCAAGGGTGAAGGTGTCCCTCAGATTGGCGAGGTTTGGGGCGTTGAGATGGGAGTAACTTTGGGTTCTGGCAAGGTCAAGACTCTGGACCAGCGGGCCACGCTGCATCGCCGCACTACCAACACATATATCCTCAAGTCACAGACGGCCCGTAAGACTCTGTCGACCATCCAGGCCAAGTTTGGCCATTTCCCTTTCAGCTTGAGACAGCTCGAAGAAGAGGGTGGCGATACGAAATATAAGGTCGGAGTCTTTGATGGCGTCCGTTCCAATGTGTTACGGCAGTACGAATTGGTTGGAGACAAAGATGGCCAACCAATTGCTAGGTCATTAACTACACTTGGTAAGGAGGTCCCCAAAGCGCCTTACATATAGTCTAACATCAAGCAGCGATTACCAAGAACGGTATCACGAAACTGGGTGCTCCACCAGCACTTGATCTTAGCAAATACCAGACAGACAAGAAGATCACAGATGAAGAGATTTTGAAGATTCTTGAACAACCTCTAGCTAAAAATAAGGGTAAGAGCAAAAACAAGAAGAAGAAGCCGGCCAAGAAGGGTACCGAAGAGAATGGAAATGAGGATGATGAGTAGGCGTGGCAATTCTATACACGCTTAAATGCTTAATGGGTGCTGTGTCTTCAGACGGCCTCTTTGTAAAGCTTGTGGGGGTCCACGCCAACATAAAAGGGCATGCTGGCTCAACTCGTCTCAAGAGTCTACCCGCCCTGAGTCCAGGCATAAGCGTGAGTTCCTCGCCGAAGAAGGATTAGGTGATAGGACATGCCCATTAACAATAAATATGGCTAAAACATAGCGCTTTGTAGCAGTTTACAATAAACAAGAGAAAAAAGCTTGGTTCAAGCGTAAACTCTACCGAGTAGTTGCCTAGAATAGTGACCAATTTGAATGGTTTGATAGCGAGACATCCTGAGCAGGCGCACAATTAACTCCCGGACCCCCGGCCATACGAAGCCAAGAATCGGACAGAGCCATGCCAATGCCAGTTCTCTAGTTCAGAAAGTAAAGGGCCAGTGTAGGCAAAGCCAGTCTATCGTGGTAGGTTTGCATCAAACCTTGAGTTGGTGCTCAAAGCCGCCCACTGCAGAAAGCCGAGAAGGCAAACGCATAGTTGGATGAGCAAACAGCAACAGCGAGTGCGATGTGCAGGCAGGCGAACAGGCGAGCCGGCAGCGGGACTCGAGAGGGGGGAAAAGAAACACGAGACGACTTGTGGAATGGTGCAAGCAGGTGATCAAGGATCCTCAGGTGACTAACTGACGCCAGCAGTCCAGAAGGGGCGAGAAGAGGGCAGACAGACAGATAGCATACCTAAGTACCCAGCATAAGCTGTCACCGCGTGCAAAGCGCCGTTCAAAATAACCGTACAAAATTCAAAGTAGAGTGTCGCGGGCCTAGAAAGACGGTAGTATTGTGGTGGCATTCACAGTGTTTGTATGACACGAGGCCGGGATAGCGACACATAATAAAGCATCCTCCTCGCTCATTATCTGGGTAACATGAGATGAGAAAATAGGGGAGAGGGAGAGAGCGAAAGAGAGCGAGAGAGCGACTGACAGAGTGCCCAGCTGTTGTTGACAGCCCCCGGACAGCGGCGTGGTTTAGCGGGCTCAGCGGCGCATTAGCAGCCGTAGAACTGACTGGGGGGCGCATTGGTGCTGTCATGGCGGGTGGTGAGTGGCCCCAACACCAGTAATTTTTTTTGGAGCTCGCTCGCTCGCTCCCCTTTCGCACCAGCATTCCGTCGCCATACCGCGTATCCGATCCCACCATCACAACGCGAACAAACGACGGTGTGCACATGCCCAGCGCCCCAAAAGAGAAGTTCGTGGCCCGTACTCCTGCTTCAAGTCCAAGAGCTAACATCGTCTGCAGTCATTATACTGAAGGGAGCTCTTATTGCGAGGTTGTGACGCGCACGCGCAGCGGCAAATAGGGGGCTCGCTCCCCATCAATCCTCCTCCTCGCCAGAGCCAGACCAAGACAACACCATGTCTTCTTCACACCCCAAGCCTACGCGATCGCGTCTACCGAGCCCTCACCGCCTGTCGAGCTCATCCGTTGGTCATAGCCGAGGCGGGAATATCGACGGCTCTCGCACATTCATGCAGCGCTGGTTGGAACCACCCGTGCAGAATAAGGCCAGCTTCCAGGAGGCTGGGTTGATGCGCGGCGGTGTCGTGGAGAACATGGCTCCCTTAGGCACATTGCCCAAGGCAGCCATGCTGAAGAAGGCTCCCCTCTGTGCTGAGAGCCCTCCACCCAGCTCTGGATCGACTGTGAAGAGGATAGTGCTCAAGAAACCTTTTTCACCTGCCTCTGTGGGTACCGCAGTTCCGCTCATCACAACACCAAGCGCAACGGCAACACCATCTGATATCACACGCATGTCAAGCAGTGAGGCCGCCGGCGCAATGGAGGATGCTACTTTGGACCCGATGCTGTCGCCGACGTCGCATCTTGCGCTGCCGCTTCCGGTGATAGATGACATGAACGACGATGATTATGTGCCTAAGAAGTCCAAATCCCGCCGCGTCTCGCACCGTCCCAGCCACGCCAGTGTCTCTTCCTCCTCTGCCACTCCCACGCATCCACGCAGACAGTCACACAGGCACAGAAGTGCGCGATCTAGTCCTGTACCCCCCCATGTTGATCCCACACCTGATCCCACACCTGCTCCTACATCACCTACACGCTCTGAAACTCCCTCCATTCAGCAACTAGCACGCGAACCAGATGATAAAGAGCAAGCCAGCAAAATCGTCGAGATCGCGGTTGACGAGGCCCTTCGTCACTTTCGCTACCCTACTGCCTGGGCACTCCGTCTTCTCTACGATGAGAATTCAAGAGACCCTCATTTTGTTTCGATGATTGAGGATATATATTACCAGCGTGCTACGCCAAAAATCATTCGCAAATTCCGTCGTTTAGTCAGTGAGAAGAAGAAAGAGGGTAAGAAAGAGAACAAAGGGTGCTACTACTTTGTGCCGCCGCCGACGGGTGGTCGCTTTGCACCACATAAGCCGGCCCCTGCACCTTACGAAAACCTAATCAAGATGGAATTTGCTACGCTTCTCCGGACGTCTGCAAGTGATGTCGAGGTCGACGCCGACGGCCATGTCAGCAAAAGACGCAAAACAGAAGCGGGAGAGGGGCGAAAGACGCCCGTTGACCAGGCTGATACGCAACCTCATGTCGCAGTTACGGCCACTACAAATGGCGCAGGCTTGCACCCACACGGTCACAAAAACGGGAACCATGCCCATAGCCACCATGCCCGTGGCGGCGTTGCCAAGGAAAAGTCGCCGAGGGGCAAGAAAACGCGCTCCGGCTCAGTCAGCAGCACGTCGTCTCTCTCATCCGTCCCCGATGACGCGATAGAGGATTATGACGACTTCATGGGCAGTGTGGATGGCGATCTAGAGACCTCGCGGATGGAGGGCCAGTTGGCCGAGGGAAATAATGCACAAATCCCGGCAGGATCAATGCAGCCAATCAGCGTGGGGCAGGCGAAACCCGCCGTCAAAAAGCAGATTGTTTCGCCCAACCCTGCTCCTGAGCACAACACTCCTACTACTCACCACCCTCGCTCACGGGACTCGAGCATGCCCGCCGCGGCTATCACAACCACCAACGGCAACCCTCACCAGCATCACACAAGCCAGGCCATCCCCACCCTTAAATTCCAAAGCCGCTTTGGCGATGCCAGTGAGTCTCCTGACTCGATCATCCGCAAGAAGCTCTCACGGAAATCTGAGACGGCAGTGAACACCAAGAGTGTCTCTGCCGACAGCTTCGTCCGGGAGCCTCTGGGGCTGGATGAGCTGCTTCATGAGCCAGCCCTTCCCCCGCAGCCTCCAGCTCCTCCTCCCGAGCATGCTCGGTTGTCCCGGACACCAGCACCTGCACTGAGCTCACGGGCTGCCAGGGCAGCCAAGAGGAATCATGACGATTTTGACGACGCGAGCTCACCTACTGCATCGTCCTTCCGGGCTGATTTCGAGCCCTTGTCGTCGGCACGCAATTCACGTGCTGCCACCCCAACGAACCCTAGATCTTCCAAGAAACCTCGAGGGGGACTACGCGTCAAAACATCGTAGGTTTTGGCTTCTTTGTTCATTCATCTACGTGCATCATGCTTGCAAGTGAGGTGTCTGCAGGGGCCTAGTTGTGTTGTCACGAGTGAGGCAGAGCCAAGTGGCGATGTGGCACCACATAATTGCAGGTTGGCGAAAGAGGGCCTTACCTACTATATGCAATTCTAGTACTATAATTTTACTGTTTTCTTCCGTGGAAGGGTTCGCTAATCATGGTTCTGTGCATTCCAGGCCGATGAAGAAGAAGGGGACATCTGCGGGAATTCCTCGTGGCAACGGTGAGCGACCGAGCCCGGTGAGCAATGGCGTACCATATAACCAGGTGAGCAAGAACAAACTGATTAGATCACTCTCCTGTCTCTACCACATTATTCTCAAATGCACAACACGACGCACTATCGGTTGTTTTCTATTCACGGAATGAGCGTCTAGCGGGAGCCGAGAGTCAGGGAAGCCCTAGGGCCCGAAGCCCAGTCCTGGGAAGTGCTGATCATTCGGTTCCCGCTTTTGCCGGATCCTGCGTAGCAATCGGCCAGACCGCCTAGTGCAATGTGCTAACCACGCGCTTTAGGACGATAATGACGATTCCTGTTATACTTGTGGCGGCAATGGAGAACTGGTTTGTTGCGATGGGTGCACGTTTTCATTTCATTTCATGTGCATTGACCCTCCCATGGACGAGGGTCGCGTTCCCGACGAATGGTTTTGCAATGAATGTCAGATGCGGTACAATCCACCACCTGAGATCGAGCGTAAAGGCATTTTTGGCCCACTTGTAACAAATCTGCAACGCAAGAATCCGCGTGCCTTTCGGCTACCTGAGCCCATCAGGGAGTATTTTGAAGGCGTCAAAACCGGCACAGAGGGCGAGTACGAGGAGGCTGTACTCCCTAAGCCCAAGTGAGTCTCTCTGCCACATTTCCGACAAGCACGGCTTCTTGTTCATAGGGCTAATTTTTTCATTTTCTAGGGCAAGCAAGAAGAACACTGAAGAAGCTTTTGATTTTTTCAAGCTCAGAAATGGTGACAAGGCAGTGTTGTGCCACAACTGCCACAAAGGAGCTACGGACAATCGGCCGATTATTCCCTGCTCAGTGTGTGGTCTCAACTGGCACCTCGAATGCCTCAGCCCCCCTCTAGCCCTACCCCCAATCTTACGGACGTGGCGTTGCCCTTGCCATGTCGACGATCTGCTCAGTGATCTTCCAGTCAGACTGGCTCCAGCGCATAAGTATCGAAAGATCAAAAATATGCCAGTGATTGAGCAGTGCTATAGTCGCGGTCTGGCCAATAATGGATGGATAGAGATCGAGGAAGATGACAGTGACGACGACGACGATGAAACTGCTTGGAGGGAAAACAAGGCGTTTGGCCGTGTGTTCCGGGTGTCTGCGAAGGGTATCAAGCGAGAGTTCATTTCTCGGTCAGTTACTTGGAACTGCTATTCAGGCGTTATCTAACCATTGATTACAGAGTTCACCAGAACCGCGGGGGATCCAGCTTTCAGCCTGGAATAGTCAACAACCCCGCCTCAACTGTTCCACTCAAAATGCCAAGCCTGGAAGAACAGCAAGCCGCGCTGACTCTGGTGCAGCTCGCCGATGGCCAAGGTGATGGAGCCCATCAGCTGGTTCATGCTATGATGGTAAGTTGGATCTAACTGACACTACCCCTGTACCATGTATTTCCCTAATAACAACTTTTGGCAACAGTCCCATGCAAGCCCAGCTGCCGTCTCCATGCTAGCAAAAGATGGTGCCCAGCGCGTTACTATCGATAGCCTAGCTGATGCTGACATCGCTACGCTTGAGACTGTGCTCGCACAAGCAAATGCTTTAAAACAGAGAGTCTCCAAAATTCTCGAAAGCCGCACAAATCATGCCTGCCATGAATCATCAGACATCGAACTAAAGGCACTCACACCTAATAGCATCTCCCACGATGATTCAACAATTGTTGATGAGTTGAAGCTTGAATTTGACAGCTCGCAGGACGCGGGAAAAGCTCAGCACGCCGATGACGCCAAGCCGGTACTTGACTCTGCCATGCAAACCGACTGAAAATGGCTCATTAAGATTCTCATCACACACGCATACATCAGTATAGGCACATAGGGATCAGGAGTCCCTATTACTGACCAAGAGTCCGTCGCCCAGTGGAGAACTTACCCTAGTATTAATTTTGTCGGGTTGGTTTCCATGTTCATCGTATCTATAGCAGTGGTGTCACATTGCAGATTTGTGATCGAACCTACCTCCTCGGTGGCTATATACTTAGCTTTACACCCTCTTGAGTCTAGCGGCAGTATCTGGTTGGGATTTTTCACTGCTACCGATACATTACACGCCGCGTTGCGGCCCCTCAGTCGGTGGTCGAGCAATCTGAATGCCTACATTATCTCAGCAATGTTTTACACAGTTTAACTAGGAAGAAGCAAGTCAGAAGAATGAATAAAGTAGGCTACCTCTCCAGACATCTTCTTGGGATCATCTCTTTTCTCATGCTCGTTTGGAGGATTGAAATATGATTTCATGTGCGAGATATTTCCCTGGAATGCGCCGGTATTCTACTCCTGTGATGGTGCTCATAAATCCATCTGCGCTTGCAGTGTGAGGCGCGTGGAATGGACAGAAAGACATGGAATACTGAGAGAATTCTGCATTGGTATGGCGTCGAGCATTAGTAGTATAATAGTAAATTACTTTCTTCGTATCATTGTGGTTTATGCTTCGTGTCCTTGTTCGCCAGCAGTGAACTTGCTTCTTCTTTCTGGTGCCCAGAATGCCACTTTATCAGACCTACGTAGGCTTTTCTTCCCCCCCTGGGTGAAGTTTAAGATGGAATCGACTCACGTTCACGCTGTAATCACGAGTAGTTATCAGACGAGGTCTACTAACTTCTACTTTGCTTGAGTAATGAGTGTAGCTGTACGCCAATTCCAAGTCTACCACTGTGTTTCGCCCTTACGATGTTCATGATGCTCATCTCATCTGTCTACTGCTTTCCCCTGGAGATGGCAGCTAGGAATCCCAGGGACATAGGACGTCGGTGAGCGAAGCAGCTCGAATATGGGCCCTCAGATAGATAGATAGACGAGTAAGGTTGGTAAAGACGTATCTAGAGCGACGACGAGGGAACTAGGTTGGGAACTTGGTATTAATCCTAGAATTCTAGCACAGCCTACCTAGTGTTGTTCACACATTCCATTCGAGTCCGAGTAGGTAGTGGCGAAAGAGATAGATAGGTAAATATCATAAGTTGGCACACATATTTGTTAGCTGAAGAGACTGAATTCCTGACTTGCGAGGCTTCTCCTCCCATCTCTCTCTATGTATGTATATATAAAGATACGACACAGGGAGGCTGAAAAGTGAGATCATATACCCAACTCACCAACCACTAATAACTCCCTCAGCAATCCATTTCATCCTCTCACTGCTGGACTAAACAAGAGAGTCACGAAGCCCGTTACCATCACTACCTTCTCAACATGCGGACCACTCGAAGACGACCGGCTCCATTCCCGAGCAAGCGACTCACGCCCAGCCTCACCGCCAAAGCAAGGAGCTACTTCCCCTGCGACGACCCGCGCCGCCACCGAAGGGATAATCTGCTCGCCGCTACACCCGTCGTCGTAACCATGCTAGCCATGAACTGGTTCCTCGCCTTTGACACACACTCTCTAGGCAAAGCTATCATTTGTCTTCATAAAAAGGATGATACCATACTATACGCATGGCATGTAGTAATCGGGAAATGCGCAACATCGAGGGGATTTGTGCGGCGGCCACCACGCCGCATTCTGTGCGCTGATTAGTGGTGAGGGTTCTGGGCATTCGATTAGATAGTACTCAACATGCTTCACCTTTTAATCCATACATAGTAATGGTTGCTTCAGAATGTACTTGGTGCCTTTCTCAAAACGTATAAGGGCACTCCAACTTTGGTGACAATAGAACAATATCAAGTTAAACAAAGTGGCTCAACGGTCAATAGTTATATATAGATCAACGTATATACAATCTTACACATATTCATCGATCATTCGAGTAGGAACTACTACTACTACTACTATATAGGTAATATCTACCTACTTTGATACTTTCTTAGTACAACTCAACGTGGATCGGAAAAGCAAAACAAGAAGGAGGTGGAAAGATAGGTCGCTGGCCGAGTGCCTCAAGAGGGTCACTGAAGTAGCCCCTCGCTCCACTTTGTTTAATAACCATGCTTTTCATTCCTCTAAGGGACCGGTTGCCTCGCAAAACCCGTCATCTTTGCCCTGTTCTACATGAGATGAGTACATGAAAGCTCTCCGTAAGGAAATGAGTGGTCTTTTGAAAACATCATTGTTAACCCCCAGTCCCCCCATCCGGTCTCGACCAATAGCAAAACACCTCCTTTCGGTCGTGATGGAGATAGTCATATCTATAAATCGCCTTAAATGACATTGAAAAACGAACGTGAATTGGGCAAAGCATCCAGAAATCGCATAATAAGTTCCCTGTCCTCCCGGTTTGGCAGGGAATTAAAGGCAAGCGGCACATTGTAGCTCCGGATCAACGAAGCTTTAGTTGCCCGCTTCATCTTATATTCTCAAAATAAACAACGAAAAGGGGGCCCAGATTTGATCATTTCATGTCAGCTCATATAACTGTACAAGCCAGAATTGGCGATGGACAGGGGCGATTGTCACAACAGTAAGGGATCAATAGCGCTGCGATTATCTCTGGAACGGAACTATCAGTGCCGCTTCTTATGGTCGAGGCGAACGCTTTCGAGGGGGTTGACTTACGCGTCCGCGTCTCGAACCGACAGGTTGTTCTTGCATGTATGGAACATTCGGCATCCCATTAGAGTATCCATAGCCGCCCATATTTACCCCCATACCAAATCCAGGAGGCGCAAAACCTGCTGGCGCTCCGGGAGGCTGAATAGGGCTACTATTCGCCAGATTCTGGCCTCGGAATTGGTCCATAGCGGGGTTTGCATTATTGTACCCTGCATACCCAGCTGGCATTGGCGGATAGAAGGTGTTCATTGGCGGCGTGCCACGCGAAAGCATATTCTGCTGATATTGCATTTGCTGCATATTCATAGGTGCCAGTGATCCGTTGGCCCCATTATATACCGGCGCTTGAGGTCCATACGGGGCATAGGGGGGGACGTTGGGGTCTCCGTTCTCACTACGTGGCACAGGATAGCCAGTCATCTCGTAGTTGGCCGGAGTACTCTGAGGATGGGGATTCAGGTACTGGGTTCCGTATTGCGGATTCTGTTGAGCGGCAGCGTTGCTCGTTTGCGCTTGTCGGGAAGTAGGGCGCTGGCGTTCACTCGATGCATGGCGGCCAACAGATTGATCACGAGATCCGCCACCGCCACCACCACCACTTCGGGTAGACAAGCCAACCTCATCCATCAATCGCTTGTAGCCCTGATTCGGTTGGGCCTTGATACGTACCAGAACATTTTTCACGTTCTCTACGACTTGACTCCTAATTGTCTCATCGAAAAAGGGAGTGGTCAAAACTTTGAATATCAGAGTAGCGCCACAGGCATGATCGCTAAGGATTGCCTCAAGAGTTTGATCCTTAGAGGTAAAGAAAAGAGCTTTTAAGATGGTATCCCGTGCCTCAGGTTCCGCTTTCTGATTGATGACCTTCAAAACCGTGAGGTAGGCAACTTTGTGGGTGCAGAGATGAACTAGGTAAGGAACCAGCTGAGGGGCTAACACACTGCGCCGTTGGGGGAAAGTGCATGTATCTAGGAACCATGTCAACAAAAGCGCGCCATTGGCATTTGTTGCAAGTTGAACACTATGCAATGCGATAGCGGCAGCAAGCATCCTTTGTTGCTCCTTTGTGGCATGGTGACTTTCGAGACATGCTCTCATGGCTCGGGCTCCATATCGCCCCTGGCCAACCTCCCACATTCTACTAAGCATGGTCTCGAAAATAAAGTCGTTGAAGGGAGGGCCAAACTTTAGACATCCTTGCAGAACGTAGTTGCCATATTGATCGAGGAATAAAGGAATGGTATACCGCCGCAGGTTTTCAACGATAAGGGACATTTGATGATGTGTTTTGCAAACGTCAATGATCTTCTGAGCTGCCCAGGTACCATTCTTGTGCACACCAATTTCAGCCATATGCGGGGCAATCTCAGTAAGCATTGCGTCCCTAAACTCGTCAGAACAATGCTCGAAGAGCTTCTGGACGACAGTATTGCCTAGATAATCTGATGATAACTCAGCAATTTCGGGAAGCATCTCGACGGCAATGTTCTCGATTTCTGCTTGAGACAAACTTTGATTATCGATGCGTTTTCGAATATCCCTCAATTTCGGGGCATCATGAATACGAGTGTGCGTAGGTTCGCGGATAGGGGGAATCTCGTCGACGAACGTAGTGTATTGGATAGCTTGTTGAAGACTAAGCGAAATCCGATATGTATCTTCGTCTGTCGCCCCAAATGATCTAACAATTTGCAAAATATCGGTAGTCATTTCATGAAGAGGGGGGATAACAGGGACTGCAGTTGAGGTATTGGCGGTAGATGATGCACCATCTGGGGTAGCACCAGCAGCAGCTGTGCCATTGGTATCTTGATGCTTTGCAAACGGATCAGGGCTTGGGCTTGGGAAGGTACTGTCATGCCCGGGTGTGTTGGAAGCTGAGGGAGGCTTGGCAAAATTGATTCGAATCGGGCCGGCACCAGGAAAGATCTCCTTGCCGTTCATACCAGCCTTGGCCGCAATCGCACTATCGGTCCTCTCAAAGTTGACGAAACCACAATTCTTATGAGTCAAAACTCTTGCCGACGAAATAGGCCCATAAGATTTGAACATTTCGGTAAGCGTAGAGATAGTGGTCGATGTCGGGATACTCCCTAGCCACAACGCACTAGTCGGGCCCTCAAGACCAGCTTCCTCTGCTGTCAATAAACCATTGTTTCGGCTATTTGACCGACCTAGATTCATCGCAGCCACAGCTGTTGGGAGTTCATCGTAGTCTTTTTCGTCCGATAACCGTATTTCAGCCGCAGTTATCGAGTTATCAAGACGCGAGGGAGTGGGATAGTAATTGCGCATAAGTCGCGAACCTGCGCCTTGGAGATCAAGCACTCCAGCTGTCCGTGCACGAGGCCGGGTGACAGCTTGAGAGGTCAATGTCTGAAGATTCTGCACAGCAAGATTATGGCTATGGATTGCAGCATTCGTAGCGGCAAGCTGATCCTGTAATTGAGCGAAATGATTTTCTATGACCATAGCATCCTCTTCATAACCATCATCCTCCTCATCCGCATATTTATCCTTATTGTTCACCGAGTAAGATCGAAATCGGTTTGCTTGTTTAGTAAAATCAGCGAGACCAGGAAGGTAAGGGGTGGCGAGCTGGGCACGAGCTGGCTGTGGTGTCTCAGCCAGGCCTAGGTAATCAAGAGTCCTCATATGAACATCATTGTCGCCTGGCCCGTCCTTCGACATAGCAGATTGTGCTGGCGAACTTGGGCCGTTAGACCCAATGCTTGCGATACTAGCAAGAGTATTGCCCCTCTCGCGGCCGCTCGGGTTCCACGTGCTGAAAACGGAGGGCCCAAATGGCGAGGCAGTGCCTGGGCCGTGGGAGAAGGGGCTCCGCTGGGGCATAGAGCCCGCACGAAGTCTCGACAAGAGAGTAGACGACTGTGACGCATTCGTATTCTCAGTGAGGCCTGGAGGCGGCGTCTTGTTGAATGGAGTATGAGTAGGAGTTGGGCGAGAAGACTGGGAAGAGAGCGTGGGAATGTTCAAGAGACCGTTGCCGAGACCACCTGCGGGAAATCGAGAAGGTACAGTACCAGCTCGAGCACGTCGGGTGGACGGGGCGCTATCAGTATTCGGTAGTTGTGCAAAATCTGGGAAACCATCGGTAGGTGATTCCGGGATATTCTCTCGCAATGGAGTTGAGTTTCCACTAGTGGGCGGCCCGCCCCATGGGTTGGTCACAGGAAGCCCAGGGACGCCCTCTTGGGCTTGGATTTCTCTGGCCCTATTGTGTAGGATTAGTAAATTTCATTTTGAGGGATACAGTCACGAGTTGTTTTGATTTTCTTGGGGTTAGAGGGCAAAGATCAAGGTGAGTCTTACCGCTTAGAGAACAGTCTCGCGGAGCCAGGGGTATCATGCGATGGAGAACCAGCCCCTGATCGCGAGGCACCTCCCATTTTGGAGGCAGGGTTCATTACGCCTGACATGCCGAAAGGAGACTTGATCGAAGAGTTACTTGGAGATTCAATGGGGGAAATATGGGTGACGGGAGAGGTAGAACGTTGGCTGCCGGCAGACTTAGGCGGATAGCCGATAGCCAGGTGTTCGGATTTATTAGTTGACATTATCAATTAATCATCCGACCCTCATCAGGAGAAGCAACTGTATGGGCTCTCCACGGATGATGATATAGGGCAAGCCGATCGCTCTGTGATATATAGCAGAGAATCAGTCGAAATTGGCGCTGTGGTCAAGTTGGCACGAGCTTCCCTGTTTGTGCTTCGGCGGATCGACAAATGGGAGGTGGGTGGGGGCTCGATTACGTCGTCTCGCGCAGTGCACAGAAGAAATGCTCTGGAAAGGAGTGGCGCTGAGGTTCGAAAATATATGATCCCACGGTTTCCCCTTGGGGTATTACAATGTGGTGAGCGAGGTGATCGTGAGCAGATAGAAAATATCCGCAGAGCGATGAGCACGCAACACGCAGAATAGCTACTGGCAACGCTATAAGATTGATCGTTGTTGGGCAATCGATCGAAGGAGTGTCGAGATAGGTCCGATAAAACGACAGCTTGAGTATGTGTATTGCGGTGGTTCTAATCGAGGGCGACCTGTGTGGGATAAGTTGCGATTCCGGGGTTTTTTTTTCGGCGTCTCCCTTCGAAGGCGAAGTGCCTAACCTAGGTATTTGAATCCACAAATGTGGGAGACAGAAGAAGCAGAAGAAATCACAACAAATATCTAAACAGATTGAGATCAATATACAGGCTCCATTAGTGACGCGGATGGTCGAGGCTGAGGGGGTCTAGGAGGAAGAGCCTGGAGAAAGGAATAAAAAAAGAGGCAGTTTGGGTAGGGGAGGTTGAAGGAGTGATGGCGGCGGCGGTGGTGGTGGTGGTGTTGGAGGAGGAGGGTGGTGTAAGAAGGTGGTGTGTGGTGTGTGAGAGGTGTTCGTTCCAGTTAGGTCCAGGAGAAGTGATCTTGGCTGGACCTTGGCCGCTGGGAAGCCCTTCAGCACTGAAAACCAGGCGTGAGAAAATGGGGAGAGCACTGGAGGAAACCAGAAAATCTGAACGCCCGTTAGTGGGGGCCAGGCTCCCTGCTTGCTTGCCTGGCTTGCTTTGCCTGGTTTCCTGCTTAGCTACTTAAGTACAGGTAGGTACCTTAAGTATCTGCTAAGTATTTGTAGTCGCTGCCGGGAACACAAGTAGGTACCTGCCTCGCCTGCCCATTATGCCTAAAGCACTTATGATATACCTAGCTGGAGACCATATAATCGAATCTGTATATCAGTATGCATATATATGCAATACCTAGGGTAATCACATATATGTATATAGGGATGTATATGCACTTATGCGTATATTTTGTAGGGGCAGTATGTAGGTACCTAGGTACCTAGGTAGGGACGGAGGGCGCACCAGAAACTCCTCCTGTATCCCCCCTACTTGTTAATTGGTCGCGTTCGTAAGGGCATCCAAAGATCCAAAAGGCCATGTATTTATCGCCCTTTATCATTATGCCCAGTTAAGGGGACTTATTAAAAAAAGGGCCCAACTGCTGGTTCATACCCTTCAAATCATAACAGAATGCCTTGAGCAGTACTGCTTGAGCTTCCTCTACTTACAAGTCCACAACAGCGCGCCCCGCCATTGCTACATAAACGCATACAAGCTAGGATAGCGAGTGTACTTACCTACTTAGGTACATACATATGCAGCCTGCGTGCTTCATATTTATTCTCCAGGGTCGTAAGTAATGTGGCCGGCCTCTGACTATTTTCTGTCAATCGCATGAGAATCAGGCATCGAGAACGAACATAGACAAACGCTTAGGGAATGTGGCTTGTCCTTGTAGAACTGTCGGGGGCGAATAAGATAGATAGTATTGCATTCCCCTCTTCTAAATTAATTTCGAATTGGGCGAATTAGCATCGATCCCTTCAACAGACCTTATCAAGCAATCTTAATTGCTCTGTGTTCTGTGACAGTGTTCTCTGCAGGTAGCTAGCTGTTCATGAGCCATTTCTGAGTTTGCTCTCGAGTCTGCTCTGAAAGAATGAAAGTTGAAAGGCTAACCTGATATAAGATGGTATTGTAAGTATGTATCCATCATCTACACCCACGATCTAGTGCACATGTACATTACTGCTCTAATTTACTTACGGCACTTATGTCTGTACTCAGGATAGAGGTACAAACTCAGACCAACACTTGGCGACGTAAGGGTTAACCAGGACATTGTCGTTAGAGGTTTGCTTGTTCCAAGGCGATTGTACATACAAGCATACCTAACGTTGCCGCTTCGTGCAACCCATCGCGCGGTGGCGAGCAGTGTAGAACTAAGCTCGGTAAACATTACTACAGGCTCGACAGGAACGAAGCAAGCGTTCCGTGTGAGCAACCAGCTAGACGGCAGAAGATTAGATTGATGAGCCGGCTGTCCTCAACGCACACGTATACCTAAAGTAGGTTACACTTGTGAGGGGGAGAAGAGGCCAAACCTTGTTACAGCGTACACGTAAGTCTTACGAAGTAAAGACACACTCAAACGGTGAAGAAATGAAGGGAGACTGTTACTGAGACGCAACATCTGTTACTTGGGAACAAAACTACAAATGATTCGGCACATTGGAACTTGGGTACCGAGCTACCTAATGTCCTCGTACGTTTTCCCTAGCACAGAAGTTACAGTAGGTAACATAGGTAGTATCAGAGTTTCTGACCCCAGCCACGATTCCACACTCAAATTGTCGTCCGTCACAATGCGCACACATACTTACTTAAAAGCCATATATACACATACATAGTATATGCGTACCTAGAGGCATACATGTGGTCGTGCCATATCCATTAGATACGGGAGGGAAAGAAGTCATGCATACGAGTTGACCTGCCTACAGTATTCTAGTCTTGTCCTAAATCGCAGTAGCCATGATGCATTCTATAGGGGTTAAACCTACACACTTTAGTAGGTAGATGCGGCTAAATGCACGTTGTATCAAGTCAAACACTAGTGCAGTTGCTTACAGATGATACCTACCTAGGTAGAGTATGGGGGTAGGAGGAATAGGTACATCTACTAAGTACTCTACATACCTAGGTAAGTAAGAGGTTGTATGAGGGAAATGTTGTTTGCTTCATAAAAGATTGCAGGCACAATGAAATCTGCCCACTGAAAAGGGCCATAGAGTGACAATGATCTGCATAATGTCTAGTGATATCTCGGTTCTTTGTACCAGCAGCCCGAACCCGAACGAAAGGAGACGGCAAGATGGGACGATGCTTTGCATCATGGCTTCGAGGTCGATCAACGGGGAACATAAGTAGCCATTTGGTAGGTACTCCAAGATACCCACTTATGGGATAGGCCGTAGTGTACTTACAGTAGGTAGGTACCTAATGTTATCGTTAATGGCTGGTGGTGCTGCTGCACTGATCTCGAGCCAATCGTGGCCTTTTACAAGCTTCTGAAACATCGCTTATTCGCCCAATTGGGCAGTGCTTCATACGACCTAGAAATATTTCGATGGTACTGTACTATGTACTGTAGCTAGGTACACTACTTCGTACGACCCTGGCCACCTCAGATACAAGGGGTTGTCGGACGGAGCAAAGACGGGGCAAAGAAGCCTGGTGGAAGAAGCCTCGAAGCCGCTACCAGTATCCACCCACTGGGGCCAGCGTGGGCAGATGTCTCATCCAACTTACCTTGTACCCAAGATGTAGAAATCCCCTGTTTTACCTCCTCTACTTGTACATGGTATGCGCATGAGGTAACTACATATTTGAATTTACTACCAGGTAGGCAACATCTAAGATTCAGGTTGTGTACACGTAGTGCAGATGGGTATTTTACAGCAGTTCTCTCTGGTTAACTGGACGTGTCCTATCTACGTGTAGCTGACCCTGCGTTGTCTTATTATTATTAGTACAGTATTTCAGCCATGAATCCCTGCTCCTCTCTCAGCAGCCTCCCCCAAACCTGTGGTTTTCAGCTCGAATATCCAATACTGGTAGTTCCGTACTCGCAACTAACTGCTACGAAGTAACTACCACCAGAGTTAGGTTCATGCCTTTGGGCTGTGAGGCAGGGCTTAAGCGTGCATATATGTTGCCTGCCTACTACTTACCCCAACACTTACTTCACTGACTACAGTATGAGTATGTAGTATCTCTGCCCTCTCGATGACATATCAAGTACAATACACCACATCCCATCTCTCCCTGAGCCTTGCATAGATGGGTATAATACATCAGCACTATGATCGACCAGGGGCAAGCCACACCACCGGCCGTAGATCAACTACAGTAATGTAAGTAGGTAGAGTCTGGATAGAGCATATGCGTATGTACTATGTATGTAAGTCGTTGCTCTATGTATAGCATCGATCCCCCGATTCTACTCTACTCCAGGTAAGGTACACTGCACTAGGTACGCAAAGCTTAGGTATTAACAGAACCAACTTCATGGACGTTTCAAGCAGGCCATACGATCATTAGCGTTTGACCATAGGTTGACTGCCGACTACCTAAGTAGGTAAGTAAGCTGTTTTCCAGGTTTACGAGGCTCCCCACTCTTTCCCATCTACCAGCGACGCCCTTGATCGGCGCCAAGCATCCTGTGTTTCGCAACTTTTGCCTGTTGGTGTAAGTAAGGAAGTAATTCGCCTTGGGTTTTTAGCAACCTATGCATACCATGTATGGGATATGTCAACATTTAGGAGATACTCAATTCTCGCCTTCTATTGCGGGTTGTCTCAGTCGTCGGGTGAGTGAGTCCGCTGCCTATGCCAGTCCGGCAATTTGCCTGCCCGTGCATCCAATATCTGGTCTCAATTAAGTCAGCGCCTTCTTCTCATGCATGAAGCTAAGATTAGCAACAGTCCGATTGGTGCTCGATATTCAGCGTCACAATGACCCAACTGAGCTTTTTACATCTACGGCTGGCAAGCCGCTCTTTAAATAAGAGCTTGTATCTGCATCCGTGATGTACAATGAGGTTTCGGGAATGTTTTGTTGCTCTAAATGCACAAAAAATTCAATGCTAATCCTCTTTTCTTGGTTTCGAAATTATAACTTTTGACTGCCATAACGCTTAGACCCAGGAGTGGTACACAGGCAAACCAGAATTAACCAATTACCGGACATAAGCAGTCAAATCACATTATAAAATCCTCCGGCTACATGCCTCTAATTATGAATCAGCTTCGTTGGTTTATTGGGCATATTGTTGGCCCTGTTTCAACCTTGCCATTGCCACATGCTTTTTCTAAAGCGGAGTGGCTATATTTGCTATTCGAACGCGAAAGCATGTTCTTACCTACCTAGGTAAGTAATCAACTGACAATCTCTCAATCATAACAGTGAAGATTGCTAGCCATAGCTTGAACAAACCCTGTGGGTGGTTTAGCATTGCACACGCATTAACGGAGCCATTTTGAAAGCACATACAGTGAACGTCATTGCAGAATTGCATTAAATCTCTGTAATAAGTAATAAGATCTGTATGTTCTCGGTTGTAATACGTTCAAAAGACCAATTAGATCAAGATGGGAGTATTCGAAACCTCATCTATATCTCACAAGTAGCACTGATGTTCTTAGCGTCATAAGATAGAAAACTGTAAATCAGAATTGATTCCCTTTGATAAGTTTAGACTAGCAGCTCACTCGGGAAACAATAAACACATGCCCAATTACTCATTAAACGTATACAAGAAAACGACAGGCAAGCATCTCCAGAGCAGGATCCCATCGTCTACCGACCAAAGAAACTCGACCCAGCAATCATGCCCACCTCGGGACAATACTCCATGATATCGTCAATATGCTGGCTCTGCCATCGTTGCGGCTGGTGAAAACCCAGCGGTCTCGCACCATCAACCCAAATCGTCTCAACAGCCATGCTCGCCGCGACCTGCTGATCGGGCAGATCCACGCTGACGCCCAACTCGCCCCTCAACTCTGGGTCCTCCCCAAGTTCGCGCATGCGCGCGTAAAACCACTGATCCTCGAACTTCCATTCCGTCGGCGCGTCCTCGGCGGCGCTATCCACGGCGAAGTCCCAACGATCGAGCACGCGCAGGATAAGCTCGCGGTTCCGCAGGGACAAGCCGCCGTTGAAGCCCGTGCCGAAGCGCGCAAGGATGGGCGCGCCGATAAAGTCATAGGGCAGGAACTCGTCGATGTGGCGAGGTGATGCTGAACAGAGGATGCTGTCGGTCTGAAACAGCAGGATCTTGAGGTACGGGGCCAGATCGGTCCATATGAAGCGGGAGGTGAGGAACTGCGAGACGGAGGCGTGCGAGGAGAAGGTTGTTTCGGGAGGCAGGTGGCGGATTTCGATGCTCGCGGAGGCTACTGCGCGCGCGAGGGATGCCGAGGTGAGCAGCGTCTCGGATGTTGGGGGTGAGGTGTATAGGATGATGGGCCACTCGGGGCCGAGCACGGAGTGAAAGTGTACTGCGAACGGAGCATTAGTTAAACATAGCTCTGTCGTATATCTCGGGACACCATGGCCTTGAACATAGTCGAGCGGCCCGAGATTCTCGACACCAAGCTTCAGAGAGAGGAAACTCTAGATAATGACCAGTCAAGGGGCGTGGTTTGTTTGATGTTTACTAACGTAGAATGGGGACCAGGTTCCCCAGCGGCCTATCCTCAATAATCACTGCAACACGATCCGTATGTTTCCTTACGGTCGAGGAGGCTTTGACGGGCACAGCGCTCTCAAGCGCTCCCGGCCGGCCGGTAGAAGATAAATACTCCACCTCACCATCTATAACCAATGTAGTGGTCCCGTTGTCGTCGAGCGGACTTGGTGAGGCCATCAAAGGCTTGCAAAGTGTAACTGTGTCAGCTCATACATATCCAAATGTAGTACCAGTTATCTACCCTTCTCGATCTCTCGTAGTCTTCGCATCTTAGGTCCGGAAAGGATGGGAATTATGAGAACATGGGACGAGTCAGAGAATAAGAAGCTTGACAGAAGGAGCGATATGTCTACTTACCCCTGAGAGCCGCACCCAGCTAGCGATACCCCATAGCACAAACAAGACACCGATACACTTGATAGCGACAGCCACGCGACACGTCGAGCGGTTTGCTGAAGTAGACTGAAGGGGAAGCAGCGGTGCTGTCATGGCCGTTGAAAACCGTAGCCTTATGTGTTGCTACGAAAGTGTACCGCAATGTAACTGGCAAGACGAAGCAACGCGTCTCGACCACTAGAATGGGATGGTAGTGAAACTAGATACGGTATGCCTCGCCTTAAGTATAGGGCTTGTTTTAAGGTGATGCGGCTAATAAGTAAATATCTCTCAAGTATACTGGAGGACACAGTAAGCGGAAAGCGCAGGAGTTCTTGACGTGATAATATCCTTTCCACTCCTGTGCAGTTGACATTGTGGTACCTATGGACACGACACACCGCGTGGCAAGAATAGGGGCTGTATACTCCTTCTGTCCAGGAAATTGATCAAGACAGGCAGGTCTCACACGAACGACTCGCTGCTGGCTTGACTTGTTGGAATAGATCAAACTAGTACGACATGCCTTGGAAATTGGTGGCACGAAGGAGGACACTTTGCTCGCTTGCATGGACAAGTGTAAGCAAAACCACCCGTTAGAATAGTATTGATCACTTGCCTAGCTACACATCTTCAGATATCAATCGAAAACAATGACCCCTAGCAACTGATGGGTATCTACATAAATCTCAAGGTTGCGAAACCTAGAATGCTACCATCATCATCATCATGCCTCGTCCTTCCCCTACATGCGTTAATTAGCTGACACTCTACCAATATTGCTATCGCTTAGTTGAACTATCTTTGCATGATAGCACCGTGACACGTTCCACGGCGCTGCTAGTCGAAATTGTATATACGTGTTACAAGGTCCACTCATGTACATCGTCATCCGGGCCGATAAAAGGATCGTCGATTCTCTTGATTGCGTAGTCGCTACACAGAATACTACAATCTCATTAGCAAACACTGTTCTTTGATAGCCTGAGACAATTCTCTGTCAAGAGCCACGGTAACGGCTGTGAGAAACGGGCACTCACCATGCAGAGGCCACAAGAGCATCGAGTTCTGCGACCATAGCATCCTTCTGAGGACCACTGACGAGACCTTTACTGATAGAGATCTGGCACTCTTTGATGCGGCGACTTTTGCTCACACCGGCCTGTTCAAGAACCTTGCGACCTAGACAATCGGAATGGAATGCGTGTTGGCAGGGGAAAACAAAAAACTGCCGGCTGAGAAGAGGTAGACTGCATACATAACACTTCTCGCCGGGCTCGACAATTGCGTAGCGGTGATCAAGGGCCGCAATATCTATTTTGATATTGGCTGCCGTTTGAGAACTTTCGTCCATTTCCTTCTTTAAAGCATCAATATTATGTGAATAATCCTCCAAAGCAGCACAGATCTCCTCTTTGAAGTCGTCAATCACTACAAAGTCAGGGAAAAAAGGTATCAAGTCTTCTATCTTCAAAAGGTCGCACCGTTTAAGGAACTCGATAGCTGCTTTGATCCCGTTTGACTGAGATATCACCTTGCGTGCCACGGCAAGCCACAGCTTCTTCCTCAATGGTGGGTCTGTAGTTGGCCGATCTGCGATAATAGATGCATACTCAATCTCATTGTGAGAAAGAGCAAGATCTACAGCCTGGACGTACTGTCCCATGCTGGTGTAAATGTGGACGCAGGATAGAGTTCGCTTATGCTGTATACATAAGCGAAGTGCGAAGTCAGGGTCAAAGTTAGGCTCGTCACCCTGTGATTGAAGATATGCAAGCAGTCCAGACTCAGCTTTAGATTCGTGAGAAGCATATATGGAAACAAGTGTGTTGTGTACAGCAGCATCCGTAGATTGAAGTTGGTTTATGATGTATTGAAGATATCGAAGGGCTTGATTCTGGGATAGCGCGCCGCTGAAGTTTCGGTTGTAATCCAGTAGAGCTGGGATGATCTTTCTAGGCTCTAGTTTTGTATGTCGCATTAGGATTTCCACAAGTTCGTTGGCTACATGTGTCATGAGCACACTGCTATAGCGATAGAAGATGTCTGGGTCTGTTTGTTTCTTGAGCACATTCAAAGCTTCCGTCCATCTTTCCCTTTGGACCCAGTACGAAAGTTCGTAGTTGTAATCGTTGACGGAGTTTGCAAAGAATAGTAGTTCTTCCTCGCGCGCGTGGCTGCTTATAATGTCGTAAACTGTCCTGCGGTCCAGGTCGGATTTGTGTTTCTCGACAAAACTGTGAAATTCTTCTCGGACTGCAACAAGCTGCTGGTGGGACTGAGCTGTCTGTCTATCGTCAGCTGCCTCTGCTTCTACCGCGATAGTGTCGTCCAGCGAATTGAGCTTAGCCATAAACACCTCTACCAGCCACGTAGCTATCATCACCCTCTGCATAACGTTAGATTTCTTGTATGTTGTGAGTTTCGTAAGTAGATATTTTCTGAGCGCATCGCTTTCGCCATTGTCAATAAGGGACAAAGCGACTTCTTCAAATGGTTTGCTGCTTTTGCCATAAACACCAGCAGCTTCTATGAAGAGCCCCTTTTCGGCCAAATAATCTCCTGAAGCTGTCGCTACCGCATCTTTTTGAGCAGCAGTATGAGCATATTGCAGGGCAGTATCGAACTGTTGCCGCTGCAACATAATCTGCCAGATATCACGATCTTCGTCCCTGACTACAATCTCAAAAATGTCCTGGGAGGTAAACAACCAATAGGTGTTCTTTTGTTGGTCTACGTAGAGACCTAATGCTTTCTGTCCGTCTTCAAGGATCTGCTGGTCGTGTGTGAGGGAGTCTGTAAGTCGATTCGTCGCTACAACACGACCGCCGACCAAACTGACTATGTGCCATTGCGTCAAGACTATGGCATCAATGACCTCTGTAGAGCTTTTACGTCTTCCGGAAGTGTCAGCTGATGCAATGTGGGACCTTGGAAGTAATTTTGCTTCGGCATAGACCTTGTTCCCTAAGTCGTTGCCGCTTGAGGTGGTGAGAAGTTTTCCGTGGTAAATCCCCTGTGTTGATAGCCAAGCAAAAGCTCTATCTGGCACTGTGTCGTCGTATGAAGGAGAATCTGGGGGGTCTGGAGAGATAGCAAGGGCGGAAGGAGCAGTTGCTAAGCCCTGTGCAATCTCATGAATGACGGGCTCTTCGTTATCAAATAATTTAGTGTAAATGGATCCGCTCCCTTCATGGCCACTCCGCCCAACACGGCCAACTAGGTGGAATAGTCTACTCTGTGTACATATGACAACCCTCCTGACATCGACCTTATCACCCAGGTTATCAGCCCATAGTCCTGTGATGGGTCCGTCGGGTAGTTTGTGCAATGCCTTCAGGTATCTCTCTTCTTTACGGTAAAATTCGGCAGAGGGCTCGATGAAAGTTTCGTAGATATTCCCATCCGAAGCACCAATCAATATTTCGCGGGTTGTAGAGGTAGGAAGTGAAGGGTTCCAAGCCACAGATTCAATCGCGACACCGCGTAAGCGGCCAAGCGGGCGTGGTTGGCGCGACTGAGTATGTAGATAGTAGTTCTCACCCAACGAGGTACAAATGAGGAGGTGCGAGGCTGTAGGATCGAGGAACATGCGCGAAATGACGCCCACCTCGGAAGCACGTTTGGGGAGGTCAATATCTAGTTCAGCCAATGCCTTAGTATCTCTTGCATAAACCCTCGAGGTACCACCCGTAAGGCTTACCGTCTATGTCTTCGGGCCTGTTCAGGTCGATGCGGAGTATGCGCCCATTCGAGAGAGCCAAAACAAGAACGTTATTTGCAACCTGGGCAGCGACGAAATCGGCGGCAATGGAGAATTGCAGTCGAACTGGCTCGATATCGAAGATTGGCAAGCTCCCGTCGCTGAGCTGTACGCCATTAGCGGCAGCGAAGCCGTCGTTCGGGTCAAGCGCCATCGAGATGACCTATGTAAGCATCCTGGAGTGTTGGGGTGCTTCGCCAAAAGCCCAGTCGTCTGGGGATGCAAATCCAGAGCTCTTGTATAAGCAATAAGTAGTAAATGTGAGCATCTGAAGGTTACCTAGGTATGTCGGTAAGTAACTGACTACCTTCAAAGCCCTGTCTAGGTGAGAACCTAGGTAGGTCTCTAGGCGCCCAGGTACACGGTAGGTATACCTAGGTAGGTATGCATATAACGAAGCGGCCTCAGGCATCCGCGCCGTGACATCATAGGCATGAATTATGTCTCCAAGAATGAAATGAATTGTAGGTGTCAACCAATGTCAACATATGTCAAGTCATGACTAAGTAGGCTCCTTAAAACACCGAATGAAGGCAGAGACACTGATTATTTAGCTTAAGGTAGGTATGGTTGCAACTGCTAAATAAGCAGGGGATTAGGTATTCCTAAACCGGTTCTAAATACTTACAATGTCCTTTTCTACGAATGAATTAAGGTAGCCAACACCATATTAGCCCAGAAGTATAGAGATAAACATAAACAAGAAAAGCATTTGAAAACTTTCAATTTAGTACATCAGACCTCTCTTCAACCTGTTGATTGGTATACAGTTTTGAGTTGAATACAAGAAATAGAGGACCTTCCGCGTGTACAAGTGACTTGTATTACCAATATAACTGGTATCGTGTTGGTTGATAATAGGGGTATATGTCGCTTACTGACGTTAATCTCATCAACCTTTTGAGAATAATTCCAATATTAAGTACAGAACTGTTTATAAATGTGGCCCGCTTCCATGAGAAGCGCTGCCCACGCTTGATAAAATACGTCCAGTTACTGGCTCTCGCGATCCCGAACTCTCGTTTTCCGTTGTACCTGCCGAAGCTTTAGATAATGGCCTGCCTTTTATCATACTTTTGCGCGATGCCTCGCGCCCACTTTCGCTCTCTTCCATCATGGTATCGTCCGTCGTGGTATCGGTGTATTCATCATGGTTTATATTATTATCAGACTGATCGACGTCCACATTTCGTAGCCAATCTTCTGTTGTATTTCCAATACCATGCCCAGTAGAAGCCGTCAGTGACTGGTCGTTTCTATCCATGACACTGGAATGTTGGGCTCTATCGTGGATGGAAGATGCGGTGGGTCGTATTTCATCATCATCATCCACTATTAACTGACCTCCATGTCTCAAACTGATCGACGTTCTCCTCAGGTCATCAGAGGCGTGGATACGTTCGGCATGCGCGTCAAATTGGCCCTCACCGAATGTCGCCGTGCTTCCAAGCTCGTTCAGGCTTGTAGGTGGCCAGCGAACATGATGGCCGGGTTTCCTCCCAGTCAGCACCCTAAGCTTCACCACAAATGTCTTCGCCCTTTGTGGATCTTGAGCGAGAGTCATCAGCTCTTCCCCAACCATCTCGCAGCCTAAACGGATGTCATCGGGGTTCCAGTTTTTATACTTCGTAAGCAACCGCATGCACGCGGCCTCCATCCCGTTCAAGCAAGATAATAACCAGAATTTGCCTGTCGATCCATCTTGTGTCTTGAGTGGTATTGAATACTCTGTGAGGTTGACATCAACATAGCCAGCGTTGACCAGTAGCCTCGGCTCCAGGTGTGCAACTCCTCGCGAACGACCGGATAGTACAGAGGCTTCTTGAAGATCTTGTGCCAGCTTGTAAAGCAACGAATCGGACTCAAAATAGGAAAACAGGTCGCGAAGCCCTTTCTTATCATCGAAGTCTAGTATCTCAATCCACCCACCAGGTTTCAGGCACTGGAAGGCAGACTGATAAATAGACTCCCAGCTTGCAAATGCGCCGGTCATGTCACGGAGATGAACTAGGTCGTAATGATCTGGTGGCCGCTCCCACTCCAACTCAGCGTCATCGATTTCCCAGTACACATTTTGTGGTACCCTTCGCTCGAATATGTTAGATATATCGGTCCCTGTGACCTCGCAATCGGGAAACATCTCAGCCATATCGATCGCCCACTCACCAACGGCGGTGCCGATATCAAGAATCGCTGTCGGGCTTTCGAGAGGCACAGTTGTCAATTCTCCGTCGAAAACCTTCAAATAGACCTGATTGAGCAGCTGCAGCCGCACCTGTTCGTCCTCGTCGTTTGGCATGTAGTATGGCCCACAGTACCGTCGTCCATTTTCCATCACATAGTCTACATCTAAATCGGTTATCGACCGAGTCGAGTTTCTATGAAGAGTTAGTCAAATGCGGGATTTTGATTTGTTACCAGGTGGAAGGTCTGCTGACACTGTTTCTGCATCCTCCCACGATCTATCCATAGAGCGATACGTGATAGAGATGGTGGGAAAGTGGCTGGGCGTGTAAATAGATGTTGTATCAAAGGGATTAGATCCAAACCCATCGTCTTGGTCGATCACGGGCCCTAGAACGCTTCTCGTCCTGGTGCTGAGGTAATCGCTCGTGACATCGTCGGTTGTAGATAGGTCAGGATCTAACTCGGGCACTGCGGATTCGGAGACGGGGCGAGTCGAAGCACTGAAATCATCGGAGCAGGAGTTGTACGATTGCGGCGCCATGGTGGGCGGACACTACTACAACAGCCGGACAACAGCCGGGTCGTCTCTCAGCTACAACCTACGAGACGGCGCTACCGCTCCTTGGATCGTAGAGCAACAGCACTGATCCTGTATCCTTCCGGTGCGCTAAAAACCCGACGAAACTTGTGCCTTGTGCTAGCTCCCATGGCGGGCAGCACGCGGTCACGACATAGAAGACAGCGAGACTCGTCGCTCGAGACCAAGGCAAATGAAGACGATGTGAAGGCGATGTGGATAGCGCAAGTGCACCTAGCGCGCGTATAGATCACGGTGTACAAGTAGGTAAGTATGGTATGTAGGTAGGTTTCCTTCTAATGGGAGATGGATCTACCGGTAGGCTGGACGGCGGGTGTCGCTGTACGGAGGTAGCAGTAGCGTCGGGAACCTCATGGACATACCCGTTGGGACTCAGGTAGTACCTACTGTAGTAGTAATGGCATCCTCAAACGAAGGAGCGGTTCGCATTCAGCTCTCCAGGGCGGACGACTGGTCGGCCTGGTGTCATCCCGGGAAGTGCACTAACCCAGAGCGTAGGCAATGCAAATGCGAGTGCAGGGTGCAAGTGCAAGGTAGGGTCACATTGCCTAAGAGCCCATTGCGCCATGGGCAGAACATTGGAGCCTTATCTTAGGTATACTAGGAGGTAGGTAGCCTTATTTAACTACATACCTAGGCACCTTAGGTACTTTAGGTACTTAGCACACACCCATACAAAGAGGTAGGTAGGTATATGTACTCTATGTACCTAAAGGTTATAATACTACTTCGTAAGTATGTATGTACATATAGGTAGGTAGGCAGGCAAGTTCTTAGTTAGCCATGTTCATCATACACGTAAGCAGGTGGTACTTAATCAAGTAGGTGTGGTGCCACATGGAGCTATTTTCTTTTGAGGATATATGAAGCTTTGATCGAAATATAGAGGCTTCTTGAAAAGAGTAGGTACATGCGTAATCATAAAATACCTAGGTAAGTGTTAACGCGAGGGATACAGAGACAGAGACAGATCTGGAGATACAGAGAGAAAGAATAAAATGATCTTATCGTGACAGCAACGACCTAAGTAAGCATGTCCGAATCCCTGCCTGCATTGCACTACATTGCGCTACTTACTGTACCCAATACGAAGGATAAAGAGAGTTAACCGAGTTAACCTTAAATGATGACGGTATGAGGATTTGAAGCATGGCTAGGTATATGATTAGACTATCAAAAGGTACCTAGCAACTACCCAGTCACCAGTACGCGCCCTCGGCGCCTCTTCCTTGTCGGCATGAGCGTGCGGCGCTTGATTATGTGAACTCGTCATCTAGACATCTACACTGGTTCACCACGCTATCAATAGAGCATCACGAGATATCGTCGGCCGGGATAGCTTCCTCGCACGCAGTTCTCTACGCATTTCCATATTCCACGAAAATATATCACGGCAACGCTGCTGTAGCCCACTACTGCGACCAGCAGCCACGTGGTCTCTGGGATCTACGGTGCATTTCGACTTCCCGTTAGGGTCACTATAAGCCAACCGCTATAAGTTACATGCGTGTTTAGGTAGTGTTCGAATAAGTGGCTACCTATCTAGGTAGCTATAGAATCTACACACGCAGTCTGTAGAAACCTTCTCATGGTAAGACCTGTTGACGGATCTGACAGGGATTTACTTAGATAGTCGAGCCCCGAGGCTTTGATGCTTGGTCTGAGTCTCCCATACCGCTAACTTGAGATATGGTCGAAGATCAACCTAGAGGGTAAATTGTCGCCGAATAAATGCACCCAGTATTATACCTTAACGACAGCCATGCTAACACATACAATTATACACCACTAGGGGCCTACCGATTATGTCTGGTCAAGTTAGCCTTCAATGACATTCACCAATTCATTGTCAAACCCACCTTCACAGATGGGGATAAAGATCATTGTTCGTAAATGTTCGTGACATTGATGCTGAATGGCAAATGTCTATCGTAAAGCAGCTACCCGGTCTATCGCCCAGCCCAGTTTCTAGAGCATCATGACTGATACCCTTCATTCTATGACCACTTATACCAGGGTGTTTTGTATGCCGACTTCTTAGAATAATACGAGCGAGACAGATAAAACCCTCAGTCATCTCAAAAAGCTGCATCGGTAGCGCCTAGTTTGAGACCTTTCGCTTCTTAGCTGTGACAGGCTCATCACAGATCTCTTCCTTATCAGAATGCACTTCAGCCTCGATGACGATCGGAAAGGGGCTAAGTACTTTGCTAATATCTCCCCACCATTCCTCACCGAAGCGCGTATACCAGTCAACTGTGATCTTTAAGCCATCAGCGAAACTTGTTTTCTGTTCCCAGCCAAGTTGACGAAGTTTGGTCCCATCAACAGCGTAACGATGGTCATTGAAAGGTCGGTCATGTGTATACTTGACCCATCTACTGAACTCTGATGGTTCGTCGTGCGCAACGCCCATCTCCTTGAGTAGCATCTTGCATAAATCAATGTTGGAAATCTCATCATAGGACCCGACATTGTAAACTTGGCCAAGGGCACCTTTATGCAAAATCGTGTCAAACGCATCGGCCGCGTCACCAGCGAAGAGGTATCTTCGTGTGGGGCTACCGTCACCATGCAAAACAGCCGGCCGATGTCGATTTAGCAGGCAGGTAAACTTAGGGATGATTTCTATGCAAATGCATGTAAGCCTACGGATCATCAGAGCACAATCAGCCTCAGATACTTACTCTCGGGATATTGGTGGGGCCCATAGACATTGTTACTTCGGACGATGATTACTGGGAGCTTGAAGCTCTTCATGTATGAGTAGACAAGCATCTCAGCGGCTGCTTTGCTTGCAGCATAGGGATTAGTTGGGGCAAGGATGCTCGTTTCCAGAAGGTCATCGTCGCCATCTTTCACCTCCCCGTATACCTCATCAGTTGAGATGTGGATAAAACGTTTGATCCCGACCTTTTTCGCACTCTCTAACATGACGTGCGTGCCGTACACATTAGTATGTGTAAACCCATAGGAGTTGCCGAAGCTTAGATCGACGTGGGATTGCGCGGCAAAGTGAAAGATAGTATCAATGTTGTAACGCTCTATGCAGTCAAGAACCTCTGATGGATTTGTGACGTCTCCCTGGTAGAACGTGAAGTTCTTCTTGTCATTGAGCATGCGCGTGTTGTTCAATGAGGAGCAGTAATCCAATTTATCGAAAGATACGATATTATAGGCACTTGGATAGGTCAATGTGAGGTGCCGAACAAGCCAACAAGCGCTGCGGATCTCATTAGTCTTGAATGCCACCTGTGTCCGGACAGACGTACATGAAGCCTGCGCCTCCGGTGATCATGATATTCTTGACTTCAGGTAAGGGCTCGAACTTGGTCGAGCCGACCAGAACAGGCGCCTCTTTCCACACTCCGTAGTCTTCGAAAAACCGACTTTGTTTTCTGCGGTTAGGTGAAGCTAGAGACGTCTCAGTCAGCCGAGATTTTGGATTTAGAAGTTGCAATGTCTACCTACCGCGCACCCCATTGGTGCCGTTTGTATGGGTGGAAGCTGTCATGATAAGGGAGGGTAGAGGACACGGCAGAATATGGACGTCGGGTTTGAAAACCGAGTGCTAAACGCTTCGGGCTTCAGAGCTTAAGACAAGTTGTAGGGTATTTAAAGCAGGACAGTCTGGTCGAAAGTGTGTGGTAAGTGAAGACGCTCGCTTTCGTAAGGAAAGCTTGCTTAGGCAATCCCTCGGGGCCGTCAGATGTCCCATATGCCGATCCGTCGGTCACGTTGCGGCACGTAACAAGGGGTGACAGTGACAACCTTGTCCAACGCCCGCCGGGTATGAAGGGATACAGGTAGGGAATATGTAGGATGGTAGTAAGCAATATCTTATGCCGTTGAATTTCGAAAGATTATATGTATGTAGCGATAGGGCCTGACCGGGTGATCTTTCTTATAGTCATCTCTAGCGCTCGTAACAACTCAAGTGTTGTGCGAGGTGAAGTTCCACGAACACCTGGTAACAAGGAATTAATGAATGGCTGTTTTTTTCATATAATTTGGGAGTCCAAGTAGCTAATCAGGAGATTCTGAGGCCGTTGCACTGAGTCAAGATGATTGGAGAGTTAGAAATTGGGTCTCTCATGGCTCACCGGCCATGGCCAATAACTGGACGTATACACAACCTGCAAAGTACGTATGATGTGCCCAGGATTCTTCAAGGAACCAACCACTACATTATGTAAGTACTAATAGTATAGGCAGGTGCGCTATCTACCTGTGCCTTAGCACCTGCACCTGCTTCGTTTAGGTAGTCGTTTAGTGTGGCTGCGGGAGTGGACATTAGCTAGTGCGAGGCGGGCTCCACATAAATTTACGCCGTATCTTACCTATTTCGTAAGAGTTGCCAAAGTACAGACAATATGCACAACTCACATGACTGCATTCCATCCCAATGTGTTACCATTACGCGACGAAGCGACGCTGTCGTATGGGATGAGGTAAACTCTAGAGTACACGGGTATCAGCAACAGTGCCGAGTGCCTAGCTACGTACCTAATTGCTATAGATATCTACTAGTACTTGCATAATATGAGTACTAGGTAGTTCTAGTCAAGTGTTTCAAGTCAATGGGCATAGGCATTGCTAACTTGAATATCCACAAGATGGACAGGCTACCTTACCTAAGTGAGTACCTACCTAGGTAGCTAGGTGCCTACCGGTAGGTACATATGTAGGTATCGAAGCATCTCGGACCCCTGAACCTCTGAGTTGTCACGTAAGCATACCTCCTACCTACATACTATATGGAGTGTGCGTACCTACCTAAGGTATAGAAGCGGGGGCATAACATACGATTTGAATCCTACAATACATCATGGACGGCCTCACGACTTGTCGTTGTGTTTGGTTTTACGATTACTGGAGTAAAGAGTGCCGAGGTCGAAACCCGTATTTTGTAGATGGGAGGCAGCTCGGCAGTATACTCGTTCTTCCGAGATGACTATATCCCCAGGATCACTAATCCTTCAGCGGAGGGCCATGGTGGGGGAAGGAGGGGATTCGGATCACAGAAATCAAACACAAAGCCCCTGTTGTGCAATGTAAGTTTCCATTCATCATCCTGTCAGACATTAGTCTCGGCGATACTGCTACAGTTAGGTTGCTCAGTGCTATGTAAGTGGCACAATGGACGGTCACACGAAAACCTCCTCACATCTGTCCGACACTGAACGCCGAGACTCATGTTCTATATCCAGATAGGTAGCTTAATGCATAGTAAGACCAAGCACGCAGTAGTACACTTCAACCGACTGTAAGTGGACAAATAACGCTATTGATGCCGGCGTAGGGACGGCGAACACACGGTGCATAGATTGTATTGGCCCGAGAGCGGACAGAATCAAAAGGTCACGTCCGTGTTTGCTCTCTGTGAACCCCTGGATGAAACGAGGGGTATGCTACACACTCTCTCAAGAGTTCATAGAACAGAGCCAGAATTGCGTAAGGGCGTAGGGCTAGCTGAGAGTCGTACCTGGAGCTGAATGACGAGACTGCCTAATTAGTTAATTTAGGTAGGTTATTTAAATACTTCATCCCAAGAGAGAACAGTCTTACTTAGTCATACCGTGCGAGCACGTAGAGCCTCAAGACTACGCCTTTGCTTTTGACGATACTAATCGAGAATTATCTAGGCATCTACCTTTACTCTTCTTCACTCATGGTTGCATGTAGCAAACGCCCTGAAAGTACTACGCCTGCAGGCCAGACAGGCCAATGCTTCAACACTTGCAGCGTCTCAAGAACTCGGCCGATAAACTGTCACGCTTGCAGAGAGTTCGGTTGTGCTCCCTTGTCAGACGTATTTGAACGGAGACTCTCTCATCCACACTATCTAAATCGATCTCGCCAACGGAGGCCTGCATGTAACTTCACAGTCCCTAGCATAGTTTGTGATCAGGCGAGTCTCAAAGAATCGGCTGTCTCCAGCCAGTGCCTGTCCATCATGTGCGCCACAAACCGATCTGTTCCGCATTGAGTTGCTTCGCGGCAGATTCGCGGGGAACCCTGACCAGTACGCTACCAGCCGAGCCGGCTACCAGTCCCAGACCGTCCGTATCTGGTCCGTACCTTGACGCCGCTCTCGGCTGCTCTTCAGAAGCCGCCGCTAGGTGCTAGCCATGTCGTCATCTGCACGTCCAGTGGATCAGTGGGTACCGAGGGACCCCGGTCAGAGGTGCCATCTGCCGTTCAACTAGCGGCAAACAGCTGTCCCAAACATGTCTAACTACCTAAGGTAACATCATACTAACATGTGCAACCGCATGGCTTTTCTCATCTACACTAACTTGGTGGAAAATGACCAACCTGTAGAACACCTCCCTTCCTAAGTCTCTCGGTTGATTCAACGTGGCAGAACTTATCCCTATGTACAATTGACCGCTACCAGCTTTTCACCCGTCCCGGAATCATAGCACCAGATGTCCCCTTCTTTAGTGCCAGTTTCCGAATCGGCACCCACGCCCTTTGATCGTCTAAATTATAGCACGCCGCCGTTCAAAATCCTGACAACACCTCCTGATTTTCTGTCCACGATCATCACAGCCCAACTTCAATGACCTCCCATGCCACCCACGATCCAATATGACCTTCTCCCACAGCCGTAGCGGCTTGAGCAGTTCAGCCACGTCCTCACGAGCGACCAGTCGAGCCGGCAATGAGCGGACCAGTAGCTACGAAGGCACGGACAGCGACCATGCGAATGTCCTCAACAGTATCAATCATGGTGATCTTGGACGAAAGCACGACGATGAGGAGGCGCCGATGGAGAAGGATATGATCGAGGATCGTGATCCAACTCCGCATTCGCAAACCGGCATTATCCGGGCTTCCTTTTGGATCGTGGTGAACACATTGGCCACTATTGGCATTGTAGGCCCCATCCAGATTCTTCATTGACTGAAAGGTGATTGCATATATATGTCTAACACTCTTGGACTCCCACTTAGGTTTTTACGAACAAGGCCATCTTCTCCGACCAGTCGCTGAAATTAGCGCAACTGACATTTGCGGCCTTCCATTTCTTCATGACTTGGTTGCTGCTATATACCCTCTCGCGGCCTCAGTTTGCCTATTTTGTCCCACGAAGGACAACGATCCGAGAGGTTATTCCCTTGTCTATCGCTATGTCGTTAAACGTGATCCTGCCAAATTTCTCGCTAGCGTACTCCTCTATCACCTTTTATCAGGTTGCGCGCATATTGCTTACCCCAATCGTCGCCTCTATAGACTTTTTCTTATACCACACAATGCTGCCTAGAGATGCTATTGTGGCCCTTGTTCCTGCTTGTGTAGGGGTTGGCGTCGTATCGTATTATGACTCGCTACCCAGTGACAATGCAAATGTCAAGACAACGTCCAGCATAGGAGTTATCTTCGCCTTCTGTGGCATCTTCGCATCCTCACTTTATACGGTTTGGATCAAGAGCTATCAGCGAAAACTAAAAATATCGAGCATGCAGCTACTATTCAACCAAGCACCGGTTTCTGCATTTCTCTTACTCTACGTAATCCCTTTTGTTGATACTTTCCCCACATGGTCGCAGGTCCCTCTCAATCGGTGGCTTATGATACTTATGGTGAGTCCATACAGTGGCATTGATCAAAGTTATGTGTTAACGGTAGTTAGTCTGGGATGTTTGCCGCCTTGATTAACCTGTCACAATTCTTCATCGTTGGCCAAACAGGACCGGTATCAAGTACAGTGGTGGGACATCTTAAAACTTGCCTCATTATTGCTCTCGGCTGGATTACTTCTGGGCGGTCAGCCGGGGACAAGTCTATTGTCGGCGTTTTCGTTGCAGTAGGCGGCATTATCTCGTACGTTATTCACACCCTCTTTCTGAAACTGAGACTTGAGCTGCTGACATAAATTTTATAGTTACTCTGTTGTTATGCTTCGACATACGGCTCGAACGTCCAAATAAAGGATTCATATTAGCAGTCTAAGGGTATCTATCGGAGTTCTGGTGTTTAAATGGCGTCTGCGACTGAAAGAGGAGAGGCAAAGCCCCGTTTCTTTTACAGCTGGCTATGTATGGGCAACGAGGGGTGTTCATTTATGTTGCATTGTCGTATGTCGCTTGGGTTGCTTCACGGCGTAGAGAATAGCTACATTACTAGATGGTCTGATACACAGCCTGGCGGCTTAGGGGGTTTGTTTGTTCCAGGCACATGAGATGAGGTGGCCTTGAGCTCACAATTATCAATTCGTGCAGGCCTGCTATGCACAACGCTACCTTCTTAGTATCTGTGGATCTGGAGATCTGATATGCTCTTTTTCCTTACTTAGACTTTCCTAGGATGCAGACATGTGCCTACAGCAGAGACGGCTCAATCTGCACCTCCAGTGCTTGTACCTTGTATCAATAGAAGGTTTGCGAACATCATGAATTGCAACATTGATGCTGCGCGGGACCGAGAAGATGAGGCACCAGCCACATTTCGGTCTTTGTTGTTTTGGCCGCCATGGTTAGCGGGGCACTAGACGAGGCGCAGCACCCGACAGCCTAAAGATGACGTTTGGCTTCAGCTACACATGTCGCTACCAAGGTAGGTAAGTACTGGTAGGTACCTACCTGGGTTAGAAGCTCCCGCCTGATCTTACCTTGGATACCTACCACTAGGTAGGTACCTAGGTAGGTAACTAGGTACCTTCCAGTGGTGGTGGACTATCTTTCCAGGCTCCGATATCAACATCACCACCTTCAACGGCGCTTATTCTTCTTGAGCGGATTCCGTGAGCTTTGATACAGCATCTTCAAATTAGGAGCCTTGCACAGGCAACTATCCCGATATAGTCCTTAAACATACCTGTCAACCATCTTGGCTGAATCCCCTCCCCCACCTCGCGACCGTGTCGCAATCCCCGGCCAGTCTGCGCCCTGAACCACCTTGGAGTCGTCATAATTGATACTCGCCCACCGCCCAGCCCCATCCAGGGTAGCTTCCCGTCAACAACCACCCACAATGTGGAACGACGAAGAGGACAACAATCCCTACGGTACTAGTTTCGACCGTCGAGACTCCGTGACCTCATCATCTGCAAATCCAGCTTCCCCAACCTCCCGCGATTGTAGGTATTATGACGAGCTCCCTTCTTCTGTGATTACTCGCAATACATGCATCCAGAGGAAACAAACAAGTCATATTACTCTACCATGCAACTGGATCTGACCCAAGATTTACAGATCAGCAGCGCTTCGAGACTCCCAACACACCGTCCTCGACAAGCGAAGATGCGGCGCCTCCCATAACTTATGGCCGTGAGCCCAGCGATATTGAGAGTGATGATGACTTTAATCAGCCGACCCCCCGCAGGAAGCCTGGCGGCTATGACAGCCGCATAGAGCAGATACTCTACGAGAACCCCGAGCTGCCCATACTTATTACAGATGCTGGCAAGAGCACGGAGAGCGGTGGCAAATTTATCGTTTATACTATTCGAACTGGAGTATGCCTTCTTACATGCCGTTTAATTCCTATCACTCACATGTAACTTAGGACCTCGAAGTCAGGCGTCGCTACTCGGAATTTGCATCGTTACGTGACGCTCTTACCAAGCTTCATCCTACGCTCATCATTCCTCCTATTCCAGAGAAGCATACTATGGCAGACTACGCTGCCAACCCTACCAATGCAAAGCAAGACCAACAAATTATAGATTTACGCAAGCGTATGCTCGCTGTTTTCTTGAACCGGTGCCGACGAATGGACCAGGTGAGAGAAGATGGGATATTATGGAGGTTTCTAGATCCTAATGTTAGCTGGGTATGTTATCGTCTGATTCCTAAATCAGAGCGCTGTCGTTAACATGGAAGCAGAATGAAGTCCTCCATTCGCATCCCCTTTCCTCTATCCCCAAATCCATCTTGAAAGCACCGCCGCTAGACACCGCGAATCCTACCCCGGCGCATGCTTATTTGCCAGTTCCCAGCTCTTCAGCCAAGCTGAAGAACCCAGTGAATCCGCCTCCGGCACCCGTTTTTGATAGTTCAAATACAGTTGCATCTCAAGTGCTGCGTCGATTTCCTCCGGATGGTCGGGAACTATCCGAGCACGACTTAGATCCTTACTTCATTGCTTTTGAATCGTCAATTAAAGAGTTAGAGACGGCCCTGACGGGGCCTATGGAAAAAGTCAATCGACGCACTCTTAGTCATTTGAGTGCCCTGGGTACCGACCTTTCCGATCTTGGGGCCAAGTTCAATGCCTTCGCCCTCTCAGAGCCTTCGGCATCATTGGCAGCAGCTATTGAACGAGTCGGCCAGGCTGCGGACTCATCATATATCGCAACTGAAGAGCTATCCAGCTCTCTTGGTGCCAATTTTGCAGAACCCATGAGAGAAAACGCTCAGTTCGCTGGTGTTGTCCGAAACGTTCTACGCTATAGGGTCCTGAAGAGAGTTCAGCAGGAGATGACCAACGACGAACTAGTTAAAAAGAAAGCACTTCTTGAGCAGTTGGAAAGCAGTGAAGCCGAAGCAAGGCGTATCGAGCAATATCTAAGCAGTAGTCAGCAAATCGGAGGGACACATCATGTCCAACCTCCACGAAGATCAGCCAGTATGAAGGAAACCTCATCACACCATAGGGAGAGCAGCGGTGAGGATACCGCTTCTATTGACTCCGATTTTCCTCATAACCATGGAGATATGTCTTCTGCGCCATCCGCCAAAGTGGGAGCTCCAGAGCGTTCAGTTGCTAGCCCGACTCATAGAAAAGTCGCTAGTGGCAACTCTATCACGAACAAGATCTTTGGACCCATTCGCCATGCAATTCAAGGTGTAGCCGACGTTGATCCAGAGAGAACAAGGCGGGATACTATTGGAAAGACGCGTGAAAGCATCGAGCAGCTTGAACAGGCCCAAGTTGCCATAGAAAAGGACGTACGTGCAGCAAGTGCTAGCGTCTTACAGGACTTGAAGAGATTCCAAAACGAGAAGGAAGAAGATTTGAAGCGGTATATGGTAAGATATCCTTGCACTCTGTAGCAAATCGTGAAAACTAACCAGTTCGTCCCCAGCTTGCCTACGCTAAAAGTCAGATTGAGTGGGCGAAGAAGAGCAAAGAAACTTGGGAGGAGGCTAGAGCCGAAATTGAAAAAATCGATGAGACATAGTTGTTTCTAGATGGGCAGACGAGTCTGATTAGCGACCTGAGATAAAAAGGGTTTGGAGGAGTCTAGGCTGCGCTCGACAATAATAGTATAGACGGTCTAACTTCTCTTCGCATTGATAGGTCAATTCTACGAGCATGATTTAGTGGCCTAGGAAAATATGTTGGTGTAAAACTTGACGTATGCAACTCTTGTCATGGAGGAGCAATTAAATCACGGCAATTGAGCGTTATCCCCTTAACAACGCTGAGTCTAAGCGCATCCGTGCGCAGGATTCCATGACACTACTCCATTATTAATTCTGTAAATACCACCTAGCCAAATTTATATCTTCGGTAGCCCTCAAATCCCCAACTCTCTTGTATATTCATCCTCGAATTGGGCCACTCGACCACCCCAGGGGTAACGCAGTATCACCTAATAAAGACACTGTGTCACGTTCTGCCTCGACTTGGTGAGCATTAAGACGCATATCACGACGCCGTAGAGGCCCAAGACCTCGGCGAAGATGAGAATCAGTACCATCCCGATGTATAGACGTGGCTGTTGCGTGCTAGCGCGGACTATACATTATGACGTACAATCAGTACGAGTTTTCTATTTCTTCTCAGGACCTGAGAATTATGAATGAAAGGGGGATAGAGGGGAAAGGGCGTGAGAAGAGGCAAAACGTACCGCCGGCATCCCCTACGATGCCGATGGCAAACCCAGCCGCGAGCCCGCAAAGCCCGACTGAGATCCCGGCTCCGAATTGGACAAAGCCAGTATACAGCGGCATCTTCTCTTCCAGGTCCCCTTGGATTATCACGCTCGACACCAATCCGTAGATGGAGAGAATCTGCGCCATGATTGCGCACAGCCTGTTACCAGTCGACGTCAGAAAGCTAGGCAAAAGCGGCCCTTTATCTGTGTTTTGGACCGACATGTCGTGATGGGAAAGAGGAGAGGGCGGACTAATCCGTACGTATTTTGCATCAAACGCTCTGGCCGGATGATACCAGACGAGAATATGGCCCCGGCCGACTTTGCAGTCCCGTAGGAAGCCCCTATCACTGTGAATATGATTGATGCCGCGCACCCCATGGCCCCGAAAAAGGGCTATTCGCGGGATCGATTTATGTGTCAGCCATATCCACATGCGAGTCGTTTAAGTAGCTGTCTGGTGTATCTCGGATACATACCGCATATACGGGGCTGTTTGTGAAAGGAAGAATTAGTTAGCAAATAGTACGCTTCAGTCGTGTGATTCGACGTTACTTGTGAGTATATGCTTACCAACGCGCATCATAGTAACCGTCCATGATGGATCATGCAGAAGGACAGACACTTTGGGGGGGGGGGGTTCCAGCTCGATTCTCAGTGGACGTTCGCCTTAGGGCAGCGTAGATGTCACTAACTGAACGTTTGCAATTCGGATATGTGTGTATCACCCCAGGAGTTGTTGGATTAGGGATTAAGAATCGGAAATCTTACAACATAACCACCGTCGTTTGAGCCAGCTGTAAGGCACGCCTTGTCAGTACTTATCTCTGGCATCGTGTAATAACAAAGTACGTCAGCCTAATAAAATTCATGATCTACGACATGATATTCACCCGCTACTGTCTATTACGGGGATTCTGGCCCGGGGCTGATGATAATTTGAGGCCGGTGGCTTGCCAGGCAGACGAATAAGGAGACACCCCATTGGTCACAGGGGACGATTCTGTGAGTTGATGCCACGCCTTTGGGAGGAGAGAAAACTTGGCGTCCACCTTTGTACATATACGACCTTCAATACGAGCAAAAGCGAGAGCATTGGTGTCTCTACGGGGCGATGAGTATCTTGCGACCTAACTTTTCTATGTTAAACTGTTGAGAGCGACTTCGCGTACCAATTGGGGAAAGTGGGGTGTTGCCAAAATACCGAGGTATAACAATGATAGTCTCGGGGCTGATAGCGTTACTTTGGATCGCTTCATTGTATGTTATGTTTCCTGGTCCCATAGACATGCACAAGAAATATATAACCCAAGTTCGTCATGGATTGGACAAGTGGGGGACTCGACGAGATGGTGTCTTTCGCCAAGTCGTATCCTCAATTTGTGAAATCGCACCACAGCTCACGAGCTCCTTTCAACCCCGTAGCGGACCTACCAGTGGCTCTTACTCTGAAATTATGCTTTCGGTACCTCAGGGTAGATCGTCATTGTAGTAACTAAAATAATGAAGTCAGAAAGGCGAGAGGCCTAGCTATCATAGTCCATATACGAGAATGCGACTTTGACTATTGTTGCTATGGCAGCAACTGATATACCTACGGTCTTGCCGGAGTTGGAACTGAACTCGCATTACCACGGAACGGACAATCACAAGCAGTTTTGACAGGACACATTAATGTCGGTGAACAACTCAGAAGGGCGATTCGAGTGTGGGCATTCCAAAAGGCAATGCTCTCAAGACCCTGTCTCCTATTCACACCGGACCAGGTCTACTTCTTATGTAGGACCACATGTTTAGGTTCAGACCCAAAAATATTGCTATCGAACATTTCCTACTTTGAGAATAGTGATCTCAACTCGGTACCAACTGAGCTTGAGTGGCATGAACGTGGTTTGGACGTGATGTGAATATCAATCTCAAAAGAATGATGGGAGATCAAAACGACGGCTTAATGTTTTTAAAGGGATATTGAGTCGTTCGGTTTACTGGAGCTACTACGGCGAGTCGCTCATCACAAGAGCTGGGCGTGAATCATCAACAGCCAGGCCCCTTGCAGACAGTGACCGTCTTCCAAATCTACCTTTAAGAATCGATAGTAGTGTTCGCATAATCATCCAAAAAATACGCTAGGGGCTGATGTCTGAAACAGATGATCGCAGCGACAGCTTCAACGACTTCTAAATAGCGGAAACGAATAGCGATGTTCGGTAGTACTTACTATGATGAATACACATATAACAGCTTGGACGACCCTGGGGTGCCATTTAACCAGGACCCTGTTTTGGCACTCTTTGGTGGATTAAACTTCCTTGAACAGTCTGTTATGGACGTTGCCTATGCCAATATGGTCTTGGCGAGTGTCTTCGGGGGATCCGTCAACTCTGACTGCGACCCGGATGGCCCCAAGGACCTACGTTCGGGTGTCTAGACGATTCTAAATAATGGTATTGAGGTATGGCTACCGGTCGATAAGGGGCCCCCACGGGGATAGGCCTAATTTGGCGTATGATTTCAGAAAAGCCGAAAGAAGGTAATTCTGGAACATGGCCCCTTCGAATCAATCAGGCGTTGGAGACATTGGTGATGTGACATTTGAGCCTTGAGGTGGTGAAAGTGCCTATTGATTCTATCAAGTATTAGTCTCCATTGCTGGGCTATCTAAGACTGGACCATATGAGATTCACATCGACTGCTACGAGACACTTCCTCCTTATCCTTATAGTGAGATATATAGATGGGATAGTCCGAGTTGGAAGTTCAGACTGATCAGTCGCAAGTCGATATATAATCTAAAGTCGAAATGGAGACACGCGTGGGAGGACTGGCTGCCTACGAATGCCTTGTTTGTAATTAGGCCATTCGGACGGTATTGGAAGAGGATTGGGGGTTTAAAAACCAAGGATAAGCTGTATCGGAATTCCCAGACAGGAAATAATTGTACTTGCTTAGCCTATGAGTCTTCCATCACTTAGTATTCCGTTAGTATTATCGAAACATGATAGCTTGAAGTCACGATTGGCATACTTAGACGGGTGAGAATCATAATGGGACTGCTTGCCTTTATTCTCATAGTATGACTCTTCTTAGTATGGCCGTTACTTGATGACATGTTTGCTCACAAGTCTGTCTACGGACCATATATATTCGACGACATTATGAAAGGCTTGGACCCTAAACCCTTATTACAGGACATAAGATTACACTGGCATACCTCTAGCTCTACATATATGATTCACTTACGTAGATACTCCTGCCTGGATCGTGCTCTTTGTCTGGGGATGCACTCAGCGATACCAAATTATGTAGCAGAGCCCCATTCCAAATGCACATGGCGATGAAACACACTGCCAGTGTAACACTCCTACCAAGCCGGACCTGGATTCAGAGATGATGCAGGTATCGGCCTGCTGATGACGACTCTGCTTTACAACGTTGTTCATTATGTTTCCAACGTCACCACGTACGCTTGACGCTTCGCAATCTGCAAATACTCTGTTACCGCTGTGAGGATTAACACAGGGATCGGCGAGAAGGAATCCGAGCAAATCCCTTTATGCGGCGAGGTCAGAACCGGGCTTTGCCACTCTGGCGTTTTGGAAACCGATGCTTTAAATGTATCGCTCTCTAGCTACTGAGGGCTGAGCGTGCGCGTTTAACCATGTCAGAGATGAGCGCTAGTATCACATCGTGTAGGTTCTTTGTTGCCTTTAGGTTTACCAGACGGCCCAGTCGGAGACCGTATAAAATTTTTGATACCAATAGTCCAGAAATCCAGACTGCTGCCCTCGGTTTGCAACGGACCTTCTCGAGATGAGCTCCTGGGCATGCTCAAAAGCATTGATAGTTGTTTCTGCGTTGGTTAGATGTTACCTTACCTTACCTTACCTCTCGGACATTTACTTACTGAAATCGGCTTGTTGGTTTGACTAGCAGCCAATCGGGATATTCGGATGCCGTTGTTGCGTTGCTGGACGGATGGTCGGCGGGTGCGGCTGATGAAAATAGGTGGTATGATCGTCACAACCTGCGTCCTTCGTTCAAAACAGCATACCCCCCCTCGCCCCCCCATCAGACCCCATCGGTCTCCCCACGGAAGAGATCGGCGGAGCTCTGACACAGCTTAAACGTATCAGGGGACATGCCAAGCTTTCGACGGTTGTCGGCACTCATATGCACAGAGAAAGCCTCATGCTCCCATGCCCGTATCTGCCCGTATTCCAACATGTGTATCTACAGTAGTGTACTCGTCCACTCTGCACAGAAGAACGCGGACCTCTGCATGGTATCTTGAGCAAATGGGTTGATTGCATACCTAAATCCCATAGCAGTCAGTCAGCTTACTTATATGGATTCGTCACAGACGCGTGTGTATTCATACTCCGTCCCATACCCAAGGCGGACAAACAGGCAGCAAAGCCACCCCCGCCTGTGGTCACGACAGCGCCAGCGTCTGGAATTAGCATAAAAGGGAGCCGCAACTAAAATAGTACCGTTAGCGTAAGTACTGTACTGCCACTCCGGATGGAATAACGTGACAGAAACGTGAGCGGCCGCGCGTCTGTTTCCAACCCAGCGACGCCTTATTCGCCATTCGTGTCTGTTCGCGCAGCATCCGACCCCTGTCCGGACCCCGGTCAGCCCTGGGCCATTGGTCTAAGACCCTTGACGAAGAGCACTGCAGTAGGTAGATGTCGTAACGGCGGCGCCTCTCTTATGTGCCCAGATGTGCCATACAGATAACGTCGCAAAGGCAAAGCTTGAGACAGAGCCTCCCATGCACGCGCGCTCCCTACGCATGAAGAACCCTGGTACTCCTGTCGCAATAACGCAGTGCTATTAGATACATCTCGTGGTACATGGGCAGTAGTCGGGAGTATGTCCGAGCAAAAGTCCCTTTCTCACAAAGGTCCTGTGGTGTAGGTACTCGTCGCAGATGTTCATCGCGGCCAGGAATTTTGGCCCTCTCTTGGCGAATAGCCTGGCCGATGGCTCTGGAGTCAGCGCTCACGCAACGCAGTCCATCTAAAATACTACTATGTATGTACTCAGCCGCAGGAAAGCTGGATACTGTTTATGAAATGACGCACATCTTCATGGGTAAGGGAGCCTTGCGTGTTTCTCTTTTTAAACAGTGTGCCCCTGCTGCCGTTCCATTCGGGCTTTATGTTGACCGCTCCTATTGCAAGCCTCCATCGTTGTTATCAACATTACCATTTCTTTCCTTTCTTCCATAATATTGTAATTAGTCCTAGAAATCTCATTATACTCACAAACGCTCTTCCCCGTGATATATCCGTTCCGCCTGCTCATATTAGCATCGACGCTGCTGAAGGATTACGAATCAAGTTCCCACTGCCCCGGAGAGAGCCCACCACGACCATCTTGGCTTGTCTTGGCACGACTTCGAAGCCTTGTGGGCGACTTACTTGCAAGGAAAGCGATCTACAGTGTTTAAAAATAGGAGGGACGTTCAAGTTTGAAATAATTCACACTTCCTCGCACTTTTTGCAAATTCGAGAGCAATTTCTAGCCGGCTATAGGAATACAAACGTCAATTTTAGGAGGTCTTAACATCACTACAGCCTAGCTGGTACAACAAGAGAAGACAATTCAAAAAGGAGAAGGGGGCTGTTCACGAAAGAACCGGGCCATTCGGCTTTAGATTGCATATAGCCCTGAACATGCGGATTACACAGCTTTGTGCTCTTGGAGCGGCGAGCGCCTACTTTTCAACAATAGTCAGTGCACGCAATGTGCCGAGTAATATCGGGCTGCCATTGTTGCCGCCACAGAGTAAGGTCGTCAGTCTGTCGACGGAAAGGCGAAGCATTTCGAACCCGTTGCTACGTGATCAGTTACGGCGGAGAGCTAATACCGCCGAGGCAGCTTTGGATAATGAGGTTCGTTCACGCAAAACCCCAAATAGGTTTAAAAAAAAGGTTATGTTCTGTTATTGTACCCGTGGATGACTAACAGAAGAACTGGTTAGGAAACACTCTATTTTGTAAATGCCACGATAGGTACCCCAGCACAATCGGTGCGCTTACATATCGACACCGGCAGCAGTGACTTGTGGGTGAATACGCCCCAGTCATCTCTTTGCACGCAGAGGTCAGATCCATGTGCCTTTGCCGGTTCGTATGTAGCGAACGAATCGTCTACCTACGAATACGTAGGGGATTGGTTCAACATCTCCTACGTCGACGGATCAGGGGCTAGTGGCGACTACGTATCCGACACGATCAGGATAGGGAGCTCGACTCTCGACCGGCTGCAATTTGGCATCGGCTACGTCAGCTCGTCCTCGCAGGGCATTCTAGGCATTGGGTACCCGTCCAACGAAGTGCAGGTGGGGAGGGCCGGTAGAGACCCGTATGACAACCTGCCCGCGGCCTTGGTATCCGCGGGCCAGATATCGAGAAACGCCTACAGCCTCTGGTTGAATGATCTCGATGCTAGCCGCGGCAGCATTCTGTTTGGTGGCATCGACACGGAGCAGTACATGGGCTCTCTGCACACGCTTCCAATCCAGGCAAATGGAGGCGTCTATTCCGAGTTTCTGATCACGCTGACGGCCCTTAAGCTCGGAGGGGAGACTATCGCCGAGAACCAGGCTCTTGCCGTGCTCCTTGATTCCGGCTCTTCGCTCACGTATCTCCCAGACGAATTCGTCGAGACCATCTACGAACGCGTCAACGCGCAGTACGACGAGGGAGCCGGCGCCGCCTACGTACCTTGTGCGCTAGAGAACAACGCTTCGACGCTTGACTTCACGTTCTCCTCCCCGACGATCTCAGTGGAGATGGGAGAGCTCGTCCTCGACCTCGTGACCTCAAGCGGGCGCCGCCCGAGATTCACCAACGGCGAGGAAGCTTGTCTTTTCGGCATTGCGCCTGCGGGCGAGGGCACCAATGTCCTCGGTGACACGTTTCTGCGCTCGGCCTACGTCGTCTACGACATCGACAACAATCAGATCTCGCTGGCGCAGACCAAGTTCAACGCCACCAACTCTAATGTCCGCGAGATCCCCGCTGGCACCGACATCCCCGGCGCTACTGTCGTCTCCAACTCAGTAGCCGCCACGAGCGGCGTCATCCGCGGCGGGAGTGGAGGCGGCGCAAGCGTCGACAGTGGTGCCGCTGTCCTCACCGCGTCCTTGTCTACCTACGTGCTTGTTCTGTTATGTCTAGGATTTACCACATTTGCTACCCTTCATTGATGATATTTATTTCTTTCGCCGGGAAGCGGTCACCATTCGACTTTTTTGAGCTTGCATTACTCCGAACTTGTTGGTCGGTGGCACATGAGAGACTGGGAGGCGCCTTGATTTATTCGTTTTGTTTCTGGGGATAAGCATTGCAAGGCGTTACGAGACAAAAGGGAAGGGAACGCCATTTACTACCATATACAACGCGAATATACCATTCTTTCTACTACAGTTGAGGAGAGGGAGGATTACCATACAAGCTACAATATACAGAGAGGCGGCGATTGATTAGATATCTTAAAGGTCGAACAGGACAAAGAGATTTACTTCGATCTATCGAGTTTCACCATATTTGGAGCATGAGATACGGTCTTCGTTTCGAGGAATGCCTTGTACACATTCATATACTTCATGCAATGGAATATGATAAAGAACTACACTGGTAACAGAACATACCAATTGCGCGAATGTATCAAGATCCAGCTCAAAATATGTCACCATGTGGAGCAGAGCGGCTCCCCAGGTACAGCAGTCGTTGTCATGGTCTTTTCACCAATAGAGCCCGCTACCAGCCTAGGACCGGACGTGGCGTGGCATGCTTGGAAGCTGAGCTGATGCCGCGCGTCTCTGACGTACAGAGAATTTGTTTGATCTGACAGAGTCTAGAAGGATCTATGCATAGAAAGGTCTATGCATGTGCATAGGGATAAAGGTTTGAGGGATAAAGAGCATAGGTTTATATAGACCTATAGAAAAATAGGTACCTAGAGATAGATCTAAATAAAATCATCTCGCTCCTTCCTTTACGTTCAAGTAGAATACGCTTGACGGTGAGATTGAGAGAGGGAAGCGTGCCATGCTTGATGGACAGAATTCCCCACCTGCTTTCTCTTGTGGTACAAGAACGGAAGACGCCGACGGTATACTACTCAGAAAGTAAGAAATGAGGAACCCGGTTCCCCTGTGGGCACATGATTATTAGGCTTATGCTAGCAAATGAGAACAGCTTCGTGAATATATGCAGTATTTTGATACATTCCTCTAACTCCAGCAACATGCATAGCTCGCGAATAACCTCATAATATATATATCCCTAGTCACCCATAGCTCCCCAACATACCTATTTAGACTACCTCTTTCCCCCTAATACTCGAAATCGTCATCCACTGAGGGTCCTTTCGTAACGCTCTCCTGCTTTCTGTACATTTCTGCGACCTGTCGACTACTTGTCGCCTCATCTGGCTTCTTATCATCTCTGACTTTGATGAATCGGGGAAACCGCAAACTGATTCCCTTGTCGCCTGACGGGTCGACCCCCTCTTTACAGCCTGCCTTGTACCGCGGGCTTAGAGTCAGATCTGCGGTCTTGACTTCCCATACGTACCGCGGCTCGAACCAAACATCGGGTTGATGCTGACCGCCAGAGGAATGGGAATAAAATGGCTTTGGGCGATCGATAACGATGTCTGAGAGTTGTTTATGTAGGTCCTCTAGAACTTGCTCCGAAAATCCGGTGCCGATATTACAAACCGTCTCATAGGTGTCTGATGCGGCGTTGTAGCACGCTAGAAGGAAAGCTCCGTAGACCGAGGTTCGTTTGCCTTTACCGTGGTAGGCACCCAAGACGACCAGGTCGAGGGAATCACCTACCCCAGAGAGATAATCTTTCTTAATCTACAACCTTTTTTTAGTGTAAAGAACTTCTCTGTGGTTTGGGGCTTCCTTACCTTGAGCCAGTTACGACTTCGTTTACTTGGTTCATACCCACTTTCGGATCCATCTAACATCTTCACCATAAGACCCTCACAGGAAGCCTTAACGCTCTCATCTAGGAACACTTGAATTTCCTCAAGTTCCTGCCCATTCATGTGAGTTGCGAAGGCGAACTCGCCCTCGACGGGCCTGAAAGCCTTATGCAAAAGCTCACGACGTTCCCGTAATGACTTCTCAACCACAGCCTCACCGTTTAAGAACAGAAGATCAAAAGCAAAGACACAGACCTTGACTTTGACATCTTCCACCTTGACGTCTTTCTTCTTTCGCGTCATAAGCTGCTGGAAGGGCAGGACTTTCTTCTCTGTAACATCCCAGGCTACTGTCTCGCAGTCCAGCACGAAGCTCTTGGTGCCCTCCTTCACCCATGTATCGAGTTTGGCAAGAATATCGGGGTATTTCTTTGACAGATCCTCGGAATTTCGCGAGAAAATAGATGCAACACCTTTTGCAGCTTCTTTTGTAGCGGATGGCAACGCCTCGATATAGTCATCCGAACGGTCCTTGGAAACATAATGGATCTGGGCTCTTTCGCCGTCATACTTGTATTCGCAGGTAAAAGTCTGGTTTTCAAAGCGATCCAAAACCTCAGTAATGGCTTTAGTAGGCTTGGCGAGCATAGGCTTCAGTGGAACTCCTGGTCGTAGTTTGCAGGTATCCTTCAAGTTCATAATGCCGTCCTTGACCATTGCCGGTATTATGACATCCCAGCTGGGTAGCTCACTGGACTAGTTAGACAGAGGCATAGTTGGTGAAGGGGATTATAGTTATGACATACCTATAAACCGATTTGAGAAGGGCTTCTGCCTCCTCAATCTGGGTTGTGGTTGGAGTTTTGCCCTTTTGTTCGAACTCATGGGACAGCATTGCCTGTGCAATTGACACTAGTACTGTCCTCTCTGCCAACCCAAGCCGTAATTTCCCTTCGAGAAACCGAACAAGATATTTGGCTTCACTTGGCCCTCCTTTATCCTTGGATATATCGACTTTGCTAGTCGAGTGCGAATCGGCAGCTGAAAGCATCTTCTTGATTAAATCCACTTTTCTCCCTTGTGCTCCATTACCAGTCACGGTAGCAACATCCATGAGGCCTTTATGGACACCTCTTACAGTAAGTGGCTTGGGTTTGAACATAGTCGGCTGGGTCGATCGACTCTTGACAGCAACAAGTCCAAGATCGCCAATTTCCTTCTGGTCCACCTTGATGACCTGCAAACTGCGGCCTGTCGTCTCCCCGATAGCTTTCATGATTAAAGACTCTCCGATACCCAGCTCAATACCAGCGTAGTCTGGCGCAAGCTTATTTATCATGAGAAGTACAGTGGGAAGGAAATCATCTGGCGTTAGCCTAAGTACTTGTTGAAGGAACAGGGCACAGTGTTCCGTGATGATTAGTCGCTTTGTAGTAAGTTCAATAAGTGAAAAGGTCGTACAGAGAGCTGCGTAAGGAACAGGTTCGCCGGCCTTCCAGTCGGGATAGGGGTCCTTAGCTTTAGTCTTTAGCTTGGTCTGAAGCTTTTCACGAGTCTTAGCTGCAGCTTTGGGGTCCTCCTCCTCTTCATCTTCTTCTTTCTCAGCCTCTGATGCAGACTCAGAGTCCACCGCTTCTTTTATTTTATTGCCTTTCTCGACTTTCGGCGCTGGCTTTTTCTTCGACGGTGAGGCAGAAGGGGAAGACTTATCGGAGACTTCTTTGTTGGGGGTTTTACTTTTTGATTTCACTGGTTTGACATCAGGCATGCTCTCATCTTCATCCTCTTCGTCCTCAACTCGTTTCCGGTTTCCTCTGCGGCGTTTTGGGGCAGGCGCCACTTCGTCATCGTCCTCCTCCTTCTCCAAATCCGTCTCTGGTTCCTCGACTTTGACTTTCGCTAATGATATTTCCAAAGCAGGCTCAGGAGATTGGATAGATCGCGAACGTTTCTTGGTATCTACATCGAAAAAAGTCAATCATAGCCTGAAGGCAGAGCGGCAAGTGTGGTCGCTAGTTACCTTTCTTGGGAGTAGTCTTCTTTGCAGCATCGGGATCGGTTTTCACTCTCGAGGATCGTGGGCTCGAATTGGCAGACAATACTTCCGAGTCCTCTTTTGCCTTTTTTGTGGGCTTTGTTGCGAAAGAGAGTTTGGACTGTTGGGTTGGTGCGGGCTTGGAGCCGTTGGGCTGGCCGAAGAATTTCCTGGACGACCACTACTTGTAAGCAGAGCTCGATACACCAGAAGGCTGGCCACAGACCCTATCGTAGTCTGAGATGGCCTCACATACCCCAGAGTAGCTTGTTTTGGCGGCATTGTGAAAATTCGGCGAGGCGCACTTGTTGCGACTGCGAAGAGGATATGACGAACCGCCACGATGGGCAAAGTTTCTCGACAATTAACACTAGGATACTCGAGGCGCAACTGTGTATGATATTCTTTGGGATGCTCAGGCGAACGCTCACGCTGTCATTGAAATTTGAAGCGGCGAACAGAATTACTTATGTTAGAATGCTGGAGGCAGGCAGCAGCTACCCCGGACAGGTGTTGCTGAAGCTCTGCGCGACGCGTGCCTAGTACCTGCTATGTACCCGCGTTAATTGATACAATGACGCGACGAAGCTCTCTAAGTGGGGTTCTGCCTGCCTACGAAGTACCTAGGTAGGTCCTACCAGATACAGTATGTGTACCGTATCAGTCCATTAAATCATACTGTATCAACTATCAACTTCCAGGCTGGAGACACCATTGTTAGAGCACCGAGGCTGATTCTTCTCGTAGCTTGTATTCAAGTTGGGCGATAATAGTGTTTGAGTGTAGTGTGCTGTGCACCGAGGAACAAGGAAGCCTCGATATCTTGTTCAGCATCACGTGTACCAACCCAGCTAGCCCGAAATCCTCACACAATGGTGAGATATAGATATATCGACTTCGGCCCAGCACCGCAACATGAAGAGTCTTGGCAAACCTGCCCGCCAGCTCCTGAAGCTGTGCGAGAACCGCGCGGCGTTCCAGCGAGTTCTTACGTTCAACTCAGCAATGCAAAGATGTAGTAGCCATACATCGCCACCATGCACATCAAGTAGCCCTATAGACTTTGAAGCTATCAAGGCCGAAATGCTGGCTCGTCCAGTACAGATACATACTGATTCAATGTATGCCACAAATTCACGCCTCTTGACGACGGCGTTAGCCGATTTTCTGCCTGAAGAGTGCTTATTTGAGCTGAAAACCCCCAAGACAAGTGTGTATCTTGGCGACACTGCTTTCGTTCCGCCTGGCCACCATCTTGTATATTTCCCCCTTGAGCTGCGCGGCTCGCAGCTCTGTCCAGACGGTACGGATCCCTACCACAGCCCTCGCGGAACGCCCTTCACGCGACGAATGTGGGCCGGCGGCTCCATTCAAGGCTTCGAGGGCCTCACCTTGGACGGAAGAGGAGGCGTGTGCGTTGAGCGAATCGAGGATGTCAAAGTCCACGGTCCCACGGGCTCTGAGAAAATCTACGTCGAAGTTTTGAGGATTTACCTAAAGCAGGACATTCTCACTCAGTGGCAGAAGCGGGCATCTTCGGAATTCGATCTTCCTAGAGATCTAAGCGAGCATGGCTTGGATGGGATGACAGAACGTAGGACTTTGGTGTTCATGCGAGAGCTAAGTGACGAAAATAAGTTGATGAGTATGGAGAAAAAACAGAAGGTTATAAAAGGTAGGTCTTATAAATCGTCTTGCTCGCCCTCAAGCCCTTTCCGTTCCTTGCCTATGCTTGCCGCCTTCCCTAACATCTAGATAAAATCGCCACCGCTTACATATGATCCGATAGCTCCAAGCCGGCCTAAATACTCAGTCACGCTTCGGCCAACGCCAACTCTACTCTTCCATTACAGCGCGCTCTCGTACAACGCGCACCGCATCCACCTAGACAGTTCCTACTGCCGCGAGGTGGAAGGATACCAGGATCTCTTGGTCCATGGGCCCTTATCTCTAACATTGATGCTATCTGTACTCAAATCGAGCCTTACTGGGAGCGGCTACGACATCAATAAGATTGACTACCGCCACATAGCGCCGCTCTACGTTGATCAGACTATGCACGTATGCTGCGCACCCCGAGCTAGTAAGTGTACAGAAAAGCAGAACGGCACTACAGGGAGGAACAAGTGGGACGTCTGGGTTGAGAACCAGGATGGCGGTCTATGTGTCAAGGGTACGGTTGAGACCATGAAGATTTCAAATGATGCATAACTCAAAGAATCTATTCGCCGTACGATATCCATTGTCTATATGCTTTATGTACATGGCGAGATGAGCACGTTCAGCAAAGGCTCACACTTGGCCGCAAGATTTTTGCTTTGATATAATTATACCACCTGGGTGGTGTATCCATGTATTGGGTATCATGCATCTCCTAGTAGAGGTTCCAGAAATTAACATCATCCAAATGTTTTCGCCAAAATTCGCCCCAATTCGCCTTCTATCTGAATGTCTATGTAACCCTTTAAGGGCCAGCCGATCTGCGGTACATGAGAATATGATGTTGTATGGGTGTGTATAAATACATGAAGGAGATACAAGCGGCAGTGTCTGTTATTTGGTTGTTCAAAAACCATCTCGTGAGAGCAGTCGGCTGTATAAATTAACTTATGTCTCTTCCTCGATCACATAAGTCTGGTGGGACGGGTATGAATCCTGGTGCGATATGTAAGGTATGGATGCTAGAAGAGAAGATGAAATTTCTTCAGCTGATATTATGCTAGATTCTGACGCCCGCCTGCGGGTATTGTCTTGGTATGGTTTAGAAGGAGGCCAGAGCCAGGCTGGCAGATCTTCGTCGTCCCATACTTCGAGGTACTCGCTTTCTAGTTCGAGGGTCTCGTTCAAGTTCATAAGGCTAGCTCGATTTCTCTCCAGGATGCTCGCCACCTTTTCAGCCTCCGACTCCCAATCGGTATGGAGCCTCTTCAATACGCCATCTAGACGGGTCTCGGCCGATTTGGACAGCTTATCCGGTACCCTAGTGGTTGACTTCCATTGCATATTCGTGAACAATCGTCTCTCCTTGCTGATTGCATATTCACGATCTAACTGTGATAACGGGAATGATATGAGCTGGTGATTATGACTTAGTGCCTGGACAAGTTCGCCGAATTGGCGATGATCGAAGTTGTTGTGTAGAATGTCGAGCATGGTCAAACCTGTGTTAGCCATGAGAAACCGATGTAGCCCTGTCAAATCCTCAGCAGAGCCTATATCGTGATTTCTTAACCGAAGCTGGCGAAGCGATGTGTTCTCATTTAATGAATCCAGTGCACTCGAAAGCCCCCAACCAAGATGACCATCCTCGAGCTTGCCACTGTATCCCGATAAATCCAAGAATTGCAATGTAGTATTTTTTCTGAAAAAATTTGAAAGAAGATCAGATGTCTTTGAGGTAACACGGCTAGGCGGACTCGTTCCTACCATGCTTAGGAACTTAATCGTTTTGTTATGTGTCAATGCAGTTAAAAGGCTATTGAAAGTTGACTCATGCTGGAACTGTATCATGTCCAGATGTAGTTTGGTCGGAGCTTCGCCAGCATGGATAAGGTCTATCCAGTCTGTCGACCCGACTTCCAATGGATTGCCATTAAGGAGGAGATGCATATCCCGGCCAGCGCCAATTCGACAAAATAACCCAGTCGCTAGTTCTCCGGTGACGGCACAATTCTGTAGCGATAGCCGACTCAAGTTGTGCGATTCGTCAAGCTCTAAGTATTTCATGATTCCACAGAGCGTTTCAAAATTTAGCTTCACGATGTCAGCAGTTATCCACAATAGTTTAAAGCCATTCGGCGCACCTTCCATCCAGAGAGGTCCAATTCCTCAAGACGCCATGCTTCGAAAGTTGCCGAGGTCCAAGGCCTGAACAAGGGTCCTTCCAATTCTCCTCTAATAGTATATGCGAGATTTAGACGTCTGAGACCACTAGCCTCATTCAAAGTGCTTGCAACTCTCGAAGCCTCTATACGCCCAGGATTATACGACGTGTCGAGTTCGTGGAGTGATGACCGTTGCTCATGCAGTCCTTCCCATAGATAGACCAGTGACGCTTCGTCTAAGTTACAACGTGATACGCCGAAGGATCTCAGGAAGTTAGGTCGACTTTGCAGAACCCGGCCTGAATAATGTGAGCACGCTTATCTCGGTGGTGCGCCATGAACACTTACAAAGCTCAACCGCGTCAATCTGCCCAACGGCGTTTCCGTTCAGCTTGATCGAGTTGCAACGCGTTTGCAGCGATGCCCACAATAAAACGATAGGAGGAATTATCTCGCAAACCCCTGCTTGAACAGACGAAGAGCTTCCAACTTGTAGCGGGGGCCGGGTTGGAATTCTGCGGAGTACATTGGTTAGGTCAAGTGATTTGATCGATTCGGACCCAAGAAGAATGGAGACAAGCTCCTGGAATAACACAGAAGAATGTTCAACCCTATCAACTTCGCTGCGGGTGAGACTGCGCTTTCCTACGCATATATTAGTTTTATAGTTGTGTCTTTCGGTATTGGTGGAACTAACCAGTACGAGAGAGCCATATCGTTGACTCAAGCCGTTGAGTGTTATCGAACTTATTCCATAAGAGCGAAAAGTCTATGTCATGGAAGGAAATACTCTTGAAGAATTCGTTGAACCGTAAAGCGCGAAAGACGGCTAATAGTTGATGAGCACTGTACTGTGACTGTTTTTTTGCTTTTAGCAGGCAGAATTGAGGTGCATGCGGTACACCCTTCCATTTTACTGTCCATTGGACGGGTTGACACTGATAACCTTCAATGAAAGCTTCCAGAGTTGTTTTAAATCCCCCATAATCTTCGCCGTTGGGCAGTGGAATTTGTTGAGTATCATCATTCACATAGAAAACTTCTCGTCTAGTCCACAATGGCCAGGCAGGTTTAAGATATGTATCCGCCTTGAACAACTTGTTTAAGATGTTTTGGTGATACCGACTTGAAAGCTCTACCGTATGAAGTGGACCTAGAGGCAGACTAGCGATTGTTAAATGTCAGCCCAGCCTTTCAAGAATCGAAGTAAGGAATAAAATGTGAGAATAGGCGATCAAGTAATAGTCTACGCAATGCTAGTGGGTAGTACCTACCGGAAAACTAGGTCAAATCGTTCATCACTTATGTTCACACGAACACGAGAAAGGGTGACCACACCAAATCGAGAATGACTGGCGACGATTTTTTGCCCATTCGGCGATCCCGAGAATTGAGCCATGAGTAGCGAGTATTTAGTAAATGCAAGATAGAATGATGATGATTCTCTCCAATTCTTCTTAGGTTCACCCCCCTGGGGAAGTTTTGTGTACGGCCGCCGAGGAATGACTGGGTAGAGATCGACGAGACTATCGTTCTCGTTGTTGGCGTCTAGGATTGATGTAAAGCTGGCCTCGATATCAGATGGGGCCCGCGCTTCGCCAAGCGCCCTCGCCCTTGCTATCACTGCGTGTCTGATGTGCCTGAGCCAGTCGTCTCGTTCATCTGGAAGGTGGAAATCGATTTCCAAAGAGGCGAAAACGTGTGTCATCTGTGAACTTTTCCACCAGATCTCAAGGCCGAAAGATGGTCGTGTCCCTTCATCTTTGAAAACTGAGACAACTTTGTCCAGGGGCACAGTAACTTCAGCAGTACATGAAAGGTCTTTGAGGGATGGGTAGGACCCGACAGGGGTCAAGGGGGTCAAGGGGCTCAAGCCTTGATCAGGCGCAGAGATAATGGGGAATTGATTCTCGGCGGCAGCACGATTTTTGAACTTGAGTAACGCAGATGAAGTCAAGACAAGGTATTCTTTCCTTGACTTCAAAATTGAAGACTCTGGCTGCAAAGGGCCCGATTTGATAAGTGACCCAGGGTCACCACCGTGAATACTGGCGCTTCGACTGATGACAGAGGGGGTAGTTGGTTGTGTAGACGTCGAGGCGCGACCAACACTGCCATCGGAAGATGATTTGGAATCGTTTCGTATTAAGCTCCCCTTTCTGAGCGGGCCGGCGGGAGCAGTTTTGCGCAAAGTCTTTCTTTGTGATGATCCAGAGCTCGGTATCTCGGTGTCGGATCCGATTGACAAGTGCGAAATCTGGGAACTGATGCTGAGTGACCGGATTGCCTTAATAGGCGAGAATGAAGCTCGCTTCTGCGACTTGTCGGAGAGCACTTGCTGGGGGAGACTGGTGGGCTCCATCGTGACCGTTCAGCTTCGGTGTGCTCGAGTTAACCCCTGGGGATGCACCTCAGACAGTCATCGTTTTAATCCAACGTAAATAATGACTTTTAGGCCGGCGGTTCGTCGCGTCGGCGCAAAACTCGATTTGGCATCAATAGCAGAATCGTTGAATTCTCGTGGTGGGTGTACAAGTACCTGCTTTCCTCTACAAGTTGTGGATTATGATAGCCTCCATTGTACAGAATGCCGTGACTCCTGACAGAATCGAGTAGTAGTAGGTTCCGAGAGCAATTCTGTCCAGTTACGTTGGCGCGTGCTATTGCAAAGATGGCAGATAGCAGGGACTGGAGGCAGGAGGCAGGAGATTTGGCGAGCTGGTTGTAAGAAAGAGATGGTGGGCGTGTTATCTCTCCTACTCATCTGTCTATCTATCCGTGTGTTGATAATCAGGTCAGGATTACCTCTATTTCCCCGTTACCAGCTTAGCCAGGACGCCAGAGCAGAACAGGGTTAGACAGGAAGAGATAGACGGCAAGATGATAGCTAGTCTACATGGTAGCATGCAGCCAGACAAAGGCAAGGCAAGTCAGGCAAGCTAGGCAAGCCCAGGCTGGCAGCGAGTTGCAGCTAACATCGGTGGCCACGTCTTCGGCAAACAATGCTTTGTGTCTTGCTGGTTGCGAGCGATGACGCGAAGAATCCAGTTTTGGAAAGGCGGCTCCTCCAATCGGGCGCCGCGGCTGGGCGTACATACAGTACACATATCGCACATTACCGCATACCTACTTACCGTATGTCTCTGCTATGTGATCTCTAAGTCTGCTCTAAGTAAACACCTTGAGGCCTGTCTAGCGGATAGTGTCTTGCCTCTGCCAATGGGAGGGTCCGAAAGCGGCAGGGGCTTCCGTGATCAACATCATCGGAATCTCGATCTATCGATGCGCTTCTCTCATGATACCGGTAGCGCAATTCCCATAGGAACGGACAGAGCAACGGGTACCTGGAATTAGGCACTATCTGTCCCTCACCGTCGAGCGATGCTCCCGCTAATAGTCGTTTCGGTGAACGAAGGCCATCACTTTCCTTACTAGATAGTAGTAGTCTGCTAGTAGGATGAGCTAGGTATTAAGCAGCATCACGGTGCTAGCTCATGGAGATATGGACTCCGCCATCGCAGTTTGCCTAGGACAGCTATCATCTCTTGTATCTTTACTGAATCTGCATGCTGCTGTGAAAATGAATGGACTTGGTTGAGTGGTAGGTACCTACATACCGGTAGTACAGCACTGTTCTTCTGTCTACTTATATGAGCGCTGACGTCATTGCCGCCGCTAACCAAAACCGACGGGATTGATTATTATGTAACTGATCGCACCTCGGCTTACTTCTGCAGATGTTTTACATGCCTACCCTACCGTAGGTACCGTAGGTAGATAATTAAGTACCTAGCTATGTCCATGTCGACGCATTTGATTCAATTCTCTACAGCTGCACATCTCTACCCCCTCAGTTTACACAATCCAAAAGACTTCGAGAGGGGTTCGTTGTGCGCATAGGTACAATACCGGTATGTGCCTTTCGGCAAGCTAGGTTGCATTAATATTTGCGTCTCGCTACCAACTCAACACTTCGAATGGAACTGTAGAACTTGCTGCCGCCAGCTCAAGACTTAGGTCCCGAGACTGCAAAACCCTCGTGAAAACTTCACAATCCATCGCCAACGCCGGGTTCATCTCAGCCGTCTAGTCATGGTGTCTTAACGACTCACTTGAATAGACACGGGGTATGCATGTTATCTCATCTTCAAGGGAAATTATGTTCTGTTCCTGCAGCACATACAGATAGATCTATATAGATGTAGTAGATAAGATCTAGAATGCATAACGACTGATCACCACTGCGGTTGTGGCCCGAAAGTAAGGTTTATCGGCCGACAGACCCCCAATGTCGCGGGTAAGAGGATGCTAGGTAGGTATGTTATTCTAGCTGTGCTCTCCTTCCGCACTGTATGTTTACGTGCTCACAACATACATTTAGGGCGAAAGTAAGCGGATATGAATGCCGTGACGATTGCGTCGAACATGTATATACTATATAGCCATGTTCTCTGGTCTTTCCAGGAAATGGCAACCGTAAGGACTTGATAATGTCTGAAATGATATGAGTAGCCTTTTTTTTTTCTTTTTCTTCTTTCACTGCGAAGATGTGTCCATCCCAAAAGGTATCCCTCATACCATGAGAAAAAGATGACTGCGGACATAATAGAATAGTTCACGGATTGGGTTGATAGGTAGTGTGACTCTCGCGTACGGGACACGATGATTAATTTAGTTTTGTTTTGTTTGGAGTAGGTCAGCTAATAAATCAGTCTGGGCAAACAGAGTTGTGATACTCTTTCACGGAACCCGCTGTATAACAAGGAGACAAAGCGGACTAAGGTAACGAGAGAAACAAGAATTAGTCATAACAATAAAAGCGTCTCCCATGGAATAGCCGGATGGTTTTAGCTGTGGTATTGTTGCCTGGCCTCCCGTTTCGCTCGGAAGGAAATATCTTGGTACTACGACCATACCAACTGCACAGGTGGCTGAGATTATGTACAGTAGAAACAAGGAGTAGATAGATGTAGTCTATAGAGTAGCCAATGTTTGCTGATGTATAACCAGTCAATCTTTATCCTTCTCGTTCTCCTATTCCAGAACTCTATCCAGTAGCCGATAGAGATAGGCAGTCTTAGGAGGTATTGGATGCACAGTTTATCGGCCGCTTACCTTGCTGACCGCATTGTTCAACATGGAGCTTCAACGTGTTGGCCGCACCTCACCTGCAAGATGCCCGGGTGCCAGCATGTTACGATATTTTATGCGTATCGCCATACATGCATAGCTTCTAGTATGGGCATTCCATTTCGCTCTCCAATTCTTCGTCTAACCTATTCGGCGGACTTTTTGATGACGAATAAATAATTCGAGATTATGCCGTCTATGGGAATGATGCAAGACGACTTATTCGGTTGAGGACCGCTATATGTGGCGTTTTGCCAGTCACCCTCAACAACACTCAGCGTTCGCAGCGCTTGATGGGGCCGAATGTGAGACGAGGGATGTTGGCATCGCCATCGCCATCGTCATACTGGTAGGCATAGGTATACTCATGTTGCTGCATTGTGATAAATAACAACGGCCACCGATCCCGCAGGCTGCTGGCGTGCGCACAATGTACACTGGTGGGCAGAACAGTTGGATATCATTACAAAGTAGAGTTCGCCAAATATTGTACGAAGTATGTTTATAGTACATACATACCTAGTCTGGCTGTACAACAGGGGCGAACAAAGGCTTCCAGTGTTTTGCTATGGGTGCCGGGATTGTGCCCATACCTCCGATCTGCGCGTCTGTAAGTACACTAGGTACTTGTAAGTACTTAGGATACGGCCCTTTATTATTATTATTATTATTATTTTGACGAAGGTTGATCAGGTGGTCACCTGTCGACTGTTGTGCACATGAACACAGCAACACAGAATCCACAATTAGCTAACGACATGGATGGCTGCCGTGGGCCTTACCGACACGAGGGATGTTCGACGGATACCAATGGAGCCATGTCAGACCGCTTTCTCCGTTGACGCGCGCAGTCAGTACACTCAAGGGTAGTAGTGGTGGTGGTGGTGGTGCCGGTATTGCCTTACAGAGTAGGAGACAACATGTAAAATCTCGTATGAGCATATGAGGGCTGGCTCGGCTGGTTGAAACGCGGCGGGTTTCAAGATGGTGGCACCCCCTGCCAGCCCGATCCCTGGGCGGACGGAACCCTGGACGGAACCCTGAGCACTCTTGCGCCATCGTCACACTAGAGCGATGACTCGCTGAATGTAGAGCGCCACAGAACCCGGGCCAATCAACACGAGGCTCGCATTGCCATTTTCTGTTGTTGATATGCGCTGCTTCACCTCGCCTCGGGTGTCTCTGGGCAGACTCTGGGTGTCTCTGGGTGTCGTTCGCCCTCTTGGTGTTTGCTCCCTTCACAGGTGCAGTAACCGCCGATCATATCTCCTTTATCGCCTAGCCGTTTGATGAGCCTGGTGGATGGAAAGACTGCGCTTGAACACTTGCCGGATGCGTACTATGTACCTAGGTATGATAGGCGGTAAATGCAGTAGAAGGCTAGATAGAGCAGCGTTGGGCTACCACCATCCCCCAAAGGCGATAAGACGAAATCCGATGCAGTCTGGGTTCTTCAAACGGTGCCTAATTCGCTTGCTGGGCACTGCGCTAGAAAAGACGTCGCTTGCTAGCCAATGCAATAGTAATGAATAGGCGAGATATATATGAACACTGTTGTAGTGTAGGTCGAAGATAATGCTTCAGGCTGCTTCTAAGTATATAATCATTCATGCAGATATATACAAGTGCCCACTGCCGCGGCTGTACACTTGTAGATAGCACACCGAAATCAATAATAGCTCATAGCTGCAAACGCGATTTCGTACTTGGTGGAAGATGATAGCCGTCTGTGGACACTAGTAGCAGTAAGCTTGCCCCGGATACGCCATGTTTCATATTTTCATCATCATCATCATCATCATCAATGTCGTCGACGCTCGTTTGTCTGTCTTGCTAACATAACACTACCACTTATGTACACATATGTACTATTGTACACAATGTGTGATACCTAGGTGATGATTGCTCCCCGGTGATTGGACAGATGCCTACATATGTGCTACCTGTATTAGGTATATCATATGTAGGTACATGTAGGTATCTCGGGTAGGTAGGTACCTAATGTATTTCCATCGTTAAAGTATGTATGTAGGTCATTCCATATATATCTTACCTTTAGATACTTGGTATCGATCAAGTGCCTTCGTATATGAATTCTAGAAGCCAATAGCTCAGCATATAGAAACCACCACGTCACCGCCTCACCGCTGATGTTTGTTATGAGAAAGAGGAACGCTCTTGGGCTGAGGCTGGGTGACAATATACTACCGGATGCTGTACATACATCAGTACGAAGTCCATACATGCGGCGTCAAGATGGTGTTCTGGGTGTTGTTGCTGTCACAATCCCTGCCTGGCTGAGTTTCACCTTGCTACCCACAATGGCCCACAATGCTTGGGACTGTCATGTCGAGAACCAACGACAGCCAATGGCAGACCCGAATTGCGTGAGAATTCCTCAGGGTACAAGAATAGAGACGGCTCAGCGTCTGCTCAGCGCTTGGCACGGCGAGAAGACAACCCTGGAAAGTCGGGCCTGAAAGCGACTTCAGTGCAGTCCATCCCCCATCCTAGGTATCGTGGGCATCGATCGTAGTTTGGAGGTACCTAGGTAGGTAGGTAGGTATCTAAGCCGTGTGTTACTCTACGCTACGCAGCTTAGGTCCTTCATATCCCATCGAATTCGGTACAAACATATGTACCTAGGTAGGTAAGTAGATACTGTGGGCGTTGAGGGCTGACTGATGGGCAGGTATTGTGTACTTTCCTGAGAATCATCCCAACTACTGACACTATGTATTTTCAGGGTCTCAAGTACTTGAATTAAGGCAAACCCAGCTGTAGCCTATGATGGTAATGTATTGCAATGTAGGTACTATTTCAAGTACTTACTTTTTTTTTTTTTTTTTTGTGTGTGTGTGTGTGTGTGCACCTATATCACGGCAGCCAAAACAAATATCTACTGGCAATGAGATTCGCAGGTTAAATGCGTAAGTAGGTAAGCATTGTGTACCTAAGTACCTACACCAAATGCACGAGGTTACTGTACTAGGTACTATGTAAGCAAATGCATACTTAAGGTAATAGGGTGACCTTACTATTAAGTGCCTACCTACCTATGTACTCACCTACTTATATCATACATACTTAAGGTATATTGTCAACCTGTGAGTAAGTACATAGTACGCTACTGCGCATCAAGATCCCTCCTTGCCCACTCCTATTTCCGCGCGCTCCTCATCCTGAGCTAAGCGGCACTATCTCCGCCTCCCCTCCATTCCTTCTTGAGCCTTTCCTCCCCCGTTCACTTCGTTAACACTCATTTTCCCAACGCGTAGATCCTTTGGCCGCGTCCTTTCTTCTCTGATTTCCTGGTTCGGTTTTCTTTTCGTCTTTTCCCCGTTCTGCGATCCTCGTAGGATTCCACTCGCCTGGCTCTGACGAAGCGAATCACTGCCGAGGGCCTTACATCATTCCATCTTAATCTACCTGAATCCTTGGAGCTAGTCACATCTGCCAAATCCACTTAATCTGCGTACACGCCAATTCCACATCTGAAACCGCCCAAGGGGGGTTCCTAGCAAGCAATTGGCTCAATCGGTCCATTCATCGCATGGTGAGCTTGTTAGCTGTGGACACTCCGCTTCACAACGCCCTCTGCTTTGTCCAACTCCACGCCACTCTGAAAGGAGGGAGTCGAAGCGGGTGATGAGAAAGAGGCATCAGTACTGAAAGAAATCCCCCCTCAAATGTCGACGTGGTCGTAAGGTTCTCTCTCCTTCTACCATAGCGCTAAAATGGCGATGCTTGCCTCGAAAACGTCATTTCCAGCCTCGCTGTCGTCGAGTGCTTCGACCCTTGTGGGAAACACATCCTCCTCTAACATGTCGCACACAAGAAGAGCCCACGCCATACCGGCTTCTGGCCAACCCTTCGCCAGCCCGACCGAATCCGAATTCTCAGACATTGATGGCCCCGATGCGGTTAAGAACTGGACCGAGGACCAAGTTTGTGAATATCTGAGGAGCGTCAAGTGTGGTGAATACGAGAAGCTATTTCGTAAAAACAATATTAATGGAGAAAATCTACTGGAGATGGACAAGGAAGTCCTCAAGGAGATGGGCATCGATAAGGTCGGCGACCGAGTGCGACTATTCCTTGGCATTAAGAAGCTACGGACAAAAGCATACGCCAACCAGAAGAAGCGAAACCGGGTAAGATTCTACAAGCCAAATAAATGACTTGATTAGGCCTCTGATGGTATAACCTTATTAGGATTCTTTTGCTTTGCTCGACAGCCAGTATACACCTCCAGCTGCTTCACCTCGTCCTGCCAATCTGGTCACTCGTTCCATACCTAAGAGGTATTCTCGTCAGATTGAAGTGCCAGGTCTCGGGATGAATCCAACGATTGAAGTAGCAAAGCCAGCTTCGCGGCCCGAATCGCCGCTACACACCGGTGATATCAGATCTGCTAGGCAGCATTGGTATCCTCAGAACCAGCAGCCGTATATGATTAATACGGCGCCTGCCACGAGAGGGCCTACTTCACCCCCAGAGACCCTCGCGTCTGGCCGATTGGTAATGACTCATACACGGAATAATTCTAGTCAGGATGGTTCGCTGATGGCTGCGTTACCACAGGACCAAGATTTCATCCGCGTTATATCTACAGGAGGTACCACCAAAGTTGTCAAAGTTGCAGGCTGTAATACCTGTGAAGAAGTGATGCGCGTAACCCTGCGAAAATTTGCTCTTCGAGAAGACCACGACCGTAACTTTTGTTTCTGGGTATTAGCGGGCGTAGACCCTGACCCTAGGCAATGTCGCCGTCTCGGTGATACTGAGTTGTGGCGGATCATCAATGATCAAAAGCGCCCTGAGAGAAATAGATTGATTCTCCGGAAAGTACCATCTGGAGAACCCGGTGAAGCCGAATTGCTGCGGGCTGCTGCTATCGGCATGGAGGAGGCACAGCAAAAGCATGCCCGTGCATTGGAGAATGTCGATAAGCGGAGTCAGCTGAAGGTCCAGAAGTTACTGGGTGAGAGTTGGAGTGAAGGGCTTCAACAACCTCTTTCGCCGATATCTGTTCAAGTCCGGGAAAGGAACTTACATAACACAGCACGAGATCTAGAACGCCCGGCTCCGAGCCCGACCAAACCGCACCCTCGGCGTAAGGTCATTCTCAGACCATTCGGAGGACTAAGACCGCCGAGTGAACTGATTACGTCGGATCTCACCTCGTACTTCCCGGACCATCCTAGGGAAGATATTGACCGAACTGCTCGGTTATCCATGCGCAGATCAACCAGGCTAAGCAAGGTGAACAGCCGACTTAGTGTCGCGAGCAACCTTAGCTTTGCCTCTAGTATACAGGATGCTCCCCCTATTCCAACTATAGCCGATAGCTGGCTCAGCAATGGCCATCTTGCCAAGGTCAAAGCACGGGAGGCACAAGGGCGTCTACCCCATACTTACAGAGATTCCGTGACCTCTTCAGTGCTAGATACGTTGCAGGAAGAGTCTCCTATCGAGCCGAACCGCAAATCTTATGTTTCGTTTGCGGATAGTGGATCGGATACCAATCCCGTCAGTATCACAGACCCGGAAGGTAACATGATTCGACATAGTTATTTCGACGAGACGAGTACACAGGGTTCTGGATCCCTCAAGGATCTAACACAAGCTTTAAGCGAGGATGGAGAAGATGCAGACGAAGAACTCGCAAGCTTCCTTGCTGGTGAATCCTGGGATGATAACAAGTGGATGAAGGGTGCCTTGATTGGCCAAGGTTCATTCGGCAGCGTATACTTAGCCTTGCATGCCGTAACTGGAGAATTGCTTGCGGTCAAACAGGTAGAGGCACCGTCGCCGGGCGCTAATAGCCAGACCGATGCCCGTAAGAAGAGCATGATCGAGGCCCTGAAGCGCGAAATCGGCCTCCTACGAGATCTTCGACATCCCAATATCGTTCAGTATTTAGGCTGTGGATCATCCAACGAATACCTAAATATTTTCCTCGAATATGTTCCTGGCGGATCAGTGCAGACTATGCTCAATTCCTATGGCGCTCTCCCCGAACCCCTAGTTCGCAGCTTTGTGAGACAAATCCTCGAGGGGCTGTCATATTTGCATAATCGAGACATCATACACCGCGATATCAAGGGTGCCAATATTCTGGTTGATAATAAGGGTACAATCAAAATTTCAGACTTCGGCATCAGCAAGAAACTCGAAGCTTCAAACATCTTAAGCGGTGCGAACAACAATAAAAACCGGCCATCCCTCCAGGGATCCGTATTCTGGATGGCACCGGAGGTAGTCAAGCAGACATCTTACACGCGCAAAGCAGACATATGGTCTCTTGGTTGTCTAGTTGTTGAGATGATGACAGGTCAACATCCGTTCCCCGACTGTAGTCAATTGCAGGCCATCTTCAAGATTGGCGGTGGCAAAGCTGCGCCCACCATTCCCGACAACGCCAGTGCCGAGGCAGTGGAGTTTTTGAGCAGGACCTTCGAGATCGACCACAATCTACGGCCTAGTGCAGACGATCTCCGGCTAAGTCCGTTCTTGACGCCCATTACCTAGGAAGTCGACATGCCTCATTTCTCGGTTAGTTGGGATCGTGCGATGGCTACACTATGCCCTCGATGGCTAGAAGCACTTGTCAATGAAGATGAGACGGGAGATTCCGGCCTTGATGCAGAGATGTCATTACGAACCTCTGAGGACCTACCTCTCCAACCACTGCCTGCTGAGTTAATTTCTTTTGAAGAGCAAGGCTTTCATAATCTGTCTTTAGCAGAAATATCGGCGATTGAGGCCATGTTCGATTTTCCGACCATCCCAGAGGTCTCTGAGAGCCACCTCGACGAAAGCCACGATTCTTCTCCGATGTTGACGTTCTTTATGACCCCAGCTGATTCGAAACTGAGAAATTGCTCTGACCGCCACGATAAAACGGACGAATAGCAAATATTTCCAGCTTGTCGAATCTGGACTTGAATTAGGGATGTGCCCAACCATGAGCTGTCGTCCTCATGAAACTTTATACTTTGCCAAGTTTTCACCATTGTTTTATAGGAAGTTTCCCAACTTCCAGTATTATATGATCATGTTGGGCCGGGATGGTGTTGAGATGCTTTCTAACGATCATGGGAAGGAATTCTGATTTCTTTGCCTTTAAGCAGGCCATAATAAGTGGCGGGGGTTGGCATCAGTGCGATAATCATAGAACGGGAGCGTATACATCGGCAGATACGAGCTACGTTTGATACCATGTGATATTAGTAAACAAGCATTTTAAATGAGAGCGCGTTTGTTCATATGAGATCCAATCAGGCTTGTCTTTTGACTTCTTAAATTGAATCCGTGACATGATAATAAGGCCTTTCCTCGATTCGATGGTCTAGCGGCTCCATCGCTATCAGTGTCGAAAATATGAATATTGTCAGTGAGCAAGTGGGCGTATGGCCAATCGTAGATGTATTGATAAGACTTTTCTTGATAAAATTTTGGGAAGACAGGCAGGTTTAGCTCTTATGATCATCCGTAATCTCAGAGTGGGTACTTCGTGTCCAGTTCATGTGTTTTAGTACTATACACTCGCACACCTCTTTACTACTGATAGTCCCTGTGAAGCTAAATTTGTGTGGTAAGCAACAGTTCCTACTTGAAGCTATCCAATGAGGTATACTGTTCGGGGTGAACGTACATTGATTGCATTTATACCTAGACTAGCTTTCTACCTCCTCATAACAGGTAGGCAGATAAATGTATGCAGACGGATAGCCTAGCCAACCAACTCACATCAAGAGAGGTGGACTACAATTGGTATGCGAAACTGAGAGATATCCTTTTGCCATTCCTCTACAGCCATGCAGTGTCTACATAAATAAGCCTGGCAGTTTGCACAAGAATACTTCAGCGCTACGACGGTACTCGTTCTGCTTTTGAAGGCCTCCCACTGTAATTCCCTTTTTCCTGCCACAGGCTATATACTCATGTCGGTGTAGGACCTCGTAATCCTTCTATCCTGGTTCATGACGAACGGTGGCGCTGGGATAAAATAATATGGATTAACCTAGCGCACAATATCACGGACTGCAAGTCCGGAACCTATCCATTCTCCGGAAAGACTCAGAATACCTATGCAATAGTGACTCCACAGCGTAGACTACCTGTGCCAGCCAACCACCGCCCCTTGGAAGGCATGTCATGATTCATACTGGCTAGAACAAGGTGCTCATTGGACTGACGCGAACACACTAGGGTAGATAATGCAGTGTGAGGATGAATGGAATAGGCTCACGCGAACATAGCCATGTATACTAACGTCTGGTATACTCAAGATTAACGGTAGTCCATTACATGCACCCATCATGATGTGTATTCTAGTTGAGTTCGCCTATACACTAAGAAAACACGGGCAAATTAGGAAATAAAGCAGAGAACTTGCCAACAAGGTATACTTTCACTATGAGTAGAATACTCGCTCGCTACGCAGTACCTACCATACTAGGCATGTACCTAAGTAAGGCAGCGAGTGTCATATGCTGTAGACAGGTCAGCTGACACCGGACGACGCGACTACTTACAGTACTTATGGGAAAGGGGACGTGGAAGCCCTGGCTTCAGAAGTTTTCTTGTGAGTGAGGAACACGAGCGTACACTAACTGTCGTAGTACCTACTTACATAGTATAGACACCCCTCGCAATAACGTCATATAATCCTCGCTCATCCTGGAATGAAGATCAATGCAACAGGGGGTATGCTGGGTAAGCAAGTGGTAGTGTAGCTAGCTACCTAGCTGGCTGACACCTTCTTTCGAAGGACAGAGAAGGACTCAGGAGCTGACTGACTAGGTAGGTAAACAACAAGGAAACTAGGCAGTTCTCACCAAATGACAGGTGTTACTACCTAAATGCGTCGGTAGACGTCATAAAGGGAGAGGTAAGACTTGAAACTCGGAACCCGGATAAGCGTTGGGCAACTACCTAATTACCTAGGAAACCAACAAGTTAGTGTTGGTTGGGCTATAAATAGAAAAGAACAGTTGGAAAACTTGATACACACTGCATAATTCAGGATCACCATGGAGAGAGCAGTTAAGAGTGGATGGAAAGCTGTGGTGTATTGCACGAAGCTGGCTGTATTTGGGTTGCAGTGACACCAACAGCCAGCCAGTCCAGTTATCCCATTCATCGCTGGTGGTGATGATGGTGAAAACTACCTATCTACCTATCCTAAAGACCTCTCCTCAGTATCGCCGATATGTATGCAGTCCTCTCTCCTATGCTTAGCAACAGTCCCCATAATATTACATCCGTAGTTTTACAAAAGGGACCTCCGCCCATCCATCTATGCCATCTTTCCATATGGGTTTGGCCTCAAGCCCGCGGGGCGAGGCCCCAAGTCTGGATTAACTCAATCCCAGGCGTAGACAAAATCCAGGAACTTTTTTTGCCGTCCCTCCTTTTAAGATGTTATAAGATCCAAGAGTCCCGTTTCCCTTTCTGATGTATAAGTGATGCAGTGTGATGGTTGTAAATGATTCAAAATTCCAACTCCCCAAGATGCAGAATCCCTATGACTGGTACATTTGTGTCCGCGAGGACAACCTAGCCAAATTCTAGATGGTAAATTGTGTGTAGATCTCGCTCGTGAGTATATAAATCAGGCCGTTATTAAGACGAGAGAGAAACGCCGATAGACGACGGCAGACGCGGAAAATTAGTGCGTGATGTAATGATAGGACTGCCCTGGGCAATTAGAGTGTCTTCTGGGGAAGGACGTCCTTCATCCAATCCGCATCGCCAACAAGGTCATCAAGCCCAACGTCAACGTCAGGAAGATGGAAGGGATTGTTCATATCAACAGGAATGCCGCTGTCGTTAGGAGCAACCAAAGTTGGAGACTCTAGGGGTTGTAAGACATTATTCGTATGTAAATCTTTGTTATTTGTAACAGCCTGGGGAAGGCTGTAGCTAGTGATAGGAGCTTGAAGCCCTGAAGCATTTTGTTTCTGCTCGTCATCTTGTTCAGCGTCACCAAGCAAAGTTGGGCCACCCGCGTAAGATGCTAGATCTTCTTCATCGTCCGAATCATCGAAGAAAGAGAATTGACTTAAGCTTTGTGAAATGTTCGATTGAGCTGAAGCCGCAGACGCCATACTTGATGAGGCCACAGAAAGGGTGGAATGAGACCGTGGAATCTCCAATTTAGTAGGATATTTTGAGCGCTGCGCAGTGGATAGGCTACCTTCAACGCTGAAAACTGGGGGCGTCAGTGTTTGAATCGCATTCCTTGTGTGACTTGCTGGTGGTGCTGATAAGCCCCCTATTTGAAAAGGAGGGGGCGAAAGGTTCGTAAACGAATTGTTTTCCGATACTGCGGTGTTCGCAAAGTTATCGTCATCATCATTCTCCTCAATCTCCTCCTCAATGTCGTCTGGTATCGAGAAGCCAGGCGTTGACTCGGCATTTGCTTGGACAGCGGGCATATCGTCAGACAAGAACTTCCTCAGAGACTCTGGTGACATATCTCGAGATCGAATGCTACCGGAAGGCGTGACGCTTCGAGACTCAACAACGAATGGGTCGTTCACTTCGACAAATACATCGTCCGTTTCGCCCAGGTTCGATTTTCGGCCACGCTCCGCTTCCCTATCTCGTAATTTGAATCCAAGGATCCGACGCGCAGTACCAGTCCAGCTTGGGGCAGGCGAGACAGAACGCGTAGCGCGCTTAGGTAAGATAGAGGAGGCAGATGCAATGCGAAACTCCCGCCGGCTATTTGGTATTGGTGCTGGCCGAGGTGTTGTGAACCTGTCGACAGGGTCCATCGTCTTGTACTCCGTATTCCGTAGAGAGTTCATAGAAGCACTCTTCATCCTTGTGCGGCGCTCCAAAGGCACGTCGAGTGTGTTTACTGTCTGACCAGGAAGAAAGGGACAGGCAGTCGTGGTAGGCAATGAGGGATTGTGAGCCTCTGTTGAGCCGTCCAGTTCGTACTAGATATGCTCGTTAGCATGATGAAACCGGCTACCCACTGGGCATATGTAGAGTCTATACTCACATAGTAATAATATCTCTGGCCCATCTTTAGTCCTCCTCGACGTTCTGAACTTGTAGGTACATCGCCATCGCAGATGATCTTGTCGAAGTTGTGGCATCCCCGCCATTCACCACGGTCACGTCGAGAATCCCGTTCCATTTTGTGACGTGTGCTGAAGTTATCCCACGATCCAAGTAGCTGAACCGACCGAACGGAAGGGTGCGTTTGTCTGGGGAGCTAGTCAGCTTTTTATCTGTTCCTGTCTGCCTAGCTGGCTGGGTTGAATGCTAATAGATAGCCGAAGGAAAGATCCACCGATGACTGGTGAAAGCTGGAGGAAATGATCTGCTATATACACTAATTGGTCCATACTGGTACTGGGATACTAGCCACTGGGCAGCAGCAGCACACATCCCAGACAAAACCCGGGCAAAGCAAAAATAGTAGGTAGGCTGAAAACCCCGAAATTGATACTGTACTTGGCAGCTTTGGTGATGGTTGCAGCAGTATACGGTACGTAACTACGTACACGTACGTTACCCACGCTTGAAGAACAGCGCCACTCGAATGAACAGGGGTACGTAATATTCAGTAACCATCCGACAGCGTGCCAACAGTACATAGGTGACAAGGGTCCAGGAACAGTTGGGAGACAGGGGTCTGGAACTCGCCATAAGTACTTACTTATGTGACCCTCACGTGGTTTACTTGGCACACTACTTTGTTCTAGAAGAAAAAGAAGCCAGCGAGAGAACGGGCTAATTTGCTCGAGTCCCAATACGACCCTGTCCCTCTGAGACGTCCCAGGGCTCGTACTTGGTACGAGGCAGCCAGGGATGGAGCAGGAAATGCAACTGTTAACTGTTCTAATAATGATGGCAAGACAAGGAGAAGAGCGTAAATTGGTTTAAATGCAAGGGGGATTAACATGCCAATATTCAAAGCTGCAAAATGGCGGCTAAGTCCGGTAGTATTGAGAATAACTCACAGCATAAATGTGAATAACGTTGTGGTTGGATCCATTGGCAGATCGAAGGAGTCCAAGCCCAGAACCGTTGACGACCGTACCAGAGGTGAGCTTGTATGGAGGATGATGAAGGGCGAAGCCCTGAGCGCCGCCAACCAGCTTGCCGCCAGGTCAGGTTCTAACGGCCGAGAGAGAGAGAGAGAGAGAGAGAGAGAGCGCGCGCACGAGTGAGCCAGGAACAGACCAACTCAGACAGGCTGATGATCAGGGTTCAGTGGAATTGGCCAATGGTTCTGCGAAGTTACTGCAAAGAAAACAACTGACGGAAGCGCCGTAATTGCGTGACGATCCGATGCTATACTGTGTGCACTGTTGGAGACAGGGAGGGCAGGGAGGTAGCAAGGTTCAGACTGAGCAAGGAATGTCAGCCCTTAACAGATGAGGACTCGTGTCGTGCAGGGGTACAGTGCTAGTGTACTATGTATGTATAGGTAATAGGTAATAGGTAATTAATGCAACGCGGTAGTGATATCTCAGCTGTATTATTATTACTCCAAAATGAAGAATAAAAATAAAAAATTGCTAGGTGTGAGGAATTGGAGAGAAGGTTGTCTCGTTCGAGTCGTGTCGTTTCTCCTGGAAATTTCCCTCATTAGTAGACATTCGACTCGCCAGACTAGCTTGCCTCAGGTTTAATGAGAGGTCTTCCTATCTCACCACTAGCAAAAGCTGCTTACAGCGCTAGTCGGGCGGTTACAGCACTGCGAACAGCCACCCACTCACTGCTTTACTGTGCAGTCGAGCTGCGCTGGCTTAAGTAAGTAGGACAAAGATGGCGGTTCCAGAGCTTCACTGGACCTAGGATGGGGTCTCGTCAGGCAACGTACGCTAAGTATTAGTATGGTCTTGGAATCAAGGACGAACCTTGATCGAGATATCGAGTAGATGTCGAGCTTGGTTTCGGTCTAGCGGTGGCACCTGTTTCAGCGTTTGGTCGCGTAAGGTATAGTGTCTAACTCAAGGTCGCCGTTCACGAGAGTCAAGATCTCAGATTTGGAGGCGGGTGAGCTCGAGCTGGGGGCAGAGTCACGGTAGCAAACTGATACTGATACTACTAGCAATGATGAAGATGTCAAACCCGCCGAGACGACGATGGTGGTTTTCGCCATCGTTATATCTCTACAGGTGTTGGCGCACCGCACAGATGGCCATCCAGCACATGCAGCACATGCAGTACATGCAGTACATGCCTACAGTACCGGTACACTGCTATTCGACGGCATGACGCTGTGCTACTGTGCATCCTGCCCGTCCTTTTCGTTCCTGTCGTCAATTTTCGTCATCGACTTTCGGCCAGGAGGCTTTCGGTGCTCGGCTTTGGCTGGCATAACAACCTGCCTCCTGCAGCACTGAGCTGACCCTAACTACCTAGGTAGTATCAGTCAAGCCACAAGATCGTCATGATCCTAGCCAAAGACGAGGTCTTCTCAGGACTCCCTAATCGGGACATCAATAAGTCATGCATGTTCCTAATCAAGCACCAAGGGTCTCGGAGCTATATACATAGTACTTCGTATGTAAAACAACAGTAACTACATGCCTACATACAGTAGGGAGGTACGGTAGGTACACAGGTATTGGCTAGCATGGCGGAAATGAATTCATCATGCATCTCTTACTTATAAGGACAACGAGGTTTTGTGCAATAACTTGAACACCTACACCATGTAGGAGTTATAATCCGTTCGGTATAAGAACGAAAAGAAGAGCGTACAGCAATCCTGTTCCCAGGCAGGAGTACTACTACGGTAGTAACACGACAGGATCGTCCACTCGTGGACCAAACATCGTCGCTCGCCTTGGCGATAGCGGCGTCCCGTCCTTCGCGGCTATCGGCATCTAGAACGCATTGCAGCATTCGTTCATTTTCCCTGCTGGACGGGTACCTAGCTGGTAAGACATGTCCAGTCCTCATTATCTAGCGGCCAAGACGACAGTTAAGTTCCGAGAATAGCCTAGCATACAACCCGCCTCCATGGTAGAAGATGATACAGTACATACATACATACTTTGTAAGAACTGGAAAGTGCTAGTGTCCTCATAGCTTAATCCAATTGCACTGGTACCGTAACCTTTTCGCAAATCGAGGGCAGTGTATTTACCCCCTTACTCAATTAATTCTATATATTTATGTATATATACTATACTACCCATAGTGCCTCGTAGTAGAAGTAACATCATCATTATCGCAGACAACAAGACGTAAGTAAGACAAGATCCTATTGTACATGTAGATTGGTAGGGATGCGATTGTTGACGAAGCTGGATAGCTACGTGTAAGTAAGTTTGACAGACGTCAGAAATCCTACCACATTTTGGTAACTAGTATGTGCGCTTAAGTATGCAATGGTATCGTATGGGCCATATGGTATGGTAAAGGAACTTTTGCTGCCCGTACATTGGTTTCTTTTTCTCCAGCTTTCTTGCGGAGGCTGTCGGATATCATCTTTCGGGTTTAGAGGATTAACTCTCAGTCCTCAGCTGATGCAAGCCTAGTGTGAGATGGATACAGCTCTACTGATCTGCATTCTTGCGTGAATATGGAGGATCGCCCTCGTAGGATTCTTGGGTATCACGCGTAGAGTAAGTACGTATACTGGGAAGTCTGGTGTGAGCCCTCGATGACCAATACCTACCATAGCCAGCTTGGTATCGAGCCTAAAATTGGCGCCTCATTTCCACGCCGAACTATAACCCCGTGATGTTCGGGGATTTTCTTAGCTTGGTACCGTGTGAAATTTGGTAGCGGAGGTGGATCTTTTGCCAATGCGCCGGGGGTACCCAAAGCTTTGGGACACGGGGGCGTACGAAGGTGGCTTTCTGTATTCACCGACGCGACAGCCTACGACACCTCCCTTGCGCCACGTGATGCAATGGTGGACATTGCATACAGTAGGCAAGCATGTAATAGGTAGGTAGGACTGATGTGCAATGCTACCCTTATGATCCAGCTTATTTATGCCCATGCCCATGCCCAATGCCGATGTTGACGGCCGCTGACCGCTAACCGAGGAGAACGATGATCAAAGTCGTCGTTTTTGACCCTCATTCGCAGGCTAGAGGAAGGCATACTGTACACGCGCCTAACTAACTCCGCTGGTGACCAACTACCGTTCATCTTATTAAGAATTAATTGCCTTAGTGTGAATATACCGGTACATGTACAGTAGTAAGGGTCTTCCTCCGAGGCGTGCTAAAAGCGTCGGTTTCGGGCTCGGGCCACTCCGCAACAGCTAACATGATGAACACCCTTAACAGCTTTACATATAGTTTTGTGAGGAATACGACCCATTGCCAGGCAGGTTAGGGACTCGCCTTGTTCTTAACCCATGACTTTCATACTTACTTAGAACTCCATATGACCTAGGTATGTACTGTGTAAGTATGTCTCAAATAGTGCTGATATATATTGCACCGACCACTGCGTACGTTGACTCTCACGTCAGGTACACGAAGGATAATGTAGGTACATCGCCTCACATTATTGGACGAGCCACGGAATGCTCGGCAGCGGCAGCCACAGCGGACTTGGACTCGGCTTCGGAGCATTTAACCACGGCGCCAAATGGTGATACGCCGGCTGAATCGTGAGACTGGGCTCGACTGGTGACTCGAACGAGACACATACACCATGGATAAAAGTGGTGTCGTTAGCAACTAGCCTACGCTAGTCGTACACACCATGCCTAAGTCGACTGATAGCCCAAAAACCCTCATCAAAGCATTCGGGTAACTTGGAAGGCCATCGCCTGAGCTTGCGCTGACGATCTCACGTGAGATGGCCTACTATACTAGAGTATGTACATACCTAGTAATATAGGCAAGAAGACCGAATATGCCACGTTTGGACACATTAACCGAAGCCCTGCCAGCGCCTATACCGAATCATGCAGGAACCGAACATTCCACGTGTTGGAGCACGTGTTGCCATGTCAACACTGCAGGCTGACAGCTAGGCGAGAGCTGAAACGAGATGGCGTGCCCATCAGCTTACCTACTTACTTTCTGCCTTTGTACTTACTTACCATGTACATACAGGAGTATGTGCACAGTACTGGATAGATACGGTACCTAGCAGGGAGTTAGAGTATGGTATGTAGTTCATCATCGTTTCTGATCGTTGGCGTTTGCCAAGAGAGAGCCTAATTATCCCCCATCCGGATATTGGGGACCAGGCTCACAGTAGTACATGTAAGGAAGTACTTGCGTGAATACTATCTTTGGCATAATGATACTGTGTGAAAGCTTCTCGGCTAAGTCAGGCAAGTCGAGCTAGTATAACACTCAGATAGATTGTAGGTAATTGACTCATCCACGAAGTGAGTACAATTTCAGAGAGAAAGGTACACTACATACTTAGGAAAATATGCCGAAGGATTCAATCATATAAGTATAATAACCCCATACCATCAGACCCTCTCTAAAAATTAATAATAAACTATCATCTTAATTGAGCATAAGTACAAAGCAGGTCGGCCATGGCTCGCCATCTAACTACTTACTTCGTAGTAGGTAAAGTAGATGCGCATTGACCGCCATCAGACGCCTCACATCGTTCCATACTGGAATGATACTGCCACAGTAGCACTGACGCTTGGACATCGTTTCTCATGTTTTAGCCTCAGTCACATTGTGCGTTTGATGACAGTGCGGGTCAATAACACTGCTAGCGGTGAACACTCGTAGAGTGAATGCTGGCATACTGTATGAACAGATTGCTCGTACAAAGTCTATTCGTTAGTTTCGGCATCAAAACTTTGATTTCGGCGTAACAGAAGGGGGAAATTTTTCTGTTTGACCGACGGCTTTTTTTTTTCTCTGCAAGACACAGTGGCGTGCCGGCGTGTATCCGAGAAGGTCGTTCGTCCCTCGCTTTACCAGTAGAAACGAAACTACGTTTCCACAACAGCGCCGCAGTTTGCGGCCCGGGGCCGTGTACTAGGAGATTCCTTGTTCATTCACCTTACCAAGAGTCGTAGGATTCCCTAGGCGTGAGCTGCCTGCTTGCCTGCGTAGCGTAAAGCGCACTTACAGTAGGAAGAAAATGGAAAGAGAAGTATACGCCTGTCTAGCATGATCCATATAAAGTTGTCTGCCACTAGAAGATTTCTTAACCGGCGTCTCGCGTCTACCCTAGGTGTGTACACTAGGTGTATGCACTATGTATGGGGTGAGTCAGTTCACGGACGGACTCAGCCTCGTCCGTCACCAGTACTCCGTGCACTAAGTATGGTAATTCTCCTTTCAACTACCCTTGTAATACAACAGAAATTTTACGATTGGTCATTAAAACGTCCGACGTCGCGAAACGTATGAGAAAAGTCTAATAGGCTCATTAAATTTGATAATTGTTCCTAATCTACGTCGTACATTACGCTTACATACTTAGTATGCTATATCACAAATTTGGCATAATTGACAGCTATAAGGGCTGGCAACCCTGTCATCACTAAGGATTTTACTTTCTCTTTCATCTTGTTACCTAATTGGACCGTAATCAGGCAAGTATCGAATTCCTATAGGACTATTGCTTATGGTCGACCATACCTTTCGTTCATTGTATATCTCCCGTATATCAATTAGCTCCGCTATTCCGTTATTCCGCGCTTTAGTCAAGCAGTAGTCGAAGCATCAACGGACCAACAGTACCGTACCTCGGTAGCTGAGTGTCATAAGTAGGCTGTTATAAGCAATGCTTTGAGAAACGAATGCCATCAGCAACAGGCTTCATCGTTGTTGCATGTTGTACACTAAGCGCGTACTTAGATCCACAGCTCTCTTTCAGCCCGCTGTTACACGAGCCGTGATCAACCCTGTCCTGTCAGATGATGAAACAACCTGCCAGAATCAAGGAAACACTAGGGCAGGACCACGTCGATCCATACATGTTCACATGTGTGGTGTTCCTGGGCATATCTATTTGCGTGCAATACTTAGGTAAAGCCATGGTTTTCATCCCGAATTGCATACGTCATTGAAGTGGTCGACAATGTGCGATTCTCCGCTCATAATCGCTCGCGTGCAGTTCCCAGTTTCGACAGACACGTAAGCGCAGGCGATGGACAGCGAGATAAGCAAGCATATGCACCCGCTACATGCAGTGTAAGCTGGCAAAAAAAAAAAAAAAAAAAAAAACGTAACGAACTGGGTCTCAGGTAAATAACACTCTCACTTGGACCATGAAAAAGCCAGGAGTTCGATCCGCCTTAACGGACCGGTAGGCGCGTGTCGGCACATAGGGCAGCATGCTGAATCACAGCTCACCCAGGCCGATCCCCCTCATGATAAGAATGTTATAGTCAGGTCTGTCTCAGGGGATTTGAAGAGATGCGGATTTGAATATAGCACAATTCTTCAAATTCTATCAGACACGGATGAACATTGAGTCCTCTCTAGATGCCGTGGGCGAGATACAAATAAATGATTCCCTGGCTCGAGAACCGTCTTCTCATTATGAGCAGGTGACAACATCACTCTATGTCTTTCTGGTACTTAAACATCTCTATACGACTCAGCAGCGTGGACCACTACCTGCCGAATAACAACAAGTATTGAAGCTATAGCTTACATCAGTGCTGAAGTATCTTGAGGGAGGTAGTATCTCTGCACCACAGAATAAGCATTTTACCTCATGACAGTAGTGCTGGTTTCCATCGTCTGCTCATCTACAGTACAGTTCGTATGACTCTAGTTAGATGAATTTGTCGGAGTACATTGCATTGATTGCCAGGAATTACTATCGCAAAGTTTAACGATGGAGAAGTTAAGGTACCAAAACCGGGCATATCATTTTACCACCAGAGCTATTCCTTGATTTTTCTATTTACTGCCTCACACCGCGGGTGTTTACCAAACTCTGCAGACACTGGCCCAGACATTTGATTTGTTCGTTCAATGCGAGTCTGAATTGAAAATCCCTTTGGAGGCTCACGTCGTTTCGGATTAAACGAAACTAGGCGGAAGCGTTACTACATTAGCATCACCACATTGTGAAAAAGAACTACCTGGGTTTATGTCATTCTGTCACGCATTCGAAGCGAGTGTTGCCGAAATGGTGTTCAGTGTAAGACCCGACGCCAAGGTAGAGGGTGTGCGGCTATTGGAAGGGCCCGATGGCTTCGGAGTGAGCTGTTACGTGGCCTGAGACGGCGTTGATAGAGAAGCAGTACAGTTGGTGGCCTGTGCTGCGCTCGGATCTGACTGAGAATTTGTGTTTTTGACTCGTCGAATGACTCGTTGATATCGCGGCTTTGCTGTCAGCTTCGGTTTGAGGAGCTCTTCGTCTGAGTGGAAACCAAGATGTTATTCGAAGTCCCGTCGCGCTTCCCCCAGGCCCTGCGCTACTTATTTCGTTCTTGGCAATTGGGTTGAACACCGCCGTTTGTTTTGCCAATTCATTAACACTAGAGAATGGCGTGTACAAACGGAATTCCTGTCAGGATGAAGAAAAAGGCAGCTGGAACGAAGTATATCTATGTGTAGCCAGATACAGGAAGACCGGTTCCTGTACCAACAGCCGATGTCTAGTTGGGTAGAACACTATTGGATTGTTTATATACCGTTACAGACTGGGACCTCAAATTCTTCCAATCGTTCTGCCGTCCGAATTTTGACATCCTGAAGACTGTCTGTTCGCTTTGTTATAACCTGGCGTATTGTGAAACCAGATGTCTGTCAAATGTTAGATCTTACAGCAACGACTAATACCGGCAGATATACTAAAGCTACAAAGGCAACATCTGAACTAAAATCCACTTAACCTGTATGGATGACTTTCAAGGCATCCGTGAGGTTCCAGCACTGTTCGGCTATCCAGGGAACAATACTCTTATCAAGTGCGAAATTTTCAGACTCCAATACCTCCTTCAAATTACCGTCGGCCCAAGGAAATAACAAGTTATACGTGATAGAGGTGGAACTTTGGTAGTTGTCTCGAACCTCGTAAGTGGTAGGCAGTTGGAGAATATTGGGCGAGTGCAAGCTTCCCAGCCGCTCAAATGCATATTTCTCCATTTCAAAGCTTTCTCGGTTGGTTCAGCGTAGCTTTTTAATTGCGAAGACATTGCGGGTGCTACACATGGAGTCTCTTTGAGAAAGGCGGGCTCTGAAATCGTGGTGGTCTGGGTCGATGTAAATCTTTTGTGTCTCTCCGAAAATGCCTGACTTCAGCCTGTTCTCTGCAGTCTAATCATTCTGTCTGTCCGGTGTTCCTGGTAGGCTTCGAACGAAAGGTAGCACACGATGTTGACTGATTGTATAATGCACAATGGAATTGCCGCTTTTAAACACGGGGGCAAGTGCACGCCATTGCTTTCCAAAGAACGTTCGGATGAACACTTTCTCCTCAAAAAGGTCTGTCACCAATTTCCATTTGTTTACGTTCTCGACATTCTGGGGCCCGATCATAAGAACTGAGCTAACTAAGTATTCTGGGTATGACATTAGCAGACATTCGTTGTTGACGTCAAGCTTATCAACCATCATCTGGAAAAAGCGAAGGAGACCGGTTTTACAGCACCTTGGCAAGAAAGGAGTGTAATCGAAGGTGGAGCAAGTAGGTGCTCGTAGTAATCGAAGCATAACATCTTCGTCAAGAACCTTGCTTAAAGTGCCTTTTGGGAGAAACCGTCCTCTCCCAAGAAAAGAGACCTTTTTTTTTGTCAAGAATATCCACCACTCCGTGCAGCAAATCTTCTTTTGACGAGACTGGAACTTCTGCAATACCGGAAACTGTAATACTTTTGTCTTCAGACGATGCCATATTGAGAGGGTGAGTATGTGAGCCTAACGACACCGACTCCCGTTCTCTGTCATACGGAATAATCTGTTCCTTCCGCCAAAGATTACCTAGTTCGAAATCTGATATTCATTTCTTATAATTCAGGTCGTATTGCTGTTCTCCTGAAATTCGTCGTGTGGCAAGCCGGGTAAAAATCGTCGGACTTAAGCCATCAGTGGAAAACCTCGGGTACGGGTATATGATGACATGAACAGCGCGTCCAAGATCGGTTCCGCAATTAAGACATGCGGTATGAAATCCTCTTGAGATTTGCAACTGAGACGGAACAAGGCCATTCGGAGTCGAGACAAGCGGTAGTGAGGCGTACGGCCCGCGATTGGTGAGGATAGTGGGCGGGATATCTGGTCCGGTAAAGGGGTAGATACCAGTTGCATTTGTAAAGTCAGCTGGGTGATTTGGTGATTTCGCGAAACGCTTGAGGGCATCCAACAGCGACTATCCTCGGAAACATCTTAGGCTAATATTGATTGATCATAGCTATGCCTAAATATATCTTGTAAACTGGAACAAAAATTCTCGCCTTCACCATATATAACGGGCATATTGATATCGAACAGACCCATAAACGAATATGCCATGTCTTCTTGTTTCGTACACGTCCTTTCGATGCCCATGAAAATCAAGTTGCAAAGCTGAAGTCAGCAGGAGCTTTCTCTCTTGATAAAAATGTCTGTGGAATTCCGGTATTGACTGACATGACATTGAGAAGTGAACTGTTGGTCCCACTAATACGCCAAGACGTGTTGAAGGATGTAACTAAAGGAGGCGCGATGAGCTCCTGTAACGTCCAACATCTTGTAAACCATCTCGAACATTCAAACTCGCTGGTTGGGTTAATTGGCTCTCCCTCAATATGGTGCACATCTTCTAACTAGGCGTAGCATACTTCGGCTTTTGAGTACCATCGATACATCGAGTTAACGGCCTCTGACAACTCTGCACTGCTTGATTTATCGATACAGCACATGTTAACCTACATGAATCGAAACCCATTACGACGAGTCTGAGAACAGACCGCCTGGAGCTTACGAAAGCCAACAACTCTAGTTAGAGCACCATTCTGGAAATCATGGAATGTTACCTCTTCTGGGCCCCAAGTGTGCGACAAGATAGGGTAAGGCGGAGGACTATCGCCGAGGAATTCTTCAAGTTCAAAGGAATCAATGTTGAGAAGTCGCATGGCTACTAGTTGCTAGGATCTATGAAGCCATGAGTGGGATGCAGTATGGAGATATACTCAATGAGAGCATAGGAGATGAGTGACACGTCTAGGTCAGCAATTTGAGCATCGCCACCCATTAGCCACAATAGAGAATCCTAGGCGCCATACTGATAGATAGACTGAGAATATGGGACTGTACCTACCTAGGTTAGGTAGTTCTTGAATTGCAGAAGAGGCAACGCCGTTTTGTCCACCGAGAACTCTGAAATCGACGCTGACTAATCCAAATTATTACACCTCTTTAGCACCAACAGAATCCCCATTCGAACTCATATTCACGATCGCATCAACAAGAAACCATGGCGGTTACGTGCCTACCAACGATTCCCTTCGTGATCCTCGGGATCGTGGAACCCGTGCTTCTGTGCGTATCTATATACTCTAAAGATCATGCACGAAACAATCTACCTAGGTATCCACGAGCGCTGACAATAAGTGAATACAACAGCGTATGGGCGTACATAACCACCCTCCTAGACCCCTTCACATTCTACGTCAAACAGGCGCAGAACTACGAGCTACCCCTAGACGACCCTTCGTCTTTCCCGCCGCAGGTCAGTGTTCCTACTGGCGACACGTCGCTGCACGAAACAATTTCTCCTATTTTGCTCCTATTCATTAACCAATCCATCATGTATATAGGCCCAGATCATGACCCTGCAGCTCGTAAACGTGTATCTGCTCCTAGCAGCTATGGCGCTGATCTGCACCTGGACAACGCACGCTGGCATCACCCGCTTGTACCTGGCGGCCGTAGCGCTGGCGGACTACGGCCATATCTGGGCCTGTTACGTTGGTGTCGGGTATGAGCTCTTTGTGCGCCCTGCCGAGGTACGAATGAATGCAATCCCCTTCCCCCCCCCTCTTCACCTCTTTTATGCTTTGGGCTGTGTCAGCAACACCGCTTTCTTTTTTTTGAAAGCCAGCTAAAATATCCTGGCGCTCAACGGTTCTGCTAATATATATCTTTAGTGGAACGACCTATTATGGGGATCTGTGGGCGTGAGTGTATTCTTAAATGCTGTGCGTCTGTTAACACTTGCTGGCGTTTTCGGAGCGGTGAAAGATCACGAGGGGTCTGCAAAGAAGAAGGCTGCTTAAGCAAAGCTGCTAGAGTCACTTTTTGGTCCATCTAATCTATTGGCTCAATAAGTAACCAGATATGGATAAGACTTATTTCATCAAAATACAAGCTTTAGTCAGCCAGTTAGTTATTTATACAAGACTTTTCTGCAAGTAGTTTATTATCATTATTCACCTTTATAGGTGTGGTGAGTTTTTCGTAATCAGTACAACCTTTAATAATCCAACACCACCCAACTTCCTTACAAGATATAGTCCCGAAAAAAGGGAGCCTGGTCCCAGTGATCCGGCATGAAGATATACAAGGTGTGATAATACACGGTAGGAAGTGGGTAGGAAGAGCGTATATGTGGCCTAGTAGCATGAGTGGCAAGCCACTAATCGAAGCGAATCTGGGCACCCAGCATCGAGGTTCCTGCCTGATATTGCTTTAGCCGCCCAGCCGTTGGCGTTTCTCTTGGACATAATTCAACCTGGATCTCATCGCTCCCTTATGACCAATAGATAGAACGTAACAAAGAAAAGGACCCTAGAATGATACAACGAATCGAACGCTTGTGGAAGACGATATGCTCCTACTGAGCCTTGGCTGATCTCTTCTTGGCCTCAGCCTCTAGATTATTTGCTGCATTAATCCTTGAGCGTTCGTATTTTAATGAGGTGTCGCCCTTCCAAATTGTACCTAATATTCGGTCCCAAAATGTGAAGAAGGGTTGGGAGAAGTTGGTTTTGATGCCCCAGCTTTGGTGATGAATGTCATGGTATGTTGCATTGTTGCCAGTGAGATGCTGGAGTGGATCCCAGGGCAACGCATATCCGCAGTGATCATCAACAGTCTTTACTGTAGAGCAAATAAAGAAGAAGATGCCTTGCTTCACGCTCATACCAGCAACTTTATAGGCTAACCCAGCACCCAACGTGTCAAGGAGAAAACCTTCAAAAGGGTGGTTGTACAATGCTCCATATGCATAAGGAACGTAGAGTCTGTGGTGTCTGGAGTGAAACTTGGCTGGGACGGTGTTAATAACGGTTACCTGTCTGGCCACATGGACAACAAGGATTCACGACTTACTGTATAACCACTTGTTCATGTGCATGCCACGGTGCAGGAAGTATTGCCAGGTATCCAGGGCACTCACAGCAACCATCAACTGGAAGCCAGGAATGATCGCATAATAAATGGCCTTAGCAACCATGAGTTCCCATGCGGCAAAAGTAGGAACCAAGGCACCATCAGCCGCATCAAGACTGGTGCTGAGGGACGGGTAATACCCGCCAGCAAGGGCACCGGCCAAGAGTGGATGCGACATGGCCATGTTCTTGGAGATCGTAACGGCGTTGATTCCCAAAAGACCAAGGATACTGGGGACGGCTCTCTGGGCTAAACGAATTCTGGTTGCCCAGACAGCGACGTCATAATCTTCGTGGCCGGTCATCTGCGGAGGGTCGGTGTAGCCCAGCACGACGGCCATGGCGATCTGGATGATTTGCTGAATGATGACATCGCGAAAGACTTCGAATCGCGTGGCTCGGTTGCGCTGGGTGATCTCGGCGGGGGTGTGCAATCTATACTGGGGGAAGAGGTCGTAGACATCAATGAAGTGGAAAATGCCGGATACCACCCAGTAGGCAAGGACGGGGGCAATGGCGGACAGGTAGAAGTCGGGGAACCATGATATCACGTCGGGAGCCTCCCTGAGGGTGTAGGCTGGGAGGGGAGGGAGGTCGGAAGCAGCGGTTAGATTTGTCGCCATGGCTGCTGGGGACGGCGACAGAATAGTGTGGGTAGGAGATATGGAATGTATGGAATCGATTACAATGTATAGCAGTTTGAAAACGAGTAGGAAAGAGTAAGGAGCGTGGTGAATAAGACAAGCGTGGATGGTGAAGAGAAGGTTTTGGGGCTGTCCGCCTTCGTACTAAATAAAGCAAGAAAGACGACCTTGACCATGGGCAGAGCAGGCAGAGTGAATGCGCTATTGGAACCGTCCTGCAGGGGCAAGTTCGTAGGTTTGGTCCGTTCGGGCTGCGACCTGTCCGGCCAAACCCGAGTGCCAGCTGTCGTGGGCATGGCAAGGGCATGGCAAGGGCCGGTATGGGAAACTGTGCCAGGGCGCATTGTGGCAATTTGCATCCCTTTCTAGGAAAAGGTGGATACTGTAATATAATATTCAGCCTTCAATGGTGAGATCAATTGCATCCATGGATTACTTACATACCCGAGATACCTTAGGAACTTACATACCTCTGCCGTGGGCATGTACCTGCTTAATCTACTCAAGTACATCAGGTAGTCATTGTATGCTATGTCTTCAGGCAAATAGCTGAAGGTTACTTGCCATCAATGCTCTAGTACTCTACCTACGTAGTAGTAAGTATGCTGGTACTCGCGCAGTTCATGCTGTAGTTGTTCGAATCAGCTGTTGGAACGCAAGCAGATATGTTATGGGACGGGCATGGTCTGATAGCGCTGCTTTATCACGTAGCTTCAACGCCACACAATTAAGAGAAAGCTGTTTGCCTAGTCTAACTCGGTACCCGCGGGCCTAATACTAGTATATGTACTTAGTACTGTACATTCTTAGTAGTTGGCGCCTCTTTGGCATTTTCCATGTGCTAGGAAACAGTCGAGACAGTCGATTGGATACCGGATACCTTCAATGTTGCTTACATAAGTACCTAATGTACTGCATGTAAGTACGATTTCAGGGGATGATCATGCTAGAATCAGCCCAGCTAGGCTAGTCGGGAAATTACCAAACCGACTGGAGTCCTTGCGGGGCGCGTCACTCAGCTGGAAAACCTGGCTGGCAGCTGGCTCAATTATTACTATGTAGCTTGTACTCGCTTTCCATTAGCGGACAAGCGCTGGAATTCAGGTATAAGATACTTACTATTGCGGGCTACCTGGTTAATTTGGGCTGCCCCTCCAGAGTTCTCGCCCGCGCCCCGCTTTTTCGTCTCCCAAATTTTTGAGTGTCCCTCCCTCGCGCCAAATCTGCCCCTCATTATTTCGCAGAACCCCGTCTCCAACATCTTGAAATCTTTCCTTTCTATCCACCTCCGTTTCTGCGACCCTCAATCCCAACTCACGTAGTCACCCTTGACTTCATAACCGAATTACTTGCGCCTTGGTCAATACCGTCAAAATGATAATTTACAAGGTGAGTCCGAACCCTAGCTTCATATGCTGGTTGCTCTTCCTGCGCTGGGGAACATTCACACCTAACTGGTTCTCTGCTGCTAGGACGCCATCACCGACAGCCAGGATGAGCTGCTCTCCGATTCCTACAACCTTAAAGAGGTTGATGGTGTTATTTACGAGGCCGATTGCGCCATGATTGAGATTGGCGCTGTTGAAGTCGGTATGTTTTCGTCCGCATCTTCAGTTGATTCTGAATCTGCTCGCCCAACAAACGGCATTTGTTAACGTGGGGACTTAATAGACACTGGCGCCAACGCCTCTGCCGAGGAGGCTGATGAGGGCACCGACGATACTGCCCAGAAAGTGAACAACATTGTCCACTCATTCCGCCTACAACCCACTAGCTTCGACAAGGCCTCGTATGGAGCCTACCTTAAGGGTACGATTCGCCATTAGAACACAAACGAAGTGTAGGCTAAATGGAGTTTTAGGTTACATGAAGAAGGTTCTCAAGTATCTTCAGGAAAAGGATGGCGACAACGCCGCCGAAATCGAGACTTTCAAGAAAGGTGCCGCTGCCTTCTCAAAGAAGGTTCTTGGAAGCTTCAAGGACTGGGAGTTCTACACTGGTGAGAGCATGGATGTCGATGGAATGTAAGACTCTTTTTAACTCTACTATTCGACTGTCTTGTACTTTATGCGGAAATTTTAAGCTAACTGGACCGCAGGGTCGTCCTCCTGAACTACCGCGAGGATGGTGTCACCCCTTACGTCGCTATCTGGAAGCACGGCCTTAAGGAGATGAAGGTTTAGATGATCATGTTGACTATGGTTGGGCGTTGTCTTTTATGGAGGGGCGCAAATCAGCGCACCACTACGGATGTTCTTTTGCCAAAGTGCAAAAGCCGTGTCTTTTGGTAGATAATCTTCTATCGATTACGGACGCGCTCTAAAGGCAGGGAAAGCCTAGCGATCTGATCCAGTTTACTCCATGCTTGTCAGCCTACCATTCTGCTTTTTTGAACTGACTAGCGTGATGACCCATGAATGCGTTTTATTATAATAGGAATTGGTCAACGAGCTTGAATACTCGAAAGAAATTGATTAGTCAAATTTAGGCCGCGTAGCTAATGGGATCGGTGGTGGCATATCTGCACTTTCCGTGGTCCCTGATTGCCCTGGCTTTTTGGGCTTCGGTGGCGGCGGAGGCGGTTTCTTCTTACCTAGGACAGACGCAACTTGCCCTATAGATTGCTGTCGTGTCCCAGCTTCTGCTGTTCTACTAGCGCTGTCCTGAACAGACGAGGAAGTACCCAAACGCGCAAACCGAGCTTGTAGTTCATCTGTCGTCTGGCTGTGACCCAGTATATGTGTCTGTGACGAAGGCTGAGGCGGCGTCCCGCCTGCTCCCCCAATTCCGAATCCAGGTACCGATATCCCCGCTGCACCAAGGCGGTTTACTGCCCCTTGGTTCAAGTAACCCTGGCTCTCCGCCTGTCCGCCTGCTAATGTCGGGCTCGGCGTGCTGTTCCCGCTCCGGGGTGGAAGCCGTGGGGGTAGTGAAGGGGGTACTTTTGGCTTCGCCGCCGCAGTTGGCTGCTTTGTGGCTGTTGAACTTGTCGACTGCTGCTGGGGAGATCGAGCGCCTGCGACACTGTAGTGCATCGGGGGCGGAGGTAGATGCGACGTTGCCAACCCTGTAGTATCTCTTTGATAGGATTTTGGCTCGGGCGGACCTTCTTCCTCGACATACTGTGCTTGGGATGGTTGTTGCGTGATTCCAGAAACCTGACTTCCCACGGGCACCGCCGCAGTTGGTGCAGAGGCATAGGACGATGAGGATTGTGTAGTCCCGGCCACGCGCTTGGGCGGCGGCCCGAAAGAGGACGGGTCACGGAGCGAAGACCTGGGGGTTGCGACGCGAGTTTCGCGATCTGAGGATGATGTATCACCTCGACCTACTAGGCCCTTCTATTGCGGCTGGAGTCAATATTAGTTCGTTTGTATATGGGGGAGGGCCTGATCCGGATTCGAATCTATCCACATACCACCTGGCCTTTGAGTGAACTCCCGCTCTTCTCCGGATGCCACCCATTTTTCATGACATCTTTCCAGCCACCAGACATATTGAGCTCAACAGCACTACCCAGTGGTATCACAGCTAATGAATCGGCTCGGGGGTTGAGGGGAATATGGAGTGCGCTTGTAGGGAAGGAAAATGGTCTTTGACGAAAATTGAGGGTCAACAGTTGTCCTGTTCATGCAAGCGAGTAGTACCTCAGCACAAACGCCCTGTAATTCATCTTCGGGTAGAAATACACGATAAGTAGGTGGACGCACTCTTATCAGAGCTAGGTTGCTTTAGATATCAGAATATCTAATGCCTGTCATGAAATGACGTACATGCAGCTCAGCCACCGAATCTCCAGATTTAGGACTGCTCAGGGACCTAGGCAGGTACCTCGGTACCTAGGCAGGTAGCCGCCTGCACCGCCTTCTTAGGTAGTGTAACACTGCGGGAGCCCCTCCAAAGCTAACCCAACCTTGGAAACATTGATTTTCGGCCTACCCAAACCGCGACGCGTTTATCGCAACTTACCATCTACTGGACGGACTAAGGCGCCAGATCCGACATCATGCGCCATGACGACGTCTTTCGCTTCAGAGACCGAGCTCTTGACAGAGCATTTTGGCTACCCCCCAGTTGTTAGTATCCACCTTCCTTTTCTTCCAAACAGACATCTATCTTAACTGAGTTTCCGTCAATCAACCCCTCGAACAAGGCTAATCCTGGCGCAACCCACAGAGTCTTCTCGACGATATAATCAATAGCGTGAACATTCTCGCTGAGCGTGCCCTAAACAGCGTCGAGCAAGGTCTTTTGAACGCACCCCCAGCTGCTCTCGGCTTCAAAGCGCCCAAACCACAAGATGCCGCGGCAGCAGCCGAGTCGGAGCCATCGCCCGCCGACAGAGCCCAGAGCGAGGTCGAGGCCGGCACCCACCAGTTAGAGACGCTTTTGTGCGCCAGCATCGACCGCGATTTCGACAAGTTCGAACTCTACGTGCTACGAAACATCTTCACAGTACGGCCGCCGGAGCTATGCAATTGGATTCGGCTGTCGCACTACGAGGGGTTGAATTTCAGCAGCAGGCGGAATATTAGTGTCCATACCGACGAAAACAACACAGTCGTAAACAACAACAATAACGTCTCGGCCGACACGCCGACGATAGAATCCATTACAACGCTACGCCGCCGCCTGCGCGAATCGATGCGTTTAAATGCCCTTTTAACGGCCGAGCGTGCTCGCAATGACGCCCTGCTCGAGAATCTGCGCCGCCTAGTCGGGGACTCAGCCTCGGCGGGTCCACAGGTGAAAGCAGAGAGCACCTCGCCAGCTCAGGGAAACCCAGGCGTAACCGATGGCCAAGCTATCTCTGGAGATGACGAGAAGCCCAAGAACCCCTTTGCCTTCCTGCACAAGAAGGGCGACTTAGCGTCTTCGGGTGGTGGTGCGGCGCCCCTCGCCACCACAGCAGGTTTCACATTGTCGCAAATGCAAGCGCTCCGAGCTCTATCCACAGCGCTAAGTAACCTACTGTCAGACCTGAAGTCCTCGACTGCCGGAGCGCCTGATGGCGAAACCCAAGGATCCAGTGCGGGCGGTTCTAGGAGCTGGAGGCGTGAAAGAGCCGAGTACGTCGAGGCCGCGACCCGTCGCCATCTAGAGACCATGCACGGGCTCGAGCTCAGCAAGCACGGTGAAGTCCGCGACGGGGAGTGGCAGGGGCCCGGACGCAGCCTTGCAAGAGGCGAGGTCGAAGGTCTCGAGCGCGTCGTTGCGATGCTGGGCGATGAAGATGGTGCTGATATCGGCAGTACTTTCAGTGCCACTAGGGGCGTTACTTCATCTTCATCCGCAGCTCACGATAGAGGCCAGATGGATGAGTCATGAAGCTTGCGATTAGAGAAGGAAACAAATTTATCGGGTAAAGGGGAATACCCTGATCTGAACAACCCGATTATCAAGGACTTATTAGGCGTTGTATGTGCATGAGAGGGTTAGGGCCCTTTGAGAATTCAGGAGCTTGGAGTTTTTGGGCGTTCAATGTTGGTGGGTTGGATGGATTCGCTGTGAGCTTGGGTCATAAGAGCGCGCCAAATTTCGAGTCCGGGATAAAACGCGTCATTCCAATTACGAGGGCCGCTCTATAACGGGCACGAAATGTCTACGCGCCATGCCTCTCCTTTATATGTGTATACACTATTATACAATTGAAATGACCATGATGCCTCGGCCTATGAACATGGTATTTTGATATCTAGTAAAGGGGATTAAGAGACTGTAGTAGACTCTGTATCGGATCCCCATCATACGCTAGGCACTTGAGGCGAGGGTAGCGGAGAATCTAGTAGATTATACTTTTGTGCGATTTGCCAGAATCGGTTACCCCAATATTGAACATGCTCTTCCGAGTCCGGACGCTGATTTTCGAACCGTTTCTTCTCAGTATTCACCATGACCCTAGCATCCTGAAAACGATCCTGGCGGATCAAGGCTACTAATAGGTCGGTCAGTGTTGGTAGAGGCACACTCGAGCCGGCCCCAACCACGTGTTTGTAAATGTCGAGAGCGGCATGGACCTCGCCAACTAGAGCATAATTCTTGACGACACGATCGTAGAAAATACGGTCCATATCATCAAAATCGAGGTGGCGTCGGCGCTGTACAAACAAGCGTACCGAGTCAAGAGCTGGTGGAGTTTGCTTGAAGCAGTGCTCGACGAGCATTGTATAGATGTGTGGTGAAAGTTCGAGATTTCGGTTATATAAGTGGTTCACAACAGCCATGGCGGCTGTTGTGGCATTGGAGCGCAAGAGCAGGTATATCATCTTGCCGTATGTTTGTATGTTAAGCTCCAGGCCAGCGGCAGACATTGCGGACGCAACATTGGTGACAATGTTGGCTTGATCCTCAGGGTCTCGTACGTCATCTTTCGAGAAAGAAGCATCAAGGATTATGGTAAACGTCGCCTCATCTGCACGAACGCCTTGAGCCTGCATAGCAGTGAAAAGCTGCTCAACATCCTTGTGGCGGTTTCCATCACGAATTACCAGACGCAGCATAGTATTGAAGGTGACAACATCTGGTTTGATACCTTTCTTACCAGCCCAGGCTAACAACTTCTCTGCGACGCCATGCTGCCTTGTGTGAACCAATCCCGCAAGGGCAGCATTGACTGGCTCTATCGTGGGTGCAACAGCAGTAGTCTTAGTTGGATCCCTTTCCCACAACCTAGCCATCTCTTCTAGTGCTTGGAGACCGCCCTCAACATCACCGCAGTCAATTAGCCCCGCAACACGGGTTGTCCATATTGCGGTGTCTAGTTTCAGTCCGGATCTAGCAAGCTTGATCCATATGTTCTTGATCCCATCGACGTTGCCTGCTTTCCTTAGGCCGTCAAGCATCAAATTCCAAGTTCTTAGACTGGGCTTTAGGCCAACTTTTCCAATGAGGTTCCATGTGGCTATGGCCTTATCGGGTTGGTTAAATGTCATGCGTGTTTTGATGAAGGAGTCGATGAGGTGGGGGTTCAGCCGAATTTGATCGGCCCTTTCTTTTGAAATCGTCACTTCGGAGCCAACAAACTCCTCCCAAAGTTTGTCCAGCTCCCTAACATTCCCAGTTCCATGTAATCGGCTCAGACGATACCCAATCGAAGTTGGATTAAAAATGAGGTTCGCTTGCACCTCCTTCGTGGGCACAAGAGGCCTATACATATCGGTAGGTCCTCCGTCTAGGGACGCGGATTCCTGCTTGAGATGCTCTTTGATTTTCGGCCAAAGCTCCATGACGTACCTCTCCAATCCGGGAAATGTGTTGCGAAGATCATTCTGAAGAGCGCCATCGCGATAATCGACGAATATGAGCAAGGAGGCTACTTTAGACATGAACCGTGTTGCATTTTGCCTGACATCAACCGGGCACATTTGGCTATCGTGCATTAGAGCAAACGTTGCAATAGCCAACACAGCAACAGGTTCGCCGAGGTGGTTACGTGGATATTGAGGAAACAGAGTACTGAATGCCGCAGAAAAATTGCCTTTCTTGGAGAACTTTGATAAAGCAAATTTATCTAGCCTTGGAAACCAGAAGCCTTTGGTCAACTGATTCTCACCTATCGGTGATGTGGCAAGTCGAGGCAGAGAAAAGACTTTCCATGAATCAATAAGATCTCCCAACATGACTTTTCGCAGAGCAGCGTTCCTCTCGATCCTCTCGAACTGGACAATGGACTCAGTTTCTGCTGAAGAGTCCATATCAACGATACATTGGATCAACTCGCCCACAAGAATAGCCCATTGCGTTGGTTGCAATTCGTCGAGTTCCGCATATATTCGGAATATATTAGCGAGGGTAGGAAGTGTGTCCGTATACATGTCGGCTTTCTTAGCCGCAACAAGCTTCTCAAGCAGCGCAAGCGTGACTTTGTGATATGCCTGAGGCACATGAGTGCCTGGGACCTGGATGACAGGTATTATCTCAGACTGGAAGACTAGGTAGGCATCTGACACTGGGACGTCACCATCTACCATGTCTTGAAGCTTTCCGATAGCTTTGACAAGGGCAATATCGGTTGACGCCCTCACAGGTTCGGGGGGGTGGCCGGTGTCAGCATGAAGGCTGTCCTGCTCTTGGATGATCTGTTGGAAGAGCGCATCTACTCGAGAAGAAGGCGGCTTTCCGGTTGCCTTCGACTGCGATAGCTGGAAATGGGGCCCTCGAGTATTGGACTCCAGATGATGTCTTGTGGACGGTATTCTTCGCACCTGCGGGGGTGACAGCGATTGCGTAGATTTTGGGTCGGGTGCAATAGCACCGTTTGGCGCGGCATTGCTGGCGCCTGGTGTATCACGTCGCGAAAACAATAATCTGGTGAAGAGACGAGCGGGCTGGGTCTGCCATTGCGCAGCACCAGTCTTACTTGCTCTCTGGGCGGCTTGTAGACGGCAGAGCAGGCAGACGGGTTTGGAACTCCTCATAACGTAGGCCTAGCCGGTCCGACCGCTGGGATGCTCAGTTGGAGTTATGGATAGTCGCAGGAATCGTGGCGCCGAAAAGAAAACGAGCTCGCGTATATCTTCGCTTTGATTAGAACCCGTGGACCTGGCTCTGTATCGACTTATCTACACAACGATAGCATTGGACCCACGTCCAGACTCATCCTTGTACCTGGCTACAAGGATGTACAAGTACACTTCGGCAGCCATTGCCCCACTCAAGCTCTAGATCATTATATAATGTTTAGTTATGTGTATCAGGCAGGTACTCACTCATGACATGGAGCCAAAAAGTATGTAGGTAGATACGTGATCCGTTTCGGAGGAGGTAGTAAATGAATGCAAGCTGTTAAAACTTAAATTAAGACTCCGAACGCGCAAGTAGGTAATGAACGGCAAGTGTCACCTTCCCAGGTTGCCTTTTCCCTCGGTATCAACTACTCCAAAGACTACCCCGCGCTTTACGCTTTATATACTACCTACTACTACCGGTACTACCTATATACTACCTACCTACTCACAGGTACTTGCTATTCACAATACCTACCTAGCCTACATACAGTAGGTACCTACTGCTACTTAGTTCAGCAGCCACCATCAATTGATTCGTCCCATCCGGGAGGTTCGAGGTTACCTACGGCTTGTCAGGTGGCTTTCGTTGCATCCCCTGCGGACCGCCAACGATGACTACTCTAGTTCCCCGTCCTCCTTATACCGACGATGAGCTCAAATCGCTATATCCAGTCAACCTGGAGCTCCAGCTAGTGCAGGTCTTGCTGCGACACGGTGAGCGTACTCCTGTTTCGCCCCGTTTCCAGAACACCGGTCTCCCTTCCTTTTGGCCATACTGCACGGCGGTCCGCCAGTTCAAGTCTACGGTGCTCGATCGTACCGCCGGCCAGTTCACGACTCTGGAGTGGAAGCGTCGCTTGGAGAGCTTTGGTCGCAATGACGAGCCGATACTGGTTGTTGGACCCAGGGGCGAGGTGGACGCAATCTGCGATATGGGCATGTTAACAGATCGTGGCCGCGAGACGACATTCGACCTGGGCACGCGTCTAAGAAGGCTCTATGTCGACCAGCTTGGATTCCTCCCACCAACCCTACCTAACGCGGATTCGTTATATCTCCGCGCGACCCCTATACCACGAGCTCTCGATTCCCTTCAAGAGACCTTCATCGGCCTTTATCCAGCACATACCCGCTCGCCTTCGTTTCCACCACCCACTGTCCTTCTTCGTTCGCCCGGAGAGGAGACCCTGTTTCCGAACGATGGTCAGTGTCGACGCTTCGCGGCTCTCTCCCGGGCCTTCGCGCAGCGTGCAGCCGACCGCTGGAACGACACAGATGAGATGGCTTACCTAAATAAGTTATACGGGAAGTGGATGCCTACCACCTCGCCCAAAGTGGCAGTGGATGGACGGCCCAGGTTGAGTGGAATAATGGACACGATCAATTCAACACTCGCTCATGGGCCTGAAACAAGACTACCAAAGGAATTCTACGATCCGAAAGGCCGCGAAATTATCGAAAAGATAGCAGTTGACGAGTGGTTTTCGGGTTATAAGGAGAGCCAGGAATACCGCACTCTAGGTATTGGAGGATTAATGGGAGACATCGTCAGTAGGATGGTGGGTAGCACCGAGCACTCAAGCGCAGATGGGGAGTACGAGGTTGGGAAAGCATCGAGAAAAGAGCGGACGGGAGATACTAATGGAACAACACCTATCCTGTTTGGGCTCAGCGGATGTCACGATACGACTCTGGCTGGCGTGTTAGCCAGCTTAGGAGCTCATGAGAGCAACGATTGGCCTCCATACACAAGTCATATTGCTATAGAGATGTTTCGCAAGAGTGAGAACGTTTCGAAAACTTCCGGCGCCCCCGCTGCGCCCCCGCAAACTACTGGTAGGAGTGCAGATCTGAATGCCACAAGCTCCAGTTCCAGCTGGTTTACCTCACTTTTCTCTTGGACATCGTCGGTCGGATCGCGCGCCACACCACCACCAGGAATAGGTCGCAAACAAACAGAGCACTTAACCCCAAAGGAGAAAGCGAAGCTGCAACATTACTATGTGCGTCTTCGATATAACGACGAGGTCGTCGCAATACCGGGCTGTCGAACACCAGGCAATCATCTCGAAGGGTATGAAAGCTTTTGTACACTAGTAAGTTCACTGCCTCATCTCTTTTCCGATGTTTTTTTTCTTGTAGAAGCAAGTTAACACGAGATCAACACACAGGAAGCATTCAAAGCCATCGTCGATAAATTTGTCCCAACCAACTGGAAGCAACAGTGCGCAGAAAGAGTGAAAGAACCCGCATTCCCAACTAAACCCGAACCTGCTGGGTACTAACATCTACCTACCAATAATCACCGCCATCTCAAAACAGCTACCTACATCAAACATAGCGGAAGCTTCAGCTTTCTCTCATCTCTTTCGTGGATAGAATGGCAAGGTAACCAGGTGCATGGTATAGATGTTTTCGATATCCAAAACATCAAGTGACATCAAAAACGAAAAGATAGTTAAAAACGAAACCTTAGACCGATTAAAGGCAATGAGAGAATGCGATGGCCGCTTATAGTAAGCTGAACAGGATCATACACATTTGAAAAACACTCGGCGTGGATAGCATTTTGTTTTGCGTCTGTTCATAGTGAATAGACAGATAAAGTATAATTAGGATCCCATTCTGACAACGTATTTTACCAAAATTTACAGGTTTACTTGAAATACATCTCCTGCTGTGAGTAAAAACCGTAACATACGTATTGGCTGGCTACCTAGGGCTGGTTCCATTGCCGTTATAACAGCAACACTCCCCTACTGTATACATTACTTTTAGTATTTAGAGATGTTTCCTTGTTCTTCCGCTAGGGAACTTCTGAGTCACCCGGGAATAAATAAAGCTACACTTATGTTGACAGGCATATCATTGGTTAAGTAAAGTCGTCGTGAGAGAAAACGTCAAGTCATTAGGGGTCTTTTTGAAATGTTTCTTGTATTATACCCTCCGATCTTCCCGAAAGCAGAAAGATGTATATGCTGATGATAATGACTATTGATGTTACTGAGGACGAGACTGACAAGCCGCCTCTTCTGGCCCGTTTGCAGTTCTTTTATGAATCCACCCTCCTTCGCGCATCGCTCAAGAATACTACACAATGAGTGTCTTATCCTTGATATATCAATCTCCTGTTCACCGCTTAGTCACTACAGGCGGCTTGTACTCAATACCCCATTGATCCGCCCAACCTCTCCCAATATTCAACAACCATACATGAAATGGCAAGCAAAGCCGTTGAGATAACTTCGAAATCAACGTAGCAATTACAACATATTAGTCCTCCCATCATGAGGCAAATAAGGCGGTGCGACACTTCTTCAGTTAGTAACTTCTTCTTCCCACCCGTTCAGTCCTCCTTGGATAGCAAGGCCTAGGCCCGACCCAATTCCGCCAAAGCTAGATTGGTACTGGTGACCCCTACGTTCTCCTTCGCCGCCGATAGGGCCGTGTGTTTTAATTGGGCTACTGCCCCCATTTTCAAGTGGCGCGAATACTGGAAGGCTAAGAGCACGGTTGTGTTGTCCCCGAGGACCTGGAGCAAGAAGACCGCCAATAGTCGTAGGTCCGGTAATAGCACTCTGCGGAGCGTTGTAACCATTAGAGATGCTAGCGGACTGTCCATGCCCAAGAATATGGTTTTGCTGGGGTATCTCCAACTTAAGCTCGCTGGGAGATGAGGAGGCTGTACCAAACAATGCGGCCTGCTGTGATACAAGTATCTGCTGTTGATGCTGCTGCTGCTGTTGAGCTTGTTGTGATACTTGTTGCAGATACAGTGTCAGGGGGTTGTTGTTGCCAGCAAACAGATTCGCCCCATTAGTAGCAGTCAAAGGCGATGTAGGGTTTGTAGGCGAGTTCCCGCTTCCGCTACCGCCAGTTGCGGGTGATGGAACGCCTTCTCCACGTGGTGATTGGGATTGCTGCTGTAGTTGACGAGGCTGGTTTCCACATCGGTCTTTGCCAAAGTTGACTTTGAATTTTCGGTATTCGTCTTTGCTTCGAACCGCCTCAATAGCCTTGATAGCGTTGGCGATATTGGTGAAATTGACGAAAGCACAGCTCTTTTCTCGCAGAGCGTTGACCAACTCAATCTCACCATATTCGGAGAAATCTTGTCGCAGCCTCTCTTCAGTCCATGTCTCATCGAGATTACCGATATATACATTACGAGACGCACCGCCGCTGACGGCCAATGCAATTGCTGGAGGAAGAGCACCTGAGTGCTTTCCCCAGCCAATCTTCAGACGACGGTTGTGTATCATTAGCCCTTGCAAGTTACTCAAAGCATAGAAAGAAGCGGCTGCTGTTGGGTCAATGAATGTTACGAAGCAGATATGCTTATCAGGAATGTAACGAATATGGTGAAGCAAGCCACCTCGCACAACGTTGCAAATTTCCTCCACTGTTGTCTCTGGGTGAATGTTACCCAAATAGATCGTCCTGTTGCCAAGGTTATTGATACCACCTGCAGTGGTTGCAACTGCCGCTGCTGCCACCGACTGCTGGGCAAGAACGTTGGAAATAACATCGCGGTCTTGACCCGTCAACATGTGGGCGTACCCTGGTGCAATACCGAGATATTGAGCCGCATTCTGTTGTTGGGTCTTAGAGACGTAAGCACAACGATCCTTACCATAATAAACACGGCGGGGCGACTGCCATTTGGGTTCCTGAGGCAATTGCTGGACTGCCTTCATAGCGTTGGCAATAGACAAGAAATGAACAAACGCAATGTTCTTCTCACGGACTATCTTAATAGTATCAATAGCGCCGAACTTGCCGAGATCTTCACGCAGCTCTTCATCGGTGATTTCTTCTGGCAGATTACCCAAGTAGACATTTCGGGAAGCACCTGATTGCTGAACAGCTAGAGCAACTGATGTGGGGACTTGAGAAGGTTTTCCCCATCCAATCTTGATATCCTGTCCCTTGATGCAGAGCTTCTTCAAAATAGCATCAGAGTGAAAATGAGTAGCAGCGTTCGCATCGAGGAAAGAGATGAAAGCGCAGTTCTTATCAGGCAGGAGGCGAACGGACTCAATCTGACCACTTCGAACATGGCCTAGAATTTCTTCAGCACTAGTATCAGGTGGTATATTTCCAAGATACACTGTTCGACTAGTTCCTGTGATGACATTGTTCGCTGCCATACCCACAGGTGACTGGGGTGCCATCTGTAACTGATTACTCATATTATTGTAGGCGCCAGTGGGTGACTGGGGTTGGTAAAATTGAGGTGCCCCATAGGCCGAAGGAGATACCATGGCCTGATACTGTTGAGGGGACATGTTTTGCTGAACTGGACTAGTCAAGTTATTGTTCTGTTGCTGCTGCTGAGGGCCACTCGTCTGTTGAAAAGCAGGTAAGTTCTGGAATCCTGGGCTAGCGAAGGCAGTTGGGGAGCCAGGCTGGAAGGGACTTCCGAGAAGAAGCTGGGAAGGAAGCAGTGGTGTGAATTGCATGTCAAAACCCGTTCCGGGGGTTGCCATATCTGCCGCCATGTTAGTGGCGGTTGGGCTCACTTGCTGCGTGTTGATGGCAGGAATATTAGTACGGCGCTGGGGTCTATCAGCAAATCCAGAGACATTAGATGTAAAAGCGCCATGAGAAAAGCCAGTATCGCTGTTAGAAGGCTTGGAAGCGTGGCCGAAACGACTGGTCGAGTTGGTGGCGGAAGGACCAGTGGGAATACCAGAGGCTGAGAGGTCCTGCATCCCAAGAAGATGAGGAGGGACAAGGTTGTCCCTCGAGACTTGTGAAAGAACCGCCGTTGTGAAAGATTAAGCGTGCCTGGTGAAAGGCACGAAGGCAAGAAAGAATATGCTAAATCTGGAATGTAGGCGCTGTATGGAGGACCAAGCAACGTCGGTTATTACAAAAGCCGTTTGCCAAAAAGGGGTAAATTGAATCCAGTTACAGGTCCCTCCGAACAATGGACAAATAACGCTTGACGAATGATCGCTATTCGAGCGAAAAGATGCAACCGAGGATCAATGGTATAGACTATATGCAGTATTCGGAAGTTGGGAGATCACGTCGAACCGAACCGGCTAGCAAGCTACGATTGAATCTGCCTTCATTCGAAATGTCCAAGGGAACGTGCCAATCACACCAAATCGGCAGGATTACCCAAACTATTCCGGGTAGAGTGAAGACGAGGATTAAGCGCAAGAGAATGCTCTTTGACAGCAAAGATGGTCGGACCCGGTACTTGGTGAACAAAGGCTAGGCAAATACGATGCTCCAAAGAAAGCGAGCGCAATGGAGGTATGCCAGAAATGAGCGTTTAGAAGGTAGGCGGCCAACAAAGCCCTCTTGTTCCGTTCTTTGGGGATTTCTGGTTGCTGTTCGGGCTTTAGCTCAGTGAACTACAGATTCGAAGGGTTGGTCCGCAGCAATTACGAGGCAATTCGTCGTATCGTGTGTGCACACGCGCGCGCGAGGGCTAGAGAGAAAAAAAAAAGGGGCAGGCAGGATAGTTTGGCTAGGTATGTATAACATGTAAAAAATTGCCGATATATGGATAATTAAGAAGATATAGAGAACGAGCGTAGGCCAATAGAAGAGGGAGAAGAAGGTTTCCCAGGAAAACTGGGATAGATTGTAAGAAAAGCAGGCAATAGAGAAGGATTGAATAGGGTAAGATACAAGAAGCGGTGGAGGTTAAAGGTGAGGTGAGGTGGTCGAGGTAGGGATGTGTAAGGGTGTTGTAGTAGGTGTGGAAATAGTCAGATGAATGACTGACAGGCCAAAGCAGGGGTTGAGACTGGAGCCGGGGGGGATAAAAACGAGAGGATAGAGCAGAGACCACTCTAGGGTTTAGCAGAGTACCGGGTATTCCTCCACAACGGGACGGAGAGCGGGCTAGGAGGTTAACTCGCAGAGAAAAGGGAAATGCAGTGAGCAAGCAGCAAAAAGAAGAAGGGGATGCTGAAGGGGAGAAAGCGAGAGAGGAGCGAGAATCTGTCAGCCCTTGGTTCCTGACTGGCGAGTGCGGAAGGGGAAAGGGAAGCGGATGGGCATGTCTCATTGGACGATTGAGTTCTATGGTGCAGATTGCCAAAACGGGGGAGGGGGTGGAAGGAGGGTACCGAGTACTTTACCTACTTAGAATATCTACCTAAAAGTAAGTGAGGAGGGCGCTAATGAGGGTTGCCAGGTACTACCTATAGATACTTGTATGTACATATAGCACAATATATGTAATATTTCACTAGTGGTGCAACTCCCTACCAGTTAGCGTAGGTGTGTACCTGAAAATCTATACACCACGGTAATCAGTGCGGTAGGTAGGTACCTGCACACCTACTATGTAAGTAGGTATGTAGTCAGGGCGCTTGTGTCTAGCGTACCTAGCCGAAAGTACACGCCCAGATGAGGTACATGTATGTACTAAGTAGTCGATACTTGCACTACAGTGATATGGGGGGTATACAACTTCTGTGCCTGGTACTTACCTAGCTGAATCTAGGACACCTGTCCAGTGTCCAATGTCATGGATGTCAGGTAGGAGCATTTTACTCGAATTGATTCATGCCTTGACGAACCACTAAATCTGGACAGGGGCGAGGTTGAGATATGGGTGAAACCTTACGATTTCCATGATAGCGGAACAAAGGCCAATCTCACTGCGAGCTCTGCGCTGTAGTCAAACAACCCGTTCTTCCAACGCTCGGCGGTATTGTGTAGCCCTTACTTAGGTACTTAGGTAATGGATAGGTTTGCACATCAAGTGCCTACATAGGTAGGTTCGTAGAGCGCTGCGTAGCGGTGGACGCAAATCATAAATGCAGGTGGGTAGGTACCTACCTGGTAGTCAAGTGGAATTATCTTTAGGTGCCGTATTTGCAATTTCAGTTGGGTTTTGCTGCCCTCAATGTGCGCATCCACATCTGCCAATACTCAAATACGAAAAGGCTGTCGATGATTTGCTGGGATCTTCCTTTCCCAGTTGCCCACATTTGCCTTTTACTAGACTACTATGTACTATCTACTGTAAGTATGTACTTAAGTCTCAACGAGTAAGCATCTGTGTGCCCAAGCCCATGTTCAATAGTGAGTCCCCAGAGGCTGGTCTCTGTCAATTGGAAAAGACCCTTCTAACCCCAGTTGCTGGTGCGTTGCATTAAGTCATTGCCAGTATCTAATTTTATGCGGAATAGCATCCATCTTCGCGGACACCCAGGCGAACATTCCACTTTCAAAATACAAACCATGAGTGGACTTTTACTTAGGCAGTTCTCTTCTCTTAATGGCATGCGCAATCCTGTCAGACGTTCAGGCGGGCGGAACTAAATATGTGGTCTAATAAGCACACGTATGTATGTCTGTATATCCGCTCGACATTACCGCCTCGGTCGTAGCGTATAGCACTAAACAAACACCAATTGCCGATACATGTATGGAGGTCAGAGTAGGTCAATGTCCAAAACTACGCTAATAGTAAGATCTCACCCTCGATTATGACTTGCAGCCAACTTATCCAAGCTACCTATCTTGTACCGTATGTCTAGCTGTCCCGTTCTGCTCTGCGCTTGTAAAGTACCGGTAGTATAGGTATTGTGATGATGATGTGACAGTACCTTGTTCCTCATTCGGTTCCATTCTCGGAGATTTCTCTAGCCCTCCCTTTCCTCAAGACCCCCCCTATCATCCTTCTACGAAAAGGCATACCGGTACTGCCCAGGTATGTTTGTCTCGGCTGTACAGTGTACTAGCATAGAGAGCCCATCGCGTGATCCATCTTGGGTACACACCTACAATGGCGATCAGCCTTGGGCCCGCGTATATAGGTACACCAAATAGGGGAACAATGCACTGACATCCAAACAGACCATTCAAACCTCCCCGCATGATGGTTTCTAGGAAACTTCAGGATTACGAGATTGTTTCTCCTTTTATTGCCCCCTCCCCCACCCCACCTCCATGTTGGCATATCGACTGCGGCGAAATCAGTCCAGTGTGTAATAATTGAAAATGTATGTGAATATATCTGTCTAAACCCCAGTTTGTAACCAATAAAT